AGCGATTATTAGGTAAGTTATTAGTTCTAGCTACCTAGAGATTAGCTAGCAGTGCTATAAAAATCGCTACTACTAATACGTTTATAGAGGTACTCTCTACTAAGAATCTATATACTATAATTAATTAGGTTATTATAGCTAACTAATTAGACAACTCTCTATAGCTAGCTTAAGAAAAAGCTACTATGTTAGGCTTTGCTTAGAAAATAGAAGACGGCTTATTAATCTATTAGAATTAATTAATAGTTTCTACTATTAACTATCTATAAATATACCTAATATACGCCGTGTATACTACTTAGGTAACTATCTACCTAGAATAAAGAAAAACTACCTAGTTACTATAAGATTAATATTACTAGCTAAGTATATAAAAAGACGTTAATACGTACGTAGAGGTATATAAGGCTTACCGCTAGAGCTACGCTTTATAGAATAAGACGCTAGGTCTTCTAAAGCCTCTATCTATTTCTAAGAGAGCTTAGTAGAACGTCTCTATAGATTTTAAGAGCTTTCTCTCTAATAAGAAAGAATTTAACTACGTATACGTTATTATAGATTAGCTAAGTAAGTAGAGCTTCTCTCTACTCTACTATAAGAAAATTATAGCTTAACGTATAGTAAAGCTATATTACTAATATATCTAGCGTATATATAGTTCTTCTAGGTCTATTATATTAGATTATAGCCTATAGTTTACCTCTACCTTTATAGATAAGCTCTACTAGCTTATAGAAATTAAGTAGAAGCTCTCTACTACATACTACTTATAAACTAATAGAAATATAGAGATTATTAATTAATATCTTAATTAGTGTCTACGTCTATTTATTAACTACTACTAGAATAATTAGTTAGACCTTCTACTCTATATAAATTAGGTATAAGCTACGTTACTATATAAAACTATAGAACTAATAGTATATAAAATTAAATTTAGATACTAGCTAATATACTACTAGAATTAAAAGAAATATATAATAAAAGTCTCTACTCTACGTAAGCGTCTCTTACGCTAGAAAGCTTAGAATTTTGCTAAGAAGTAATATAACGCTGTAAAAAAAGCTACTAAAATTACACAAAGTAATATTACAAAAGCGTAAGCTAGATAGGCGCTCTAAGTAAATAAAAAGCGCTAAGAACCTAATTTTATAGTAGGCAACCTTGTCTATATTAAACCTTATAGCTTTTTAATAGATTAGTCTAGCGTAAAGCTAAATTAATAGATATATAGCTTTTACCTAATTATTACTATAAAGAGTTACTTCTTCTAGCTCTAGCTACCTGCGTATATACGTATACATAACATCTTCTACGCTAATTAGTTAAGAAAAGCCTTAGAGCTATTACTAGAGTAGGTAGAGCCTAAGTAGCTACCTATTAAAGTTAATAGTAATCTAGAATAGCCTATATATAAAATTCTAAATAGCTATCTTTATTAAAATCGCCTTTAATACCGCGCTACATAGGTTACTTATAATTCTAACTCTATCTAGTATAATACTATAGGCTTTATTAACGCTCTCTATAAGGTAAGAGACTTTTACGTAGTATACCTAGATAAGCTAGAGCTACTATTATAATTAGATGCTTAGATTAAGGCGTATAAAAAAGAGAAGACTCTAGAGAAGATAGTAAAGAATTTAAAACCTATAAGAGTAGAAGACACAAGAGTAACGCAAAGGCGCTACTAAGAAGAGAGCTTATAATAAAGCTGCCCTATAGACGCGAAAATAAGCCTTCTAGCTTAAATCTCTATAAGAGTAGAGTAACTAGAAGAAAGGTAGTAGCTATAAAAGCGCTTCTAGTTTAAAACTAATATAAATATACTTACTATAAGCTAAAAGAAATAGTTAAGAGTATAACGTAAGAGTTTTAGAAGAAGAGAGACCTAGAAGGCGTATTTTAGAGCTTAGAGACAAGCTCTCTCTATAAGAGAGAGTAATATAATAGTCTAGTTTAGAATTTACCTTAGATTATATAACCTTAGGTTACGTAATTCTATTATGTAACCTAGCCTAGCGCCTTAGCGCTTAGCACCTCTATATATAGAGCCTCTTAAGAGTAGCCTTCTACTTCTTACCTTTAGATAGCTAAATTTAACCTAACCTACTCTGCTAGCACCTCTTATTCTTATAGCTTGTAAAGTTAGTACTACCTATAGCTAACTTACCTAGCTAGGTGTTCTAGAGGCGCTTATAGTAGTAGAGACTACAAACTTAGCTCTTATACTATACTTATAACGCTAGAGGTATAGCTAGCTAGTATATAGAGAGATAAGAACCTAGAATTAAATTCTTTAGTAGTAACGCGCTTAAATTACGTATAATTAGTATTATAGAAAAACGCGTCGCGCGTTAGACTAGCATAGTAGGCTAGTCTCTAGAGTAGATTAATTACGCTTATAGTTACTAGATTTTAGCGTCTTTTTTAGCTAGAGTAGTAGCCTATATCTAATATCTCTTATATATATTATCTCTCTTAGTAAGAGTATTAGTAGTAATCTAGTAGTATATATAGATTTGTTATTTATATACCTATTATATATATAATTAGCTAACTATTTCGTTAATAATTTTAGCTAGCGTTTCTAGAAAAAGCTCTTAAAGCTTTTTAGCAAAGGTAGAGAGTATAAATAAACCTAAGGCTAATAATAGCTCTAGTATTACTAAGCTCTAGCAGAGCTATATAAGCTTCTAGTTAAAGTTATTATTCTAATTCTTATTAGTTATTATGTTATATTACTAAATAGAGTTTTTGTAATAGAAATATTAATTAGTATATTCTACTAGCAGGTTCGCTACTCTAGATTTAAGAACTATTAGAGTAAAGAGGTATTATAAGGCTAAGGTTCTACCTCTAGATTAGCTTTGCGAGAGTTCCCCTATAGTATTTAGATTTATTTAGCTTTTTAATTAAGAAAGAAGTAAAGAGAGGAGGTATTTAGCTACTAGTAGAGTAGCTAGTTATTAGTTCTACTAGTAGAGTAGAGAGATTATTAATTTTTTATAATTTGTAAGAAGAGGAGAGAAGAGAAGTTTCTACACGTAGAAGTTCTATAGAAGTTCTCTTGTACACAGAGCTCTTAGTAGCTCTCTTTAGCTTAGTACTAGTATCTTTCTACTACTAACTAGATCTACTAGTAGTCTTATACAGCGCTAAGAGGTAAGTAATTAATTAGTACGTTAATAGATTCTTAAGGTAAGTAACTAGGCTCTTATAGCTCTAATTCTTAGTATAGCTATTAGTAAACGCTTCTTATAAGGCTACTTAGTTTAGCTAAATATTATACTATCGTCTCTAGCTAAAGAGGTATTAACCTTTAGATAATATAAGGGCTAGGTTCGCGGTCTCTACTACTATAAGCGTTCTAGAACACCTAGCTAGATAAGTTAGCTATAGACAGTACTATCTTTATAAGCTATAAGAATAGAGTGCTAGTAGAGTAGGTTAGGTTAAATTTAGCTATCTAAAGGTAAGAAGTAGAAGGCTACTCTAAGAGGCTCTATATATAGAGGTGCTAAGCGCTAAGACGCTAGGCTAGGTTACGTAATAGAATTACGTAACTCGAGGTTATATAACCTAAGGTAAATTCTAAACTAGACTATTATAGCTAGTAGAGTAGGTTAGGTTAAATTTAGCTATCTAAAGGTAAGAAGTAGAGAAAAGGCTTTAAGAGACTCTATATATAGAGGTGCTAAGCGCTAAGGCGCTAGGCTAGGTTACGTAATAAGATTATGTAACCTAAGGTTATATAACTTAAGGTAAATCTCTAAACTAAACTATTATAAGTATAGTATAGAAAGATAGAAAAATACTAAAACTATCTTAAAATTATTACTTCTAAATATATAGCAGGCTTATAGTATATATAATCTTATAATATATAACTTTATATAGCTAGATTACTTATATATATCTATAGTTAGAAAAGAAAACTCTAGAAAGATTTTTTTAAACTTCTATCTTTTATTACGCTATACCTAGAAGAGCTAGCTCTATAAAAGTTTTCTAGAAACTTTTATTAAATTATAAAAACTTTATACTATAAGTTTTATCTATTATTATAGAGATATAATAGTACTTATAGAAGTAAACTAGATTTTTTTTTAAAAGTTAATTTAATATATATAGCTTTTTAATTACGTAATATATCTTAGTATAACTTTAATATAAGGTGTAATATACTATAAGAAATATATATATAAATTTTTATAGAAAAATATTAAGGTTTTGCTTAGTTATTTAAGAAAAACGAGTTGATTTTCGTTGATTTTCGTTGCTAAGAGAAAGTGGTCGGCTCGATAATATAGTCGGTTCGATAATAAAGTACGTTACACTCTTTATAAAAACTAAATTTAGATTTAGAACTAAATCTAAATTTAAAGGATATTACTATAAGGTAGTTAGTAAGGCGAGTAAAAGATATACTAGAGAGTAATAATAGAATATATTAGGTAGTGCTAGTAGGTAGTTAAATTCTTACAGAGTAAGGATAGAAGGAGATTATACTATATACTGGGCCGTCACGTGACCGGGTCGGCCCGAGTAGCCTCCGAAGGGTATTGCTAAGGGATATTTTAGCAATTAAGGAAATTCTACTTTGTATAGTAAAGTGTAACTGCTCCGTATCGAATATCGAATATCGAATATCTGCTCAGGAAACCCCTCTAGCGAGGATGGGAAACTTGAAGATCTCCATGTTCTGGACAATGATGTTGCGAAGGCAACTGTCGGCTGCTGGTTATTGGGGGATCGTGCACACGGCACAGTAACAGCTAATAATTACTACCGGTATATATAAACATATTTACGCACATACTTCCCGAGACCTCTCCTATAGCTCCCACAGGGTGAAATGTCGCGTCCCACGTGCGTTCGCGAATCACGCTAGGCCCAACGCAGGGACCACTGCCGAGATTTCAGATGTTCGAATCGACTTCAACAACCCGCGACGCCGCCTAACTGTCTCTCTACTCCTTTATGATTGTGCCGCCACGATGGTGGACACTTCCAAGAAGCGGAAGCAATCCTCAGACACGGCACCAGCTGCAAAACGCCCCCGATTCCCCCAAAGACCGCACCACAATATCCCCACGACGCCGACGAGTACCGCGTATCCCAATGGCGAGGTCAACGTCAAGAGCTTCCTCAAATCGCACGAGAACGAGATCAAGTCGCTCGAAAATGCTATGAAAGCCGCGAAGAAGGGGTTGGCTAGAAGAGCTTTCCAGGACGTGCCGAGAGAGCTGCGGAGAAGGACGGCGAGCCATAATCCGCAACGCGTGCCGAAGAGGCTGAGGGCGCGGGCGAAGCAGGAAGCGAAGGAGGATAATACACCGATATCGAAGGGGAAGAGTGGAAGTGGTGTAGGGAAGGGGAAGAAGAAGTGGTTGAGGAAAGAGGGCATTGAGAAGAGCAGGCAAGCTTGGGAACGCAGGGCAACGAGGAGGAAAGAGAAGGGTGATGCCGCCGTCACGGTTGAGCCTACGGAGGGAGTAGAAACAGAGAAGGGGGAGTCAGGAGATGCCTCGAAACAGCCAACAAAGCCCAAGAAGAAGCGCCCAAAGTTCCCAGCTTTGGCCACGCCGGAGACCCCGCCATCTCGGTTTCGCAGGCGCCAAAAGAACAAAACGTGGCTACCCACACACCTGTGGTATACGAAACGTGCGCATATGACTCCTCCGAAGGAGCCTCTCTGGCGGTTTGCGATTCCGCTGGCGCCTGTTGTCAAGGCGTATCGTCTGACTCACCGAGCTGCAACAACGAGAGGAGCTGTTGCGTGGGATATGAGTTATATGGCAACTATAGGCTTAGAGGGTGTAGAAGCTTGCATCGTGGGGTTGTTAAAGGGACTTCACTTTGCTCAAGACGACGAGGAGGACCTTTGGCAGGACAGAGGGAGAGCGAAGAAGTGGAGGAATGGCACAAGGGTATGGGAAAGCTGGATCTATGAGAGAGAGGGTATATCTCCGAAAAAGATCGCTGTTGTCACGGTTATCTGGAACGTTCCGGAGGCCGAGAGTAAGAAGAGGAAGGCTTTCATCCGGATCCATCCGAGCGCGTTCCTACAGCTATGGAACGAGGTCATCAGGATTTCGAAAGTGCAGAAGCCGGCCATCACCGTGGAGGATCTCCGCTTTGAGATTGGGTCGATCGAGATCATGGGACCTGCCGCCGCGGAAACGCTCTGCTCGATCCTTTCCCCGACTGCCACCACAGAACTACCTTCTGGTGCGCCTCAGGCTGCTTGGCCTACACTAGCTACCGTCACAGATCCCGGTGTACTACCACCAGGGGCGCTCACAGCCTTTGCAATCTCTGATCCTCGCCTTCGGGATCCGCCGACGACTGCGCGATTACCGCAGGACGCGGCATCGCAAGCTGCGCTAACTGAGACACTTGCGAATTGGCCAATTGATGACACTCAAACTCCTCCAGCTATCTTCTGTCGCGACGCTAGACTTGCTTCGGCGCGGGCTCTTCCTTCGCAGAAATCGATCAACCGCCGGAAATCTGCAAACACGCTTGGCGAGTACCCAGAGCCAAGATCAACAGACCCTCAGATACCCATGCTCACTTATGTCTCGAGAAAAAGCAAGTCATGGATAGTTCTTCTTCCCTGGAAGTGTGTCCTCCCCGTCTGGCGAGCAATGATGCGCTATCCCGTTTCGACTGGAGGCAATCCTCGGTTTGGGGGATTGAAGGAGAAACGCCAGGTCGACTTTGAGCGTTCAGTACCTAGCTTTCCTTTCGATCATCCTGGTACCGATGCAGGGTGGGACTGGGAGTTGCAAGAACGCGTCGCGCGAGAGCACGACTGGACAAAGCGGCCCAAAGGGAAGAGAATCGAGTGGTGTACCATTGATCTCGGGAGTGAGAGGAAAGGGGAGATAGGCAATCCCTGGGCTTGTGATTGGGAGAGGCTCCTTCTACAATCGGACAAAGAGGAAGCGAGAGAGGGTAGAGAAGAGGAGTCGGCCAAATCGCCCTTCCGCCAAGTCCCTTCGCAGCATGCGTCAGAATTGATTGCGGGATGTCCTTCTTCTACCGACTATCTCGCGCTACCGCGCCTCTTTACTGTCAAAATCAGTATGACACAGCGCGGTACTCCCACAAACTGCGCTCGCGTATACCGTCTGCCGACGAACAATCCAGAGTTGCGCAGTAAATGGCTCGCTCTACCGCGGGCTTTGCGGTCCACAGCTCCCCCAAAGTCCGCTGGACCGAAAGCCCCGAATCCCAAGGCGAAGGATATGCCCAAGCATATTCGACACAAGCATCTTGCGCAGAGTCTCCTTGAACCTCCGCAACTCGACGACGGCCCTCTGAATGCAGGCGATGGAGATTACCCCGTTGTCCCTGATGAGGAGGACCTGATCGGCTTTGTCACCACTGGGAACTACAATCTGTCTGAAGGGAAGCCCACAGCAATTGCGAATTTAGCGCTGCACAGGGTTTTGGACACCAAGGATTCAGATGCAGTGAGAAGAGGAGTGCAGACAGCAGGTCGCGTGTGCATTGTTCGGGAAGCCGGACGCACAATCGGGCGACTCGGGACTTGGGAGGTGGCGTAGGTCCGACAAGCCGTAGTGTGCGCGTAACGCAATTCAGCGAATGATCCTGTATAGATACTGGCTCCCGAATGTGCTTGCTGTGAGAGGACTTGTTGGTCGATGTTAGTCAGCCTTGCGCAATGTGGCTTGCTCGTGTGGCGCCGCTAATTTAAGGTTATCTCCGAGATGCCTAAACCACTTTCACCCTCCAACTGTCTCAGGGCCCAGTGCAGTTCAACCACGCATATCCCCGGATACGCACACGACAACCCGCCGCCGCTCAGCAGAAATGTCTGAGGACCAGCCGGCGGACGGGCACGGCGGAGGCGGCGAGTCGGCTTTCACGCTGGGCCCAGAGGTGTTGGCAGACCTGGTACGGCTAGGAACATCCTCCCTGAGCCACTGCTAAATCCACACTGCGCAAATAGACCAAAGACATCCTCGAAGACTGCATACACAACATAGTATACAGCACCGCGCTGTCATGTCACCGCTCCGAGAAGCTCCTCCGCATGCAGTCTGCGGCGACGCAGGCCGAATCCCTCGCCCTCGCCACCATCGAGCCGCAGTCGCAGAAGAACGCGAGTAGCCAGCCATCCGTCCCGACCGCCGAGACCTCCGCCGCGAAGTACGAGAACGGGCGCGTGTTCCTGAAGGGCAACCCGCTCAAGACGACGCCGGAAATCATATGCCCGCACTGCAAGCTGCCGCGCCTGATGCACCCCATCATGGGCAAGGGCATGCAGAACCCTGACCTCACCAAAGAGTACTGCATGCTGTATCCGTGGGTGCAGAGGCAGGGCCACGATGTATACGGCAACCCGTTCCCGACCGATATGGCTAAGAGCAAGAAGGAGCGGGAGCTGATAAAACAGCAGCAGAAGAATGCGGAGAAGGAGAGCGTGGGGACGCCAGGGTCGCAAGACACAGATATGGCGGGCGGAGATACACAGGGCAAGGAGATAAAGCTCAACACGGGTGGCAAACCGGCGTCATACATACCGTGGCACACATGTCCGAACTGCAAGCGCAGTCTGCTCATCACAAGATTTGCACAGCATCTAGAGAAGTGTCTCGGTATCAGCGGGCGACAGAGCTCGCGGAACGCCATGGCGAAGCTCGCAGGGCAGAACGGCAATGGAAGCAGCACCGGCATGGGCAACACACCGCTAGGGAGCCGGATGGGCACACCAGCGCCTGGCTCGCAGAGCGATGCGGCAGTCGCCAAGATAAAAGGCAAGGGCGTCAGCCCGATCAAGAAGGCCGCCGACGATGACGATGAAGGTGAAAACGACACGCCCGAGAGGAAGAAAAAGAAGAAGAGCTCATACATCAAGAAAGCGGACCGGGAAAAGATGGCGAAAGACGGCAGTAGCGGCACGCTCAAAGTCAAGCTGAAGACGAAACCGGACCTGGAGCGGAGAACAAGCGAGGGGGTGGAGAAGACCGAGGGCAAGAGGGATAGAGAGGGCGATTCGATTGATCCGGATGGAGCGCCAAAGGCGAAGAAGATAAAGCTGAATCTGGGGAAGGCGGGTAGTCTGCCAGTACCCGCTTCGCAGGATTCGCAATAGGCTTTTCAGCAGAGTTCGAGCGCGAGTTGGAAATCGTCACGCATCGGGTCAGGTTTGGGTTGGGTTAGGACTCTATGCGGACACTAAGCATCGGCAGGCGTTTAGGCATACCAGGTGGAGTTGGTCACGAACAGAGCATGTCGAGCGCATCGAAGCGTCGATAGGATGGCGTTTGGGCTGTTCATGGTTATGCTGCGCTTTTTGCGGCATAGTATTCCCCCATTTTCGTTTCCGACTACCAAGCATCGATTAATCGCTGAAGAAAAGTAGATGCATTGTCGCATTACAATAAGGGATTTGACGAATTGATCAACTGTTTAGTAGACCAGATTTAGCTCGCCACCTGGGAACTGTAGTTCGGTTCGTCGGAATTTCATGCCTGCTGTGGGTCTCGCCCTCCGAAGTACGCCACTACTGGGGCGTTCGCATCCCACCTAGACATCTGAATATCGCTCCGTCAGCTACTGCGCTCAAGTCTCTATTAACGTACGGACTACGTTGCAAAGTCCTTTTATGTTGCATACAAAACGCACGACTCGGTGGTGTAATTGGTTGTCACGTCAGTCTAAAGGTCCCGACTTCAAACCTCGACTGAATCAGTCATACTTTTGCCATTTGCTTCTTCATTCTAATACCCTCGGATTTGGTCCATGGGCATACTTTTTGTCTCTGTGGAGGTTGGGATATGGGTATAGTGGAGAGAGAACATCCCAGTCTGCATGATGTGATCACTGAAGCATACCGAAAGAAGACAGAATGGAAATGACTTTGATTGAGTTGGAAATACTTGATTGATTGAGATCCATGCCGAGGAACGAACGCCAAACTCCTCCCCCCGATTACACCCGAAATTAGGAAACAGGTTGAATCGTCCGCATCAAGCCGACAAGTCTCCCTTCCTCGCCTCGAAGCTGCTCACGGCCGAGCATTCTTCGCCATACTACCCACATACCGCGGCCGCTGACACTTCAACGTCGGATGCGCCTGCCTACCTTCATATACCGCCAATATCGGCACAAAGCTCTGATACGGCCGCGTCCCCAACACCGGCTTGAACACCTGCTTGTGGTGCTTAAGCACCCAGTTCGGATCGTTCTTCCTCTTCACTTCCTCTTCCTTCTTCTTCACTTCTACTACCATCATCTCCTGCGCCTGCTTAACAAAGCCGCCCTTCTGCATACGCAACGAGCCAGAGTGTGTATGCGGCAGAGGAGGCTGCGGCACGCCAATGCGCTCACGATACACGCAATCATAGTTCCACCGTGCATTGCGGTCTACAAGCACCGCGTACGCTTCCTGCAGCGCGCGGTACTTGCCCGCGTCAGTGTGGAAATACTCGGCGCGCAACTTCCTGTATGCGTCTTTGATTTCCTCGGAGGTCGCCCAGTGGTCAAGCCGGAGGATCGCGTAGTAGTTCTGGAACTCCTGGTCTATGCTTGGTATGGCGCTCAAGGAAGATGAGGACGAAGATGAGGACGTGGAGTGGGAATGCGAATGTGAGAGTGCGGCTGAAGCAGGCGACAAGAACACGCCCGCAGGCGTCGTCGCAGTTCGCGGGGCGTACATCGTGTGGCGGTGTGTAGGGGTGGCGTTATGAGTGGTGGGAGGATAAGCTGCTGAGGGGTCTTGCTGTATGGTAGGGCGTTCGTGAGTGTGCTTGCGCTCTGAGCGGAGAGGGGCGATGGTGATGCGGCACATGCGGGCGGTTTGAGGGCGGGTAAGAATATGGGGCAATGTTTGCTTATATGAGACTTGTTTGTGTGTTGTGAAGAGAGGTTGAAAGGGGCGGGTGTTGTTTAGGTGTCTTGAACAATGTAGGGTGTGGGTTAGTGGCATCAGTCAGAGGGTTAGGAAGCCGTGCTTTCTGTACATTGCGCACGCAGCTAGCATTGTTAATGATGTTTCCCAGAGCCGTGGAGGCAGTTCCAAGCTAACGATCTAGGATACCGGTGAGGTCTGTGACGAACTGGAAGATAGAAAGAGGTTGAAAAGCAGTTTCAAACACGCAACGAGAATATAGATTAGCCAATACACCTACTTCAGATGCCCATTAACACCAACACTCTTCTCAGTCCCTGCCTTCTCATTCCCCATTCTCCTAAACCCCCTCTCCCTACCCCTCCCTCGCCCACCCCGACCTCTGCCTCGTCCACCATCCGCTCCCTTACCCCTCCCAACCGAAAACTGTATCCTCACAAGCGGATGCTCCACCCATTCGATGCCCCTCAACCCTAGATGCTCCTTCTCCCATTCGCCTAACCTCCACGCCTGGTACAAACCCATCAACCTCTGCTGATCCACCTCTTCCTTATTGGGCCCCAAGCTCCTCGTCAGCTTCACGCCTCGCAGCTCTGGTACCCAAGCCTTTATGTACTCGCCCTGACTATCGTAATCCAGCGCTTGTTTGACCGGGTTGAAAACGCGGCCTTCCCGTGGATCATTACCGACGCCCGCAACGTATTGCCAGTTGCCCCAGTTATTAGGCATATCATAGTCTATGAGAAGGAACTCGTACCATTCGGCCCCGATGCGCCAGTCAATGCCGAGTTGGGAAGTAAGGAAGGAAGCGACGTTTTGTCGTGCGCGGTTCGAGGTGTAGCCTGTGAGGAATAGTTCGCGGTTCGAAGCGTCCACGAGGCCGATACCAGTGCGGCCAGATCTGAAGCGGGCAAAGACCTCTCGAGTTTTCTCAGGGTCATCTCCCACACCGCCACTGTGGCTGAGACATTTCCATCGTTTGCGCGATGGGCGTGGTTGATCCCGCTGGGGGACATCGCAGCTTTCAGAATCTCTCCTGGATACGCGGGGTGGAACGCGGATACCGTGCACGCTGAACATTTTTGCACCAAACTTTCTTGCACATAGCCGCATGTAGTCTCGCCAGAGAAGCTCGAATCTCACTGCGGCAGTTCCATCATTTTCTCCTTTCCCATAGCCCGCAATATCCTTTCCAGGGCCCCTCCCTTCCTCAAAATCGACCATTGCCCAATGGATTTGCCTAGCAGTAAGGTGACCCTGAGCGAGGAATGCAGAAAGTTTCGTGCTAAAATCGAGACCCAGCATGCCATTTCTGGTAGATTTGTATGAACTCATAGCTCCTCCGGATATGAGATGAGAAAGCCGGTCCTGAGCTACAGTTTCACCTCCTTTGAAAGGATGTGCCGACCGCACATTAGAGGGCCACCGAGGGGAGGAAGGTAGACCATATGTTGAATCATCCTCCAAAGGCGACAAAAGAGCTTTGGTCAATCCAGGTAAGTTGTTCGGGATCTCAAATGGACGTTTCTGCGGCGGTATGTTCGGAGGTAGCGGTGGAAGCTGTTTCGGGGTGGGTAGAGTGCGCCTCGGCCTGGACCGGAGTGGTTCGAGTGACTTGCGATATGTAGTGTAAACATTCGGCAGATCGGAGATGTCGATGGGCAGATCGCTACTGCAGGGTTGTCAGCTGAAGTTTCCCCGAGAGCCTCTAAGTAATGATGGCAGCACACACTCATCGATGTAATATTTGTCGTCCTGCCATACCTTGAACTCGACGCCCCTCTTCTCCGCTATGCGCTTCAAATCGGCCTCGTCATCCTTCTCTTCCGTTCCTTCTTCACCTGTAATCCAGATCCCCGCCACTTCCGCTCTCCTACCACTGGCATCTCCAGCATACCATTCCAGCATATTCTCAACGACTTCGCCGATCATACCAGCTCTTACTTCTAGCCCTGATTCGCATTCCAAGCTTTCCAGCCTCTCTTTCAGATCCCAGACTCCTTCGGCCATAAACTTGGCACGATGCGGCCCCGTACGCCAAACGCGGGCCACTCGACTGCGCGCCTGCGGATAGGGAGAGTGGTCCGTTGGAGATGGAAGGAACCCCGAAACTTCGACCTGATGTGCCGGAAATACGTATACAGGCAGAAGATGCGTAAACGCCGGAACCTCATGCTGTGATATTAGGGGGTCTTCCTGATTGCGCGTATCAGAGTTCTGCGCAGATCTCTCGTTGCTCACCCTCATCGACGGGTACGTGGATGCGGCATGAAAGACCGGATTATCCGAGAGACGAACATCTCGCCGAAGAAGATAGATGAGCACGCGAGGCTTCGCGCCAGCCATTCCGTCGTAATCATTCAGAGAAAGACCGGTTTCGCGCTCCAAGCAACAAGAACAAAAGGACTGGCTGCACAAGGGCCAAGTGACACACCGCCGCAGCATCAAAGAAATGAGCCTCGTAGAGGTAAGTTTCGTGTGTGCATACACAAAAGCAACATCGTCGAGGTGTATGTGGTACAAAGAGAAGAGAGGCGGAGAGCGATGGTTCAAATGCGCAACGTCATGATCGGTCCGCCGTCTTTCTAGGGCCGCTCTCCGAAAATTCTAGGACTCTGCAGCGCTAGGAAAGAGTGTCACCCGTCAGATATTTGGGGCGGTGGACACGTTAGACTGCCGTAGACGCCTAGCTGTGTGGAGATCCGTTTCTGCATTTGCTACCAAGATGCAGCGCCGGGGCATGACGTGTGCAGGGGATGTCTCCTGCAGCAGCCATTGGCTCGAGCTCACATGGCAAAGCAAAATGGAGTTGGAGTCGGCGAACTGGCAGGTTTGTGTTATTTCGATGGTGGTGCTGTCATCGACGACTGTGAAGATCGCGAGATGTGGCTTGGCCCGCGTTACCGTAAACGGTTAAGGCGGATCTGATCGCAAACCCGCGGATCTGGTTCGAGCGAGTACTTGCCGTCAACCAAGGAACACTCATCGGAAATCTGGCAGCAAACGCATACACCTTCGCCTATTTTGGCTTCTTCGGTAGATTGACAAGGCGCGGCAATCGGTGCAACACTCCAGGGACACCTAAGTCTAGGCAATTTTCGGTCATAAGGGGTAAACGGGCACTTTTCCCTGCTGTCTCGGGCCGTGTATTCCCTCTCAGCTACGGCATCGCTATATCCCGCTCGTTGGTATGTATCCTAATCCCGCAAGTCCATGATGCAAGGTACCCCTGATCAACATACACTACGATGGACGCCTTCGTGCATCGGACGGCGCGCTTCATGCTTGTGTTTGGCCTGCAAGCCGTGCGACGCATGTTCCTTCTGCGAAAGTGTTAGCAAAGGTCAGCAAGGGGTGGGCCTGCGGGCTTCGTACCTCGACGCTCTGGCTAGCCGGTTGCCATGCTGCGACGTCGAACTGGTCACTCTGCATCAAATTTTCAGTGATAGAGCAAATGTCGGTGATTAGCCTGTCGATCATGTCGATAGACAGGCTTTCGCGAACGACAACTCGCAAAATCTCAGTCTTCTCTTCGTTGGGCGGCAGCGGATAGTCTGCGCATGTCAGCCACGCTACATCTGGCGGGTCAACGGCGCTCACTTGGAATGATGTACTGTCTTGCCCTCAACAAATTGCTGACGGCGGCCTGCTTGACGTGCGGAAAGTCCTTCCTGAAGTCATCAGTCAGACTGAAGGCGACTACTGGCAGGCCCGCATTGTAATCCGCACTCGTCGACCCATCTTCGTACTGCGGCTTACCCTTCTCGTACTTGTGGTCTCCCTTCTTGCGATGAATATCGCTGACACAGCGATACCATCCAGTGCCCTCCAATGCACGACTCAATAAGCGCGCGTTGGCAAGGGTATTCTCCATGATGTTCTGGTAGCCGCTAAACCCGAGATGGATCAAGTTGTAGTATTGGGCGATGATCTGTGCTCCAGGCCTAGAAAAGTTGAGAGTGTAACTCTCCTCCGTTCCACCCAGGTAATGCAGCTCGAAGATCAGGTGCTTGGGCAAATAGCTTTCATCTCTCCAGATAACCCAACCCACACCAGCGTACACAAGCCCAAACTTGTGACCGCTCGTGTTGATCGACTTGACGCGGGGAAGTTCGAAGTTCCATTTGAAGCCAGCCTTGGCATGAGTGAAGGGGGCGATGAATCCTCCAGATGCAGCCTAACAGATCAGCAAAGTGCACATGATGCTAGATATTGTGAGCGACTTACATCAACGTGGATGGGAATGGATACACCGGTCTTGTTTTCATACTCATCGAGAATATTGCTGATCTCCTCGACCGGTTCGTAGTGCCCAGTGTATGTCGACCCCAAAATCACAAAGACGCCAATGGTGTTCTCGTCAATGTTCTGCTTCACCAACTCTGGATCAAGGCGGTAGCTGCTCTTCTCCGAGACGGGTAAGATCCGAGCCTCCACTTCGAAGTAACGAGCGAACTTCTCGAGCGCAACCTGCGCATTGGCTCCCATGATGATATTCGGCTTCGACGTATCCTTGCCCTCCTCCCTTCGCTTCTCTTGCCAGCGGCGCTTCATAGCAAGCCCACCTAGATGTATAGCCTCGCTCGAGCCGGTCGTGGCTGTTCCGATCGCCTTCTCGCCTTTTGTTGTCTGGGCACCCCAGAGATTTGCAATGATCGAGATGCAGCGGGCGTGCATGTCCATCATAGAAGGATATTCATCGGCGTCGGACATATTCTTCGAGAGATTTTCGATCATGAGCTGCTCTGCTTCATGCTCCATGTAGGTGCCGACGAAGGAAGCCAGGTTCAGGCTCGGACGCTACGCAAGTCAGTCGGACTGCCGTAGATCAGACTATCGTATACTCACACCGTCGAGCTCGAGCTCATCTTTGAGCAGCTGATGCACAACATCTGCCGGTGCTCCATCATGGGGAATGTATTGGGTCAGCGTTGACGAACAAAAGAGAGCTACCTATCAAACTGACTGTAGATGGGATGAAAGGAGCAAACTAACATGCGGAACTTGGAGAGCTCCGTAGAGCTGGCATATCGGCTCGAATACGGCGTCGTGTGGGAAACGGCGCGGTTGGCCTTACGTCCGGCCTTGTGTGCCGGATGGTCCTGAAGCGTCTTCACCAACTCTTCGGGATCGACGTGTCGGGCGAGTCCTGCCATTGTGTCAATTGATCTTTGTTCGGCCTCTCAAAGATTTCAGTCCGAAGTTAGTCTGAGATGTTGAACGGGAACTCCAGAGAGCTGGGGGTAAATAGAGATATTCCAGTGACGCAATGTATGATCACCGGTTGCAGCGTGGGAAGCTGCATTGAGGAATGCATATCCACGGGAGCAGCCAGGGTGCAAAGCTTGACGAAGGCTTGTCAAAGCTTGATTGCAGAGACGATTGCAACCGTTGTGGGCCTAGATTCTCCACAGAGCCCAATGAGGAGCTGCCCGACGCCAGGGAGCTATGAGAAAGCAATGCAGTTACGTTATGGCGTAGCAGAGCAGGTTTCGTCAGCGAGGGAAATCAGGTTACCGCATGAGGCATTTGAAGGGATGGCAGTCGCTACTATTCAACATCTATGGCCTGTCCATAGGGAATTAAGCAACAACTCAAATTCTGCATATCGAGCTTTCGGATTCGTGGTGGATGAAACGTATGACGAAATCCGGCCTAACGAGCGTCGGTGATAAGTTGATCCGGTCCGAGATGTCCACGTGACTAAGCATCTTTTCTACAGTCCTTCCAAGAAGGCCAAGAAACAGTGAGCGAAGGCTACGAGCATGCTATTTGCATTTATCCACTATGATAGGAGCATATTCTTGCGCTTCTGCATTGTGCGGGGCGAATGGCCAAGAACAGGCGCAGAGCTACCCCTCTTCCGTCGTAAAGAGTCAATGACGCGAGCTATGAGCTGACAGATGACGACGCGTCGAAGCCTGGAGCTTGCGCGGCATCAAGAGAGGCATGTCACCTCACTGCAATCGCATCTCCCTTTCTCCTTTGCTCACAACTATTTCCCATCATCAGTGACCTCAGAGTACTAGATACTTGTTCTTTTCCAATCCTTTGTGCATAATTCGTCCGTGTCTCGCATTCCCCGGATAGTGGGGAGAGACAAGCCGGTTGATCCGCCTCACGCCCCCACGAAGGAAGCACTGCCACGCAGTAGTGGTGTCATCGATTGAGGAAACTATTTGAAACCTCAATTGTACCTTTCAACCCCATCGTCTTCTCCTCCGCTACATTTGGTTTGAAGACAAGATGAGGTTCAGCCGGGTACTACCGTTCCTCCCTCTCGCATCAGCATTCGTCATCACCGACGCCGACGTCTTCGAGACCCTCGAGAAGTCCGGAAAGCGCATCATCGACAAGACGCAAGATGTCCTCGATGAAACGAGAGATGTCTTCGATGAGACGAGAGATGTCCTCGACGAGGCTTTCGGGAACGCAATTGAAGGCATCAAGAACGTAGGTGAGAACGCTTACCATAAGATCCACGATGCTGGCTGCGATGTGCAGTCCTGGCTCGAGGGCTCTTCCTTTGAGGATCCGTTCGTAGACTTGGAAGATCATCCTCATCATCCGCCTCACGGCAAACCACCTCACCATAAGCCACCACACAAGAACCCGCACCATGGCAGGCCGCATCATCCGCCTCATCACGGCAAACCCAACTTGACGGTGTACGAGATGATCAGTAAGAGCAACTACACGACGAAGCTCGCAAAGCTCATCGATGAGTACCCCGACCTTGTCGAGACTCTCAATGGCACCAAGGCAAACTACACTGTCTTCGCACCGATCGACTCCGCATTTGAGAAGATCCCCAAGCATGGCGAGAAGCCATCGAAGGAGTTTATCAAGAACTTGTTGCTTTACCATGTCAGTGAAGAGTTCTACCCGGCAGGCCGCGTCCTCCACAGCTACACCATCCCGACTCTGTTGGAACCTGAGAACCTCGGCCACAAGCAGCGTCTCACCGTTCGCGTAACCTTGAGGGGGCCATCCATCAATTTCTACAGCAAGATCATTGCAGTCAATGTCTTCGGAACCAACGGGGTCATCCACGGCATCGACTCGATCCTCATTCCTCCCCCCAAGGTGGCCACCATCATCGACTTGCTCCCTGGCGAATTCAGCACGCTGGAACTCGGTCTCGGAAAGACCGGCCTTTTCGAGAAGATGAACAGCTCTGATTACCCTCACGAGGGCGGAACCCTCTTCGCACCCTCCAACTTTGCCTTCAAGAAACTCGGCCCCAAGATCAACGCTTTCCTATTCAGCAAGTTCGGTCTGAAGTACCTCAAGGCGTTACTCGAGTACCACATGGTCGTCAACCAGACCCTGTACTCTGATGCGTTCTACGATGCTACGTCCGAGGACGCCGAGATGACTGCCCGACCGCCACATTTCCACTTCGACATGCCGACGGTTCTCGATGGCAAGTATTTAGCTGTTGACGTCACGAGATACGGTCCTTTCATCGCAATTCGAATCAATGGATTTGCGCGGGTCACGGTTCATGACGGTGTCGCTAGCGACGGCGTTATTCAAGTAACCTCGGACGTGCTCATCCCGCCGAAGAACGCCGGTGGCGAGCAGTCTTATTGGCAGGGCGAGGAGATGAGTGTGGAGGAGTTCAAGGAGAGGCTTGAGCCATTCGTCGAGGACGATGAGAATATGGAATTGTAAATGAGAACGTCCAAAGGGGGGAATTTTCCACACTGCGGTATGATTGGTGAAAGGGAAGGCGGTATTTGAAATAGTATCCAATGAGTGGAGTTGCTTCGTCCAAGCCGTGGATCTAGCTACCTAGCGGCGGGCGCATAATGAACGATCGTTACGAAAGACTAATGCCATGGCTCTTCTCCACTAGACTTGATGCACTTGTGGCGCTGACGCAGGTAGGCTTCCAGTTGTTACCCCCAGATGAAGGTTATACGGGCCGTTCGCCGTTGTTAGGGTTAGTATACCTTAGAGCTATTCATGCAGTCTTCTCTAGCCTCGAAGGCTGCCTGGCCAAGTCCTAGGCATTCCAAATGCATGAAGACGGGCTTGTCTGCTGGCATATGGTATTGTGATAGATGATGGCCGAAACATAGTGTCATGAGGATCTATTCAAGGATACCGAGGCTTGAACTGAAGACGGGTCTTGATATGTTACAAGGATGCCTGGGTGATCACTGCTCACCGTAAGGAGCTGAAACAAACATCTCAGATTGATGAGCCGATAGGTTCGACTATGGGTATGGCCTTGGGCGTTAGATCTGAGTTGCATTCTTCTACTTGGCGTGCTATCATCTAGCCAGGTCGGTCCACGGGCTTCCTGCGCGATAAGCGAAGACTGGTGAAGGCGGGGAAGGGCTACAGTGGGATCGAGAAGGGTAGTGAATTGAGGTCCTGCCTGAAACCGGTACTGCATGGTCGCCGTCTTGTTTCTTCTTTTGGCCTTGCTCTTGCTGCCCCGGGCCGGAGTTACTAATTCGGTGGTTCTAGGTCGAAGCAGAAGGAAATGGTCGGACTTGATGCTCAGGTCATCTTCCCGTTCGCATGGCCAGCTGAGCATAGCCGACCCCAGACGGCAATAGTGTCGTTGCAGTAGTTTGGCGGCATCGATCGTTCAGAGGGTCTCTTCTGACAAGCATACCCTTCGAAGGAGGATGATTGTGGGTTCGTGCCAAGTTTGGATACCGTCTGGAGATACACAGCTCCCATTTTTAGAAGCATCCCGCGGATGGTGAGGAGCGATTCGTACGTGCGGGCTTGAGATCGATGGGCTGAGAACTAGCTCCCAATGTAGACGAGGTGTGCGACGAGCTATTATGCGCGTCGTGACCTGTAGCGTGTCTCGCGCAGATGTCACGCCGCTGTAGATAGGTGTAAAACCTTAGCGGGCAGAATGTAGATGCCACCAACACGACTTTCGATGTGAAACTGTTCGCTTCGATCAGCTTGGTTCGCAGGAGCGGGCAATTGAGTTTGGGATGAGCGCAGAGTTCCTGGTGCCTGGCTGATGGGTGAAAGGCGGCACACGGAGGTCAAGAAGAGTCAGCAGCGTAAACCTGCAGCCTTGGTGAGGCCTGAGACAGTCTCGTACGCGTGGTGCCGTCGTTCGTTGCCTGCGGCCTGGCCTCCGAGGGGTTTTTACGCGTGTTTCAGAAGGTGAGGAGGCGTCTGAAGTGGTCAACAAGCCAATTCTGCAGCGGCCAGATCTGCGCCAGGGGCTCAAGCCTGGTTTCCACTCTCGTCCCCTGCAGATGGAGGCACACGAATTGGACATTTTCGGCGGCGTCGAACCGCATTGAGATGGAGGAAACGGATGCGGACGCCGCCGGGAAAGGCGATGTGCGACCGCCCTTCCCTCGATGCGCCCGCGCGCCCGCGAAAATCCCAGCACATCTTTGCGCTGCTATTTCCCAACGCTAAACTGACTTCACCATCATCCAAAACCAAGACCCTCATGCCTGCGACACTCGGATCCATCTCAATTCACCGCGCAGCAACCTGAGTGTTAGCCTCCGGCGCGGCAGCACTCTGTGAGCAGTGCGGCCACGCGGTCTTGACAGATGCGACACGCGAAACATTCTAACCGCCGGCTCCTTGTCCGTTTTCGCGCAAGACCACCGTTTCTCTCAGCCTTCCAATAATGAGACGGGCAGCGTATCTCCTGCAGCTACCGTCACGCTGCTCGACAGCAATCATACAGGAATGGGTCCTGATGCAGGTCGCCTGGGCAGTTCCGCCTTCGCCAACCCGGGCCACAACCGTCTCCTGCAGGTGAAATCCGCACCCATCGTGGTTAGGCCAATTGCATGCGAGCCCACGACAAACGGCCCGAGCGCAGTGGACATTTTTGCTTCAGCATCCTTTGTGCAGGCGTTCATTTCCTCCCTCTCCGTCTCAGCCGGCCCTAGCTCGTTCTATTCTCGAGAGACTGTCTGCTCTCATCCTTCCTTTCTGTCAGCCACAACCCGATCTTAATTGTCATTCTATGGTTCTCCAACTTCACCGACAATGACAGATTTGGGGTGCGGCGGGCTCTTTCATTTGTGATACTTCATATTCTCGATGCTGGCATCAAATATTCTGTTCGCTTCTAATGGCCTCGTACATGGCTTCGCCGGCTAGTATCCGGACTAATACTGTCGTCCTCGCTTTCACGCTTGTTGCCGGCGTAGTGGTTTTTTTACGCCTGTTCACGCGTGGATTGCTTCTTCGAAAGGTCGGCTACGAGGATGCTTGGATCGCTGTTGCCATGGTCAGTCGTCTTGCGGTAGCTTCGTTCATTCTTTGGTCTCTGCTGACCCTGTGGACAGGTCCTTTCGATAGGCCTGACCGTTACGATCGCTCTTCAAGTCCAAAACGGGCTGGGAAGACACATCTCGGAGCTGTCACCAAGGGAGATGATCGATTCGCAAAAGGTAGGACAGCTTCATCGCTAGCTTCGTCTTTCTCTAACCACATAGGCAGGCGTTTTGGGCAAGTGTGTGGATATATAATCTTTCCTTGACGGCCACGAAGATCTCTATTCTCGTCCAATACCTCAAAGTCTTCTCGACGCTCCGGTTCCGCATCATATGCTGCGTCGTGCTGGGCTTTATTGTGGTGTATGGCACCTGGACTCTCTTCGGCAGCATCTTCCTCTGTTTCCCCGTCGACTTCTTCTGGGACAAGAGCATCCCCGGCGGAAAATGCCTCAACCAAGAGGTGGTGTGGTTTTCGAACGCTGGAGTCAACATCGCGCAAGACGTCGTGATCCTCTTCCTCCCCTTGCCAGTCCTCCGCAAATTGGCTATTCCCAGTAGGCAGAAGAAAGCACTCATAGTTGTTTTCGCCCTTGGAGGCCTGTAAGTATCATCATGGGATTAAATTACTCCAATAACTGATGACATTGGCAGCGTTTGCCTAATATCGATCATTCGCCTCTACTCACTAGTCGCTATTTCGAACTCAACGGATCCTACCTTCGACAACCCCCCCGCCGCCATACTCTCTGCAGTGGAAACCAATGTTGGCATTCTCTGTGCCTGCCTCCCGGCCTTACGCCCTTTGCTCTCAGCTGTGATGCCGGCGTACTTCCCCGAAGTATCGCGATACACCAACGTTCGGGCCCACGACGAAGAACGACCGAGACACATGCGGAACCCTTCCGGCGACAGTCGACCATACACTTCAGGCGGAGCAAGCAAATGGACTCATTCTCGAACGGCGAGTAACAGCACTAGATCATTCTCAAGGAACGAAAGCGAGCTAGAAGACATGCATCCTTCGCAAAACTTAAGGGCAGGCACTGGCAGACGAGTCAACGGGCCGCCACCACCACTTATGCTCGACTCTGGAGAACATCGCCACTACATGAACCCCCTGCGGATGTCGCCTTTCACTCCAGTCGTCCCGAACCTACCAACATTACCAGAGAACATGGCTACTGTCGGCTCTGTCGAACCTACTCTCTCCAATTTATCTACTCCTCGAACAGCACGATGGACTTCCCGCACACCTGCGTTCCACAAACCCCTTCCTATTACTCCGTTTCCAATCATGCCCGGCAGCTGAACGAACGCAACCGACTTCGATCGCTCCTCCCTGGGAACAGATGCACACATTCCCGGACGTCTAGACCACCATTTTCCTTGCGCGTTCGAATTTTTCTCCTAGCCCGACTTTTCGTTCCTTCCCAATCCATGCTTGAACCATGTACGCCTATTCCTAGAGAGACCAGCATCTCCGCGGTCTCTCCTGTTACGGCCTCTCGCTATACCCATCACGTTCCTTTTATGGACATCGTTACGACTTTCATGAAGTTCGACCCTCCTTTTAGAATTCAATCAGCGATTGTATCATTTTGCGCAATATCCCGGGGCGCGACACAGGCTTGTGCGACAGAAGATAATGTGGAGGATGCCATGTAAGATACGAGGTACGGGGTATATTCTAGAATCCGATGCAGCGGAAAATAAAGCTGGAGGATCGAGCCGAGCCGTGAGGTGGAAGAGTCCTCACGCATCTACGCGCTCAGATCCTCCACATGTCCATACATCAAGGCCAGTGTCTCGAATCCTTCGGGAGCCCAGATGCACGTGTCAGCTTACTTGCAGCCCTCATCATCGCGAGATTCTCTTTTTCCGACGAATCACGCATTTCGACATCGGGCTTCGAAGCCTTGATTTTCAAGATTTTCCATGTCCAAGGAAACTTCACAGGTAGAAGTCGTCGCAGCTTGCTGACACCGATCGCCTGGGCGCAATCCACGACACAGGATGTACCTTTGACGTCCGTCGGTGTCAGCCTGACTGCAGCATGCGGGTACGCTTGTGCACGTCAAAGATGATATTCAAGAATGCTGCGGGTTCGCCAATCTATCGTAGATTTATCCGCAGGGGACGGGGGTGCATGGCGCGGTAGGGGGCCGAGGATTGCTTACTTCACGTTCGTTTGCCTGCCCTTGAATGCCGATGCAGTGCCTAGAAACATGACTGGAGTGTTACCCGCACGTATTGAAGCGGGGTTTGATATGAACCTACGATGCACACAAGGTGCGTCACATGTCCACAGTTAAGAGACGCAGGTCCGCCTGTCGTTCTACTGCACATTACAAACTCCGTGCAATCTCCTATCCTATGTTTGGGCAAGCAAAAAGAAGGCAGGAATACGAGCTAGTAGTCCGCAGCAAGGTCAACAAAAAAGGGCAAAAAGAAAGAGGATTTGGTCAGTACGGTGGCTATATTACGTTGTTCTTCTGGAGCTCGAAAATTACCACACTGCTCGAATGAAATGCATCGCAACTCACTAGAATAGTATCTACCACTCGCTCGGATCAAGTATTAGCGCCACGAGATCTTGTTCAAATAACTCTAGGATATCATTGTGACCAGCATGTCCACATGCAGGTACGATTACCTTGTCCCGCACGATGCAATACGAGACTCGACCCGCTGCAAGTCTCCGCCGCAGTGTCATCCATCCCGATCCACTGATGAACACAGAGAGATAAGGCAGAAATATAATTGGCCTAGTGTTTCTTTTCCTGGTGCAATTGCGACGTCTGATTTGGCCAAGGTTTCATATCAGGGGTCGTGCAAACCGGAGGATTGCTTACCACAGTACCACATACTCTCGCGTTGACTTGCTTGCTTTTACGCATCGTACATATGACGGCGATGCCCTTCCCAACAGACGTTGCAGATGCATGCCAAAAGTCGCCATGGAGTACCGTGGAGCTCTCTGGTCGGTTCAGACAGGCTGTTGACAGGTCCCCAGGACATCCTAGATAGTGAGACGCAGTACCCTCACCAATTACTTGTTCGATATCCACGACGATCAAAATACCACTCCAGCACTCTTTGGCCCGAGATTAAGGTCTCATCGCATAGGCGGTCGGCCTTGAGGGCGGCTAGCGAAACGGTTGACCTGCGCAATGTGACGCGATGCGAAGCACAGCTCGGGACACGGTCTGTCGGCTTTTCTATGGGTAGTTCGGAGTTCTAGAGGATGTTGGCGGATGGGTTGAGATATTTTCATTCGTTAGCTCGCGAGTTCGACCTGCTCTTGTCCTCTTCACTGCAGATGCGATTCTCCGTTGTAAGTCTCATATACGTATGCGGCGCGGGCAGTAGTCTCGAGGGCTAGACCGAGGACTCCTGCTGCAAAGTCCCAATGTAACGTATAGAACATCAACCTGCCCTTTGATTTCCCTTTAGGCATTTCAGAATTTCTAAACTCCTCTGTATTGATATTAAGGTATGATTAAAGGCCCGAGAATCCTCGCGACGTATCCTTTACAGTATGCTCCAAAACGCCGATGAAGCCCTCCCAGCCCGCAATGTACATTCATCTGAACTTGCTGAAGATAACCGCAATGATGAGCAAAACAAGAACCGTGATGATGGCGATGGTGATGATCCGGTTCGTAGCCATCCTGTGTCATACCGTCGTTAGCATCCCAACGATTCTCAGAACGGGAACCAGGATCTGAGGCACGCCGCATCAACACCAAGCGAACTAAGTAGGATAGATGAAGTACACGCACCTTCTCGCCATCCCCTTCAGCGTCTTGATACTCCGATCGGTATAGCTCTCGCTCTGTAACAGCGTCTCACGTGTGTGCACAATCTGCGCCCTCTGCTGAGCCAAATCGCTCAGCGTGCCTGCACCAATCTGCTCCGTTTCGAGCGCCATCCTCTGCGCCTCCGTCAGCCGTCCACTCGACCTCTGCAGCCGATCTGTTCCTGAAAGCAGCTGCTGGCGCTGCTCAAGCTGCGCATCCGTATCCGGATTGTCCATGTAGCGATCGCCAAAGAGCTTGCTGCGGTCGCTGGAGTAGGACTCGAGTTTGCGCTTGGCTGAGTCGAGGTCGTGTTCGAAGTTACGGAAGCGGGCATTGTATTTGGATTTGAGATTTGCCGGGATGTTGGACTTCTCGAGGCGCATTTGGCCAATCTAAACGATCAACTCGTTAGCTATGTGATCTTCACAGTTCTCCGGCGTGCGACAAGCGTTCAGGCCTATTCTCTCCGATAAGCTGGCCAGGAACGCTCTGTCGCATGCATTAGTAGGAGACAGACCCACCAGCTCATCTGCGTCCTGCAGCGCCCTCTCCGCTCTGCTGATCGCCGCTTTCCTCGGCTCTCCCGTCGTCTCTTTGATCTGATCTATCTGCTGGTTCAAATCGGCCTGCACCAGCTTCAGCTCAGCTTCGTAGCCGCTGAAGCGTTCGGTGCCCACATCCGCATCGATGAGGTTTGACATTTTGCCGAGTACCGAGCTGCAATATTCGTTTCGTGTGGTCCAGCCAAAGAAGTATAGAGAGTGAGATTCGGTTGAGGAGCGTCGCAGGGAGTAGGGGAGATGTCTCTTGGAAGGTGTCGTGAACGGAGGTTGAAGTCCAGATCGCGGACGAGGCGCAATGCGTAATGCCAAGGCAAGGGCCCTGGTTGGGTCACGTGAAGTGAGATCTCACGCACGTCGTCCGAAATCTTGGTGCCTGGCATCGCTTCGCAAAGACATCCGCGTTCTCCTTCACCTGCACTCCACTATCAGGATCAGATGACTTCTAGACAAGTTCGCATCCATGGGGACCGACAGCCACGGTTTATTGGTCCTTGCTTACCAGCGACTGCACTCTCGAAACTGTGTCCTTACACCTAGAGTAATGACATCTGAGATTCTAATATCACAACGAATTGCTCCACATCACATCGAGCAGCGTCCTTCTAGCATACTAGAAGCCTATTGCCATCCATGGATTACTGTCGATCACGGTGGCCGGAAGTGTCTTAGCGCCAGATCGACCATCAGGTCCATTCCAGCCAACTAGTCACATCATACGGGCCTTTCAACACCATGAATGTGTACAGGTTCCATCCCAACCTTGATATCTATTATACCGTACATAAAAAACGTCTAATGCCCACCAAAACTGTTGAAACACGCCTTAGCCAACCCGAAACAAGCCTCGCTTCAAAATCCATGACCTCACCACTTCTCCCAAGCGCATCGCATTGTCCGTCTTTTCGTCCGCTCCTAGCCCAAGTACACTTTGCTTTAGTAGAATCATTACTTCACATATCCTAGTCGCTTAGCCTTCATCATTAGACATTGATCCTCAGAGTCGGTGTAACCTTTCATTGGAAAGAGATGGAAAGAAAGCGCATAGCAATAGTCGGAAGCGGTGTTTCCGGTCTCTCCACCCTCTGGACGCTCCGCAACACAGAGCACGAAATCCACCTCTTCGAGAAGGAAGATAGACTGGGAGGCCACACGAATACAGTGACATGGGTGCACAATGGACATTCTGCGCCCGTCGACACAGGCTTTATCGTCATGAACACGGCTACCTATCGTTAGTACCTACACGTGAGGCATCTGCACTTGAGCAAGTCTAACCGGTGCATAGCAAACTTTATCGCTTTCCTCAAAACCCTAGACATAAAAACAATCCCCTCCCAAATGACCTTCGGCATCTCCCGCGACGCCGGCGCCTTCGAATGGTCCGGCACCTCCCTGTCCGCCCTCTTCGCACAACCCATCAACGCACTCCGCCCCTCCTTCTGGCGCATGATCTTCGACATCATCCGCTTCAACCTCTTTTCTCTGGATCTCCTCTCCTCGCCTTCAAACCCCTCCAACGACCTCAGCATCGGCGAGTACCTCGAAAGAGAGGGCTACTCCGACGCTTTCAGAGATGACTATCTGATCCCGATGACGGCGTGCGTCTGGTCTACGGGACCAGATAAGTGCGCGTTGGAGTTCCCAGCAGTTACGTTGGTGAGGTTTATGTGGAATCATCATTTGCTATCCACCGTTGTGGAGAGGCCACCGTGGTTGACTATTGAGGGTGGCTCAAAGAAGTATGTTGATGCTGTTATGAGGAACTGCCAAAAGGTTACTGTTCATCAAGGTTTCGAGGTTGAGTCTTTGAAACGAAAGGATGGGCTGGTGGAACTGATCGTGGATGGAAGTAGGGGACCGAGGTCTGAACTTTTCGATGAGGTTGTGTTAGCTTGTCATGGTGACCAGGCAAGATGGATCCTTGGTGACGCAGCGACTTTTGAAGAGAGGGAAATCTTGAGTGCGTTTGAGACGACGCCGAATATGGCGTTCTTGCATTCTGATCTTTCCGTATGTCATCTTACTACATCCTTTCTTCTTCAGCTCGCTAACAAACAAAGCTCATGCCCAAACGTCGCTCCGCGTGGTCTTCATGGAACTACCTCACGTACTCTCAGCCACCTTCTAAACCCACCAACTCCTCCTCCAGCGCCCTCCAAACAGTATCTCTAACATACGACATGAACATCCTGCAATCCATCCCAACCTCCACCTTCGGTGACGTTCTCGTCACTTTGAATCCACAAACGCCGCCATCCCCGGCGCTCACCCAAGCTACTTATGAATACAGGCATCCGCTGTACAATGCGCGCATGGTCACCGCTCAGGAAGAGCTGGAGAAGATACAGGGTAAGAGGGGAGTATGGTATGCGGGTGCCTGGACAGGGTACGGGTTCCATGAGGATGGGTTTTCGAGCGGGATGCGGGTTGGGATGAGGCTCGGCGGGAGTGTGCCATGGGAAGCGAAAAACGCGAAGTTTAGCAGGGGAACGAGGCCGACGCTGGGCTGGAAAGATCACTTTGCTCGGCTGGTCGTCTGGATATTGCAATTATACGTCTCGATCTTGGAATACCTCTTGGGAGCGCGAAGACCACGTAATGCGTCAAAGGGTGGGGCGTATGCAAACGGTAACGGCGTAGCGAATGGAAAAGTGAAGGCGCTGCAACCCGGCGGCAATGCGGGAAGGATCTTGATAGCGTAGTTCCGGTGCTGATTCACATCAGTGTCTCCAAGATCACACAAAAGCTCGGCACGTAATGCCCCCAGGCCATTGAATCCATCAATCGTGATTTATGCCATTGATTTTGGAAGAATCCTGATAAACCGATGATCGTTACAGAACCGACACGATCGGAACCTGCATGCTGATGCGAGCCATTTCACGCTCGATATGACCGCCCGCATAAAGAAACATTGTCGATGAACTCCTCCAACCCATGTGTCCCGCCCCGCTCTAGACCTCAGCAATCTCCCTCAGTCGTCGGATCGTGGACCTCGTAGCGGCGGCGGCCGGAGTCGAGACGGTGTAGGCACCTCCGGCGGTGGTCTTGCGGCAGCTCCTGCATTTCCAGATTCCGCTGAGGCGAGTTAGAATGTGTGATATTCACAACCATAACGGGGTTGGCTTACACAGCCTCGCGCTTGACGCTCTGCGGGGGAAAGAAAGTCAGCAAAATTCCTGAAGGGAGATTGGAATGTCTTGGTCGAGTATCTGCAAGTCGCGCAATGCAGCCCGGCTATTTCGAACAAGCAGAGACAAGGCCATGGGGAGAGGGAGATTTTGGGGATTCTCTCACATTTTTTCCGCAGAATTGGCAGGTGCTGTGCCCTAGTTAGCCTCCCGGTATGGTAACGGAGTACAGATTCTCCTACTAGCGCGCATGCTGTGTGATTTCCATCTTTTTCACTTGCTTTCGCAGAGAGGCGCCGTATCGGGTGCCATACTGTTGAAGTGGTGTCAGAAGCTGTGTCCATTGCATGACTATATTCTCCGAATGTGCAGTCGTACCTTGCCCGTGATGCCGACCTTCTTCGTGCGCTTGGTCATTGTGCCTGGTGTGTTGTGGGTATTCGGAGGCGGATAGACGTGCGGTCGGTGTTGGAGTTTACGATGATTTTGGTGGTCGCGCTGCCAAGTTGGATTTAAGCGAGCGGGCCGGAATAAATATCCTCCGAAGGCTGCATAAATCACCCTCTGTACCCACCATCTCTCACTGAGGCATGTCCATCTTTTGATTCTGAGGAGCCTAATATTGCGGGCACGATGCTATAAATACAGGAGTACCTTTCCCACCCGGAAGAATTAACGGCGCTACCACATTCCAGGAAGCCTCGCTGAACAGCTAACTTCTTCGCAGTCAAGCCATAGCTCTGAGTTTGAGAATGCCAGGAGGAACAATGGCTCGTATAATCCTGTGCCTGAGTTCGTCTACTGGACCTACGGGAGAGTCTATCCGGACAGACAAACCGCCTCCCAAAACCAGAGAGACTCCACTCCAGCACAACCTCAACAACGATTGCAGATCTACCCAACGAGATCTTCATACAGGTGCTCCGCTGCTTTGTTTCAGAGATGCAGTTGTTGAGAAGTCGGTAAGGCGTCAGCCTATCGTTCACTGCTCAAATCCAAACATAGAGATATGCGTGATTACGAGTGCAGAACTGCAGCACTAGAGACCTTAGGGCCTACAAGGCGTGGAAACTTACGTCTCGGTCTGCCTACTGGTGAGATCCGGCCCAACATCCCGACGTGAATCTCCCACCAGATGACGATTTGTCTCCTACTCGACCGCGTTAACCCGATGGATGGATGTGCTCATGAAGTCACCATCAAAGAGTAGGCTACTGCGGTTGCCTGAAGCCATGCGCCTGTTTCGGGTTAGTCGCTAGGGGCTCCTCTGCCACTGTTCGTTCCACCACCTCACTATTTGAGCTCAATACTCGACTCGGAGGCGATGAATGCTGCGCAATAAAACTAGCCGATGTTCACTTGTTTATTGCGCAAAAATCAGCGAGGCTTTTTGCCTCCTGTTGGTGCCCATTGCTCGAGCAGCCGCAGTGGTATTACTGACAGCAAACAGGAACCTTGGAATAAACCCCCAACTCTTATCATTCAAGATGTCTCTAAGCGCCATCTCGCGCTCTCCGCAATTCGATCTCTTCAGCGCGCTACCCAACGAACTATTACTCGAAATCCTAGATTCAGTGGCAGATGACTACAACGCCAGACGGAAAGCCTTCTCCGTTCTCTCCCTCGTCTGCCATCGCTTCTGCTCTCTCGCCACCCCACTCCTGTATGAGACCTTTGAGACCGGCTGTAATGAGCAATCCGAGCTGTTCAGGCAGTCGATTTCTGCGCGTCCAGAGCTTGCGGGACATGTCAAGCGCTTCGTAGATCGGACTAAGAGCTTGCGCGGTAGCAAGCAGCGCCCCCTCGCGTACCTTCAGTATGCGGATAAGCCGTATGCCAATGCGCTGGAAAGAGCCGCACAGCTGCAGGTTCCGGAAGATGTGCTGCGAGGAATCTCGGAGCGGTATACGCCGGATCTGGAGAATCTCTTCCTCATCGCTCAATGCCCTAATATCGAAGAGCTGGAAGTCACGGACCGCGATTTCCTCATTAGGACGCCGTTAGCGTACGCAGCGAGGAACCTACCCCTAGGTCTATATCACCAATTCGAGCGCCTGCACACGCTTTCCGTCACCGTAAATGTGTGGCGCGAATACCATTTCAGCGCCCTGCACACCATCTTCTCGCTTCCCACACTGCGCACCCTAATCCTCAAAGAGGCCGCAATGAGTAAAGTCGAAGAGCACACCTGGTGGCACGGCGACGAGAAATGGGACTACACCGCCAAATCCTCCTTTATCCAAGAACTCGTCCTCGAGCAATGCGGCATGGACTGCATTTGGCTCGCCAGCGCCATCTCGGCCTGCCGCACACTCCGTCGCTTCCACTGCGAGTTCCAGCATCAAATCTACCGAGGCATGGGCGGAGAGCACTTTTATGGAACGGTTGGGAGGGCGCTGTTGGAACATTCGAGTTCCCTTGAGGATGTCAGAATCAATGAGCTCAACGGGTGCGCATCGTTTAGGCATCCGACGCCAGTTCCCCTCGTTTCCTGGGAGGGCTGTTATGCGCTGACGTACTTCGATCTCCCGCTGTATGCTCTGCTGGCGCCGACGGGCATTGTTGTTGTAGAGAACAGTCTACCGCCCGGCGGACAAGTCTCCAGGACGGGGGGCGTGCCGATTGATAGAGTGCTGCCGCGCTCGGTGTGCGTACTCACTGTGGATGTTCGCGCGCATAGAGAGGGAGCGAGCGACCAGTTCTTCATCGACGTCGCCGACGCTGCAGCACAAGGCTATCTGAAAGCCCTCTCGCGCGTAGAAGTTATCTGCCGGCTCGAGTTGCGCACTTTTGGCGGTTTACTGCCGCTGCACTTCTGCCACTTGAGGAGGATGTTCGAGAGTCAGGGTGTTGAGTTCATCTACTGTGTCGAAATGGTCGATTGCGAATTCATAGCAGGTACGTCTCTGGGCCCTTCCTCCTCTTCTCCATAAGAGCTACCTGCATACTCCTGGTGGCTTGATCTCCTCGCTATACGACGTCTTAGGAGCCGTAGCATTGAATAGCAATAGCTGACGAACGGCTTGCAGCCGACTACAACAACACGCTTGAGCAGTACAAGCGCAGCGGCCCGGACGGCAAGGAAATCGCCTCTCACTTCTCATTAGAGAATGGGTGCTTTCGAGGGTGCCAGCCCCCTTACGAGGACCCGCTGCCAGATCTCGCGGGGAAGAGTATTTATATGGAGCCCTGGGCGGGTGGCGCGGAGTTTGAGTGGAGCGGAAATAGTAGTTAAAAAGAGAAAACATGCAGAGAAGCAGTCGACAGCAGTGCCAAGCACGCAAACGGAGGGACATCAACGATAACTCCAGGTCCTTACTTCGCTGTGCTGAGACCTCTTATTGCTAGGTGTGCAGGATACACTTCGAGTTAAGAAATCTATCTTCTATCTGCGAGGTTACTGGTGGATATCACATCTAAACCTTTCTCGCCCAGAGACGGGTCGCCCCGCTTCATTCTTGGATATACTTCTTCAGTCCCCTTAGCCGCTCATGCGCTGTCTCGAGCACATCGTCGTTCTTGCAGACTGCGAACCGTAGCCAGTCCTCTACGATATGCGCGTTCTCGGGCGTAAAGAACTCGGTTGGCGGAATCGCTGCAACACCGACTTCCTTTATCAAGAACCAGGAGAGCTTGAAGTCTCTCGGGCGATCCGCAACGTGCGGCGGGAAGTCGTAGTCATCCGGTAACCGCACCTTCGCCATGTTTACAAGGACAAAATAGCCGCCTTCCGGGTCCGAGTAGGGTAGGCCCAGTTCGTCCCATATAGCGTTGAACTTGTCCATTTTGGCCTTCATTTCACGCTTGGATTCCTCCCAGAAGTTGTGTGCGTCTGCTTGTTCGAAGCCGATGGCTGTTGCTTCCTGCAGCGGGGACACGCTGGAATAGCATATGCGCGTGTGCGCTGCACTGACGTATTTGATTAGATGTTCGGGCCCGATCAGCCAGCCTACTCTCCAACCCGTGGCATAGAAGTTCTTGCCTCCAGAGCCCACTGTCAGAGTGAGTTTGTCGATTTCTGGGGAGAGGGTTGCGATGCGTGTGAACGGGACGTAGTATAGCCTATCGTACACTTCGTCGGAGAGGATGATAATGTTGTGTTTTATGCAGATGTCGCCGATGGCTTGGAGTTCGTCGCGGGAGAAGACTTTGCCGATAGGGTTGTGCGGGGAGTTGAGGACGACCATGCGTGTTTTGGGCGTAATTGCTTTCTCGAAGTCCTCCAGGTTGATTTTCCATTCTGCGGCTGAGGTGGTTTTGTACGCCCCTTCCTTTGGAGGGTGCATGGGCACGTAAACCACATTTCCGCCCGGCATTTCGATGTTGGATATATACTGGTCAAAGAAGGGCTCGAACACGATGACCTCGTCGCCCTGTTCTAGGAAGGCCATGAAGGCGCTGAGCATGCCCTCGTTTGCGCCCGTTGTGATGGTGACTTCCTTTTCGGGGTCTATGGTGCGGCCGAAGAAGGGTGAGTAGGCGTCTGCGATGGCCTTCTTTAACCGCGGGCGGCCTTTGGTGGGCGAGTACTGGTTGCATTCTACTTTGTCGAGGGCGGATTTGGCGGCGTCTATGACGAACTGGGGAGGGTTGTAGCCGAAGAAACCCTGGCCCATGTTCACGATGGGCTGGACTGGGGAGGCGGCTGCCGCTTCGTTGACGATGGACCTTGGGGTGCTGTTAGACGCGGACTTGACATGTCTGGCGGCCAATTGACTTACCAGACATCTTGCCGCTGTCCTGCGACCCGCGCTGCCGGCTTGAAAGGGTCTTCGCGCCGGGTGGTAGCCGACATGGCTCGCAGAGGGGTGAATGTAGCGGGGTTCTTCAGCACTCTTCCCGGTTTGGACGCTCGTCGTGCGAGGGTAGGTGTAATTCGAGAAGCTAGAGTGGCGAGGGCTATCATCTCCAAGGGAGACGCTAGAGAAAAGTGGAGGAAACCGCCGTGATCCAGGTAATTGAGGCTCGTCAGCACCTGTGAATTGCGTGCTTTGGGCAAACCGCCGGCCGGTGCCGTCATCAACCGGGGTGGCCCGAGTTTGCTCCGCCGAACTCGCCCTGACGCGTTCCCCAGATTTTGGAGCCGTCTAATTTACGCGACGCCGCGCTTGGAACCCGTCCACTCATCCTCCAGCATGGTTTTTTGTCCTGTATGCAACAAGCAAGTCAAAGAAAGCCTGATCAACGAGCACATCGACAGCGGCTGCACCGACCACATCCTCCCGCAGAATGACACGCCCAATCCGACCAGGACGCACAGCTTCTTCACCCCCACGGCCCGCAAGGCTACTACTGCTGCAACCAGCGTTAAGAACGGAAACCCTGCCTCGTCGCCGCCCGCTCCGCCCGCTGCGACACAACGCGTAGAACGCCCGAAGACACCTCCGGCAAATGTTGGGACGAAACGATCTTCCGACGAGGCTGCCGATGGGCACGCCAACGGCGACCCTCACTCGCCGCCGACTCCGAAGCGAAAGAAGAAGCTGAGAGTGTTGGACCATGTTGCGCCTCTGGCGGAGCGGATGCGGCCAACCACGCTCGACGATGTGTACGGCCAAGAGCTAGTTGGGCCAAACGGACTGCTTCGAGGCATGCTCGAAAGCAAAAAGCTGCCGTCCATGGTGCTTTGGGGGAAGTCCGGAACCGGAAAGACGACTATCGCTCGCCTTATCGCGAACCAGTCCGGCTCGCGCTTCGTAGAAATCAACAGCACAAGCACGAAGTTGGATGAAGTCAGGAAGATATTCGCGGAGGCTCTGAAAGATCTACAGCTTACGGGGCGCAGAACCATCGTCTTTTGTGACGAAATACACCGGTTCACGAAGACCCAGCAGGACGCCTTCTTGGGGCCTGTCGAGGCCGGACAGATTACTCTGATTGCTGCTACTACAGAAAATCCTTCGTTCAAGGTCATCAACGCCCTCCTGTCGCGCTGTCGGACGTTCACGTTGGTAGACTTGAGCGAGAATGATTTGGTCAAGATACTAGAACGGGCTATGGAGGCTGAAAACTGCGCATCACCGCTATTAGACGCTGAAATGCTTCGGTACTTCGCATCGTTTTCGGACGGAGATGCGCGCACCGCCCTGAATCTCCTCGAGCTCGCCATGGGCTTGAGCGCCAACCCGTCCATCACCAAGGACGGCATCAAGAAGAGGTTAACAAAGACGCTCGTGTACGACCGCGCCGGCGACCAGCATTACGACAGCATTTCCGCATTACACAAGTCGATAAGGGGGTCCAATGCAGACGCCGCTCTGTACTACCTAGCACGAATGCTGGAGTCCGGAGAAGACCCCCGATACATCGCCCGTCGCCTCATCGTTGTCGCCTCGGAGGACGTCGGGCTTGCAGATAATTCCATGCTATCCCTCGCAACAGCAACGTACGCTGCCTGCGAGAAGATCGGTCTGCCCGAATGCCGCATCAACCTTGCGCATGCCGTCGTAGCCCTTAGCCTCTCACCGAAGTCAACACGAGCATATCGAGGGCTGAACGCCGCCATGGCTGCCTTGAAAGAGCCGGGAGTAGCAAGCTTGCCAATCCCATTCCATCTGCGGAATGCCCCGACCGCTCTGATGAAAGAAATTGGCTATGGTGATGGTTATAAATACAACCCGGATTACCTGGACGGGAGAGTGAAGCAAGAGTACTTGCCCGAGAAGATAAGAGGACGGAAGTTCTTGGAGGATGTTGATTTGGGAACTGTGGTGGATGAAGATCTACTGGACGAGGACACTCTGCGACCGGAGTTGGATGATTGACAAGATTCAAGCTGCCCAGAGTCTTGAACGGCCCGTCTTGCGGTTTGGAAAAGCTTGGATATGTCATTGGAGAAATCGTATACCCCATCATTGGCAGCGCAACCTTTAATTCAATGGAGTTTGGGAAAGGTATTGGTAGCGAAAGGCGTTACTCATTTATTATCGACATTTTTAGAACACATCCGCTTGTCCCCTACCGATTGTGCTGATCCAACCGCAGACTCTGTATGTAAGAACCCGCACGACCGGAAATACATAAACCTACTTACGGGCATCCTACCGTGCTCAAATGATCCAGCCCCCAAACGTTCCGCACTCGCATCCAGCAATAAGGATCCCGAAAAGGTGCCCGAATCTAAGGACTCGCTTATTCACATAAGCCTCGCATTTGCAAGAGCCCGGGGTCGGATGCGAATGCAGTACAATTGTACCAACGCAGATTTGATGTTGGACGACGCCCTCTATTCCAAAACATGGAGGGGTTTCCGTTGATGTAGGTTTTGGCCTTAAGCTGAGCGCGACATATGTTGTTGATACAGCAAGGAGGTAGTTAGCAGCACATAACGCAACGTGAGTAATCTGGATACACTTCCATTATATACATTCTTGCCCCCTTTGCTGGTTGATCGCTCGATTGAATGTATCCTGCTATCACGTTTAGGGTGGATTTCACATCACACTTCGATTTCAGCATAGCGCGCGTACCAAAGGACTGAATATATTGCTATGGAAGACACTATTCGTAAAGACCGAAACCGAGTCGAAGCACGACGCAAAACCGAATCTCAAGAAAAGAGACGCCGGAGAAAAAGCCCAATTTTACTTTTTCAAATGCACTGCTCCACGCTCTCTTTTTCCCCTCTTATCACATCACTCTAGCATCCCGTCCTTCCCTCTCCTCTCCCTTCCCCCTTCCCCTCCTCATCCCTTACTCAACCCCTTCGCACATACTGATCATCCCGATAATATCCCCTCGGCACAAACGGACACTTGCCACGTCCCTGCCTCTTACCGAGTCTAGCCATCTTTTTTCCCTGCTTCTTCCTCTCCTTCACAGCCCTCTTAAGCCTAGCGGCCGGCGTAACGCCTGGCAGTGGTGGCGGCCAGGACCCCGTAACGCCGGGGAGCGGTGGCGGCCAGACGGATGGGATGGCCGGATTGGCAACGGTGACGGTGGCAGAAGTGGAAGGGGTGGTGGAAGAGGAAGAGGAAGGCGCAGGCGTAGCACCGCCCAGACCCACCGGGCCAGGCCAGCTGATATTCGCACCGGATGGGATCACAGGACCCGGGCCGAGAAAGTAGGGGAGAATGGAGGCTGCAATGTTGGTCGTGGAGGATGGGGTGGAGGTTGGCGTGGGTGCGTCTTCGGGGTAGAAGGGGAGGACTCCGTCGGCCCAGTCGTCTTCGGGGTCTTCCTCTCCTGCCTCTTCAGCGCTGCTGTTCGTGAGAGCAGCTGAGGTGTTGAACGGCGGGGCGATGGACGAGACAGGGGTGGCGACCGCTTCGAGCAGATTCTCGATTCCGGTGCCCAACGGCATGTGCATGGCAGGTATCGGGGTTGTGAACGCTTCCCCTGCCTCGGCATCATCCACATCTTCAGCTTCCACGTCGGCCTCAGTAGGCGTCGCCGTGGGCTCCTCAAGGGACGTCTCAGCCTGGTCCGCAGCCTCTTCCGTAGAAGTGGGAGTAGGCTCCTCAACACTCGTAGAATCCGTCTCAGCCGGCTGGTCGCCACCGTCTGCATCCGAGCCCTGCACACCATCCAACAGCGCATCCGGCTGCTTGAGATCAGGGAACAGCGCTGCCACATCGTCGTCAAGGCCCTCGCCTCCATCGCCGTCGTACGTGGATTCAGGAGCGGGCACTGCGCCGGGCTGGGGTGCTTGATTAGGACCAGGTTGGGGACCAACTCCTTGGGCCATTGCTGGGCTCGCCCCACCAGGGGTGGCTCCAAGTTCGAAAGCCGGCCCGCTAGGGGGCTGCGCCCCATGTGCCATTGCAGGACCGCCTATAGGCCCGGGTGCTGGCTTAGAGCCCATGCCACCAGGACCAGGAGCGGGAACACCAGGCCCCATGGGGCGCGGGGCAGGCATCTGGCGTTTCCCTACCCTGGCCTTCGACGCAGTTGCAACCTTCCTAAGCGTCGAGGGCTTGGTAGTAGCCGGCTTGGACGTCAACGTGGGCAATGCTTCAGGCGGAGAGACATCCTCCGCTTCGGGGGAGAGACCCCATGTCTGGTCATAGTCTGCAGGCTCGGCGCCAAAGAGCGCGGAGGCGTCGTCGTCGACGCCGTCACCTGCACCGCCGGTGGCAAAAGTGAAGCCTGGGATGGTTGGGTTGGCGCGGCGCCTCAGCTTTTCTTGTAGATCATCGTCGTCTTCTTCTTCGGGGACGGAGGAAGAGGAGTTGGTGCTGGGAGTGGTGGCTAAGGAATCGTCATCGACATCCGCTAACGGATCATTTTCTTCGTCTTCGTTGCCGTAGGAATTAGATGTAGACTCTTCCTCGTCTGGACCATCAAGCCCATCGTACACGGTATTAGGCTCCGCGAGGTCGGGGAAAAGAGCTGCGACATCGTCTTCGAGACCATCGCCACCATCCGATCCATCGCTGAAGTCGAGCATACCATCGAGGATGTCGCCATTCTCCTCACCATTCGCATTCTCCTCTGTTTGTCGCTTCTCGAAGATCGACAGGGCCCTCTTCTTGATCTTCTTGTACCAGCCGTTCGAGTCCTCATCATCATCGTCGTCATCATCATCACTCCAATCGTCATCACTATACCCCTCATGCCCAAGCAACTTCTCCACCTTCGCCGTCAAATCATCCAGCTTCTCAAGAATCGTGTCAATTACACCACCACCACCATCGTCTCCGCCTCCAACGCGATCGCCCCCAAGCGTTGCGAACCAGCCAAACGCCCTCTTGCTCTTCTTCGCACTACCCTTAACAAGCTTGGGCTCGCACATCATGCCCTCAGCGACATCACGCAGGGCGCCGTACGTCCATTCGATAGGCCCGCCGAACTGCCCGCAAGTGTAGAACTGCGTTGGAGACTTGCAAAGGAAGGTTCCCGGCTTGCAGGGAAGATAGTCCGTTGGGTTGCCGGTGGCGTAGGGCACGGGCGATGTGGGACATGTTTTAGTTGGGTGCTCTGTAGAAGTTGGTTCGGCGGTGGAAGTGGGCTCTTTCGTGGTTGTCGTGTGCGGGGGCCGGGTGTGAGTATGAGTATGAGTCTGCGTGCGGGTCGTGGAGTGTGTGCGTGTGCGTGTACTCGTAGATGTCGGGCGATCTATGCTCGTTAACTTCTGCGTGGTTTGATGGAAAAGAGAAAGGACATACGAGTAGTGTATGGGTGGTGCGTGCAGGTCCGAGTACAGCGGTTTATTTTCACACACCGGTCCGGGAACCTACAGCCCCGGCACTTCCACACTGGGTGATCACACTCATCATCGCTACTATCAGATGAATCGCTCGTGGGTTCGGGGCGCGGTGGCCTTGTATGGCTAAAGTACCATTCCGGTGGCGGCTTGACCCACCTCGTCACCGGTTCGGCGCTGGTGCAATAGCTCCCCTCACCTCCTTGCTGCTGGTGTCTGTGTGTATCTAGACGGTTGACGTTGTAGAAGTCATCTGGAAAGTCGGCCAAAACGTCCGCGTCCGGCGTGTCGGCGAATGGCGCGTAATCTTCTAGTGTTGGGAGCTCTTCGGGATCTTCCAATTCCGCTGGGTCCATGAGATCCCCCGAGTCAATAGATTCGTCATCGACATCCGGTTCCGGCTCTGGAGAGAAGCTCTCCGCATCAGGAGCAGCGGTTGGCTCATCCTCTTCAGAGACTTGACGGCTTGTCAGTTTGTGCTGGAAGGAAGTATCGAAACTCTCACTGTAGTCGTAGTCGGTTCCTTCGTCGAGATTATAGAATTCGCCTGGCTTCGTTCTGTCTTGAGCGGATGTCGACGTTTCCTCTTCGGCCGCATCATTCGACGACTCATCATGATCGATGCCTTCGAGATATTGGTCGAGCTCCTGCTCCACTTCCGAATGGGCTTCCGAACTTGGAGGGTCATTGCTGATAGGAGATTGCGAGTCGGTGTCTTCTGAAGATGGTGTCGCATCACTACCATCGGTACCCTTGGCCGAACTGCTGTCTTGAGGAGGCTGGCCGACGCAGTCTTCGTGCCATCGACCGTCGCCGCAGTACGGAGGTTTCGAGGAACCGCTGCCATCCGTGCTCTCGGTGTTGTGGCTGCTATCGCCACCGTGCCACTGTCCGTCATCACCTCCGGAGGAGCCACCCGAAGATGAGCTAGATGAAGAGGACGAGGACGCATCGCCAGCAGACTTACGTCCAACGCCTGTGCACCTCACGCCGCTGCTGCTGTGACCAATCTCGGCAGAAGCACTCAGGCCGTCGCCATAAGCAACGTCAAGCCCAGGGTCAACAAAGAACGCGTCGGTAGTCTCTTGGACCTTGCAGTCGTTGATCCCGGCAAGATTCGCGACATAGAGGTCTGGCAAGTGGGCCAAAGCTGCTTGGGCGGCAGCGCTCGTACCCTCAGCTGACTGGGCGTCGTTGGTGTCGCGCTTCTCGTATTCTTCAGTGTATTCTCCAGCTCCAGCACTGGCTCCCACAATATCGACCACCGCGCAATTCATGTACATCTCTCGGTTTCCGACTTTATTAAACCTTTGCAGCGTTAGCCAAGAGAGAGTCCCATTGATGATCGCCTTACCAAGTCCACGCCAAAAGACACTTCGCGGTCTGCACATCCTCCGGAATCCTGAACTCGTACGTATCCTCGATCGGACATCCTCCCATGATACTCTTCAACACCTTAAAATGAATCCCATTATCACAAGATAACGAAATCTGGCACGAGCCACCACCATGCGTAGCTCCACCCCTCAACTTCATCTCATACGTCTGGCCCGCTTCGTACGTAGCCACCGAAGTGAGCGGTGTATTCCATTGATACCCCTTGCACGTGAAGTCGCTGCCGTCGGAGTGCAGAGGCGTTAGGATGTTGTAATCCTTCGGTTCATCGGTCCTGTTGCTATGAGGATCACGCAGAGGAGAGGGGTCTGCCATCTGCATGTGGGAGAGAGCTCCCGGGAGCAGAATGGGAAGCGTACATAGCGTACGCAGAAAAGAGTGACGAGTCATGGTGCAAACGAGAGACCATGGGCGGTGGCGCGCCCGGCTCGGGCCATCCCGCTGGTTTTATGGTGGAAAGTAAGGGAACGGTGGCGACCATTTTTGCCCTTGTGTACGCGTTGAATTCCTGGAAGGGGCGTGCCTGTGGAGCTCATCCATCTATTCGGCGCTGACAATGAGTGGCAAGAAGGAGATAGACATTCGAAAAAGCGGACTTTAAAGGTCAACGCAGCAGACATGATCCAGAGTGACGGGAGACGAAAGACATGACGATGATGATTCACTTTCCTATAACTCTAACGGCCTTCCTTCGCAAGCCAGCTGAGGATGTTGTTTGTGTTTCGGACGCCACATTCTTGGATCGCGGCCTTTGGAAACGGAGGAATGAATTGCGAAGCCCTTCATGTGCTCAGCAGCAACAGAGGAAGGGGCTGAGATGACTTGGATTCCAGGGAGCTTTTGTGCAACCCCAAGGAAGCTTCGCAGAGCTTGTAAACATGCGTTGGTCAACAGAGTCACGATGCGAGAAAAACCGCCACTTTCAGCCCGTCAAGAACTCCTCGAGCTCCTTGTCACTCTCCGCCTCCTGCTCATCCCGCAGCCTCTCCTCCTCTTTAGCCAATGCATCCCTTATGAATTTCCTCTGCCTAACTCTGGCTTTCCGTCCCCACTGGCCCACCTTCTCTTCTTCCTCATCCTCCTCATCGCTGTCTCCTACCCCGGGTATCTCAACCTTGCCTTGTCCCCTCAACTCATTAGGATGTATTTCACCGCTCTCCGCCGACTCTTTCGCGTGCTGTTTCTCCTGCATTTTGGCGCCCAGCTTCATGAGGTAGGGACGGAGGAGCGCGTAGGTGCCCACTATCATGACGATGCGAATCCAGCCTTTAGCGTCGAGATTTGTGAAAGCCGCGGAGAAGTTGCGCGTGAAGTTGTCTTTCCACGTCGTGAGGAGCTCGGGGACGGAGGGTTTGGACATCGTGGGTCGCGGAAGCGAGTATCGAATTGAATCCGTAGAGATATGCGCTCGCTGAATGTCCCCTCCGGGAACGGTGTAGACGTCGAGGAGCTGTGGTGCTCTGAAAGCGGGAAGGAATCGCGCGTTGCCCAAGAAAAGGGTTTGGAAGGACTTCAGGTCGCAGTCAGAATAAATAAGCCTTTGAATAGAAGCTTGCACAAGATAGAAGAATAATTATGTCGCTGGACAGTGGAACCTCTTACCTATTCGTTGAGTCGTGGTTGCGCAATAGGACGGGAAACACGGCTGGACCTGCAGTGGGGGAACGTGGAACGCTTCCAAAAGCCCGAAAGAAATGTGACGCTCTTTATACTTCTTGTATCGTCTTAGATATCCAGCTCTGAAATTCGCGCAAGTCTGTGATAGCGACAATTCTCTCATCCAAAATCGCGCTCAACGCTCGGCCAACCCGGCAGCACCGAATTCGCCGACCAATTAGAAGATGGCTCGCCGAATCACGTCCGAGCAACGCGTCCCCCACATTCAACTTCTCCCCACTGCGGACACTCGCAAACAATGGCTTCAAGCGACGCTCTAGAGCGCGAAGAGGTGCGCCTCTGCCCAAACCCTCCCACCCAAACAACAAGCAGCTAAACTCCCTCACAGCGCCTCAAATCCGCGCTCTGGTACTCCATCGGCCAATTCGTCGACGAAGAATGCTTCAACAACAACCTGAACGCAACACCGCAATTCATCGGCGCACTGACCGAACTAGTCTACACGCAAATCGGTACATCCACTCTTGCCCCCCGCCTCAGTCCGGCTTGCACCCTCCCAACCTCACCCCAGCGCATGCACATTCAAGCGCTGACCGCTCAAATCGCACAGCAAATTCCGCCCGCGATCTCGAAGTCTTCTCCAAGCACGCCGGCCGCAAAGTCATAAACGCTGACGACGTCATGCTTCTCGCGCGCCGGAACGAAGCCCTCGAAAGCATTCTGAAGCAGGAACTAGATGAGATGAAGGCGGCAGAGGGACGGAGCGAACCGCAGAATCAACCGAAGAAAAGGGGCCGGCCTTCTGGCGCAGGAGCAGGACCTGGAAAGGGGAAGGGCAAGGCGAAGCAGTAAGGTGGTGATGCCATGTATCATGGCACATTCATGGGGCGTTTGGGCGTTCGGCAATATACCCAGCTGTTATGATACTTAGTGGACGATTATGTGGGTAGGCTTCTGGAGGGAGTCTTCATTATTCAGCCTGAGAGCACGATCGTGAGTACCAACATATCACAGTGCATGGGATGTGCCAAGATCGAATTGATACAAATCATGATTAGGTATTAGGTTCGTAACATATCCAACGCGATGCACTTTATCGCCTGCCAATACTCCACGGGGTGGAAATACTGTGTTTCCTGGTATAACGCGTAACTTTCATAAACATACTGGTCGAAAGGAAAGCCGAGCCCATTTTGGACGCAGACCCAATTTAGATCGACAAACGACATCTCCAATCACCACCCCCCGCCCTACTTCTAGTAGTTTGTGGCAGGTTGGTAGCTGCCGGTTGGTGCGGTGTGGTAGCCACCGTGGAGTGGCTTGTGCGGACTCTCGTAGGTCGCGGAGGTGGGCGCGACGGTGGAGCCAGTATAGGCAGTATCGTGCGACGGGCGCACATCGTGACCAACACCAGGAGCAAGCATACCAGCGGCGGGGGCACCAGCAGACATCTCGGGGTCGCGGAGACCGCCCCGGGTGGTGTGCCGGCGGCGGCGCTGCCAGAACTTGACGCCCGAGCCGCCAGTATAGCCGTTGGCTGGCGAAGGGCCGAAGCGCTTCTCCTTCTTGTGGTGGCGGCGGAGGGCGACTTGGACGAAGGCGGAGACGAGGAAGAGGAGACTGTTATTGTAAGTATACACCCGAAATCAAGGCTCCGCTAACGACTTACGCTCCAATGATGGCGACGGCAAAGCAGGCGGAGTTCATCTCGCAAGCAGATCCCAACGACACCGAATACGTATACTGGTCACCCTCTCCAGCGCTGCCGAAGCCCTGTTTCGAGTCCGAGGGCCCACTCCCGAGCGGAGTGTCCACGTTGCCGTTGCAGCTGGAGGCGCCATCGCGAGTGAGAATGGCGATAGCAATGAAAGCTCCGCAGAACACGATGTCGAGGGCAATGCCAAGGAAGGCAAAGAATGTCTTTCCGCCCAAAAAGCAGGTAAGCAGGACCGCGAAGATGGTGTAAAGAACGGCGGCGCCCGAGAGGCCCTCGACGGCCTTCGTCCAGGTGGGGATGGGAATGTCGCGATCGGCGAGGACGGAGAGGAAGTAGCTGTAGATGCCCAGAATTATGCCGGCACAGCAGAACTCGATCGCATACAGAAGCGTCTGTATGAGCTTCAGCGCAGCACCGCCGAAAGCCATTGTGGGCAAATGTTTCGAAAGAGAAGACGACGAGCTTGCTATTAGGTGAAGAGATGGAGAAGTGGTAGGATTGTGGTAGGATCTGGTCAATGTGGTGTGAAGACGCCCGGCGGCTTTATGTCAAGAGACTCGCGATAATGACGCAGCCTCGTCTCTGCGCGCGAACCCTGTTCCTGCCTGGTCGATCGATGCACGGGCCGCCCGTTTGTGGCTGGCCTGACGTCACTCCCGCGCCTCTGAGCAGTCTTCAGACCAACAAAGTTTTCTGCCCTGGCGCCGCTGTCACACTCCGCGCCGCCGATTGCTCGTCAACAACCACGGTTCCCTCATGATGCCGGAAGAGCATATTAGATCATCGCTCGAAATTGCCCCGGTGGGTGGGGTGGCGTGCCACGAGACGGAGAATCGGCACTGCAAAGCCACGGCGTCAAGCCCCGATCGCAGAGCCACAGCGGGTTTTCCTCATCGACAAGAAGCGTGACAAGGCCAGAACGCGGGCGGTCGGGGTCTACGAACTCCCACAAATCATGTTTCCCTGCTCCGTTAGTCACCCGAGGAGCGCCGAGCCTTGGAGTCGCTACTCACGGCACGCGGCTTGACAAGCTCTTGGCCTCCGACAACACGTGGGACCTCATCCTCCCAGGATGGATTTCAATACTCAATTGGCGCTTAAAAATATCTCAGCTCGAAACAGATGAAAGGATGCAGCAGAGGAAACAGCATGAAGTCGGCCTCATTCCTGGACGCTAGGGTGCTCCCCGCACGTTACCCATCATTGCACATCTGACATCAAGGTGCTCGCTGCTTGAGCTCCCACAGCTTAATTGCCTCCTCCCACCTCCACCAAAATCTTCACTTGATTATCTTTGTCGTTGATCAACGTCTTGAAGCCCTTCTCTTCCACTTCGGTCAGCTTGATCCTCTGCGTAATCATCCCGTGCGGCTTCATGCTGCCCGAGGAGATGGCGTCCTACACCTCGATTAGCGAACCTTCGAGTTTTGAGACGCCGGAAACCATACGATTACTTCCTGGAAGTCACCGACTTGATACGTCGCGACGCCCTGATACCTCCTCTCCTTGAACGTCATGTCATTTGGCGTAATCGTGCAAGGCTTCTCCCAGATGGCGATGTTAACGATGGTGCCCCGAACTCGCGTGGCATGTATCGCCTGGTCTAACGCCGCTTGGACCCCAGCGCAGTCGAAGACCACATGGACACCTTGACCCTCGCAGAGCTCCCGGCAACGCTTCACAACGTCCTCCTTCATCGGGTTTATGATGTAGTCGGCGCCGAAGTTCTTCGCGAACTCTTGTCTTTTACGGCTGACCTCCGAGACGATGATCTTGTCCGCGCCTTTCGCTTTCAAAGCGAGAATGACCGATATTCCGATTGGGCCACCTCCGAGAATGAGCACGGCGTCACCTTTTTTGAATGGGCTGACCTTCACCGCGTGCCACCCAACCGCGAGGGGTTCGATGAGCGCTTAGGAAGTCAGTGATCGACCCCCAATCCATCTTGGAATCACAAACCTCCGATCTCGAGCGGGACATTGTCCGGAAGATGGTATAGCGTCGAGGTAGGCACTACAATGTGCTCTGCCAACCCTCCTCCCCAGCCTAGTCAAATCAGCATAAGGTTAGCTCATTTCCCCCTGGTACTGGCATACCGCTCAAACCCACGAATCCATTACTCCAACAGCAGTTATGGCAGTTTTCGAGGCAAGCCCCACAAGTTCCGTCGTAGATGATCGGCTGGACTGCAACCCTGTCGCCTGGGTTGAATTCGTTCACACCTTCACCGACCTCTTCGATCACACCGCTGAACTCGTGGCCGAATGTCAGAGGAACCGTCTCTCCAGTAATCGGGTGGGGTGTTGTGGGACACAGGTTAGGTCCACCGAGATATTCGTGCAGGTCTCCACTGGACGTGAGCTTCCAGCCTCATACAGCGTCCGAAAACACTCACCGCTTCCACAAATGCCCACCCAGGCTGGACGGAGCTTCACCTGCCCTTTTCGGATCTGTGGGACCGGAATGTCCTCATATCTCAGGTCTCGCTGCCCGTGGAAGCGGACAGCCTTCATGGTCTGGTCGCTGGGCGGGGGTGGTTTATACGCTTCCTGAGGTGCCATGCCTTTCGCCGTGGGCTCCAATGTGAGGTATTGCCAAAGACTGCAATTGCACCGAGAAGGAGCAGGTGGTCAAGGTCGAGCTTCTTTCGTCACGGACCGGCGCCTTCACTGATTTAAAGTTCGGCCTCGCCAATCACCCCTCCGTCGCAGCTGCCGAACATGTTTACTAGGCACCAGTCCTTTACGGCGCATTCTCCTACGATTCGTCTTCCCAGAACGTGCGCGTGGTCAAGACAGCATCATAGTCCTCCAAAAACATCGGCTTCCCCAAATCGGTAATCCATAGTCGATCACCCCGCACGGCGGGGTACAAGGCTGGGGAAGAGCTAGGCCTTGGTATTTTCTCCGGCGGGTCATCCGACGCTGTGAAGAAGAAATAAGAACCTTCAAACTTCGAGCACCACGAGCGTTTGGTCATGGGAGTACCAAACACTGTCAGCCGCCAAGCCAGGCGAGGAAATACCATTTTTGGCAGATCGTGCCTAATGCGGGTCTGCTAGGTCGAGAGAGAGTCCATACTTTACTCAAGAACGCTGAAAACAGTTCCAGGATTTTGGGACACGAAAGAAAGAGCAAGTATAACAAATTCTCGGGCGCTTTTCCAGCGATAGAGCTTCGGAAAGCAGCATCTCGCACAATGAACTAAGATCGGAACTGCCTTCGCGTGGGATGCCGAAGAAAGCCCTTTTTATTGGGCCGCCACCGGAATGAGGGAACGCATACTATTCATGGATAAATTCTTAGTAATGTCGCGGGATTCTCGAGCTTCCCCAGCCGAAAGCGTAGTGACGAAGACATTGCGTTGTAGCTTTTCAAGAACTTATGGGCTACGATGAAATCTCTTCCAGCAGATCACAGGAGGCCAGCCCGACTGTTTTCAGAATTGTCGATACGTCACGAACGGCCCGCACTGTTGACGGCACTGGTGACGATGGCAATCTCCAGACGCGACTACCGGAGACAAAGAATACAGCGGCTCTAATGCGCCCAATCAGGCAGATTGCAGAAAAGCTTGACAACACACCACGGCGGGGACGACCCGACCTTCGTCGGGCGATGATATCAATGGCGGGATTACATGGACCGATTTTTATGGAGCGTGAAATTTAGAGTGAGATGAAATACGAGCGCGTGCCCCTCAACACCCTTTCTTGCCCCTCATCCGATCTGCGAACTCACAACTCACAATATTTTCTCTGCCCACAATTGCACTCAATTTCTAACAGAGGATCTTTTCAACCGCCAAAATGCCTTATCCCGAAACCACTGACGCCTTCACCGTCACCGACATCAAGAATTGGAGCACCTTCAAACGTCAAGAGGTAGGTTGAGAAGCTCCAAGTTTCCGGAATAGCTTTTAATTAAATTTTCAGGTGCCACTCAAAAAGTTCGAGGATCACGATGTTGATATCGCCATCGACGCTTGTGGTGTCTGTGCCTCCGATGTCCATACCATCACTGGCGGCTGGGGAGAAGATATCCCTCTCCCGCTTTGCGTAGGACACGAGGTCATTGGGAAGGTCGTCAAAGTCGGGTCCAAGGTCAAGAACGTGAAGGTCGGTGACCGCGCCGGCGTTGGCGCTCAAATCGGTGCGGATCTCACGTGCGGCAACTGCAAGGCCGGCCAGGAGAACTACTGCCCGAACTCGATCGACACATATGGCGCCCCATATCCCGACGGCACCATATCTCAGGGTGGTTACTCTAGCCACATGCGAGCTCACGATTATTTCACCTTCAAGATTCCGGATGGGCTTGACACGGCCCTTGCAGCACCAATGCTGTGCGCCGGCTTGACTACATACTCTCCTCTAAAGAGGTTAGGGTGTGGTCCGGGCAAGAAGGTTGCCGTGGTGGGCCTGTAAGTTTTTCGGCGAAGACGCAATGGCAGCATGATCTGACAGTATGACACAGGGGAGGTCTCGGCCACTTCGGGGTCTTATGGGCCAACGCGATGGGCGCGGAAACCTACGTCATGTCGCACTCACCCAACAAGAAAGAAGACGCACTCAAGCTCGGTGCGAAAGACTTCATCGTCACCAAGGAGAAGAACTGGGCCGAGCCGTGGAAGTTCCAGTTCGACATCGTCCTGAACTGCGCCGACGCGACGGATCGCTTCAACTTGCCCGACTACTTCTCCACCTGCAAAGTCAACGGCTATTTCCACATGGTCGGCTTCCCCGACAAGCCGCTTCCCTCGTTCATGGCACAGGCGTTCTCTCCTAACGGATGCTATATGGGCGCTTCGCATATTGGCAACCGGCCGGAGATGGAGGAAATGCTGGAGCTTGCGGCGAAGCAAAATATCAAGAGCTGGGTGGAGACAATCGATATCAGCGAAGAGGGCTGCAAGCAGGCTGTTGAACGCGTGTGGAAAAACGACAACGTGAGGTTCAGGTTCACGCTGGTCAACTACGACAAGATCTTTGGTAAGAGGGCATAGACGCCTTGAGTTCAGCAGGTCCCTCACTCAGCTACTAGAAGCTATATCAGGCCCTGGAGAACGATAGCTGTTTTAATTTAATCCATAGACTACAAATAAACTACATTTGCATCATCATTCATCTTCAAAATAAATACTTCCATCGTTGCGCACTAAGTGTCAACTGGTGTGCTCGAATGTGTGGCCATTCACCCCACTATGCACGGACCCGCAAAACGCGTCGCGTCTGCCCCGCCAACTCCATCACACTTTCAAGCTTCAAATGCGCCAACACCTACAATCCTCCCAGAACTCTCAATTGTCACCGGATTGTCGCTCGATTCCATCAGGCACCAGAACTGTTTCGCTATGCCAACAATCCCTCTTCACCCCCGTCCCCTCAACGCATCATCACCGACCGAAAACCCCCTCCCTCCACTCCTCCACACGCCCACCGGCCTCGCCCTCCTCGAGCTCCAAGGCACAATCCACTTCCCGCCACCAACCGCTTCCCCCTTACCTTCGACGCAAGTCGGCAAGCTCGTCTTCCCCTTGTATAACCCCGCGCTCAATGGGCCAGATGACACCAAGTGGATGAAGAGGGTGTACTTTTATGTGGGACAAAATCAGAGGATGACCGGGGAGGTGAAGAAGTTGGGAAAACCCTTTGCTGTTATTAGGAAGAGGGAGACCTATGGGGAAGACGTGGATGTGGGTGGTGTGGAAGGTGGGCGGGAAGGGAAGAGGGCGAAGGAAGAGGTGGAGGTTGTGGAGATTGTGAGGTGGAAGATTGTGTTTTCGAGTCGGCCGGAGCCAGTTGGTGGGTCAGAGGAGGGTGGATGAATAGAGGTTCAAGAGGAAGTTTTCCCGGGTCTCGAATGCTACATCGGTCAATCCGCGCAAAGCTATGCGTGTAAGAGTAGAACACGGGTGGACAGTGAGTAGCAACCTGGTAGGACAACATCCATGGAAGCCTAACGTGTCAAAGCAGACTCCTTTGGCTGTCGGATGGCTCTCAACATGCGGAATACCGCGAAGCGCATCAGCGGACCGTCCCTGACGACTGAACCCGGAATAGACCATCACCAACTCGCTCAGATCTAAGCCCGTATCCAAGAACCCGGATGCGCACTCCAAGCGACGCAACGCCTCTCGAACGCTATCACGAAAAGCTATGTCGTACTCGGCCATCCTAACCCTCCCCATCTCGGCGCCACCTTCTCCGCAAAAGTCGCGTCGTACCACAACCCAGCCTAAAATAAGAAGAAGCTTTAAACTTCAATCTACCTGCTCGTTCTTGTCCCAAACAAGCGATTTCTTATTTTCAGTGACGTTCTTATTCGTCGAGGTTCTATATTCGCTTCCGTCCCCCTGCTATATATTCATCCACTTTAAACGGTCGCCACGGTCCGACGGTTTATATACCAGGTACATTGCGAACACTAATTTCATGCGTCACATGCGCAATACGGCGCTAGAAGCTATGGGGTCTTCGTTATATGGGATCAGGGCGCGTCTACCCTAGACTTGGCTAGACTCGGGCTTGATTGTTGTGATCTTCTTATTCTATCTTTCAGCTTCTGTTGCTTTTGCTTCACAAAAGACAGTTTGAGCACTCTCAAGATGTATTCATTCTCTACGATTATGCTTGCCGCTTTGGCGGGCACTGCTTCGGCGGTTGTGAAGGATTGGCAACAATGTCCGCTCTTAAGATATATCAACATATTCGTTCGTGCAAGGCACTAATCATTCGCAGGCGGTGGAATGAACTTCTCTGGAGACTCCGCTTGCGCGTCAGGTTCAGGGTGTGTTAAAATCAAGTACGTTACGTCTCTTTCTTCCTATTCTCTTCTAACATCGGCCAGCGATTACTACTCCCAATGTCAACCGGGCGCCGCCCCAGCAAACCCTCAACCCGATCCCGCACCCACTGATTCCGCTCCAACCTCCGTCCTCGGTACCCCCACTGCAACAGGCACGCCCGCGGGCACCGGCCCGGGAACCACCCTCCAAAGCGGTTACTACTGGATCCGCGCGGTAGAAGCACCCAACTTCCACAAATACATGCAAACCAAACCCCTGTACTCCACCGGCCCGGCCCTCCTCGGCGACTACACCACCGCGGGCCAATTCCAAGTCGTCGACGGCCAACTCGTGCAACTCGTCTCCGCCGCCGGCGCAAAGCCCGAAACGCTGCTATACGGCATCGTGAACCCGACGCGCCAGATCAACAACATGAGCCTGGCGGTCAGCTTCAGCGAGACAAAGAACACGTACGGCAAGTTTGGATGGCAGGGCGATGGGCTGACGTGGAGCGTGGAGGGCATTACTAGGCCGAATGGACTCGCGTGGTATGTGTGTACCGGGCAGCAGCTTTATATCAATTTGGGCAATTATTTGTATCAGACGCCGAGTGGGTGTGTGGATGAGACGATTCATTACTATAATGATAAGACGGCGAATAACTAGGCGTGGGTGTGGATCGTGCAGAAGCGGACTGCGACCGGGTTGTATATAGGAATCAAACATATCCAGCCGAGTATGCGGTTTACAAATTCGAGAGAAGTGATGCTTTTTATGTGCATGTAGCAACATCCCTCCGGCTCTTCCTCAACCCCACAGCAGCGCCGCGGGCATCAATGAAGAGGGCCAAAAATTCCTCGCCGACCCAGAGGGCCGACGAAAGCATGGTCGAAAATTGTAGTTTTCAACTAGCAAAAAGCTGAGCTCAGACGGGGTCTTCACTGCTGCAGCTGATGCCCTTGCACTTGGATGAGGAGGTCGACTGGGGACCGGGGAAGAGGTGGTTATATAGATATGGATGTGGTTGATGCCTAGCGAGGTGCCGGAGTTGTGTTCGTTGGGGGCAGTTGAGGCGGAGCGGTAGGCAGATAGGGTCACGTGGCCGGGGTGCCTGGAGGCAGACGAGACGGATGCAGGTATTGAGATGAGTCGATCCAGGCATGGAGAAGGCCCTCACGGTGTGGAGATCTCTGGATATAACGACGCACGTAACAGCCACCCTGGAGGTCTTCGCAGGTGCGTACAATAGCATGTACAGTCAGCTGTACAAGCAATCTATCTGTACAGCGAGCCCTTGATCCGGAGAATTCTATACCGCAAGAGGAAGGTTCGGCGCTGGATGATGCGCAGCTGCTGGCATTGCTCGACGGCCGGCGTTGCTTCGGGCTCTGAAGGTCTTCAGGCTAGCGGTTGCTGACAGGAGGACGATTGCTTCGGACTCTGAAGGTTTTCAGGCTGGCGGGTACGGACGTGGGAGAGGACGTTTGCTTCCATCCTCGAACGCAGCCTGGAATGCAGGTTGCCAGTACCTTGGCTCCCGCTGGTGCCCGCCACATGCCCGGTCGCTGCGATGGGGACCCTTTGCATGAATTCAAGCCGCTGCCTGGCCCGCAGCCACGAGCTAAGTTATATGCCCATGCGCCGCAGTATCTCAGGCCCGTATCTCAAGCCTATAGACACCAGGTCCGCAGGACCCGGACGCTCGCGAGCTCGCCCTACGGGCGAGCCGCCTCTGTCCCCCCTTCGAGACCCTTTCCTTCCTTCCTTATCTGAGTGCATGGGCTTTACGCTTACCAGTGATGATTCGGCTGAGGTGCGTTTTTCTAGTTGGTTTGCGATACGGCGGGAGAGAGGCTAGGTGCGTGGTGGTGACGGCTCGGTAAGGTGCGATGCGGCTCAACGTACGGGTCGAGGTTGGAACATAGGACTCGTATCTTTGCTTCTGGTACTAGGGAACTTTAGCAGCGGGACAGAAAGGTGGGAGGGCTCTGCTTGAAGGTTTTGTGTTGGCTAGGTAAGAGATTCTCGACTCTGAAGGCTCAATCCACACTACAGTGGTGGCTGCTGTAGAATGGCGAGAGTTCGCAGCTTCGATGGTGCCGCTCAAGCACTGGACGATGTTGCAATACTGAATCGCCTCTACGAGAGGGTAAAGCGTGCCGTTTAGATACTCATGCGGTGTCGGTCCGCAGGACAAAAAATTCCGCAACAAAGCCGTGACGCAGAGCTGCGGCGTCTGAGATCCTCAACGCGGACCCTATGCAATACTAGGGTTGTCCGCGATGTAATAAGAGATCCATCGATGGGGAAGCTGGAACTTGCATTAGGCGCTGCGACGACAATGGGTTGGATGCCAGACTCACTCTGAGGAACGACCTCAACAAGTTTACCGAGAGACGCGCAACAGCGCGTCGCTTTCAGGGGCATCTTCAGCCTCCAAAGCAGCCTTGATAACTTTGGAAGATAAAAGACGGCGGCGCAGGCAGGCGAAGCCTGCCGTGCCGCCGTCTTGCCCATCGCACTCTTCTTCGATCGTGCAGCAGCGCCGCAGCAATCAATGAAAAGCCAGAAGGTTGTGTCAAAAATTCCCTGCCGATCCGAAGACCAACAGAAGCGGTCATAGTTGTAGTTTTCAACTAGCAAAAACGCTACCTCAGACGAATCTTCACTGGTAAGCGTAAAGCCCATGCACTCAGATAAGGAAGGAAGGAAAGGGTCTCGAAGGGGGGACAGAGGGTTTATATAGACAAAAAGCGCCTAGGCAGAAGCGAGGCGCTAAGAGTCAGGTGACGGGGCACGTTCCGTGCCAAGTCCTCGGCGAGCGCAGAATCCGCGCGGCGGCGTCGGCGGGCCAACCTGCGCTTTCGGCGATTGCTCAGGCTTGCGCCTGAGCATCCTCACGGGTACAGGTCCACCGCCTCTCATACGTAGAGCAGGCCGAGACGATGAGATCTCTTTGAGATGGCGACCCATGAGCCTCGCCGGGACCCGAACAGCGATGACTCCTAAATCGAGTCATCCCCACAGCGCATCTCATCACCGACCTCATCTGCGAGGCTGGCGGATACCAAGCTTAAAAAGAACATCCACTTCATTCTCTCGACCTGCGTGTCAGATTTTCTGCGCTGGGAAATAACTCAGCAGAACAACCCGCTCGGCTGCCGCACCCAAGCGTCGCCACTAGCTGAGCAAAGCACTTCAGTCTTGTGGTCGAAGACGGCATTCAGCAAGCAGATGCGGTGGAGCAAGCCTAATCGAACCTCTCACCGCCGTCTAGAATCCATCCACGGAAACGCTTCTCGTTGTACCAAGCTTGACGGGTGCTCATCTATTTCTATCGACGGCGGCAGACGCCCTCCAGCTTTACCTCCAATTTCGAGATTTTGAAGCAGATACGCTCACGCCTTGCTAGGGCTGTAGCGTCTACGCCAATTGGCTATTCTGACTTCGTACGCCGGAGCCTGGAGGGTTTCAGAACACTTTGCGGAAAGAGGCTCTCCATCGCTCAGACCCGCCAACCTCCACTCGCTCGACCTTCCACGTTGGTGCACTGCCGATCGGAGGTCTCTACCCTTGGACAGACGGAATTAGAGGTGGAATCCGCTCCTATCAGGCCTGGGATTTTAAAAGACGAAGAGCTCACGCCCTCACCGACCACGGGAAGCCGAACCCAGACTAAGACATTGCATTAGCACAACTTAATACCACTTTGTGCGTCAGCCCGTGCTATACGTCCCCAGATAGTGAAGCATGGCACATCAAGCGCACGCTCTGCCATGGCAGACGCTCGCAGACAACTTCAAGTTCGTTTACGCCAACACGAAGTACTATGGACGCACGAACTTATATCCATGTCTCAAGCCGGGCCAGGGTAAACAATTGCAGCACTTCGCGAGGGTATTCGCCCGGCTTATGGACGACTTCTCGGCCCAGGAGCTCGAAAAGTACCCAGACGAACTCACGCCGCCGACGGATGACGAAATATTCATCCCCGATAGCACTGTAAAGCGAATCTCGAAGACAGTGAAGTACTACAAAACACCCAAACCGCGGAGCACCTACTCGAATGAGCCAAAAGAATTGCGACTAACAGAGGCGGAGCGCAAACTACCTTACTGGCTCCTCAATATCCGAGATGATGCCTCCTATCCTAAGGACGAAGTCCTCGAATGCGTCGAGCTCCTCAAAACACTCGTCTCATATGGCGAAATGGAGCCCTTGATGCGGCTAGCCTCGCATCCCGCAGTCCACCTACAGACTATCTGGTCCTTTCCCTATGATAGAGATATAGAACACGGATGGACCGATATCAAGAACTGCGCGCTAATGGCTTACCTCTGCCTCAACATGTTCCTCGTCAAGCCTGAGCTGTACGATCCCGCGTCACGGTCGCAGAAGTTGAATGAGATGAGGAAAGCGCGCTCTCCGGTGTATAGTGGGAGGCAATGTGATTACCGGAACACAAGCTCTTACCAGAAAATGCTGGTGCATTGTACTTTCACACGATCGGACAGCCAGTACGAAGTCTGCGCCCTGCCGCATCGCGAATTCTTTGGCATAGAACGGCACATGATATCGACGCCGAACTGGAATGGACTTGCAAAAGCCCAAGTAGGTTACGGCCCATGGTCCGAACTCCTCGACGCCAAGTACCGCTCCTGGTACGTCCCGAGTGTCTCGGATATCCCCACCGTCGTCTCCATTATGAAGCACTTCGTTCCCACCGAACTCGCTCTGCAGATTCTCGAGCACGCAGACTATACCGCGAAGAGACGAGTCCCCGTACCCAACGACCCTTTGCACAGAGATAACGCAGAGGAACTGAAGAAGTATCTGAGCTACTGCTGGAAGGTCCTAGCGAGAGTGGATATGCTACTAAAGGCGAACGGAAAATGGATCGACTGGGAGTACGAGGTGACGGAGTGTATATACGATCTTTGGGGCGTGCCGTATCCGAAAATGTGCACGACTAAGCAGGCCTGGGAGATCAGCGGGAGGAGGGAGGGAGACATCGACCCCAGTAGGGTGCTGAGGACATTCACATGAGAGATGTCCCAGTTGGGTGTTTTAGACGAAGTCTTATTTTGTACACGTCTTGCGGTACAGTTTGGGGATACTGCGGCTGAGAACCGCCTCAAACACTAGTTCGGCATTCCGAAGTCGTCAGATGCAGAATCAAATCATTCAGTGTCCGGCCGCTAGAAGCCTAAAAATGAATAGGTTTCCGAAGCTCCTTAGGAAGCTGTATCGCAACTCACTTTTCTTCATACAAGAATGCCATGCCATTCAGAGTGGCTCATTCCATATGGTCTTGCAAGTACTGGGATGCATTTCAAACACGTAGGAATTCAGATGATATCCAAACTATACTCTCCGGCATAAGGCACTAGTGAGTTAGGAAGTACACTTCCCGAGAACCGCTGCAGCTTCGGTGCAAAACAAACCGTATCAACAAGGAGCACCGACGAGACTTGTAAGAGGGAATGTTCGCGCGCACAAGCCTCAAGGTTGGAATTCCCCGGGCTACTTTTCCATCCCAAGGACTCAGACTACTATTCTATATGGAGTCTCATTGAAGCCATAATAAATCTTCTCTCGTTTGTAATCATATCGGGATATGATTCTGTATGTAGTTGAAGCAAAGCAGCACCCTTGACAAAAGAGAAGACGCGAGAGATTTGAATGCCGTGGAGGAAAAACGTGATTGAAATGACGGGGAGATAACTCTAGATCACGAGGAGAATGGAGTATGTGACCCGAATGAGCCCAGCAGAGCCGATCTACTCGCGCTCCTACTATCATCCGAAAGGACAGCACAGTGGGTGCGGGAGATCCCGTAGGGTGAAGCGGAATTAGACGCATTGTTCTGTTGAGCACAAGATCCGATGGGTTTGTTTGAATAGGTCACCCTGAAGGCTTTCATCGGACTGAACACAAGAGAGCCCGAGTTCGGATATGCCATCCTGAGGACCTTCGACGAATTGAGGACAGAGGAGCTGGGTGGGCGAAGTGTGTAGTCATTTGCAGTGACTATGGGCATCTCCTGCGAAATCTGAGGCTGCCGATACGGGACCTGGGCGTGCAGATGAGGAATTGGAGAATGCTATAGAGCGAAGCAGCATGCCGCAAAGCAGCACCGGACTTCACGAGATTCGCCACCTCATCCTGTGGAGGCGCAAATCTCGAACCGGCAAGCCGGCAGGACGAAACGCCGGAAAAGCGCGCCAAGCCGTGCGTTGCACTAGTGGGGTCGCCCAGGAATTGCTTTTTCAAGCTCGATTGCCCAACTCGCCTGACGCAACAGCCCTTATGTTCCGTGGATGTCAGACACGCAGGCAGCAGCAGTCCCGCAGTCCAGTAGGCTGTCGTGTTCCACCAAACTCTAATAAAAAAGCGAAACACTCCTGGCCTCCCCGCACGTCACCCACGGCTCATCCCGCCCCATTCTGACCCGCGCACGCCTGGATCGGCTTCGACCACGGTAAACATTCTTAAAAGAGACATCTGTCACGGTGACGAATTTGACGTGAAGGCCTGATGTGCTTGGGAGTCAACATCGAGATCGGTCCCGACGCGGCATCGCACCAGGGAGTATGCGGCTACTTGTGCCCGCGTCCTCCCATTGCACCCGGACAGCCACCTTACGCAATCGTGTGGCTCCCGAAGGTCCGCGAGCACATTCCATACGGGGTAAATAATTCAATTTGGCGGCTTCGTTCCAGCAACAGCGAGTGGGGATCCAGCTTCCTAAAGGCCTTCGGAGGCCTATGTAAATGTGGAGCTGGCAAGGATGTCGGTTCGGCTGACCTAGGGTGGAATGGTGGTAGAGATGACGCTTGCTTAAATCGTGGGTGTGTCTTCTGCATGATTGTTAAACGTCTCGCGCCCCGAGACAGGCCCGCTGATCGGTCGGTCTCTGTGAGGGGGCAGAATCCATCACCTCGCATCGTCATGCAGCAAACCTGTCAGCAACGGCCCACTGCCAGCCGGTCGTCCACGCGGGGTCTGATCAGCGGCAGTGGCCAACCCATGCATGTGCTCCCCGAGATGTCGCAAGGACAGCAACCCGGAGCGCGTTCCAGATTACGGGCGCGTAGACGAAACGTTTATTGCGGTATATGAAGGCACCCATCGTTCCCCGGAGCGACATAAATTGGCGGCCAGTCGTAAATTAGAGACACGCGCAGGCGAGGGACAAGGGAGGCAGGATGCGGTGTAACGGGCGAAGATATCAGAAAGGAGGGTGAGCAGGGTGATGGAGCTGGGTTGTGTGGCTCGGCGGTTTAAGACGCGCCCGGTACCAAATCCCTGGGCGATCGGTGCTGGCTAAATAACCAAATTGACAATGTGAGACAGCGGCGGGTGGATGGTGCGCTACTGTAAGCATGTGTCTCTGCAGCGTGATTATTACTATCGATAGGTTGCCATCCGTGTCCGGCCGTCGTTGGCGGTTGGCTGCTGTGCAGTGTTCGGGACGGACACGAGAGTTGGTAGTACAAAAGTCAGCGGTTGACAGCCCTTTTAGGCGTTTGGACTGCCCTACAGACACACACACACACACACACACACACACACACCGCATCGTTAGTCTGAGGTCTTCAGCTCCCTTTGCGTTGCGAAGGTCGTGCTCTGCTGGAAACGCAAGGAAGAGGCGGACTGGAAACCGAAAGGCCATAACCCATCGCTCGGGGTCGACCCGGTCCTTCTCCGAGACGCGACGGAAACCTAGTTTCGATAGTGTATTTTTGGAGACGCGCTCTGAAGGGGGTGTTGAGAAGAATGAGATCCTTATTGATCCTCGCCGCGGCTGGTGCTGTTTATTTGTGCCAAGGCGAGGCTGAAGGGCAATTGCATAGCATAAAGTTGCCGGGCTGATCGGCCAGAATGCAGAGCTCATTTCACGCAGGATGCCACCTCGAGGTCGTTTGCGCGACGGCGTATCCCTCACAAGGAAGGCGCCGTAGTGGGCCGGGGGGGAAGGTTACACGGTTAAGGCGGCCCACGGCAATCCAACCCCAACAGCCCTACAGGAGATAATGCGCGTTCCGCATCAGTAGCCCTGGAGCCCTTCAGTTCCCTCTGCGTTGCGGAATCCGGCTTGAATATTCGCTGGGCCACACCGGACCATGTACTTTGGTGGAGAGAATGGTTCTGTTACGGCTCGCTTCGCGGCACTTCGGTTCGTTTATGACGCGCAGCCCTGACCCCCTGGATCCACTCTGATCGTTCGGCCAGCCATATCGTCTCACGTGGCTGCGGGTTCGCGAGGGACGCCGAATGCTCCCAAAATGGCGTAGAGGGTTCCAGGGCTTGGCGGACTGGTCCGAGAACAGCGGTCGCCGAAAAGGGTATCGGGCGATGCGCCTCTCATCACACTGTCGTCTGCGGCCAGCAGCAGACACGGCGCTGCAGAAAGGCAGGCGGCAGCTTGTTCCGCCAGAGGAGCACGGCCAGACCCGAGGAAGCACCCCAGGGGCCAGGTACTGCGCGCCCCATGCCGGTCCTGTGTCCAAAACGACGCGGCTGCATGCTTATGCGCCAACAAATCACCGGCTCTTGTCAGATTGCACCCAGCGCAGGCTTGGCCGGCCGTGACACGAGCTTTCTGCCGACGCGGGAGCGGAGAGGCAAGTGCGTCGGCGCACGGGCCCGCGCCAAGACCGCCCACCGGAAGCTTGCGACGGCGACGAGCGATGTGTGGAGAGACGTGAGCGGCTTGGCGCCGCAGCGCTGCAGATCTGGTCCCATCGTGAGGCACTTTCATCCTCCACCGTCTCGTGCGCGAGTGACGCTGGCAGCCAGCCACCCTGCGCACTGCACACATGCCCGGGCGCCTTTTGCCCCCGTTGAAGCCGTTTGCCTGCTCCGAGCACGCTCGCTGGCCGCGCCGCAGTCGCCTCGCTGGCGCGGATGCGCAATTGTTCGATACCTGGGTAGTCGAGTGTCGCCGCAGCCCCTTTTGCAGCCGCCCTCCCAGCCTCCTCGGCAAAGGATATACACCGTAATAATTGCTGCTGGCAGAGGAAGGCCCGGTAAGCGGGAAGCTGAGCGATCTGCCCCATAGGGCAGAGGGCAGATCTGACTGGCCGAACGCGTTATCTCAGCCTCTCAGCTAACCCGCGCGCAAATGAACCCCCGCAGCCGCGCATCCAGTGTCTTCGCAGCGCGCAGCATACTTGGAACCGAAGGCTTTAATATACCCGTGGGCGTCGACATCGGTGGACTGACGCTAGAGACGGACCTAGAGAGGGCCGGTGGCTGATCGGGGGCGTGCTGTCACAAGAAGGAAAAAAATACACGATTCGACACCACTCGTGTCCAGCCTTGGGAACTCGCCCCATCCCGCTCACACGATGTCGTACTGCACAGGATATCAAGCAGTTCCGTACTGCTGTTCTCGGGATCGTGGCCACAGGCCGAAACGTCCGAAGAGGCTCCGCTTCGCCTGCTGCAGCTCTGCATGTCTTCTTCGCCCAGTTGTGTGTTTCCACCCCCACAGCTTTGACAGAAGGAAGACTGCACCAGCCTGACTCATTCTTGAAGGCAGGCCCGGCGTCCATCCGGAAGGGCACAGAACAAGGCGGCAGGAATGCCCGGGCGGCGCCACGGAGCAGCTCTGGCAGGTGGCAGGCAAGGGAGGGCGGCCCCCCAGCGAATGGCGGCGGGTGTGGAGGTGTTGCAATCGGCTGTTGTGTGAGGGCGGGCCAGGCGTGCACTACCGCGAAAGTGGCTCGGTGGCTTCGCTTGGTTCGACGCCTTCTCCCGCGCCTTCGACCGGGGCCAGGATCAGGGCTGTCCGCAAGCGCATCTTGGCTAACAGACCTCAAAAGGGCGCCAAGATCTGGGTAAGGGTTCTGGCATCGCGGAGAGCGTTGTGGTGGCCGTAGCCCTCCTCGCCCTGCTGCTTCTCCTGCTCGCTCCCTCCTTCCTCTCGCGCGCCCTCTCGCCTCAGCCGTCCACCCCACCACCCGTCCCTTCGCACACCATCCCATCACGCCTTCTTCACACCCGCAGCCGTCATTGCGCCCGTCGTCCCTCCGTCTTTCTGCTGTCTGCCCTGCGGCGTGCTCCTTAGCGCGCTGCTGTCGTTCTCCGGAGTCGGGTTGGCTGCCTCCCGCTCGACTCGCCGTCCCCACACACAGTACGTCGACCTGACGCGTTTGACAGCAGCCCCCTATTCGAGAGGCACCTCTATGCGACCGCCCAGACTGACCGCGACGCAGACTTCGACCGTGTCCGCTGACAGCGCCCGACCCATTGTAGCTTGCCGGCTCACGTCGCCCGTCTACCGTTCCACTGTTGTTGGCCCACTGATATAAGGCGCTCGCCCTGCGTGCACCTTGTCGCTCATGGCGAGCCACCAGCAGCCGTCGCCCACTACGGGCATGCCGCCGCATCACGGCGCTCCGCATCTCGGGCATCCGCAGCCAAACGGGCATGCTCCACAATTGAACCAGCCGAAAACACCATCGCAGTATCTTGCACAGCTGACAGAGACCGTGTGGAATCAGATCGGTATGGCACCCCGCGGCTCCGGGCCCCTCCCCGTCCCCACATGCTAACGCGTCGCAGGCTCCCTGTCGGAGCAGATACAGGACCTCGATGGCGCCTATCAATGCTACGAGCAGGCCCTCAAGTACAATCAATGGTCTGTGCCTGCTATGCAGGGCATCGCGTGCATTCTGCGCACCAAGGACCATTTCCCGCAGGCCGTAGAATACCTGCGCACTATCTTGAAGGTCGACCCAGCCAACGGGGAGGTCTGGGGCAGCCTTGGTAAGCTTTCTAGTCTCTTGCGAAATATAAAGCAAAGCCTAGGCCTAATCGCGCGCAGGCCATTGCTACCTGATGATGGACGACCTGCAGCAAGCATACACGGCCTATCAGCAGGCGCTCTACCATCTGAATGATCCAAAGGTAAGATGAAAGAAGCTCCCATATTGAATCTATTTGATTAACAGTTCATCAGGAACCAAAGCTCTGGTACGGCATCGGGATCCTGTACGACCGCTATGGATCTCTCGAGCATGCCGAGGAGGCTTTCTCTCAGGTCATGCGCATGGAGCCCAACTTCGAGAAGGCGAATGAGATCTACTTCCGCCTGGGAATAATCTACAAGCAACAGCAGAAGTTCAATCAAAGTCTAGATGTAAGTTCGCTCCCGATCCAGCTTGCGTTTCATCGCCTAATCCCTTTCCAGTGTTTCAAATACATCGTCACGAACCCGCCCCGTCCGCTGACGGAAGAGGACATTTGGTTCCAGATCGGCCACGTCTACGAGCAGCAGAAAGAGGTGCGTTTTCGCCTAATGGTCTTCTACTATTATGCTAACGTCTCGCGCAGTTTGATGCTGCAAAGGCCGCTTATCGCCGGGTGTTAGAGCGTGACCCGAACCATGCGAAAGTGCTTCAGCAGCTAGGCTGGTTGCACCACCAGCAGAGCACCAATTACGCTAGTCAGGAACAGGCTATCGAGTACCTCGAGAAATCAGTGGCTTCCGGTAAGTCCTCTTGTCGTCCCGAGTCGGTCATGTGTGTCGGACTGATTGCTCTCTTCAGATCAAACGGATGCACAAAGCTGGTACCTGCTGGGACGCTGCTACATGTCACAGCAGAAATACCCGAAAGCCTACGAAGCCTACCAACAGGCAGTGTACCGTGATGGCAGGAACCCGACCTTCTGGTGCTCCATCGGAGTACTCTATTATCAGATCAATCAGTATCGCGATGCGCTCGACGCGTACTCCCGCGCCATACGACTCAATCCAAACATCTCCGAGGTCTGGTATGACCTTGGCACACTGGTGGGTTCCCCATGTCGACCCTGCCCCTCTTCTCTTTACAGCGCAGCTAACCATGGAACAGTACGAGTCCTGCAATAATCAGACTGCGGACGCGCTCGACGCGTACCAGCGCGCCGCAGATCTTGACCCTTCCAACGTCCACATTAAGGCTCGCCTTCAGCTGTTGCAGAACGGCCAAACATCAGCTGGCGTCCCCAACCAAGGCAGCGCACCAGTCCCACAAGACGTCCATCCCCAGGCATACCAGCCCGCTTCCATTCATGGGCCGGCGGCCCCTCAGTGGGGAGCTCCGCAACCCCAACAGCCTCCTCAAGGCCCCGCTCCGCCAGCATTAGGAGCTTCAGGGTGGGATCGTCCCTTAGCTCAAATCCGCGATCCGGGCCTGCCTCCCCAGCAGCTGAACCCTTATGACCAGCGGGAGGGCATCCGTCCTCCCGCGCAGCATGCTCCTCAGCGACCGCCGAGCCCAAGACAGGAGCCCATGAGGCCATACCAGGAACCATCCCGACCGCCCACTAATGGACCAGGCCCTACCGGTCCCACCGGTCCTCCTGGGCTTCCTGGACAAGGGCCAATGCGTCGCGGACTTTCGCCGTCTCCGAAGACTCACCATGTCGCTCCGAGCCCATATCACCCTCCTCCTCCACAGCTCACCCCTCAACCTTCTCAAGCCCAGCCGCAGCTCCCGCCTCATCAGCAACAACCGCAGCAGCCAAACCGCATATCCAACCCTAACTATGGTCCTCATGCCGGTGGTGTGCCTCCGCCTCCTCCACCACCTCCTACTGGGTTGAACGGCCCACCCGGACAAGGCCCGAGCCAAGGTCCGCTCCCGCCATATGGGCGTATGGGGAGCCCACCTCCTGAAGTTCGTCCAATCGTGGAGAACAGGGCGGGGACTCCTCGCAATGGATATCAAGGACCGTATCAGCACCACCCTGATCCTTCTTCTGCGGGTGGTATCGCTAGTGGCGCACCGCCTCCAGCTTCTGCTCTAGCGGCGGCGGAGGCAGCAGCGCGTGAACGTGAGGACCGCCCTCCGACCGCCCCGCCAAAGCGCCTTCGAGAATGGGAGGATAACGACCATCTTCCCAAGCCCCCGACGAATGACGAGAAGCGCCAGAAGTTGGAGGAGCCGCATAGCCGTCGCCCTTCTCCTCCACATCGTATGTCATCTCCACAAGTGCCTCGCCACAGCCCACAAGATGCGCCTGATCCTCGTCGTTTCAATGATGGGTACCACCCGTCGGAGGCTGCTCATCATCCTCCCTCGCTACCCCCGATGAATGCGGCGCAGCCGCCGTTGCCCCGCATGTCGGAGACTCCTAAGCAGGAGCGTCCTGAGCACCACGAGCCCGCGGCTCGTCACATGGACGTGGACGAAAACTACGACGATGAAGGCGAGGAGTCCAAAGCAAACGGGCCCAAGTCAGAACGCGAGAGCCCACGCAACCCAGCGACCAATGGCCTCTCTCATGCACCTACTCCTGTTGAGCAGAAGTCTTAGGCAGACCTGACCAATTTGAGCGCGAACCCAGATTTACGAGAAAACAAAGTGAGCTTAACATTCATTCCAGGCATACCAAAAGCGTACGATGGCATTTCAGGAAGGTGGAACGAGTCACGGATGGTTACCCCGTGTCCTCCCATCACCCCTTCTCCCGCCCCTTCGTTTGATGGCTTAGACAAGGGTGACTGTCTATAAAACGTCGGACACAAGATACACACCCTATAATTACCAAATCTCTGATATTACGGCATTCTTGGAGGGACCGGTATACACGAGCGGAGGGTACAGGTTCATAGTTACGGCGTGTTCAGGCGAAGATATCTATGGCGGGTTGCGGAATAGTTATTGGGAAAGATGATATCCGAGTTGGAGGTTGTTCCTTTCCTCATCCCTTCTTATGTACAGTGTGCATCCTCCATTAATCTTAGTTTTACGAGAAATAATGAGAATGATTCATCCTTAGAGCATTCACTTCCTACCTGATGATTCCCGGTGTAGTGAATGGGCTGGAACTCTTGCAACGCTTGATTCTGTCTGCTTGATATCGGAACCGCACGTAACAGAAAAGGTATTTTTAGTTTGTTTGCTAGATAAAGTGCTGATGGGCTCTATTTTCGTGTTAAGGTTGTTTACTCCTGGCCGGGGAATCGGAGCACCGGTCTTGTGGGGTCTGGCGCCGGCGCGCTCACGAGATCGCCCGCATCGCAGCTTGCATCGTGCATGTTGCGTCATTGGACATTCAAAACGATGACCAAGCTCCGACAACAATTGCTATTGCTACGTGCAACGCAGACACCGCGCTATACGCAACCCCTCGGCAGACCAAAAGCCACTGAAGTACTTCGGGCTCAGCAATCCTCGCTCCATAAAAGCTTTACGCCGTCGACCTGCGAAAAGCTACCAGCGCATCGACTCGCCCCGTCCCCCACGCTACCACCAACCTCTGCCTCCTCGAAGTTCCATACGCACGCAGCCAGAAAAATGTCCGACGCAGACTACGCCGCCTTCCTCGACAAGGCGAACCAGGATACCAGCGGTGGAGAGGCAACTACACAGAGCAAGAAGGTGGGCACGAAGAGTGTGAACACACAGGTGCCGAGCGCGCTGCAGAGCGTCGAGGAGTATTATACTAGCGATGCGGACGAGCCGTTCGAGCCGGTTGCGCTGAGCTACTCGGGGGATGGGATATCAGCTCGTAAGTTCGTCCCTCTCTTCGTTGGGAGTTGGGCCGGCTGGCGAAAGGGCGTTGAGGGCTTTACACGAGGGAGACCGATGGGCATAAGCTAACACTTTTGTGCAGAGCAGCTCAAAACTTTACTAGGCCACAACGCTGAGGTCGAAGAGATCGCCGTCAAGGAGTGGGATCCACAGGGGCAGTACGCAAAGGTGGTTGAGGCGGTTAAGAAGGTGGGCAGTGGGGAGGTAAAGGTGTTTAGGGTGCAGCATGGTGGTACACGGGCGGAGTATTATGTGGTCAGTCTAGATGAGAAGGCGGGGAGGGTAGTTGGTCTGAAGGCACTGAGTGTGGAGTCGTGATTGGGGGTTGAGGGACCTCAGGCTGGTGGTGACGAAGGCCGGATGGGAGGGCTCTGGCGTCTCGTGGGGATGCATCATCAGCCCCGGGGAGATACACGCTTTGGAATGCAAAAGGGCGTTTAAGGGTCAAAAGACCTTCAGAGTCTAGTTCACGGAGTCACAGCTTGGGCTACCAGCTCCGGGCTACGCCGTGGGAGCTCAGGGTTTTCCGGAGAATATGATATTGAGTCCACATGACCCTCCACCAAGTCTTTTCAATATTATCTCAGGCACGATATGGCTACGATGTTCTGGAGCCCTCGCATGTTCCAGAGACCTCGTCAACTTGGTTCAACTGTTTAGCCTGAGAGCTGAGGCGAGCACTCTGAAGGAGCGGACCCTGTGTGACGTGTCGAGCTTCGGAGAATACCTGGAACGCCGTCAGGGTCCATCGATAAACTGTCAGCAGCCGGAGTGATGATAGCGGATGGAGAGGCCACATGCCAGCCCAGTTGCCATGGCATCGAGCTGCGGCGTTGCGTCGTGATGTCATTGAACTATCCATCCGAAGCTCCAAGCCGAACGCGACCCAGCTCAGCTCAGTCCAGCTCTACAGAATCATCTGCAATTACTCTGACCCCATCTACCTGAAGTCTCTCAGCTTCATCTTTGCTAGACAAAGGCGAACCCCGACACTTGAAGCTCTGCCACAATCTGTGGCTCATGCTCATTCGCCCTTCGGCGGCTAAGCCGAGATTGTAAAATAGCTGAATCCACCAATGGCTTTCAAGCCTCGGCATTATCGAATCAAATCTCGGGCGTTTCTCCTGCGTCCGATTTTCTGTGGGACCCTGACAAGCCTGCCACGGGATACTCGCCAAACCGGTTTTCGTGCGCTGTTGATGGCAGATGATGATTTGCGTTCCTGGGAAGTTCTGAGACAGGCGATAAGATGGGCGGTAGGGTTTTGATTTGATTGGGGGCGGGCGGAATGCTGGGTGGGAATCACGAGTGCAGCGATGATGGCGAGGCTCAGGACCACCTACTGTGGTGTTGGAGAAGGGGATGGGGAAAGGTGATGGCGAATGCTCGAGGCGAAGGATCAAAGGCCGTCGCCGCTGGATAAGAGCTCCTTATCGTGATCGGACGGATCTCGTCACGAAGCTAAAAGGATCTCCAGGATGCGGCGTTGAGCCCTGGGGTGCCTGGCACTGGAATACGAGCGTTAGATCGCACTGCAACGACACATCGATGCACGAGCAGGAAGAGCGTTGAGGGCAATTATCGATGATGGGGGGAGGGGAAGGCAGTGCTGGATAGGGGATTATTATATGTGGTGCGCGACGCGTAACATGGAGAGAAGCATCGTCCAGGGACTTTCAGGAGGGCGGCCCAGGCTAGCTTAATTAAATGGTGTCTCCACAGATTGCTGAACGGGCGTAGACTCTAGAGGGACGGACTGAGGAGCGAGACGGCGGATTTTTATAGATATTCGCGATGCAAGGAGTGAGATACACAATATTGAAGAAGTCACTACGGAAGCAGACGTGGCGGCTGCATGGCGGTGGATGAGGCTGGCGGATGGCCCATCTGCAGCGAGGCGATATTGCCTTCTGGAATTGGTCAGGGGCAGCCGGCACAATGACCGCATGGTATAGCACGGCCAAGCATACAGCCAGGACGTGTTTCGAGCGGCCTCAACGGCCGTTGGCAGGCTGCTCTCGGCGGGCGATGGCATAAAACGGGTGTTGAAACCTGCTGCTCGCGCGATGACATCTTCGCCGCAACGCAACAGCTAGCGACGGCGAGTTTGGCCACGGATAATTTTAGCAGGGCCTCTTGCAGCATCCACCTGCGTAAGCCGTACCAGGGCCCGCCGCATTGCAGGCGCCCCCGTCGCGCTGATTGGGCGGGCGGCGGTTGAGCGTCGAGATCTCCCTGAAGGCTCTTTTCGGGTCCTGGGCGGTGGTCAGGGCAGGCACGCCCGCTTGTCGAGCGCGCCGTCGCACCGTCTCCCAGCCGCTTGCCACTGCCACCCGTAGCCAGCGGCTGTTGTGCCGCAATTCACTCGCTCTCTCTGTTCTGCACACTTCAAACACGCAGCCATCCCGCCTGCCGTCGTCTTCACCCCGTTCGCTGCCCTGTGCGCCTGCTCTGCCCTCCGCGTGGACGACAAGGTGCGCCAAGCGCCTGTGCAGCGCGTTCCTGGACACCCCCAATCTGGACAGAGCGCTCCGCCTCCCCTTTGCCGTCCACCCAGTTTCCTCTCCTCGCGACGTCTCTCTGCTCCTCCACACCAGCAGCGATACCGAGCAGCATTTGCAGCTGGCCCAGGGGACCGCCCAAGGAGAGGAATTCGGTCGAGCGACTGCCCCCGTTGCCCCGTCACCGCCCTGTGACCTCTGGAATTCAACGCTCCCATTGCGTGCCGCAGCCTACAGACAACACTCGCTACACCGTCCGCCTACCTGCCCCCGCCCTGGATCACTCCTAGCCTCGCCCGCTTAGCATACTCACCCTATACATTCGCTCACAATGTTGTCGCCGCAGTCGCCCAGGGGGGACGGCCCTCCGCACATACGGTTGAACTCTGGCACGCAAGACGCCTTCGCAAACCCGTCGCCTGCAGTCCGGCCAAGCACCTCCCGCCAGAACTCCTCACGCTCATTAACAGCGCCCGTCCGCCCGGGCACCGCGCCCGCGAGTCCTGGCCTTCGGTCCCCGCCTTCGGTGCCCTCGCTGTATCGCAACAACGCAGTCGCACAGGAGTCGGCAGAGCACTTGCTGCCGCCGAACAAGTCACGAGTACGCGGCTACCGGGACGAGTCGCCTCTGCGGTCGCCGTCTGCGCTGTCACGGCGGACAAGCTGGGGTTCAGAATCAGTGGGGAGCCGTGACTCCAAGATAGGTCCGTTTGCCTCCCCCTTCGACGACTCGAGAGCGCCGTCACGCGCGGGAAGCGACGAAGACCTCAACACGCAGACTGTCTCGGAGAAGTACAACATTCTGCCATCGGCCGGCCTGCTGCTGTTCCCCGAGGATGTGGAGAAGGACGACTGGTTACACAACCCCGATCCGAACGAGAAGGAGAAGCGGGAATGCGACATTTTCACAAGAAGAGGCATAGTCAATGTGGGCGCTCTGGTGCTCCTCACCTTAGGGATACTCGTATTGTTCATTGGCTATCCCGTACTGTTCGTACCCTCCCATCCCAAGATTTCGATATGGAATCGGACTGACCATTCCGCAGGACCTTCGTTCACGTCATTACTCAGCCTGAACAGACGCCCTGCACGAACAACCCGCTATGCATAGAAGGCAAGGAGAACGAGCCGCTGTTGAAGAACATACGTACAGGTCTCATTGATCCCGACACGCCTGACAGCGCTATGACTCGGAAATCGCACGACGGTACGAAGCAAGTCCTGGTATTCTCAGACGAATTCAATACCGAAGGGCGCACGTTCTACGATGGCGACGACCCTTTCTTCCAGGCCGTCGACATTTGGTACGGCGCTACGCAAGATTTAGAGGTGAGTTCAGAGACATGTGCGACGGCCGAATAGCCCTGACGCTTCACAGTGGTATGATCCAGACGCAGCATCTACCGGAAACGGAACGCTTAACCTCAAGTTTGACCTCTTCAAGAACCACGGTCTCAACTACCGATCAGGCATGGTCCAGTCGTGGAACAAGATGTGTTACAAGGGCGGCCATCTGGAGGCTAGTATTTCGCTTGCTGGCAGCGGCGAGGTGTCTGGTTTCTGGCCTGGTTTCTGGACCATGGGCAATCTTGCTCGTCCTGGTTATCTCGGATCCACCGAAGGGCTATGGCCTTACAGCTACCATAACGAGTGCGATGTTGGAATCACTCCAAATCAAAGCTCGACCGATGGCATCAGCTACCTGCCTGGAATGCGATTACCTGCATGTACATGCAAAGGCGAAGACCACCCCAGCCCCGGCAAGTCGCGCAGTGCACCCGAAATCGATGCCTTGGAAGGCTCCGTCATCTACCTGGGTCCGGGGCAAACAAATCCCGTCGGCTCCGTCTCTCAATCCTTCCAAGTGGCTCCTTTCGACATCTGGTATCAGCCAGACTACGGTAAGTGCTCCAACCTCCCACATACATGATTGCGCTGATCATAGCCAGATTTCGTCGAGCTTTATGACCAGCGAATCACCGAAATGAACGCTTACAAGGGTGGCCCCTTCCAGCAAGCCTTCTCAGGGCTGTCAAATCTGAATAACGACTGGTACGATGGCAAAGCATACCAGAAATATGCATTCGAATACAAGACGGGCGATGATGGGTTCATCACTTGGTATGTCGGCGACGCACCCACATGGACCATGTACGCCGATTCCATCGGACCGAACGGAAACATTGGCAAGCGCGTGATTCCCGAGGAGCCTATGGCTGTCATCGCCAATTTGGGCATGTCGAACAGCTTCGCCGCTATCAATCTTGAGGAGATCGCCAAGCAGCTACCAGCTACTATGCGAGTCGACTATATCCGCATCTATCAGGATGAAGGCAGCGAGCAGATCACCTGCGATCCTGAGGGTTATCCTACCACCGAGTACATCAGGAAACATCCTGAGCCATACAACAACCCCAATTTGACAGATTGGTATGTCAAATTCGTGGCAGTCCTAGACACTCAAGTTGCTAACTACTCGATAGGAAAGGAACCGGTTTCGATTGGCCGAAGAACACGTTCATGGATGGCTGTAGTTGAGCGTCAACTCGCCCGCCATGCAACATTTCTTCACTCTCCTGTTTATCGCACGATCACCGGATTTCGATACCCTATGTCTACCTAATGTGGCCACGGCGACGACGTTACCAAAAATGGACTACCGCAAAAGCACCTAATCATAGACGTTTCTTTCCCTCAGCTGGAATCAACTCGAGCCATATCGCGTTCACGAACGCGAATTTTGAAAGCATTGTACGTTGGAATGCATCTGCATCGGAGTCGGCGGACGGAGTTACTCGGCGTTTTATATACGACTCTATTTAATCCCCAATGTTCTTCTGGCAACCTGCCTACGCCGCATGGGACCGTTCTGGACACCGCTCCTATCCGGACATGAGAATCGTTGCTCAGTCGGTTCCTTCCAGTAACGGCTTTCCAGCGTTTCTCATTTACACTGGGTTGGCTATCTTTGCCGCTGACCGGTCTTCTACCTATCGCGATACTATTTACGGCGCCGATTGTATATCACGGCCTTCTATGCATCGCTGTATAAATCCGACAACATCTGTGGGCTTCTCGGCTTCTTCTTGGGTTGGACTGGCGCTGACCTTGACCCTTTTTACTAATAGCTTATTTTCGTCGGGCCTCTCTATGCCCCGCTCTTTTCTGTCGTTTCAGTCAAGCACTTCTAGAGCCTTTTCGCACGTCTCGTCTTTCCTGCAACAACCCTCTCCCTTTTGGTCAATTGGCGGTTCGTCCCTTTTGTGCGTCTTTTGGCGCATGTTCATGGAGCTCCTCCAGCAAAGAGTTTTGGGATCGGTTCGAACGGAACGCATGGAATCAAGTATTCGGAGGTTTGTCTCTGATGTTGTCTTTTGGTGTTTTGGTAATGCTTAGGAGGGGAGGAGGCGTGGGGAGGATCAGGGCCGATGGGGATGAAGAGGGGCCCATCAAGCAATGGGGAGAAGAAAGTGGAAGTATGGATGATATCCAAATATTGAAAACTGTTCAAAAAGCAGCTGTGTTCCCTTTCGCATGTGAGACTATTCTAGCAATCGCCAATCCGAAGCTAGAGGACTACGTCGAACTTAGCAAAGTGAGGTTTCCGCGGAACAGGACATGCTCGAGCAAAAACCGAACGTCGTGTTGTGGACCGGCCCGCAGCTTGAGCCTTGTGAGCCCAGAGACGAGAACGAGATGAGATCTTAGCCGGGCGATCGATGCCGTCTCTCGCGTTAAGTAAAAAGTAGGCAGTAAGGCCCAAGCGCCAAAACTATAGAAAATAGAAGAGAAATCGTATATTAGCGTAGTTTTCGACTTTAGAGCATTCTACAACATTTATTTTAGTAATAGAAGATCGTAAATAGCTGTAGAATAGCTGTAGAATAGCTATACTAGTTATCTAAAGTCGCGCAGAGTCGTGAATTGGGTGTGGCGTTATTGCCCACTTTCAACTTTACGCGAGAGGCCGTGTCACCAAGAATGCCTAAAGAGGGAATCGCCAAGAGATTAGATGTGGATTGGCAATATCTCGTTCCTCGCACCTCGGAAGGGCTTGTTTTGGGAACCTTGCACGCTGATAGACGGCTGTACCGTACATCCAATCTCTTCTAGCGGTATTTAGGTATATGAGGGTTTCGGAGTGCGAGAGTTGCGTGGAGAGCCGGGCGGCAGCGGTAGTGGACGCTACAGCGTTTGAGAGCGCGGTGCGAGGTGCGAGAGCGGGGGAGAGGTATAAAGTATGAGGAAAGGTAGGTTAGGAAGAGGTTTTAAATGACTTTTACCCTACAAACGTCTATTTTTGAACTTCTTCTCTTCGTCTTCCTATCTTGGATATATTGTTTCGTCACGCTATGGCTCCGTTGACGATGCTTCATGCTGCACTTTATATCCCTTATACTCTTCTTCGCATACCCTTTTGTTCGCTCGTCTATCTTCTTCCTTTGTTTCGTCAACATCGGAAATGGACTTGGCAGCAGGCGATGCGTGTTCGGCTTTTCAGGAGTTTTATCTGTGTGGTTGGTTTGATGCGGCTCGCTCCGCCGATTAGTATGCAGCCCGGGAAGGAAGGGCAGAGATTCGTGTTCATGCAGCCGGCGGAGGAAGAGATGTATGTGGGCATCTTGAGGTGCGATAAAGTATCAAGTCGGTTGGCGTAGGTGGGACGTGGTATCCCAACCTGCCGCGAGAGGCTTCGGCTTCCGAAGACACAGCTGCGATAATTACCGCCGCATCTACTACGAAGCCGGCCAAGGAAACTAAGCAAGAGAAACGAAAAGAAATGGGAGACATAGTCCTACACTTCCACGGCGGCGGCTACACGCTCGGCGACGACCGACCCGCCGACTGCGGCTTCGCAGCCTCCACAATCCTCGAGCACACGCCCGCATCCGTCACCCACGTCTTCTGCTCGCAGTACCGCCTCTCCAGCACGCCGGGCAACAGGTTCCCAGCAGCCTTCCAAGACGCGCTGGCGTCGTACCTTTATCTCCTGCGCGGGCTCGACATACCCGCTAACCGTGTAGTGTTGAGCGGCGACTCGGCCGGTGGACATATGGTCATACAGCTCCTGCGCTATCTGCACGAGTTTGGGCTAGAGCTGGGCGTTGAGCCCCCGAGAGCAGCCTGGTTATGGAGTCCTTGGTGCGATGCTGCGACCCCGATCCGCGATCCTACGGTCGTGTATCGCATACCGCAGTATCCCACCGATTTCTTGCCTTCTCACCATCTCGTCGAGTGGCTTGCTGCTTTGTACACACCGCATCCTTGTACAAATGTAGCTGTTGACGATCCTTATGTGAGTCCGCTGGGGAACCCGTTCAGGCTGGTGTGTCCAGTGTGGGCGATGATTGGCGGGTTGGAGTTGAATGTGGGGGAGGTGACAAAGTGGTGTGAGGAGATGAGGGGGGTGGAGGGGGATAGTGGGATGGTGGAGTTATGGGTGGAGGAGAATGCAGTGCATGATGTGATTAAGTGTGGAGGGATTTTGGGGTTTGAGGAGAGTGTAGAGAGGGGGGTGGAGAGGGCGAGGGGGTTTACTTGGGGAGTTTAGATGGATGGATTGCCACGCATGAGGGGTTGTACTCTGAGCAAGACTTTGCGTGAGGTTGGAGGGGAGAGGGCACTTAGGCGCGGTTTTACTTATGCCGACTGATCTAGGACGGGAGTTTTTCTGCTCATGCATTGCTTTGTGGGCGGCTATTTGAACTCTATCTCTCCTGATGCTGTCTTCTCTTCGACCACGCGCTCTGAAGACCTCCGTGCTTCTCGACATGGAGCAAATCTCACGAAATTACGGTTAGCTTCGGAAACCAAAACCTAGCCTTCATGTGTCCATTCTTTCCGACCCTGGCGGATATAGAGATCGATAGTACACCAGCGTGCGGATGCTTCCCGCATCTCCAATTTGTTCAGCAATTCGCCGCCAGGTTCCACCCAACAGCAAACTACGTATGGAATGTCGTAGCGTCAAGTTGAAGGTGCGTAAGTCACAACTACCTTCCATTGCGTTTTACAGGTCCGTCTGCTGATTCCCAACGATGTTTCCATCCGACAATGTGACCTTCCACAAGCACGCACCTGTTGAATGAAAGGAAATTGGAGGTATTTAAAGCCTCGTCCTCTCCTAGAATTGAGCGTATCACACGTAGTCGGCTCTCGCCATGGCACTCCGTCTACCAGTCGACCAAGCTATTCTTACGCAGAGCCCTCTTAGACCCCAGAACTACATCTATCACCTCCAACAGCTCGGTCCCAATCCAGGCGACGCGAAAAGAAGCGGCCCGTACTACCCCGAATCGCAACTCCGAGCAGCATGCGAACATATCCTCAGGCTTCGATACGCACACCTTCCCCAAAACGTGATCCGCAACTTCATCACGAACCAGACTCTTAACGACGTAGCCGAGCCAGAGAATAAGTTGGGAGAGCCGTCTAACAGCAGCATATCGTACGAGATATTCATGGAGGCCAACTTCGACGTCGCAGATGCGATACGCAAACTGGCACCGGATGAGAAGCTGACGTTGTGGCTTGTATGGTACAAACATGCGCAAGCGCCTTACGAGAAATTCGAGAAGGGACTTCCGCGGTTATTTGAGGTGTTTGGGCAAGCTGATAACACGGTGTCTGATAGTGTGTACCTCGACGAGGAGAAGGCGCATGCGGCTGCGCGTGAGCTGCTGCAGGGTTCTAGACACATTTGACGCGGTGGAGGCGCAAATAGTGGAAGGCGGGTTCCTCTGGGCCGTGGTTGGAAGGGCAAAGGAATACATGGGCTATGTGGGAGTCCAGCCGCAGGCGTGGCCTTGGATGGTGTAGGAGTCATGATCACATGCCCGCCATGACCTAGACGAGAGAGAAGGAGCTTGGAGGTATTCACGTTTGCGCTTGCCACTGAAGTCTGCTGATGGCAAGATTAACTATTGAAGCATATCAGCACACCTTTTCATCACTCGATGGAAGACGTTGCCATATAACTTTGATCCGGACTGACTTCAATAGCTTCAGAAAGGCCATCTCCCGTGGACTCACGTTCCATTCCCGAGGCGCAGACCTCACCAAAAGGGGATAAGAAGCTCGAAGTTTGCGTCTTCTGCATTAGATCCTTCGCCTTGATCCCAAGAATGCGCTAAAAGTGCTCCTTCCCCTACATCTCTGGGATGACCGGCCCCTTGAAACCGTGGTAGCGTATGCTAGACGCGGATGGGGACGTTCATCAGTGCTGACATACAAGGGACTTTTACCCTAGAAATTAGTCCGCAACGTCCAAGAGTTGAAGGACGCTAGGAAGACGTGTTCATCTTTTTGAGGTGACGAACGAGGATATCGATGTGCGACTACCGTGTGCCATCAAGATCGAGGATAATTTCCCCCCTCGAGTTGCTCAGGAGCCTTACAAATATCCACGGAGTCCGTCTCAGACTCGAAATCTGTATCTGGTGCGCACTGCAAAGCACTGGAACCGTATCCTACGTTCAACAAAGATCTTGAAACCCTGTTCGGCCGTCCCAATGACCAGGGAGTGGACTCTACGCATCTTAAGGAGTAGAGTGCGGAACTAAGGGCCAATGAAGTGGTAAAGAGTCAGATACGTGGGCGGAGAAAGCGTCCTCACGGTGGGGAGCCGGAGCGGATTGGGAGGGAGAATAACGAGTTGACGACGGGATGACTTCTTCGATAGCGGACTTGTCCAAAGGCTCGCTAAGAGAACGGAGGAGCTGGAGAGAGAACAGTGCATGAGCGTGGTTATGAAATAGTGGACTGGGATAGGTATCAGGGGTCATCGCACGTGATCTCGCGTTTTCGTTTCGAGTGCCTCGCCCAGGTCTCCAAGACAACGGTTGCTTCACGCATCTTCATGATTCCCGACGCTGTTAAGAATTTCCCCCATCTTCCATTCTTGATCTACGCTCTTTAGCCATCCGGCTACTTATTAGACTCCGGCAAAGCCTGCGTACAATCGTCCGCCCACCCCTCCTCCTGGCTTCCTTCGACGCGTGCTTCTGGTCGGGTAGACTTGGGGAGTGTCTGGTTTCCGTATCAACCCCTTTGCAGGCTGAAACTGCTCTCTACGCCAATTCTTTTGCTTTGAGATTTACCATCTTCACCGTCCAGTTGCTGTTGGCCTAGGTATTCAGCGTCTCATTCACCTACTCGTTCACCTCCTTGTCCATCCTCTTGTCCATCCTCTTGTCCTTGATCAGCTGAGCCTCCCCACACACGCTTACCAAAGTCTAAACACCCCTTGTTCCTCGCCTCTCAATCGCCAGCCATCTGTAACTACTGCGCCGTGAGTCCCTCAGCATCAATACATCAAAGCACCGCTGACGAAGGTGAAACAATAGATATCCATCAACAGCTCTAACAACGTTATCGCCCTACCTCCCGCCATGACTAACCCTGATTCCTGCGCCTGGTGCCAACGCTCCCCCGCCAAAGTCGGGCACGCCCTCCAAAAATGCGGCCGCTGCAAAATGCTATACTACTGCCAGAAAGTGTGCCAGGAGGCCGACTGGAAGCACCACAAAGAGGAATGCCGGATCATCTCGCAAACGGGCACCATACCTCCGAACGCATTCATGCGGGCTCTGATCACGTCTCTCAAGCCGGCGCTGGTCGACGAAGTCAACGCCAGCAGCGTAGACACGATCACCTACCTCAAGACATCTATCACAAAGCTTCAAGATATTTCGATCTCGGGGCCATTCTATCCCCTCGACGCCATCGTGGAGCAGATCAAGGGCCGTCTCACTGAAGAAGTCTGCTTCACGGGACTGGCGAACTTCGAGAAAGACCTTGGTACCTCGGGTATTGCGTCTCTTCAGGAGATCAAGGTTGCTTTGCCAGAGGGCCTACATATGACCATTGAGGTCTGTCGCATGAAGAATCCCGAGGTGGCTGCCTTTCTACGCCGTTCTCCGCCTAACGCGCCACGACCTGTCTACACGGTTTGTGCGCATATCCCCGATCCTACGCTGCCCGATTTGTCTCCCCAACATTGGGGGGGAAGCTTCATGCCTCTCTTTGATGCTGAAGTTCTGGGCACGTTTCTCGAGAAGAAGGCTGCAAACGAGTGCGGTCGCGAGGTGGTGAAGAAGTGGAAGGAATCAGAGCCTGGGCGGAAAGGCGTATATACCATTGGTCAGGATGGTATGATGGCAGGCCGTCTGATTGTTCCGGACGGTCGCACCTACCAGATTGTATCTGTCAGAATGGATGATGGGCGCAAGAAGTATAGTGACGGGAGGACCGGGTGCTGAAGTTGCAGGGCTGGGTTCCTCATGGATGGGTAGTTGAGTCCGGTCAGGTGTTGATGCGAAGTAACGGAAATCTATGATGGTATCGAGGAGTAACAGACTTCGCTTATACGCGCGTGGAGGCCATTGGAGATGAGAGAAAAAAAAATTCAGCAGGTTGCTTTGCTCAGATCTATGCGTCAAATTCGAATGTCATTGGCCACGCACTTAAACTCATCGACTGTAATGTGCTATCTCTTAATTTCCCCGAGTGACCCTTCAACGTTCCATTGCAATATCGGGGTGCGTACGTGTACTCTAGCCTTCCTTTTTCACACGTGTGATTCGCCTTTCCTCAGTGTCGAAGTGGTTCCATTCTCCATTTCCATCTTTCCAGTCTTCGTTAGATGCCTCGCCAGGCCTTCCTCCCCTTCCTCATGCACCGCATGACCATGGCCAATCTTCTTCAAACTATCCCTCATCAAGAATTCATAGTACGCTGTAGCGAAAAACGTGGCTGGGACGTTGACCAGGATTGCGATCCACGAGTAATTCTTGTATGAGAAGGCTTCGCCGCCGAACCAAATTGCGGCAACTATCCGCGTACCGAGGTCACGAGCCAAATTCGTCGAGATCGAGATATCCGCGAAACCCCAGACCATATTAGCATATGCAAGACCGATCACGAATGGCGCGGAGTATGGAGATACGAAGGGGTTGGCTGGATCTAGAGAAGCCCAAATGACGATGCCCTGGATACCTGTCAGCTCCTTGCTTGTTAACGAAGTGAAAAGCGATTCTACTTACGATGAAGCTATCGACAAACCACTCGATCAAGAACAGATACCCAAGGTTATTCTGCGTTTCTCCTGGAAAGGTGCATAATATACTAGCTGGTCCGCCGTTATAGACCGTCCCTTTTCCTGCCGCAATCGATTCTGCCGTAAACACCGATATTTGCTCATGGTACTGGCCCATAAGCACTAGACCAGCGACAAAGGCCCCAAAGACTTGCGCGAAGATATAGTAAGGGACCTTCTTCCATGGAAAACCTTGCCAGTACGCAAAGCATAGGGTGATAGCAGGGTTGAAGTGGCCTCCAGATGTGGAAGCGCAGGTAATGATCGCAAACGCGATTCCAATGGCGTAGGCCCAGCCGATCTGGAACAAAGATCCGAATTGAGGTTCCGTTCCGTTAAGGAAGAATGCCGCCGTCGAGGCAATCCCGGGATACACTATAGAGGCGCAGACTTGTCAGTATGGGAGCGTAGAGGATACTAGAGGACCTACGGAGACCACCTGGTTATGCTGAGGCCATGTATACCCTCGCGAGTATCGGTATGTGATAGTGCACCGGACACGAATTCCAAGGATAGCCAGGAGTTTGCACGTACCATAGAAGAAGACTCCCGTAGCTTCCGCCATCATCTCTCGCAGCCATCGTGGCCTTCGATGTTCGAAATCGAGCTTACGCTGCGAGACCGGCTTGGGTTCGACAACCTTCCGGGTAACGTGCCTCTGAACGGCGTCCGTGGCTCCAATTTCCAGCTCATGCGTGGCTAGACGCTCGAGATGTTCGTTACCAGACATTGTGGGCAGTGGATGTCTGCCGATAGACCGGAGAACGAGGGGATGAGTGTCGAAAGTGATTCGAACGCACTTGGGACTTCAAGTACTACGTGGGTATTGCGTAGCCTCTCTCTAATGACCGCAGCATCATACCAGTGGCGCCCATTGAACCTCGGAGCTTTAGATGGCCCCGGATTTATCGATTTCTCCGGGGGTTTACGTCCGCGGGCCTAGCCGTACGTTACAGGTTCTTGAAGTGCGCTCCTTTCTCCCAGGTGGGGAAAGGCGCTCCGGGGCGGGAAGATGAGGCATCGGAAAGCAGGGACGGTATCTGTCACCTTCCAATCCGGATGAAGGACGGTCTCGTCTAATCTCCAGCCTCGGTAAGCCGCGAGACGTACACTTGGGGGCTTCCTTCAAGGAGAGCGATCGCCAAGGCATGGCAAGATCTTGATTGCTGTCCTCAAAGCTTGAATCGACGAATGAACTTTTCATCAATAGTTCATCCCAGTTATCTGCGCATAGTTCCACGCTCTCTTCAGCACCTCTAGGAACCTGGCAGTCGGTAGCCATCAACCATCTGCCGGCAACGGCTACGCTCTAATCAAAGAGAAACCCCGCTGTTGCATCTCGATAGCCCGCCGTTTCATCCGGAAGGGACCTCGGGAGAGAAGCTGACGGTACGTGCAGAGGCAAGACGGATGTTCTCGATAGGAGGAAAGTGATGCATCTTGGTCCCACCCGCAACCCCGCATTACCCCGTGGGAAGCCATTCGATGGGTGGAGCATACGCCCCAATGGGATGGCCAATAGCATCCCAGCCTGGAGCAGATAGATGACGACGTGGGAACGATGCCTCGGCACGGCGCAGGAACGCAAAGAAACGTAGCCCGATTTCGGACGGTCTAACAATGCTTCTAAAAATTGCTCCGGAGGTGGGAACGCTTGGAGATGGGCGCGGGACGGTGATCGCTGCTCTCCAAAGGGTGCGTGCGGTGGAGCATACTGTAGCAGCCCCTCGTCGATGGCGCTTGAGGTGTCGTGATTGTAGCGTTATGGTCCGTGCGTTATCACGGTGACGTAGCGGCATCACCTTGTGCTCTATCAGCCTGGGGGAGGAATTACCTATCGATACCTAAGACTGATTCAGCGACAGTTTCTTTCGAAGGTGCCGCTGACTGCTCCAAGGCTGCCCTGGATCCACTCAATAGGTCCTCCGAAGGATGGACGGAATCCGTGAATACAGCTCCGTCTGCAAGGATGAGTTTGGCGTTAAAATATGTGCTGCTGAAGAGAGAAGATATCGCACAAGAGAAGATGGAGGATTAGCCTCATTGAAGGTAAACTCATGTGTCATGAGCTACAGGCTGGTCATTTATAACACCGTCTTCTGTCAATACTAATCAGGCATGCCGAGGGCCTCGGATGCCGTGGTTTTGTCAGCTGAACGAATCGAACTCACTATATTGGGCAAGAATGGATACCTGGCGTGAACAGCGGACAGGGGCGGTCGAAAAAAGGTGGACACTGATGAAGCTCCAGTATGCGCGAGGAGGGATTTGAAGGAGAAAGGGACGATCGGACGCAAGCACGGTTTAGCCAAGCTTCCATATTGCCCCTTTCCCACCACTCTCCGTAACCTGGTCAGAGAGATACCCTACTCTCCCTCTTACTAAAAAGTCCTCAGAAAACCATAAGAAAGCTCAGCCAGAAGGCCTTCATCCGGGCTTCACTGCTCCTCCTTCACCCTATGCTCCTCCGGCGTATCGCCCTGATACTTCCACCCCGCCTTCCTAAACGCCTCCAAATCCTCCAACCTCCCAATGACCCCACTCAACAGCGGCCACTGCCCCAAGTCCACCACCCCATAAAACCTCGCCTGCTGGACCTGCGGCACGAGACACACATCCGCAAGTGTAACCTCATCCCCAGCAGAATACTTCTTCCCCTTCGAATACCGCTCTAGCATCTTCTCATACGCCGTAAACCCTTCATTGAAGATAGTCCTTGCAAAAGACATTTGGTCATCGCGCGAGTTCCGAATACCGCGCACACGCTGCGCGATCCGCGCATTGGTAGGCGGGAAGATGTCGCTCGTGATGATGTACATGAGCTCTCGCACTCTTGCTCTTGCTTCTGGCTGCGAGGGAGGGGGGAGGAGAGGGCTGCTGTCGGGGAAGACTTCTTCGAAGTACTCCAGGATAGCGACGGACTGCGTGATGCTGAATTTGGAGGGTTCGCCTCTGGCGCCGTTGGAGGTTTCGACTACAAGGGTAGGTATAGATGCGCTTGGATTCAGCTCGCGATAGTCTTCGGTCTCGTGCTCGTCGCTTTGCATATTGACATAGTGGGAGATGACCGGAATGCGTTTGAGGTTCGTTGCGATCCGGATACGGGCTGCGCAGCTGGAGCAGTAGAAGGTGTAGAGGTGGTAGGTCGTCGTCGAGGCGGGCGAATCAGAAAGCATGGTTGCCCAATGTCGTTTAACTTGAGGAAAGGGATAAGAGGTTTGTTAGTAGCACTAACGTAGACTTTTGAAAGGAATATATGTCAAAAGTGGCTGCCTAAATCTCAAGGAACTCCGCGTCAACACGTGATGTAAGCCTGAATGCAGCGAGAATCCTTTGACTCATCCTAGAATCTAGGACGCGTGTATTAGCAAAACTCATACTGAGGGATTCAGTATCTTGTTCAGTATCAATTGACTGAGAAAGAGAAAGTCGCTTGGATTGGAAGTCCATCGAGGATGTTCTTGGCTTCGTGACAGAGGTAACTCGTTAGAAATTCATAATTTGTTGAAATGCTTTGCCGTCACTTTAAACGAAGAGAATGGAATCTATTGTGATCGTTGAACGTGCTTGAAATCATTTTGCTAGCGAGAAGCCCTGGACTCCCGCCGCGAAGCGAGGCTACATCTAAACGTCATCCTGGCTATCGATTGACAAGAACTCCATGTAGGGCCATGTGCACATTTCTTTGGCTCCCGCTTGTTAAGCTACATTACCGCCGAGTACCCGAGGCACATCCGAGCCTGTCACCATCAATGCTTTTGTGGATGCGAGCTTGCCAAGTGAGGAAGAGGCGTGAACGTTTCGAGGCTGTGGACTGTTCATCATGGCGGTAGTAAACACATTTCATTGCGTGTTCTAGATGGAGTTTTGTGGGCACCTTGGCCAATGGTCTGTGAAAAGTACAAATAAACCGATACTCCAGCACGCCATGAGCCAGGTCTTTAGATTTCGAATTAATCCCTCCTCTACCCTAGACCTTGCATTCGCAACTGCTCGTCACTATTCCGCACCCCCTCGCACCTAAATGTGCTCTCGATAACTATGCTCTCTTTCCAGATCCTCGCCCTCGCGCTCTGCGCCTCTTTTGTCTCTGCGCAAGAAGGTATCATCGGCTGCCGCGTCCTCCGCAGCCGAGTCAGTCCTGTCGTCGATCCTTTCTGCAAGCTCAGCGTCTGCAGCGACCAGGGCTTCGGGTACGATGTCGGTTTCTAATACTGGATCTGCATCGCCAGCGGCTAGCACGGGGGCGGCGCCTCACTGTGGTATGTATACGTGTGGTGTCTGGAGTGTTCGAAAGGAAGAAAAGCTAATGGGAGTGCTAGATGCGGAATATGCGGCGATGCTAGGATTGGGTGCTGCTGCTGTGCTGAACGGCTTCGTGTAGGCGGAGATCGTCTAACCAGCCCTCGAGGAATGAAGGAAGTCTCTCTTGTATCAGTACTGTCAAAGCAGCTAGACTTGCTCCTCTCCAACTCCAATCCTCCCAACCCTGACTTCGCGATGACGTTCGCGCGACACGGTACGCGTGCGAAAACCCCATCATCCATACGTACTCTGCTTGGAGCGATAGGCCTTAGGCTGGTTTGAAGGGAATATTCGAGACAAGGCAATGCCCACTGCGCTCATCCAAGACGCAAGCTCCGCTTCATCCAGCTGCCTTGTCCAGCAAAAGCATTAGTAGGAAGCCAATTCGGTGGGGAATGCGTGATGATCTGGTCGAGATGATCAGGCTTTCTTCCTCGAAGAGGATGCTCTGCCAGTCCAACACGTCTGAAAAGCCCCGGCTCGGTTTCTTTGACCAGAAGAGAGACGACCTCAATGTCTCCATGGGAAATGTTATCAAAGATCCCCAAGTATATAGCGTTGAAGGTCTCCCCTTCACTGATCTCGTTGTCGCAATCGAGCACTATCCGCGTATGGCTGCGGCGTTGCCGACGGGCTTTGGGAGATTCCATCTGGGCAATGGTGATGTAACTGGTGATACATATCCGGGGCAAGAAGTGGCTGTAATCGTCCTGGTAGGTGGCACAATCAGATATGTCTAAGTCACCTTGAGCGCGATGAGTCGCTCTGATGACCATGTCATCATAATGTTGAAACCTGTGACCCCTTAACGGAAACTCAACCTTGCTTTTCAAAGACGCCCAGGTCCACGATGGCCAATTCCCCGTGCGGCGTTGGACACGGCTTGCAGTACTTCGCCAGATCAAGCCGAATGCAAACGAAGCGTCGATGGGTATCTTTCCCAGCTGGTCTTCGGGAAAGTTTGGAATGCCCCAGAAATGATGCACCAGTCCGAAGGCCTTGAATGCGTTGAAGACACCGGTGAAAGCATTCAGCGCGTCTGAGTCGTAAGAGAGCTTTCTTTGAGAGTACTCTTCGATTCGATGATAAATGTCCAATGCTTCGCCCCCAACCCCGCGGGATGGAAATGGGAGCAACCAGCGGTAGGGTTCTTCGTTCTGCTTGTATGGATTGATCTCTTGCACAGAGGTCAAAGAGACACCCCCATAGCACTGGAAGAAAGTCAAGGATTCCGTGAAAACGAGTCGCCGACAGGAGAACAGCATTTCTTGGAATGTCCACCCTCGCTTTGACCAATCCGAACGTGCTATTTCACCCCTGAGGGGGTATGTCCACTCCATCATCTGCTGGCCGAGTTTTGCTGTGCGTTGTGATAATGGCCTAGAAACGCCTGGGAGACCGTATGTGGGATCAGAACCCGCAGCCGCAATGATCGTGACTTCTGCACCCTGATACACCTCGTCCATATTGTTAATGAGATGGTGCAATTCTTCGGGATCGTCTTGATTGATGCAATATCTGGATGGACTGGTTAGATCAATCGAGTTTCAATCAATGAGATCATACCTGTCAACCCATAAATATGGTATGCGCAGCCGCTGAGCTACCAGAAGGGCGTCCAATATAGTCTGTGGCAGAGTGTCGGTCGGTGATCCCTCTATTGCGCTTTCTGTGCTCTTTCCACCCCAGACATAGCTTAATGCTACGTAAGAGGCGCCGTGTCCGATGGAGCATAGACGTCTCTCCCGACAATCGATGACTCTCAGTTTCTCCAGCCCCCATTCGCTGACGCGGCCACAACTCTTTTGGTGATGAGGATTTCGATGGCAGGACCTAATCCATTGCCTCATTGTAGCGAATTGAGGACTCGAATAGGGTAAGGGGTCGTCTGTCTGTTGGGAATAGTCTCTGATTGGTGCTAGCAAAATCTCCTCGCTCAATCCGTCGGATGAGACGTATACCCTACCAGTGGGGTCACGGTAGCAGGAAAGGTAAATGTCCTCTTCACCGAGCCTCAGGCCTTCTGACATGGACACGAGTATGGCGCAAAAATCGCAAGAGTGCTGATGGGTCTCCACGGTCCTTCCAATTGGTCCCATTTTCGTCCGGGAATTAGAGCGTGCCCTCAAAAATTGTCGACAGCGAGCGCAAAGTAGATTCTCGGGTGTGGGAGGGGAACGTACCCTTTCCCAGAACATTGACAACTTCTGCGGCATTGTGGACCGGGCGATGGCAGGAGAGATCCGCAATTCTAAGGAATTGTACGATCCCGAAGACGGATAAAAATGCGAGGAAAGAGTCCTACGTGTCGACGAAAGTTGCTGCCTTTCATCTCGAGTTCAAATCAGCCGCATATCAGGGGCTGGGCGGTTCCGTTGACATGCTCAGCCTCGGCACCGCCTCCGCCGAAGGATCGTGGTGGGCGGGCCATCATGAACGATTCGATCGTAGAGTACAAGGACGAGACGAAATGCGGCTAGAGTTTCAATGCAAAGTCGCGGGTTGTGTGTAAGAGTGAAGGACTACTGCAGCACAGGTGGTGATTCAACCTTCCTATTTAGGCAACTTCGATAAAACCGTCGAAGGTAGTACAATAGTGGACAAAAATGCTCCACTTTCACCTTCACCCTACTCTAACACTGCCATTCACCCCCTAATTAATTTGGAGACAGTTCACATTCAAATACGCGCCGTCTAATGATGTGCTGCCACTATCATAGTGCAGGCACGTCCTGGCGATGGCGAAAAGCTGTGGTCATGTCTCAGGTGGGATGGATGACAGCTCGAAAAAAGGCGAATAGAAGGTGCGTGCCTTACATCCTTCATCTCAGTGCGCACCACTCTACACCGCACCAGAAGACATCGAATGAGCGGAGTAATAGCGTGTGTATTCGTCCTATGCACTTCCTTGTGGGAATGGATATCTTCTGATGCGGTCCGCATACTCTACCGTCGCCGCTTCTACGACTCGCTTTCTACCCCTCCTCTCTCACCCAAATAGCAGGCTGTCCTCTTCCTAGTAGTTCAGCTTCGTAACGATCCGTGCGATGGACGAATTGCGCAAGGACCGGAGGATAGACAGGGCGAAGTCTGTCTCACAATGTCAGCCTCGGAGTCGACGGAGAGCATTGTATGAAGCTGCCATGCCTGCGCGATCCACTTCACTCCACTGCAGAATCACTTCAAGCGCGTCCGGCGCCATCGCTCGCTCAGAAGTGCAACCTGCAGTACTCCCATACGTGCATTAGCAATCATGGCTGCCAATGAATCTCATGCTCATCCGTTATCCCCGTTCCCATGCCCGCCTTCATGATGGCTGCTATGCTCGTGATGATGCCCATTCAAATGGAGAATCTTCTTCACGCTCTCCATGCCTTTCTGGATATGCGGATGATGCGCCAAGAACTGCATATTCTCATGCTCCATTTTCACATTCGCAATCGCTGCGCGTTTCTTGCCCGCGAGCGGATCCAACGGCGCGGCCTTGGGAGGCCACTCACCGTTTTCTTGCCAGCCTTGTACGAGTGCCCGCGTCATGTCTGCGAGGTTTATGGGGACGGAGGGCGTGCGCGAGGACATGACGATCTTGTTGAAAATGTCCGAGTACGCTTTGGGTGTTATGGAGCGGCGGATGGGGTTGTCGGGGAGGAGCGAGTGCGCGACGGGTATGAGCGGCTCGATGGTTGTGGGACGGGCGCCGTCGCGTGACGGGGCGTCGGAGTCGACGTCCATGGGCGTCGACGGTTCTGAGGACGACGATGCGTGGTCTTCAGTCGATGTCGCAGTCTGCCGAAGTCCGCCTTCTACGGTTGATGAGCTGTTCCCGGGCCGTTTCGTGCCGTACTTGATCACGGCTGCCGCGCCCGTCCATGCGTCTCTCCTCTCGACCCACATCCTCAATCCCTCATTCTCCTTCATTTCTTCCTCCAGCGCGGCCCTCCTCTTCCTTTTGCGATTTAGCGCTTTCCTCTCTACCGCGTCGCCGATACTGTCGGGCGAGTCGAATTTGTAAGGGTCTGCAGCAGCATCGTCGTCGCTCTCGCTCGGGGACGATTCGCCATAATATCGTTCGCGAAAAGAGGTAATGCCGCGCACCTCTTCGTCTGACGCAGACCAGCACTCTGGGAGTTTGGGCCAATCCCAGTCGTCACGGACGCGGTCCTCGAGGAAGCGGCGGGCGGAGCGTGAGGCTGTTTGGTTGTGCTCCATGCCGCTGTGGTCAAGCGAGGGTGGAGCGTTTGTGAAACAAGCGATCGACGAGCGAACGGGTAACGATGGTAGCGGGGTAAGACTGTGGGGAGGATCGCTTTCTTATGGTGGGTGTTTGGTGTAGCAGACGGCTTGTGCGAATGAGCTTGATTCGGTGGAGTGAGCGCGACTCGCTGGAATAGTGACGTCGGTCTAGAATTCAGGGCTGTGTGGGGCAGCTGCCTGGTTTTCAAGTGGCGGCTAGCTGTGTAGGGCAGGTTCAACCAGAGATCAAGCAAACAGAGCAATGCGCATCTGAAGAGATGAGCTGGCATCGATGAGGGCAGCGTTAGCAATGGTGAGCTGCTGTGGTGTGATGGTTAGAACCAATAGAGATGCAGATAGAAGGAAACACATCACGATACCGAGGCACGTTGGTTGGCCGGCGTTCGCTCCATCATGACGGTCATGCCATTTGATAGATACCACTATCATTCCAAGGTCCCTTTCGGTCCCGTAACCCAAATGCAGCACACAAAACAAAACAAAACAACAACAACCCAGAACGCCGCCTATGCCGCTAAATGCTAAATGCAAAATGCTAAGTGCGATGCAACATAATGATGAATCATCACTCCACTACACGTCAACGTCTCCTAGGAAGCCACTTCCGTCCATATTCTCCTCCCTGTGCTCTTCGCCATACACAGCAGCAAGGTTCCCATGAAAGGTTCGAACGGCGCTGACCAGCCTCGCTTTCTCCTCCTCGACACCTCCAAGGTCAGCAAGCACCTCGCGCCTCATGTGACCATGCCCGAAGAATATGTGGTCTGCATTCGTGCTCCAATTCTTTTTGATGTCAGACCGTAGTTCCCTGGCGCAATAAGCTAACAGGTCGGGATATGTGAATTGTACGCAGTGAGCGTCGCCATTGTAGGAGGGTATACTTTGAGGTATCATGCCGCATGCCATTTGGGCAACGAGAACGTTGATTTGCTCAAAATATGCGGTAACCACCGGTTTTGACGTAGAACTCGAGCATCTGGCGTGAATGTAGTCGAGGAGGGAGATGATTGGGGCCATTGCTTCGAGCACCAAGGTGACAGTGTGGAGTATGTACGGCTGCTGAAATAGGAGCGCATTTCCTTTCAGCTGCTCAGTGCTCCGGATGAATGCATGCGAAACAGCTATAATCGAGCCGTATATGTCCTGGACATTGTTGTCATTCATGATGCGGAGATCGAGCATCATGGTGTTCAAGACAGATTTGAGCGACTGTAGTAACGGCCTCGCAATAAGGAACTCAGTAATTGAGGAAAAGGCCGCCTCAATGTATACTGGGAAAATTCCCTGAAGAAGCACCCTTCGAAGAGCCATTCTGTCCTTAGCTGGAGCCTCGTCGGTGCAGAGCGCGGTCTTGAGCTGATTGACCAGGTATGATTGGTCATTTTCGGAAGCAGCTTGCTGTGCGACTGTCTGTACGAAGACGGCCAGTTGTTTCGCTACTCCTCCGTCTGAGAGCTTCGGAGCATATCCACATAACCGACCGACGACATAGGTGGGATCTGTTGCCGGTAACGGGAAGGCGGGGGACTTGGTGAAGAAGTCATCCACTGGGCAAATGTCGGAAGTGTACTGTTGGAGGAACTGGACGATCTTCTGGACAAACTCCACGTAAGCGCCTGTCGCCATAGTGCCCTGACGGAGCTCCTTATAATTGTCCTTCATGGCTGTCATGAATGCTTTGAGCATCGCCGCGTATTCTTGCTCGAGCTGCTTGGCCCTACCTGGGTCTTCGAGCAGCGTATTGTGTCGATCATCGCGCATATTCGCGAGAAGACTAGAGATCAGAGCGAGTCGTCGTGCCCGCAAAGTGTCGGCTGTGATATCGAGGTTTCCAGTACGGACATCTCGGAAAAAAGGTGGATTCCTCATGAGCGGATGTGCAGAGTCTACGCGAGCAATAGCGTGGAGCAAGCGGTGTTGGAACCGGAGCATCGACTCTCGATCGACCAGAGATAGAAGCAGTCGTGTCAGAAATTCGTGACGGTGTTCTTCGTAGGCCACCGGATCGCATGCGATAAACGCCGCCATAAAATAAGGTCCAAACTTTCGCGTCTGTTCCGTGCGACGGAGTTGCTGCCAGGACACTTGGCTGAAAGAATCGATGTAGAACGACCATGACCGACCTAACGACACTTGCAGACCAGCGACGAGAGCCCAAGTGTCGACAGAATCCGTGAGAAGGTTGTCATCGGGGGAGTATTCTGCGCCGAACGCATTAGAAAGCAAATGCCACAAAGGAGTCTGAATGAAGTCGAGCGGAGTTTGCTTCGGCGGCGACATGATAGGCTGCTGTTCGATAATGTGGAAATCGTCCAGGTCTGGAAAGTCGCCATAATCCTGGCTGTCCTCGCTTGATTGTTGGCTGACACTAGAAGGCCGTTTCCAGAGGTTTGCGTACACTCGAAGAACCCTCAGAGTGTCTCGGATTACCACCACGAGACGTGGATCTTCGAGGTGTGGAAGCTCAAGCAGCTGAACGAGACCTGAATCGATGAGAAAGTCTTTTAGAAAGCCTTGACTGGGATTTGTCTCGATGGCCTTCTGTATTCCGGCAATGCAGTCGCGCAAAGTCGCGATGGCTTGCTCCTGGTTCTTTTCAATCGTTTGTCGTACCATAAGCGAGTTAGTGCTGGTTTCTCCTAGGGCTCCGGACTTGAGGTAGTCTTCAACTTCGGTCTTAGCCAGGCGGTATTGCTTCAACGTCTGCTCCGTAATCTCCTTGTGCCATTCAGCGAACGGTCGCGCTGACGCATACGGCTCCTCTGTTGATAATTGAAACGCGGCCAGGTTAGTCCAGGCGCGGACATTTAGCTTGCATGCTTCTCGATGCGAGTTCTGGTGATGGACAAGACCCCGGATGAGATCGAGCTTCGGGCGGCAAGACGGAGGCGATGTCCAGTACAGAGTGCACAAAAGATCATGGTGGTTTCTGAGCGCGTCGAGGCTTTCGGGTTCCAGACGCTGGTCCTTGGGATAACTTCGCCCATGGTTGGGAGTTAACCGAAAGACGATACTGCGGAACTTCTTCTCGGCGTACAAATGTCTCAATCCTTGAAGCCCTAAAGCTAGGCACTTGAGGAAGATATGAAACGAGTTGTCGTTGGACCCCACGGCCAAGGAAGGTTGTCCGGCGAGATTCTCCAGAAACTGAACCGATCCACTGCTCTCTTCCCGTCGAAGCTGTCTTAGACCGTTCTTCGCAAAGAAATCGAAGACTGCATTGAGCGCTGTGTCACATCGCTTCCAGTTCCAAGATTGAAGCAATACATGACATCTCGTTAGAATGGTGCGGATGTAATCGTTGAGAGAAGAGCTGTGAGCCCTGTATGTGCTCGGGTACAGAATGAAAAGTCGCTTAAGGAGGTCTCTGACAAGGGCCCAGTTATCGCTTTGGGGATAGGACCTTCGGTTAACAATGAAAACTCCGGATTCGTCCAGCTCGACGAAAGGAAGAAGGGTGAACAGAGTGCCCCACAGAGACTCGAAATCTTTCAGATGGACGCCCTGCTCCGCTTGCGGCGAGAGCCCTTGACTAACGAGATCCCAGAATGATAAGCCGTGGATGCCGGCACGCGCCAGTACATGCATACAGACAACGAGACTCTCAATAACGATGTCGGAGTGTTGGATGCCGTTCTCCCGCTCCTTGTATTGCTTGTTCCTCTCCAGAAAGTCGCTGAGCTGGGGCACTCTACGAAGTAGCTGCATTACAATGTGCTTAGACATGTTCGCCATGACGTTTGACAATTCCCGTCGGATGGTGAATTCGACGAGCGAGTGTTGCGCGATCTGTCGAATCTGCGAGGTGAGAGTAAGCAGATATGTAATCGCCCTGAGGCACTCGAGTTGGTTTCCAGAGGCAGGGTTCTCCTCTGAGCTCATGGCATCGGCCGCGAGTAAGCGATTGAACAGGGACTCAATGAACTGTTTCATTCTTGATGTGAAGGCTTGACGGTCGACAGAATCAAGGAAGCTGAGCCGCATGGACATGTAGCCAATCAAGGATCTCAGAACTTTCGATGCGTCCTTGAAAACGGTCTGTTGCGTTGTCGCAAGGTCTCCGTCGCGCAGGCAATGGTCGTCCAGAGGAAGCCAGATAGCGTCGATCAAGTCTGTTACTTGTGAGAATGTCTCGTCGTTCCAGGGACCGCATTTGAACGTTGCTGCATTATGATGAATGGTCCAATATCCGGCAGGCTCGTCCAGATCTCTCGTGCCAGTAGCTCCCAGTTGCAGAGCCAGATGCAGCTCGCCGCTGCCTATAAATGTGGACGAATGAAAGTACGTTCCGACTTTGAGAGGGGATAGGTCGAAGGTAGTTGGGTAACGTGTTCCGTAAGGGCCCAGCCCCTGTAGAACCGGCTGATTCAGCTGGTTTTGTTCTTCTCCCTGCTGCGTTTGGTGATTTTGAACTAAAGGGCGGTCCTTAAAGAGGTCTTGTAGAGCTGGCTCGCTCGGCTGACGGTACTCCCTTGAATCGGCATCGATTCGTTGGGGGCGGACCTTGCGAATGAGGCGGCGTTTTCGAGCGGGCAGCTTCTCGATGGAAGACACTTCCCCATGCTCACCTACATCCTTTGCCGAGGGGAGGGGCGGAAGAACAGCGTCCTCGTCAGCGAGAAATCGCGCTAGCTGTGGATTTTGCAAACGCTGAGTAACTGGCAACGGGAGATTGAACTGCTTATCCACTTGCTGTAGCCCCTTTTGAAAAGCGATCCTGCGATCACTTCGACTGAATCCTGTCTCAGAGCCTTCTAGCTGCGCTGTTCTGAACGGTAGTGATCTCCGAGGAACAAACTGATTGATTGTCCCTATGGGCTTTGAAGATGCGGGTTCTTCGGGAGATTTTGGAGACGAAGGGGAATGTCGACGGAAGACCAGGAGACCGGGGGGGAGGTCCCTGCGACTTTGCGTTCTGTGGACTTGCCTCCTGGATGTTTGATGATCTTGAGCTTTCAGGAGGGAGGCACCCTTGGTGCCTTGTTGCTCTAGAGCGTGCTGTTGGTTGTCTACAATATCCGATAAAGGTTGGCGTTCTTCATTTGGCTGTGGAAGTTTCGGCCGCCCAACGTTCGCCTTAGGTTTCAAGACACCGCTTCTCCATTGGTGGAGGGTAAGCGTGGCGTCCTCTGTATCGCGGGCCCTGTGCAATCTGATATGTTTATTTGTCGGACGCTGGCGAGCATAGTCAGCTCTCCGACGTGCTTGTCTCTTCGCCAGCCTTAGGAATTGTGGCACGGATCGATCTTGGTTGGACGGAGATTGATCAAGATCAAGAACGCTCAAGGCAGGCGCCAGAGTACGTCTACCTATCCTTGGGCCTGTACACTTCGACCGCCCCAAAGCTCGGGGGCGTGAAGCCGCAGAAGTGTCGGGAATTTTGGTACCAGTGTTTGACACCCTCGCCTCTTTTTGGATCTTTGCGAACGAGTCCGTGAGCTTCGTCTGCCTCTTTCGTTTTCTGCTGGCCCCAGCGAAGAGATCCAAGCGATCGTTTTCCATATTTTCGGAGTCATCATCTGCGTATCGACTATCGAATATAGCAGCCAAATCGGATGCGGCTTGAGCAGAGCGTTGAACGTCCCTCTGGCAGTCGAGAGGGATGTCGGAGTCGATTTCAAAATCATCTGAAAGCACGACTACGTCTCGTGTACGATCGCTGGGCTCTGGTATCCGTTGCACGGTGCTGGAATGTTTGGTGATCTTTTTGGCTACGCCACGTTGGGGCCCAACTTTCTCGGGGGACTGTGTAGCGTTGAGGCGTCCTCTGGCCTGTGCATTTCGCTTTTCCTGTGCCTGTCGGTCGATGCGAAGCCATGATGCAGGGAGCACACCCCTTATCCTCTTTCCAACTTGCCTCATCTCAGCCTCACTTGGCTCGGATTCACTATCAGACGAGCTAGAGCCGGATGGGCTGTCGCTGGGAATGGTTATCGTTGGTCGTAATTGCGCCGCAGGTCGATGCACGCTGCGGACCACTGGTTCCGCATCGGATTCCGCAGCTGGTGAAACATGTTCCGGTGGCGTTGATGAATGAGAGGGCGTAAGTAGGTCAGGAATAGGGGTAGTCGGCAATGGCCTCGCCAACCTTCTCAATGTGGAGCTCGCACCGTTGACAGGAGGGCTGCTAGAATACGGAGGAGACTGTGGAATAGCCCAGATATCGCTAACGGCGTCTCCTTGGCCCCCCACTGTTCTTCCTCTAGGCGCGGTAGCCTGGGTCAATGGGCGCTCTATCTTCCTTCGCTTTACGCTATCAGAACTGCGTGTTTCAGCGGGCACAGATCTGCGCCTTGCGGAACCGGAAGTGGATCTGTGGGCTGAATTTCGATAGCCATCTTTTCTAGGCATTCGAATGTCAGGCGTAGAAACCGGAATTTCCGGAGGGCTACTGGGGGGAGCATCATTTTCGGGATCGAACTCCTGCTCCTGCGTTTCTTGATCATTATGGCCCGATTTTCGCGGCGGAGATCTGTCCCTCGGGACCGGCTTGATTCCTCTGCGTTGGCATTCTTGACGGTATCGCTCAGCCTCGATCAAATAAGGATGTAGCTGCTCAGGCTTCCGCGCTCGGAGAGCGCGCCTGATGGCCTGTTCTGCAGTCACACGTTGTGCGGCTGTGGACGGTGGGATGACGACCTGTACCGTCGTCCTGCACTTTGGCGATGCAAACACGGTGCTTGGTCCGATAGTTGGCATAGGATGCTCTTCGATATCCGAGGGTGGATCGGATAGGACGTCGCTTTGGGATGAATCCGAGAGAGGAGAAATACCAAATTCAGCGAGAAGACAGTCTGCAGTCGGCGCGTTTTCTACGTCTTCCCCGTGTTCCGCGGGTGTAGATCGCGCTAGGTTGGGGTAGCCAAGGCTTTGGGAGGACGATAGCAGCTTTCCGATACGCTGTGTCTTTGGCGGAGGTGAACTTTGGAGTGGGTCGGGGCTCTCGACCTGCTGCCTTTCATACTCCGTGGCAGGGTCCGGTCTAGAAGATTGGAGCGGAGGAGTCGCTGCCGCGGTCGGTGTCATCGGGGAGAGTGGGGAACGCTCTAGCGGCGGGCGTGTCGCGGACGTGCTTCGTGGAATAAACACCTGATACTCATTGAGCCTCTCCCTCCCTCTAGCCCGCTGTTCCGGCTCCTCTTCCGCATGCGCATCCTTTTCGGCGGTCTTTGACTTCGTATCTCCATGTTCGACGCGCCTACTCGACGCGTTTTGGCTCTCTCTTGTGGAATTTGTACTGAGGCTCTCGATGTCCTCGTCTTCTCCATCCGAATCCTGTACGAATCCTTTGAGCCGCCATTTGGACATTGGGGCTTGTCGGCATGTCGTTGTCGATAATGCTGTAGGCGACGGCGTGGGATGTTGTAGGCGTTCGCTCATGATATTGGACGCGTCGAGCTTAGCGAATACGCTAACGCGTCCGTCACGTGGAGAATACGCTAGTTTTCCGAGCCGACTTGGTCCGATTTCTTCAACCTTTTGCCTCATTCCAGTCAACGCAGGACGACATCTGCTCCAGTGTAGTTGAGTGCAATGGCAGGACGAATTCTTCCAATTGCGTTAGCTACGATATCAGGTGTCGCGATCGGTGTCGCGACATTCGATGGGGAGTTCAAAGCGCAGCAGAGGGAACGATTAGAAGAGGACTACAAGCGGTATGTTGCTTCTGTATCCAGAATGTTTCTCTAGCTTTCACTGAACGCATCAGCAATGTTACTGCCGTATCCGCCTTGAACACTGGGGGTCCTTCACCGATGGCATCGAGCGCTACACAAACCTCCAAAACCACGCAGTCTCCGGTTGAGCAGAAAGCCGCGCAGCCATCGAGGCTCTCATCCATGCTAGGCTCCTGGGCCTGGAGGAAAGAAACTACAAAACCAGCACTGCAAGAAGAAGCAGTAGCGGATAGCGCGCCGGCAGAGTCGAAACAAAAGCCTTAGCAATGGCTTTGGTGCCCGCGCCGATTCAAAGGTCTAGACGTCTTCCGAGATCCTCCCATCGCCCTTTCCTTAATGGATCCAGGCGCTTCAGCTCATCCAACCACGACTGCATATCCTTCGTTGTAAAAGCCTTCGTTCCGCCCTCCACCTCGAGATACGCCTCCGCCAGGTATAGCAATGCTTCGTAAATCCATTTGCAATCCGCCTCGTCATCAAGTATCTCCTTGATATACTCCATCTCGTGCTCATAATACTTCTGGCGTTCACCGTTGTTCAGATCCGACACGATGAGGTCTTCCGGTGGACAGCTCGGCGAAAGGGTAGATATCAGATATTGGTGGTAGAACCAAATCGACTGGTCGAAAGGATCTGTATTGATCGCTTCGCATATGAGGGCAAGCTCGGCATCTAGGAGCGCACGCCGTGTCTTCGAATCGGCATTGCCCTCACCGAGCAGGCGGGGTATTAGCTTGCCGCGGTTGTGCCAGGCGGAGAAGTTGGAGAGGTTAGTCTTGATCATCTTAGTCGTATAGTTGAACTCGGACTCTACAAGGCTCCCGGAGGTGGTTGCGTGGGCAGACGTGGCTAGGCGCTCTAGTTGGGCTACGACGAACCGTCGGTAGCTCCAGGCGTGGAAGTTCCGACTGTCTGCCTGATGCATTTTGTTCACTAGCTGTAGCTCTCCGAGCCACAGCTGGTGTGCAGCGTCAGCTCCCAATATAGACTCTGCCTCCCGTAAAACCCAGTTTCTGTGATTCCATATCCAATAGCACTTGGGGAACTTTCGCAACAGTGCAAAAGTGAGCAGCAAATCGCCTTGTACGAGCTCTTCGGAAGATTGCGCCGGCGCTTCCTCCGACGGAGTTGCGGAGAATAGGGCCAGTAGAACGCGGCGACGATGGTTCCATATCGTGTAGTACTCGGGATTCTCGTTCAAGAGCTTGGTTGCGAGGCCGAGGACTTCGATCGTGTACTGTCTCTCGGCAAGCTATGGTGTCGACAGTCAGCAGCCACCATGAGTAGCAATAAGGAACCCTTGCATACTTTGGTATTAACCAGATCCATTAGATCTTTGTATGCGGTGATTTGTTGAAGCTCTTTCTGCCGCGCTTCCTCCGAGCGCGCCGCCGTGCCTGGACCACGGGTAATGCCATGCTTCGAGGATGTTAGCACCTTCCAATCTTCCTTGTGAAGCTTTTGCGGTGGTTGCACTCACACTCGCCATCGTCGATTTGAGGAAGCGAGGTGGAGTGTTGCGCGCCTGCCTAGTTTTCGAGAGGGTCGCCGGGACTATTGTTTCCCCGCAGCACGCTCCTTCCCACCCTTCAACCGCAGAGGAAGGCTGCTACCTAGGTATCCACGCCCTTCACACCCGTGGACATCTCTCGTCCTGCAACATCCTAGCACCGCCACCATCATTGCTATACTAACCCAACAGCAATAACCGCACAGCAGCACGAGTGAGCGCGGCTTTCCGTCCTCATCCCCCCTCTACCACCTGGGCAGCTGACTTTCGCTCGTCTCGGCCATGCTTAAGACCTCATAGCTCTGCCACGACCAGCCCGCTCGGTTCTCCGGACTTCCTCCAGCATGTACGATACCGACGATGAGGCACCTCCTTCGGAGTCGGGGTACACTACCCCGCCTTTGTCCCCAACGAAGACTGTCAGCACCGAAGGATGGACGTCCCCAAGAACACCAGTCTCGCCCCGGAAGACACGAAGCTGCCTCTTCTTCCACGATCTCGGCTCGAATTCCCTTCTTCCCACTCCTCCGGATTCTCCTACGAAATCCAACCTTGCCATTCGTCCTGGCGCTCTCAAATTGGCAGATGTCCCTAGATTCCTCCCTCGCCCGGCATCGCCGTCTTCAGATGATGACTCTCCCCTCAAGAAAAGGTTCGCGGATCTTGACAGCTCTCCGCTCCGCCGTTCCATTTATGTCGCTCGTTCGAACAGTCGCTCCTCGCCTGATGCTGGGACTCATCTCAATGGGGGACCACAGCACTCATGCAATGGCGCAGCTACTCCCAGCACGGCCGGGTGTACATCATCAGTCCCGACGGAGAGCAATAATCAAAGGCCAACTATCAAGCAATCATTGTCGTCTCCAACACCTGTCTTTTCAAGTGCAGTCGAATCCGGTAGTGACAGTTCCGAACGACCATCGATTTCTAAAATAAGCGACCATGCCTTCTCACCAACCACTCTCCGCCGGCTTCCTCTCCGTCATTCAAGCTCTCCTCTTAGACCAAGCCAATGGGTAGCACGTGGCGGGCAGCTGTCGTCTCCGCGACACCAGACCCGGACACCAGATCGTTTCATCCCTTCCCGTCGACCACCGCACGTCACTAGAGAAAGCTTTGAGCTAAACAAACCAGCAGAGCGGCTTGCAGCTGAAGAGAGGATTACCAGAGGTGGCACGTCTAGCTTGGATCCCTTCAGCCGGCGGCTTCACAGGAGTGACAGGCTTAACGACGAGCTTCGGAGCCTTAGAGAAACGCACTCAGTCCTGACAGGGAGAGCGAACCCGAATCGGCGCGGGCCTAACGCTAGCCTCCGACGCGGATCATACACAATAGGCGCCCGTCAAATTAGCGCCGGAGCTGTCTGGAATGTTGGAGGAGCCTCAGCCGTTAGCGATACAATAGTCGGGGTGTCCAATGGCAGAGGTGGAATGCTTGGAAGCGGAACTAATGCACCCCTCTACACTTCCATGTTCCTGAGTCGATCTGATCCTGAAGCTGAGCTGGAAGCCTACGAACGGCGTCTGGCTCATGCTCTCGACGTAGATCAGACAGACCGGGTTCTGGAGCATTCCACACGTCCCGGTGATCCATTCATGGCAAGCCCGTTCAGCGCGGCATCGCCTCCAGGTCGCACAACGCATGTTTGGAAAGACAATGCATGGACCAAGGATGGTGTTGCTGCGCGTTCGTTTAGCCTTCCGGCCTCAAGGATCTGTTGTGCTGACTACATGAAAGCTTACAGACGATCACGGGCGCATTCAAGAAAGGCGGTGCCAATTTTGCCATTTAGATATGTTGAAACAAGATTGACGAGATACTTGGCTAATAGCAAGCACAGTTCTGGACGCTCCTCAGCTACGAGATGATTATTACTGCTCGCTTCTCGCATACTCGCACACCGCCAGATGTCTCGCAGTTGGCCTTGGGAACTTCGTTCACCTGTGGTCAGAGAAGAAAGGTGTTGACACACCGGAGTCCCTCAACTCCTTGTCCGCCTCCGCCACTTCAGATACGCAGCATGTCACGTCTTTATCCTTCTCGTCGACGCAGGGTGGACAAGCGATCCTCGCTGTAGGCCGAGCTGACGGTCGCATTGCACTCTGGAGCCCTTTCGACTTGGAACCACGCTTCGATGCCACGCAACCTAAACCTATATCATGCGTCTCCTTCAGACCAACCACCGTAAAACGGCCTTCTGTCCGGGACTCGGCCATGACTGTGCCCGCAGAAGAACTCCTAATTGGGGATGAGGCAGGGCACATCTACTTCTACAGCATCGAATGGCCGTCCGAAACGGAGAGTGCCCTATTTGGCTGGCATGGCGCGATGACGCTGCTTGCCCGCATGACAGTCCACACGCAGCAGATCTGCGGACTCTCCTGGTCTGCCGACGGCGAAGTCTTTGCAACTGGCGGCAATGACAACGCGTGCTATCTCTTCGAGACGAAGAAGATACTGCAAAGCCCAAACAATACTGCGGAGCCCTCTACTACTGTCAACGTCCGTCACGGCCCTAATGGTGAAAGCATCTACTCTGTAGCACCCGGTCGCAGCGCAGTTCTACACATCAAAGTTACCCAAGCCAAGCACAAATGGGAGCTCAATGCAGCCGTCAAAGCCATAGCATTCTGCCCCTGGCAGCGGGGTCTGCTAGCTATTGGCGGTGGTTCGAATGACCGCTGTATCCACTTCTACCACACCAGGTCCGGGGCCTGTCTAGCCGCCATCGACTGCGCGGCGCAGGTCACAAGCCTGATATGGAGCCAGACACGCAGGGAGATCGCCGCTACGTTCGGCTTCGCTCAGCCGGAGCATCCCTACCGCATCGCCGTCTTCGCGTGGCCGAGTTGTGAGCAAGTCGTCTCCGTGCCGTGGTTCGACGAGAACCGCGCGTTGTACGCTATCGCTTATCCTAGTGGGCCTGACTCTGATCCTGCTGCTGGTCCTGAAGCAGGAGGCAGGACAGCTGGTGAAGACGGCGTTTGGGGGAGGAGAAGTGCGGAAGAAGGATGCATCGTGGTGGCTGCTAGCGATGCCGCTATCAGGTTCCACGAGATCTGGACTGGTGGTAAGAAGGGGCTTGGTAGTGGCGCGGGGTTGTTGGGAGGCAGTGATATCCTGGAAGGATTGCATGGTATTGAGAAGGAGGGAGGAGCTACAATCCGGTAGGTGAGAGTAGGGGACCATAGTCGTGCGGCTAAGAGCAACGCGGGTCGGGTTTAGTGTTTGAGCTGGACTTCTCTTTGCTCTCCAGGCGTTCCGTTCCAATGTAGTCAAGAATGGTAGTAGTCAATCGATGGATGCAGAATGTGTGGTGACAAAGTCATCGTTGGTCAGCGAGAATATGTAAGAGGTAAAACAATGTTGAAGGAAATGAGGTGCCTAGATGGAGTCCCACGAATCCGATCATAGTCCCATGGTAAAAGTACCCTACACGCACACAATGACACGGCTCGGGACGCGAGCCGTATCCAGCCGGTAAGCTTACAATTCTACAATCAATTGGCGGGCGCAAGGACATCATGAGGTGATGCATTTTCTTGATTCAATGAACAACTGCCCTGAGGAGCAGTCTTAGTGCGTGATGCCCATGCCTAAGAACCTGGAAGTTGCATTCAGATGAGAGCCCACACCGTGTTTTCGAGCCGACGCCATAGGACCATTCCACAAACTCATGCACTCGTATCCATCCTCTAATGCCTCATCGAAGATGCCCGCCTCTTCTTCGCCTCCTCGTGGGCAGCCTTGGCCTCGCTGAGGCGTTTCTGCAGGATCTGGGCGTACTCGTTCTGAGAGCGCGTCAATACGAAGTATCGGTTATGTATGGCAGGTAGAACTTACGGCTGCATCCTTGGAAGCTTCCGCACGGCGGCGCTTGATCGCGATTCGGTGTCGCTTGTGCTGCAGACGCTGGGGAGTGACTAGGCGCTGGATCTTGGGGGCCTTGGTGTAGGGCTTCTTGCCCTCCTTCTTGGGCTGAACCTCGCGGCGGATAACGAACTTGCGGACCTAGATTTGAAAACAGGTCGTCAGACTCAACCCTTAAAGAGAAGGATTGGCGAAGAAGCTATGAGAAAACTCACATCATCTTCCTTGCTGAGACCGAAGAAGCGGCGGATCTTGGTCGCACGCTTGGGACCGAGGCGCTTGGGGTGCACAACGTCGGTAACGCCGGGAATGTCGGCGTCGCCCTTCTTGACGATGCTGAGAGCGATGACGGACAGGTCCATGCCGACAATGCAGCCACGAACAGACTTCCTCTTGCGCTCGCCGGTTCGACGGGGTCGGTAGCACGAGTGGCCATCGGACAGGAGGAGGCGCACACGGGTCGGGTGCATGACGCCCTGCTTCATCGGGAAGCCCTGCTTGTCGTTGCCGCCGGTGATCTTGAAGATGTAGCCCTTGAACTCGTCACCGACGCTGTCGCCGGGGACCTCCTGGCCCATGCGGCGGTCCATGAAGACGCGCAGCTTGCGCTCATCTTCGATCTCGATCAGCTTCTGCGTGCCATTGTTGGGGTAGGAAACGTTGAGCTTCATCTTGACGGCGGGTCGAGATGAGCGTGGTGCTGCTTCAACGTTGGCTGGTGTTGTCGATGAAATCGCTTCGCTTAATTTTCGTGGGCGAAAGCGAGCTAAGCCGGAGGCGGTCGAACGTTTGACCGAACGCCAAGAGATACATCACGTGCGCATTTTTGCACTGCCCCAAAGGTCGCGGTTCACGCCATCAAAGGCCGAGACTTCAATTTCTTGGAGATGAGGAAGTTCACCTGAGGTCTCCAGACAATTGCTCTTATTACCAACGTGCCAAGCGTGTGATGTCACTGTCATAGTTCGGATTTTCTTGCGGAAACTGCCTTGCCATGGGGAGAAGGCCTCCTTTGTAGGAACTGGACGTGAAATTTGCCAGTTCAAATGGTCACAATTAGATTATACATGGGTCCTCTTGATATACAATGCCATCGAGTCCGCGGATAGATGTCAAAAAATGCCTGCCTCCGCTTGCGGAGATCCAGGCCTGTTATTCAACGCATGTGGCAGGAGCACTGCATTAGATACCAACGTATCCATGTACCTTAATACCTAGGTCTGTCTCATCGAACCGATAGGAAATATCCCAGAGGCTATCCCGAAACCCACGGGACTTGCCTTTCCGAAACCGTTGTACTACAACGCCGTTACATGCTCCGCTTTCGCCAGGATGCTTTTATAGATAATACAGAGAAGAGAGGAGAGAGAAATCAGTGGTGCATGAGTTCCACCGGAGGTCTAGACGTAGAGACAGCCTTGCCCTGTGCTTTTGTCTGGGCGATCGGACCCTCAACGCCTTCCATCGCATCCACCGTCGGAGTCATCGCCACGGGGCTCTCGGTCGTGTCTTCGACCGAGATGGCAGGGAGATTCGGGCTGTCGCCGTGGTCGTCGGGGTGGTATACAATCGTCGAGCTGCCTGTCCTCCGCCTCCTAACGATAGGACTCGTCTCTGGGTTCCCCTCCTCGGTCGTGGGTGAGGGTGCGTCGTAGTGATCCGCCCGTAGCCTCGCAAGCGCTGTAGCCAGATCCTCCGCATGCACGATCCTATTCGGTGCATCCTCATTATGCATCTCCCAGCCCATTGGTGGCGATGGCGGCGGCGAGATAAAGAACAGTTTGTCGGACTTAGGCAGGGGCAGGTGCTGGTCGGTGGGATTCAGCGGGGTGTTCATTCCAAAGTATGCTCGTACGCGACAGCCCATGATAGTCTCGCCATCGATCTTCTGGCGGATGGTAATGGCGGAGTCGGTGTCAAAGAATGAGACCACGATGCGGCGGAAGGATTTAAGCGGCGCCCAGGTGTGAATCGCGGCATACTTGTTGATCGTCTCGCGGATCTGGATGAGGTGTGAAGGGACGAAGATCTCCGGTTCAACGAGGTTCTACTTCAAATTAGCTTTGCTAAGTGGAGCGCGAGAGCGCTTTGCTTACTGTTATTATGAGGGTATTCGAGGGAGGGGAAGGTTGCACCAGCGGGGGCAAGTCGGAAAGGTCCAGCGATAGTGGCGATTTAGTTCCCGACGATGCTCGCGAGCGCTGCGGTGATGGGACGTCTGCGGCCATGGTCATGTCGATATACAAGCACTACGGGGTGGCGGGTAGCTGTGTGCAGTGTATCTCTGTTGGTGTGAGGAAGTTGCAGAGAGGCAGAGACACGCAGCGTCTTAAGTATCAAGCTGTCGGCGGCAGTTCAAGTTTCCGCAACCGTCTATATGCTCCGCCTCAAGCGCCAAGCCAGGGTCCCTCGACCCAACCAGCGGCCTCGTGCCTCCTCCACCCCCTTCTTCCGCATTCTGGCCACTGGAGATGCACTGCCCCCTAACGTGAATTTTTCACGCACATTGCTCACGGGGCTCGGCGCAACGCGCGGCGGCTGTCGACGTTGTCGACCTGATGCTCCGCTGCGGACTTGAGGAGCCTTGCTGACTCTCAAGCGGCGCGCAGTCGCAAGCACGCCGGACTCAGCCTCGAAACGTCGAGATTTGCCCACGAACAAATTCGGACATCCACGTCGCTATTGCCTGTTGAGGAGATGCTGAGTATTGATGGCTCAAGCTACGCACTATCTCTAAGCAGTGCGAACGGAGAGCTTGGAGTGGCTGATCGAGCACACTTAGTCTGTCTTGCCGTAGGCTGATTCTCCATCTTTGTCTCATCCCCCCTTTTTAAAACTTCGTTTTCCTACCGTCAGACCGTCTTTTAACAATATGCACGCTCGTTTGAAGGCAGTCGTACAGTAAGCGCGGGACGACCACGCCTTAGACGCCATGGAAGAGATGTAATACCCGATTCGTACGAGCATCCATCCGCAGCTGCACCAACTTCCGCTCAGGGCAAACGAGCTTTGCCTGAGATTGCGCTGTCAGGATTACCTGCCGCGGTGGATCATTATTATCCAAATTGTTCGCGAGGCTGATCGAGGACGTTCGCACCCACAGCTTACTTACACCGGCGAGACAGCACTAAGCCTGGCGCATTTAGAAGGCAAGGTGGACTCCTGCGATCTTCTATTTCTACCACCAGAACATTGAGAATGTCTCAGCCGATCCGTGGTATGTTGATCCACTGTCCCTGCAGCATGTATGTCGGAATGCTCTTGGGCATCGAGTAGGAATATTGATTCATCATCGGTCCCCTATTCCCCTGCGTCGGTGTCATTCTTGTAAGTAGTCAACTGATCATGCGAGGGGATGCTTAATTGTGAAGGATGCACTGCGTGATCCTTTAGTCGACGCCAGGACAGTTCGATTAGCCCCTTTCTTCAATACCTTTGGTTCGCTTCGATGTATCCCTCCTTCATCCAGTTTCCTTCTTCAACATGTTAAGCCCTTTCTATTCCGTTACGGCAACAAAACAGCCATTATTGCTTCAACGACCGCCTCGCGCAAGCATTACCCATGAGGCACATGCGGTATACGTCTGTCTTCCACTCCGTCCGCTCCTTGCCAGATTGCGTCCTCTCATTTGAATCCCGAAGGCTAAATAGCTTCGGTGTGCCGTGGCAGTCGTGAATGTGTATACTCTGCTAGTAGTCTTACTGGAAAAACTTTCTTGCTGTATCACCTCGTAGAAGATTTCAGAGGACAGTCTTACCGGGGTTGCTGGACAGTGCAAGGCCAATCCCATACCGCGTTCTCCGTAGCGTGGGCTCGCCCTTCCGCCTGAGCGGTGCGCACTCGGCCGCGAGTATTCATGGTTGATACGTATTGCAAATCCTCTCTTCCATTGCCGAGAGGAGGTGGCAGTGCTTCGGGTGCAGCTAAGGCGAAGCCGGCGATGCTCCTGTCATGAAGGCTTGCCATACCTATTGGCAAGGAAGATGAAGTGGCTCGCCACCATTTGCAGTTCTAGCCCAGTATTGTTTCCCACTATTTTTGCACCTCTGGTGTTCAAGAATTGAGAACGATGCATTCGGATGCCGGCTCTGCAACTTGGACGAATCAACGCAACACCAATGGGACAATGATGCACCTGGGATTTTTCAAATACTGCCATCACATTCTAATGACCCATAAGTACACGGTAGTTATTCACCGGACCACGTGGGACCGGCGAAAGGGGGTGTGGCTGGTGTAGTGGCAAAGCCGGCACTAGCTCTATAAACGGCTAGCGCAACCCGCATCTGGCATGGAGTGTACCTCGCCTCTCACTTCAAAGAAAGTTTGGGGAAGGCAACCTCAGCTTCAACAACCTTCGCCGCCGCAACTTCGCCCTCTCGCGTGTCAGCTCAACCGTCGCCTTGATACCTCAGCCAACCCACGAAGCTCAGATACTCTCCCGGTCAACCGTTAGCCTCGCAAACCGCAGCTAGTATCAGAATGGATCCCTACGACGTTGAAGGCGGCGCAATCAACGTGCGCTTCCTCCAGGTATGTCGCGCCTCCTAATCACCCCCGACCATGACCGCGCATAAGGCGACTAACACAGCCGTAGGCCGACCAAACACGCGCCTACTTCATTATCCAGAATTTCAACCTCGAAACGGCGAACTCGCTGCGGCGCGTTATGCTTGCAGAGATTCCGACCCTAGCTATCGACGTCGTAGAAGTCATCGACAATACCTCCGTACTCGCCGACGAATTTGTGTGCCATCGGCTGGGCTTGATTCCGCTAAACTCGAAGGGCGTGGACGACTTGCTTTATTCGAGGGACTGTGACTGCGAAGGGTACTGCGACAACTGTTCGGTCACGCTTACGCTGAATGCGAAGTGCACGTCGAATGAGATTATGAGGGTGTATGCGCGCGATCTACTCATCACGTCAAATCCGCCCAACGTCAAGGTTGGACAGCCGGTCATTACAGATCCAGAGGGGCAGGGCAGTTGTATCGTCAAGCTGAGGAAGGGTCAGGCTATCCACATGCGCTGTATCGCAAAGAAGGGTATTGCGAAGGAGCACGCGAAGTGGGCACCTAGTGCGGCGATAGGTTTTGAATACGACCCTGCGAACAAGCTGCGGCATCTGGACCTCTGGTATGAGGAGGACCCCAAGAAGGAGTGGTATGTCTAATCCTTCCTGGTCACACTAGAGCACTGCCTAATCACTTTGCTTAGGCCTGAAGACCACGAGCGTATAAACCTCGACGGCGGCCCTCCAGCGGAAGACGAGCCCTTCGACTACGAGGCCGTCCCCACCCGCTTCTTCTTCGACGTAGAAACCGTCGGCGGGCTAGAACCCGATCAGATCGTCCAACGTGGTATTAAGACTCTCCAGCACAAACTTGCATCCGTGATCCACGAGCTCACCGGCGGAGAGGGCGCGGACGGAGACTTCGGCGGTGCACAGAGCCCAACCCTGAATGGAGCTGGCTACGGAACTAACGACGCCGGATACACGACGCCGGGCTACGGAGGCGGTGCGAGCGTCTGGGGCAGCGGCAATACTGGCGGTGCTGGCGGCACGACGCCGTATGGTGCTACGCCTTATGGTGGCCAGTCATGGTAGTGGGTGATACGATTGCCCATTTTCATACCATGTTAACCGTGCCTTACAGGCGCGGATGCTAAAACGATGACTGTAGAGAAAGCTCGACTACCATCAGCCTGGGATACGAACAAGAACCCGTTTCCGAAACCGCTCAGCCTGGCAACTTGGGTCATCTATTGCCCAAGTCTCAATGATTTCGGGGCTAATGACAGCCTCCCCCGTAGTTTTCCACGGAGTTTACGGTATTGCTTCAGTATGTTCCAAGAAACTGGCTTGTATAGTACGGCATGGGTCGGCGTTTTGGACGTGTCACAGCGTCAGTCACGTCAAGCAGTGGTGCAAAAAAGACGGCGGAGCTACTCTCCACGCCGACAACAGCTCTTATTACTCGAAGTAAGGCTTCGATAGAAGGAAGGGAGCCATCTTTAAGTCACGACCTTCAGGTTATTAGCTTGAAGTAGAACAGCATATCTCTAGGTTCGAGCAATTCGGTATCAAAGCCGCCGGTTTCTTGCTTCCATACCCCAGATATCCTAGTCTCTTCGTTATAATAATTACAATGTACAGTGGTGATGTCTAGGCCCTTCATCGTGGTTTCGCTTTTCCAAATCTTCAGGGGAGAGGGGAATATTTACACATGCCGAGAATCGTACTCAACGCCAGAATGCCCAATGTGCCGAACCGCCAAAACTAGCCAGCCAAAGAGCCATACCAAATACTTATACAGATCTTTTGTGAAACCAAAAACGTGTGAGTGCAACGGCGTCTACGTGTTCATCTACGTGTTCTTCACCACGCCCACCTTCGCGGCCCTCAAAACTCGCCCATTAAGCATAAAGCCCTTCTGCTGCGTATGGAAGACCGTCCCGTCCTCCTTGCCCGGCTGCGGCGTCTGGAACACAGCCTCATGCACATTTGGATTGAACTTCTCGCCCTCCACTGACGGATCAAAGCGCTCCAGCCCGTGCTTCTTGAGCGTCTGCATCATGATTGATTCCGTCATCTTGAGGCCATCGTGTAGGGTAATCAGATCTTGGTTCCCGTCGGCGAGTTTGTCGGCGGGGACGGTGGAGAGGGCGCGGTCGAGGTTGTCGACGGATTCTACGAGGTCGCGGGCAAAGCGTTGCAGCGCGAAGTCCTTTGCGGCTTGGATTTCCCGTTTTGTGCGGTCTTGCAGGTTGCGGTAGTCGGCTACGGAACGGAGGTACTTGTCCTGTTTGCATAACATTAGGATACAATGCGTTCATCGAGAAAGGCAAGAAGGAAGCGGAGTGGCGCAAACGTACCTTCAGGTCAACAATCTCCCTATCCTTCTTCTCGAGCTGCTCCTTCAACTGCGCAGACTCGTCCTTGGCCGGTTCCGCTTTTGTCTCTGCAGGTGCAGCCTCAGCTTCCTTTGGCTTTGCCTCCGTAGCAGGAGGCGCATCTGAGTACCATCGGATGGCAGGTGCTGCTCGCGTGCCGACCTGCTGTCTTATGGGGGCGAAGGCCGGTTGTATTCTGTTGATGGGGCGTGCGGCCCGTCTTGAGGCGCGGAACAGTGTCCTCTGAAGCATTATGAATTGCAAAATGTGGACCGAGGTGGGTGGCAGAAAGGTACGATGTCGCGTGGCGATGATGTTGGATGTAGAGCGGAGCTCGAGAAATTTTTGGGAGATGCTCTCACGGGTGGCTCGTGCGGGCCTAGCAGGGTCCACGTCCTCGGCTTTCGTTCCGAGGGTTGAGGTGATGGCACTTCCGCTCTTGCGGTGTTGGCTTCGACGACACTCAATTGCACAGAGCGCCCATGATGCGTTATGCGGCCTTTCCTACCTAGTTGTCTGCGCATCCGCATATATGCACCGCGCAAAAGCTACTCGACCACGAGCTCCGTGCCAATCCAAAGACCCCTCCGAGCGGCCTACTACCGCGGTGGAACTTCGCGCGCAGTCATTATCCAGCCGCAGGACCTACCCTCCGATCGCGCACTATGGCCTGGCATCTTTCGGCAGCTGATGGGGTCTGGGGATCCGTATGGGAGACAACTAGACGGCATGGGCGCTGGGATATCAAGTCTCTCCAAAATATGTTTGGTTGAACCATACGGGAAAGCGCAAGCTACGGCTGCGAAGCAGCAGGGGGAGGAAGCACAAGCGCATATTGATTACACCTTCGTTGGTCTGGGTATTGAGAATGATGAGGTCGATATAGCGGGCAATTGCGGCAACATGAGTAGTGCCATTGGCCCTTTTGCTTACAATGCGCGTCTGCTTCCTCCAAGCATGTATGCCGAAGGAGACGACGAAGTTACGGTCAAGACACGGAACACAAATACCCTGAAATACATCGATTCTACCTTCTCCGTTGTGGAAGGCCAGGCGGCTGTCATGGGGAATTACACCATCGATGGCGTAACTGGCAGTGGCTCAAGGATCAAGCTGGATTTCAGACACCCATATGGGAGCAAGACTGGAAAAGTGCTGCCCACCGGGAAGAAAATGGATACTGTCTCCGGATACAGAGTAACGTGCGTGGATGGAGCCAATCCAGCCATCTTCATCCGCGCAGACGATATCGGCGTCGACAGCACCATCTTGCCCAACGACTTCAACAAACTTCCCGATAAACTCGCTCTCCTGGAGACAATCCGCAAAGCCGCAGCTGTAGTCATGGGAATAGCAAAGACAGAAGAGGAGGTCCCACGCACGATCCCCAAAATCGGCATTGTCTCAATGAGCAGCACGCATCCGGTCCTTTCAGGCGCTACGCTGCAGACCTCGCAGATGGACCTCGTCGTAAGATTCATATCGGACACGCAACCGCACCGTGCAATTCCCCTGACCGCTGCTCTCACGACTGCGATCGCAGCGCGGATCCCAGGAACTATCGTGGAGCAGCTGCTAGCTCCAGACCCTGTGATGCAAGATGCCATCACTATCGGCCATGCCAGCGGCAGGCTCCAGGTGAACGCGACCATGGATCCACAGAACCAATTGGTTCCTCTCTCGGCCACCGTGTACAGGACTGCGAAGCGGCTTTTCGAAGGGAATGCTTACTGGACGAGCAAGGCTGCGCAATCAGGGCACGCGGAAGAAACACCCCTGAGCCGACATTCGCTTGGTATGGCGTTTGTACTAGAATCCCGTGGCCATGACTCCTCCCATCTATTCGAGGGAGCGAGGCAAGAGACGGCCACTGGACCAAGCGCAACGACGCCTCGGGCTAACCGTTCCCTGAATATAACGAAAACCACTGGGCGAGGCAATCGGTGGTACCTCTGGGCGCGCGACTTTCGTACGGAGACAAAGCCTTTGAGATCAGGATGGTCGCAGAGGGCGCACAAGCAAGGCAAAAAGCCGCGACGGAAGCGGAATAGAGGGCTGAACTTGGAGGGGCTGAAGAGCGTGGTTCGGCAACGTACGACGCCGTTGTAGAAGAGAAAACGACATAGCTATTCCAATACTTTTTTGTGAACCTAGTCTAACATTAAGGAATCGACCAATTTTCCCATTACTCATTACTACTTCCCGAGGTCTGTTTTCGTTGAGGCCCGGGTTACCTATGTCGGGGTAGACATTCGAGCATGTCGCAGCTTCAACTACGGAAAGCTTCTCTTAAAGGTCGTCGGTAGGAAAAGATCCAAGACATCCTAGCGTCATCTTCCCTCACCCTTAATCCCTCCCTTTTTCTCACTCGGTCGGTCCACGAAAAGCGTGACCATGAACCCTCATCTGCCAGCACGCAGCCAGTCTCTCCACATCAAGGCTCAGCCTATTCCAAGCTGCACGACTGTCCGTTCCTTCCGCGTGCGCTTCGCATGCCTCCTCCAGCCCTGCCACGGCCCTACTTGCAGTATCTCTCCCCTATAGCTGCACTCAGGAGTGGATAGCCGCATTCGTGCAGTGAAGGCTCCTCTAGTTGTTGATGAGTTCCTTGCTAAGCCCTCTTTAAGACCAAAGTGCCCTGCGACGAGGATATCACTCTCGGAGAGTTCCACGAAAGCACGATCAATAAGGGTAAAAGGTAGCTCAAATGTTCTATGTACCATCAGATGCTGATGGGATCAAATCTACAAAACGCCTTCTAATGCAACATGTATGCTTCTGTACAAAAACATTATACAAGCAAGATGCCGCCTCAGGTATCAAGTACAAAAGCAAGAAGCAAACTACTGAAAGAAAAGAATATGCGCTCTATTCCAGGCCCTGAAGTTTCCGGTACATCTTCTTGTGCTGTTCGAGGAAGAGGAACGTGAGAATGGTATGCGGACCGACGCGTATGAAGCTCGGCACCCAGCCCTTGAACATCCACCGCAGACCCTCCGCTTTTGTTATATCCGTGACAAGCCTGACTATGCCCTTGTGTTCATGGGAACCCATAACCCGGGTCTTGATGACGTCGACTGGCGAACATATTGTTGTGGCTACGAAGCCGGCGAGGAAGGACGCTGTGAAGTGTGTAGTGAGGTTATCTTTCAGGGATGTGCGCTCCAGCAGCAAGCGCTTAAATCCATCGTATGTCGCCAGCTGCCCGACGGTCATAAGAACCGCTCTTGACGAGTTGGGCCATACGCCGCGCCATAGCCTGCCGACACCTTCTTCCCGCGCCATGCGAACCAATCCGTCTACCGCATGCTTGTATTGTCTTCGCTGCTCGGGAGGAAGGGCCGCATCGTGCTGCATCCGTACATTGAGGATGTCTCCGGGGTTTCCGGCGATGCCGCCGAGGAAGCCGGATACGGAGGCCATGGCAACGAGAGACATGAAGGAGGGTTTCTTCTCGGCGGTGGTGACGCGGTCTTTTATCGTTTCGTAGACGCCAAAGCGGGTCATGCTGTAGGTCAATTGGCGCAATATGGAGGCCGAGAGCTACTCAAATGTCAGCGCTCCAATGCGAATGTTCTCGGAACTGCGATCGCATACACCGCGATATAGCCCCATGACGCCATCAGCCTTCGCAACATGCCCAAACATCTGCAGCATGTTCAACCGTACTCCATGGTGTCCTTGCATCTGCAACCTGACCTGAGTTTGTAAGCGGCGCGTCGTCGCGACCGGAGCTTTTCGAACGTACCTTGACTGGTCCACTCGTTAGCGCATTTACTTGGAAAGTACTCAATTGGAGTCTCTAGCTTACCGAGATCTAGAGGATGCGTAAAGCAAGCCGCAAAGCAGCTTGCGCTGCCTCCAAACCAAAAGGGATAGTGTGTAGGCTTCTTCGTCGCATCCTGGCTCTTCTTCAATTCAGGTGCGCTCACCTGCTTCGTCGCGAGGGCCGGCATATCGAAAGATCCAAACTTCGCAGAAGCTGCATGAAGCTTACAGGAGGAGGGTTTATGCCTTAGGAGTCGGGCAGGAAGGGTGTTGAATGGTGAAGTCTAGTACACTGAATTATAAGCTGGCGGACGTCATGGCAAATTCGGCAGTCGGCATTTAGATTTGGGACCGGCTTGGCGTCGCACGCGTTTTGTTGTACGCGACGCTCTTCACAGAGCTTTAACACTACGATTGCATCGCGGAAATGCGGATATGTCCGATATCGACGGCGCTGCGTCGCCAATTGAGCTCGAGAGCTCCGCTGAGGATACAAAGGCCGTTTCTGGCTCCATGGCCGTGGCCTTGTGCGGTGCGATACATTTCTTCAGGTGAGCTCTGATCATGTGACCTCTCCTATGCTCCATCACCCTTCATTGAAGCATACTCTTCCATATCTCCGTCTTCAACGGCCATGTATATGTTCATGCATGTTGTGAGCCTTCTTCTTGGTTAAAGGAGCTTCCTATAATCTTTTGTCCCTTTTGAGTTCCAGTCCCAAAAGTTTGCATCTAAGAATAGGGCCAGGGACTCCACAAGGCCAGGTCAAGGTAGAAGACAGAGTCTACAAAACCGATGAATGGATGAACACACCCTCCTCCATTATATCTGCAATACCACGCCACCTTCACACCCAGCCGGACCATCCGCTTACCATCACTCGGCAGCTCATCGAGTCACGATTTCCAGGCTACAAAACGCACAATGAGCTCTTTCCGGTCGTATCAGTACATCAAAACTTTGACTCCCTGGGCTTCCCTCCGGACCACATTGGACGAAGTAGAACGGATACGTACTATCTAAATAAAGACACTGTTCTCAGAACGCATACGTCCGCACACCAAGCCGACACCTTCCGGGCAAATGAGAGTGAGGGGTACCTTATCAGCGCAGACGTGTACAGGAGAGATGCAATCGACCGAAGCCACTACCCCGTCTTCCACCAGATGGAGGGCGCCAGGACCTGGGACAGGAGAACCGCGGAGAAAGAAGGAAAGACATTAGCACAGCTGGTCTGGGATGACGTGGCGAAGATCCCCAAGCACAATATCGAAGTCGCAGATCCAAACCCTACCATCCACCCCGAGCGAAACCCGCTGCAGGCCACGCATTCAGCAGAAGAGGTCGAAGCTATTGCCGCACATCTTAAGCGAAGCTTAGAGGACGTCGTAGTCGCAATCTTCAATGCCGCCAAGACCGCCTCCGATGCAGGGTCTCCATCAGCCGACGCGGACGAGCCCCTGAAGGTGCGCTGGGTAGAGGCCTACTTCCCCTTCACCTCGCCGTCCTGGGAACTCGAGGTCTTCTGGCAAGGCGACTGGCTGGAAGTGCTGGGCAGCGGCATCGTGCAACAGTCGATCCTCAGCAATGCCGGCGTGCCCGACCGACTAGGCTGGGCCTTTGGCTTGGGACTCGAGCGCATCGCCATGCTGCTCTACTCCATCCCAGACATCCGCCTCTTCTGGAGCACCGACACGCGCTTTCTGTCCCAATTCAGCGCCGTGGCGCCTATCAAACGCTTCGTCCCCTTCAGCAAATACCCCGCTTGCTTCAAGGACGTGAGTTTCTGGCTTAGAACCACGTCCAGCGCCGCGGGAGGCGCTGGCCACCGCGTCTCTCCGTCTGGAATTTCCGCATCCGGCTCTGCATCTGCATCTGCATCTGCAACTGTCTCGGCTATCCCTGGCCAAGCGTTCCACGAAAACGACGTTATGGAGATTGCGAGGGAGGTGTGTGGGGAAGTGGTCGAGGATGTGCGGCTGGTGGATGAATTCGTGCATCCCAAGACGGGCAGGAAGAGTCTTTGCTACAGGGTCAACTACCGCAGCCTGGAGCGCACGCTTACGAATGAGGAGGCCAACGAGCTGCACGAGAGGTTTCGCCAGCAGCTGGTCGACAAGTTGGGCGTGGAGCTACGGTAAAAGTTGGGACGCCTCCTCCCCCGTCTGCAGCACCGATCCGCAATCGCTACACCGACCCTGAACTGGGAATTTCAACGAGACACCGCTCCCCTCCGGCTGGGCAACTTGTAATTTTGGACCTTTATGCTTGTACCATATTTGTACCCATGGTTACTATTCTCTATGTATATGTACCTGCAGAGTACCTTACCGCTTGAGACCCTGCATCTGTAGTTGCTTTGCCCCGCATTTTCGCACCGGGAAAAATGGCCCATAGCTGCAACGCTCAGGCAGCCCTCGACCAAAAATCTGGTCGTGTGGCACCTGCCACCCTCCCTCTTATTATCCAGATCGACTTAATACAGCCATCCTATCTCATGCGGTGCCATAGTCGTATTGCGGGGAAACCTCGCTCGCTACAACCCTCGCCTCCAACATCCATTCATCTGGGGTGTGTGCGTGCACGCCCGCTCCCTGTACGAACACGCTGTGCTGCGAGATCTTCATCCAGTTGGCCAGCTGACTGCCATTGCAGGCAAACTATTGTCTTGGGGCTGCTAGAGCTGCAGAGCTGGCCGGCGATGAATCAGGCTGACACGGACCGTGATGTGCCGGAGAATATTTTAAGTTAGGTAGCACAAGGACGGGATTGCGTTATTGGATTACTGCTCGCGTCCCAGCACCGGGTCAGAGCAAGTTGCATTGACGCTCTCCGCGCTGCGGTATAATTAGCCGTCGAGATGTGGTTCGCGGTCCGGGGAACACGCTTATCGATAGCGACGAGGGACGATGCTGGGTCATATGGTGGCGCTGCTATGGGTGATATACCGGGAGGTTAAGGTGCGATGCGGAAGGGATCATGGGAGATGTCTGGTAACGAATCAGAACGAGACTGGATGAAAAGAGGAGTTCGGTAGATATTTTATGTGAAGCAGCGACAAAACGGAGGGACGAAGGAGGATGGAGACGCCTCGGGAGGGGGACGGAAATATCGAATCAGCGTATGCAGTGTCATCAGACGGTGCGGTGTGGCCCGCCCTGACCGATCAAAGTGCAGGTGCTAGGGACGGAATGCAGCTGCCACGCTGAGGTCCACTATCTTTGCTCGTTCGCATGCAAATACTTCCCATCCCGCGAATCAGTGTAACGACGAAGGTACCCGGGGCTCTCGGCTCCAGGACTTTCCGCTGCGGTGTATATGAGCGATGGGCATCTCGCGTGGTGTACGAACGTTGGAGGACATTTCGGGGTGTACGTCGAATACTGCGGTGTGTTCGTATGCTGCGCTCATGGGGCCGTTCTTACATGCACCATGTGCCTTCAGTAAGGCAGATCGCGAACTCGACTTGAGAAGCAGTCAGGAATCCTGATGCGATCCTAGCGCTTGCGGTGCGCAGAGGGTGAGGTTGGATTCGTTGTCGGCGCTGGGTCCAACACCGAGCATCAGAAGTCCGAAGATCTATATTTTCTCGTCAGCAGACCGAAGAAGGCCGCAGCGCAAAGCTGCAAATCGAAATCGACTTGCAGTGAACGGGGGACGAAGGGGGGAAATTGCGAACCTGTGAGGCATTTCCATCGTATCCAGCTTTGGAAGTAACTGCCAATGGTGGCTGGCAACGGCCCGGCCTGCCTTCATCTTGCGAAGGCTCACGATGTCCTCGACCATCACCATCATCAAAGGTCTATTGGCCAAGAGTATTGCAGGACTGAGAAACGTGACTGTGGAGATTCGAGAATGGTTTCGTTTGGTGTTTCAAGCAAAACGCCGTTCCAAGGTTCCAAGGTCAACGGGCAGAACCGTGCCAGGCAGGGACGTCCCTGTATATTAATTGCGGCGAACTATGATCTCAATCCTGGACCTCAACGGCGTCTCAATGAGGGGCATCGGACCCCCAATCTTAATTCTCTTCGACCAGGCAAGCAATTAACAGGATGAACAGCATCAGACACGCAAAGTGACAGACGAGAGTACCGGGCGTGCCGTTCTCCGAAAAGACAAGGTACGACATGGAGCACGACCACATGAACCCTCTTGGGCCGCGGCGAGAGGGATCTCCAGTAGCCAAAGATAACTGCCCAACGGAGGAGGCAAGCACGAAGAGTCACTGACGGTAGCTCCCGTCGTAGGCCTTTTTGACCGCCTGGAGCGCAACCGAGCAAGGAGGTGAGCGATTGTGATAATATACCGGACTGCATCTGCCTAGCAGGTATGTGGTACGTACCCCTCCATCTGTGACTTGCGTTTGAGGAGCATGACGCTGCTGTAGCGGAGCCGTCTCCCGCCTATGGCGACCACAGACGAGGCTGGGGTGCTTTCGAATGCCAAGGCCGCGATATTCGCTCCTCAGGCGGTCTCGTAATGCAGTGGGGTGCGGGATGTTTCTCAAGGAAATGTTCCTGAGGATCCTGATGTGGTCGTGGCGGGCGGACGGCATAAAGCGGGTTCCTTATATAGAGAATGACTCGAGTATCTCATCTTCGCCGTGGACGCTTCCTTCAAAACTCTGATCGTCTGTATTCGTCTGCTCTAGAACGAGCAACTGTGAGTGGGTTAAGTGTTTCAAGCTGCAATCTGCAGAGTCTCGTCACACCCGTTCCCGTTGTACCGGTACACTTATTGATGAAGAAGAGAGTCTTTTTCGACTAGGAACCTGCCGTATCAGTTCTAGGGACGATAAAGGATCCCTGCAACGACGCAGCCGCAAGATGTGATGTATGCAGGCCGAGCTGTATGTGGGCAAAATTGCTTCTGTCTGCAAAGCAGCAGTTCTGCTTTTGGAAGACACGGCGCCCGTCAGGATGCGAAGGCTTAGTTGAGCTAGAAAACGACACTCAGAGAAGAATGCGTGCTTTGCTCCGTGTAGGCTGTACAAAGGTAGCAAAGGCCGGCTAGGCGGCCGCGGATCGCGCTGCTCTGAAGCTGCGTGAATCAGTGGCAGCAGTCTGTGCGCTAGCGAAAATTGCAGCACTGTCGAAAGCTTGTCATTACCGCGTGCTTGGCGTGCTCTCGAGGCATGACTTGCATCAGGAACGGAGCAGCGGCAGGGGAGCCGAGAGCACGACGAAAATAGGCCGGTGTGTGCGGTGTGGTGTCTGATGTGCGATAGGAAGCGAGGAGGAAGAGTGCAAGACAGCCTCGCGGGATGGAGCGCGGTCGTGAATACTCGTGCTGGGATGGCATCGACCGCTTCCTTCGGCTGCCTAGTGCTCGCAATGCTCGTACCGGGAGCTGGCCTTGCTAAGGTCTTTGCGGAGACGTATTGCTGGAAAAGGTTCCAGAGAAACGGTTTGCCAGCCACAGGATGAAAATGGACGTCTGTTCAATGCAATCTGCTGCCGGCGAGAGGGCAGTTTCTTGGGAACGACGGAAGGGCAGATCCGATCCGCAGAGTGCAGCGCAAATGGCTGGTCTAAACACTTGGGAAGAGCGGGTTCCTGGATGCATCTGCTCTCTTGTCGAGACTACTGCAGACGCAGGTCGCTGAAGCCTTCACAGAGGGGGCGGACGGATTCGGCATGGCGCTGCGGCAGGAGGGGGGCTGGCCGCCAAGAGGACAGCGACGACGGTTGAGGACTCTGGAAGCTTGGCGAGTCTTGATTTTCAGCGAAGTCGCCCAGGAGAGCAAATTTGGGTTTGGAATGGGAAGTGGTTCTGTGCTCCAGGGCTGGTTGGGGGTGTGACGACGTGCTGGTGATGGGCGCGCGACACGAGCAGCCATGCCTATTCAGGGCTGCTACCTTCTCTTATAGCTGCTAGCGTTCGCCGACACCCGCTATAACGACAGCGATGGTTGCTATAGTACATAGAGCACGGCAGCCGGCTCGCGTGCAGTGTGCGCGCTGGAAATTGCCATCTTCATGGGCAGATACCGTTCGCAGCAGCGTCGGGGCCGCAGCCGAAGCAGCAGAGTCGCCATCGGCATGGGTCGGCACCGCCGGACGAGGGCACTCGCAGAGGGCATGACCAACTGCAATTCACGGCTTATTACGGAGTACCTCTAGAAAATTCCGCTGGAGCTGAGGCCGCAGCCACGCTCCTCGTCCGACGGCGGCTTCAACGACGGCAGCGGCCATTGGCCGGCGCTGTGACGTCTCCTCGCGTGGCCGGCCTGGCATAGCCCATGGCCCATGGCGGCAGATCCATCCCGCATCAACGCTCGTTTCGCCGTGCAGACCCTTCGCCCATCGCTCCCCGTCCCTGACGCCGTCCCACCGTCCATCGCGGTCCGCCGCCGACGAGCCCCGTCCGCGACGCTGCGGGCTTCAGTCGGCCCGCTGAGGCATCGGAGTGCGCAACAGCGTGTGAAGACAGACACGAAGAGCTGCCACCACGACTGCGTACCGTGCAGTGCAGAGCCATCCAGACAGCAACCCGTCGGGACAGGACGGCCAGCGCCCGTTGACGAGTCGCCGCAACTGCTATCTCATCTCGTTAGTCACGATGCCGTGCTCCCCGTGCGGCTTTCGTGCCGCTTGCAGCTGCCCACCGCCGAGCCCTGAGCGCTGCGCTAGCCCACCAACCCACCGTCCGCAAAGGCTCGCCCGCCAGCGACGGACGATGCGTTCACTGTACAGTACTGTACCAACCTTGGAAGTGCGCATGCCGCCGTCATGTGCGCCCGCCGATTGCATGCTGCCCGAACCGCGCTCCCCAGCGTGCGTGCTGCAGAACAACGCTGTCCGCCGCCCGCTCGCTCTGCACGCACGCCCGCGCCCGCCAAAGGAGCGCAAATCCGTTGACTCGCCAGGATAAGCATATCTATAATCGACCTCGCCTATAGACAGGGCGCGATGCAGCCGGGTGCAGCGTGGCACACCATCCCTGCCCGCCATGCATGTTCCCCACGAATCGCCAGACATGGGAGGTCAGGCCCGCGTTTCACTGCCAGGCCCGTCTGTCAATCTTTGGATGCGCCCCCGAAAGCCTAGACACCTCGCCTACTATTGGTACCTCCCTTTGGCAGGGTCCTCCTCGCTCCTGCATGTAGCAATAGCGGTTTGAAGGAGCCACACTTAAAGCAACGCATTGCCGTTTTGCCAAACACTACTGCAGGGAACGCCCTCATGTTTGACATGCCCGCCTCCCGAGTCTCACCAACCTTGCACTTCAGACAGTGAGCCACGGCCACTTCAAACAACCGGCCATGACACACATCGCCAATTGCATGCGGCCTGTTGCCGATAAATCTAATGTTTATATACCTCAGGAAACCTCCTCCAACCCATCCGTAAGTTTCTTGGAACACCTCTTCGTCCAAATGAACTACCACCTACCCCGCCGCTCCCAGTCGCTAAGGAACCTCCAGGCCGCCAAAGACTCCAAGGACGCCCTTCACACCTTGGAGAAGAGCCCCTCCATTGTGAGCCTGCAGTCACAGACCAGTGCTTCCAAGTACCAGCTGTGGCCGTCACAACCCTCTCGCAGCCCGGTGGGACTATCACGTCCAACATTGGCTTCGGACAAGCTATCCGCTCTGTCCATGGGCCGCTCTCCCACCTCACTGAGTGATACTGCTATTGCCCCCGAAAGTGTCCCCTTCTGGCAGCGGAGCGGTTCGCTGTCAAGGAGGCGCAAAGTCAGTGTACCGGAGCTCGGCAGCACTATGACAACAGTGCAAGAGATGGCCATTGATTCTCGTAAGTTCCGCTACCAATTGAGTGCATGTGCTAGGTTGACAATATACAGCTACGATTCCAGGACGGCCACCTCTACATGCGAAGGCTTCCACCGAAGCCTTTGGCCATGAAAGGTCTAGCAGTGCTCCCGGCACAAGCTGGAGGACTGGTCCATTCGGTGATGCTCTCATGTCCTGTGTCACTGGCCCTTCACCCGTACCCACCGAGCAGACGACCCCGCCCGCCACTGCAGAGACCCCCAATATCAACAAGTTGGAGGTTCCAAGCGCCCTCGGAAAGCCACTGTCACCCATCCTCAGCCCTGGCGTAAACGCAAAGCCTGCACTGAAAGTGGACACAAACAGCATTCTAGAAGGGATCGAACTTCCACCAGATGTCCCTCCGAAGTCGCCACTAACCGAACGCAAGCCATCCCCGAGCCCTCTCAAGCTCCATTCCAAGTCCAGCAAAACACAGCTGATGACCCCCGCCTCTATCACCACCCCCAGCGGAACCTCGCCTTCCAGCGCCGTGGATTCCAGACGCTCCCCGAATATGGGCCTTCCACTCCCGACCCCTCTATCGGCTATTTCCAATCCCTTCAGCGCGGGCTCGCCCTCGAGCGCAGTCGAACGCCGTGGTTCACCAAGAATTGAGAGGCGAGATCCCATCGCAACGGCCGCTACGTCCCACAACAGGAACATGTCGGAGTCGTCAGTGATGGACCGTGGTCGACCTGTTCGACGGTCGAGCAAGAGGCAACGAAGCCAGACCTGCTCAGAGGCGCCTAGCTCTGACGCATTGCCCCAGGACAATTGGAGGCTACCCAGGGGCATGCCGGTAGCGGAGGCTTCGTTGCGTATGCCCGAAGCTGATAAGGAAGTGTTGCATAAGCAAGCGTACGAACAAGCCGAGAAGTTCGAGGTCCTAAATAAGCGTGACGTCTCATCGCTGTCAAGAGTAAGCGTCCTTCCACCTGGCACTGTCAACCTTTTACTAATTACCTTCCACAGGAGCTCAGGGCGCTCGATGAGCGCTGCGACTACCTCCGCAAGACGTACAAGTCTCTGCGGGCGGGACGCCAGAAGCTCCATGGCCGCATGATCTCATATCTCAAGAGAGGAGAAACGGTCATCTTCTCGCGCGAATCCCTGCTGAAGCAGGAAGAAGCTCTCGCCGAGCTAGATATCTCAATCGATGAGTTCATCCTCAAGCTGGAGCAAGCCGAAAACCGCCGGTTGCGGCTTCGGCAAAAGCTTCTCGAGCACGTTGCCGGTGCCCTGGTCCTCAATCCCCCTTCCCTCCGCGACACGGCCGAAACCACCCCACCCAGGAGCCCCGTGAAGCTTGAGAGCCCCTCCCGAATGGACCGCAAAGACGTTCAGTCGATCAAAATCTACGCCGATGGCCACGTTCTCAGCCTCTTCTCAGACATTGAGCAGGCCATTGGGAAAATGTGCGAACAAGCATGTTGAATGAGGAACGCGAAACGACCATTTCATCCCCAAAAGCGATAAGCCGAAACGGAAACACGGCCTTACGTGGCATCACCATTAATCATCGATGAAACATGCTCTCCAAAAATTTCATTAATTCCTTTCTTCCGTTGTCGTTAGTATGTTATCACGGCTTGTCTATACGTTGGCTTCTTCTCCTGTCTTTTTACGTTGTTGAGGGATTGGCGACATCTTCTTCGCACTTGCGCATTCCTTTCGCCATACATCATTTTCTACATTTGTATCATTTTGCAAGCGATACCCGGGCCTGCATCGTTGAACGCCCGTCACAGCATCTTCAAATTTTCCTTTCTCTATGTTCTTGAGCATGAGGCGAAGTGGAGTTGATGGCTAGGGCGTTTCAAGTGTTCGTTTCCGATTGCCAATGAGAGCAGGAGCATGCATAGTAGCGTATCACGAATCGAGATCCAGGCTTCCTGCAGGGGCCTTTGAATTGAGCAAACGACTTTCCACGCCAAGTATCTTGTCCGAGAAAAAATGAATTTTGTGGCGACCTGTTAGTGACGCCATGGCGTTGTTTCAACGTTGCCCGTTGAAGCCCTCCAGGCGAGGCGATGATGTACACTGGCGACCTGTGCGGGTCGCCTCTCTCTCCGCCATGTAGCAATGTGACGGCACATTTGTAAGAGAATGATGAGCAATTGAGGAGAAGCGGGATTGATTGGCAAGGCCCTCAAACAGCGATGGGGAGGGGTACCAGAGAAAATCAAGAAATTGAATAATTAAAGTGGCTGCGGAGAGCCCGGCCTGAGGATGCGAGGATTCATGGTGCTGTAGCTCGTCTCATGTTCTGCGCGGGACGGGTCCCGGTCACCGAAGAGGTCCGCAGGCAGCACAGCGCCATTCTCCGGCGGGATGGATCAAGATGCTTCACACGATGCCTTATCCGAGTGATATTGATTAGATTCTCCTTGGCGTGAAAGTGGGGTAGAGCAGTCCCCCCGTCACTCTCTTATCGATTCTCTGTCTTCACTCCCCCGGGCGGAAGAGCCAAGCTTGAGGATGGTCTTTGGGCGAGCAGCTGAAATGAAGCCGGTGGGAGAAATTTGCTTCCCGAAGCGAGGAGTGGTGTTTCAAACGTCGTCCGTGAAGCACCTCGCTTATTCCCTGTGGCTTGTTCCTTCCCCTGTCTCCGGAGAAACTGTTATTCCGGCCGGCGCGGGGCCCAGGCCCGTGCTTGCCTATTGCGTAGAACATCAGTTTTTTTCTGCTTCGAGTGCTGCTTCCAGTCTTCAACATGTGAGCGCACCAGACATCGCCAACCATGGCCACCAACAGCATCAAACTTCTCACTGGCAATAGCCATCCCCAGCTAGCTAAGCTGGTAGCCGACAGGTACGAAAATGAGCCCTTCTACTAGACTTTGCGCGCGTCGAGTCACTCGACTCCACGCTTCTTGACCAAGCTTCAGCAGCTTGCGCATAAAGGTCTTCCTTCATTCCTTCCTGCAATGGATACATCGGTTATGCGTCAAGAGTCGGTCATGCTCCGTCAGATCTCAATGGCTTCGCCAAAGCTGGCGATCATCCACGGCAGATGGGTGGACATGCCCTTGGAACGCCGAGCATTATCGCTAACCCGATCACCAGGCTCGGAATAGAACTCACCAAAATTCTGGTCCTCCAGTACTCCAACCAGGAGACATCCGTGACCATCGGTGAATCCGTCAGAGATGAAGATGGTACGCCCACCTCCGGATCCTGACCCTCCATCGCATCACACTCCCTTCTGGAGTAAGCGCACTAGCTGACCGCTTGCCCCAGTCTTCATACTGCAGTCGACGCCACCGGGCGACATCAATGACGCCCTTATGGAACTCCTCATCATGATCAATGCCTGCAAGACGGCATCCGCGCGCCGCATAACCGCCGTGATACCCAACTTCCCATACGCGCGTCAGGACAAGAAGGACAAGTCGCGAGCTCCGATCACGGCCAAGCTGATGGCGAACATGCTGCAAACCGCGGGCTGCAACCACGTAATCACCATGGACCTACACGCCAGCCAGATCCAGGGCTTCTTCAATGTCCCGGTAGATAATCTCTACGCGGAGCCAAGCACCCTCAGGTGGATACGGGAGCACCTCAATGTAAAGGACTGTGTCATAGTCAGTCCCGATGCAGGAGGCGCAAAAAGGTACGTATCAACCTTTTTAGGCTGGGTTGGGCGTTCGGATTAGTGTCCAGCTAGCTGGGAGTTACTTCAGCTCTCAGGGCTGTCGATCACTCAGCTGAGACTGCTTCCGGAACACCTGCCTCTGCGAAGTGAGTATACTAACTCGTAGCCAGGGCGACTTCAATAGCAGATGGCCTTGATCTAGGATTCGCACTTATCCACAAAGAGCGTGCTCGTCCTAACGAGGTTTCGAAAATGGTCCTTGTTGGAGATGTCAAAGATCGCACCGCCATCATCGTGGACGACATGGCAGACACCTGTGGTACGCTAGTGAAGGCCGCCGACGTCGTGATCCAACACGGGGCTAAGGACGCCATTGCCATTGTCACCCACGGAATCTTGAGCGGGAACGCCATCGACGCCCTGAACGGCAGCAAGCTGAAGAAGGTTGTCGTTACCAATACAGTCCCGCATGCAGAGAAGAAGGAACGCTGCGACCGCCTTGAGACCATCGACATCAGTCCTACTGTGAGTAACGCGATCAAACATGTACCAAGAGTCTTACTAATATCGGATTCAGCTCGCGGAAGCCTGCAGGCGGACGCACAATGGCGAGAGCGTATCTTTCCTATTCAAGCATGCGCCTGTGGACTGATGGCTGACCGAAGATCCGTTAGATCCTCGGGCTCCGCTTGCTATAGAGGGGGAATGTGACATTTGGCGTTCTTTTGCTTCTCTGCACGATCTCGGCATATTTCTTTTCACGATTGCCGCAAAGTTATCTGCAGTCGTGAGGAGAGAGTTTGGACGAAAGCTCTAGTTCCCGGCGTTATTTCCCATTGAGGTGCATGTCCCCCTGAGGGCTAACAGCAATGGTATGCGGAGCGGGAGGGACCGCGTGAAGAATGCGTACGAAAATAATGGTGGTGGCGCATGCATTAGGGCAACTGTACGCTAAGGATGCAGAATTGCGTTCATGTCTGACACTCATGCCTCGTGCTGTGGTTCAGGTGTCACAAACAATTAGGTTTGCGTCGACTCATGTCTTTGCATGACCTGCATAGCCGCAGACATGCTAACTTCTCTTTAGTTCGAAATGGCGAAACTCTACTATTAGGCGATGGACTAGGCCAAAAGCACAACGGAGAATCTTTCCGGTAAAAGTATCGGGTATAGTGAGCATATTTTATGGTTCGAGCCCAATGCTGAGGCTTCGCCTGTTCTCGTTTTAGCTATCCTCACCACGTGCACGACAGCTTGTCTCACTAAACCATACGCAGCAGAACCGGCGATGGCCTCACAGATGCGCACTTTCGCTATCTTGTCGTCGAGCGAACCCCGTCTCGGATTCTACAGATTTTGCGACAATCCGAATTATTCCCGGCACACGGCCCTTTCGCATCGCACGGCGGACGGACCTCACGAGTATACAGGCAATCCTTGACTCTCTTCATCATGCCAAGCTTTTATTCTCCTTACGATTTCGCCATTGCTGTCTCCACTCTGCTCCACGTGGACTCCTTGCGTCCCTCAGGGCCCGGGCCAAGTAAAAGGGCGGATTGCGACATGTTGCGGCGCGACTCCGGTGCGAAGCCGATCGGGGTGCTGCTTCATCGGGGATCGGCCCGAAAGTATAGATAGGCCAACTTCACCATCGCCTTTGGTTTTATTTTTGGTGAACGGCCGTTGTTTTGGGGTCTGAGGGGTACGGCTGAGACCGGATAGGCTTGATGTGATGGGATGTGATGGGATGTGACGATCGGGAAGGGCAAGGAGACATGGATGCGTTGGGTAGTTTTGAGAGCGGAGTGGTGTGGAGTAGAGCGGGGATCAGGATCGGATGTGGGGATCCATCGTCGGAGACAAAAGTAGGCTGCGCTACATAGTGTTTCAATGCGTGGGCGCCCGTTGGGCGTCATGTTGGAGGGTTTTGAGATCTGTGGTTGGGTAGTGATATGGCGTGAGAGGGGAGAAGGGCCGAACTGAGTTGAGCTCCGCGGAGTGGGAGGGGTAGGCTCGATGCTGGGTGGTTATTGATAGTGACATATGGGTGTTCGGCTCAGTTGCTTGATCGATGGTAGGTGAGAAGGTTGGAGAGTGCAATGGCATTCTACGAGAGAGAGACATAGGTGCTGCGCCCCAGAGAAACACACCCAGGATCCTCGGCCGCTCAATGTACAGGAGTGTCCGGGATAGAAAGCGTAGTAAAACTCCAAGTTTGTCCACCGTCTATCGTCGACATTTTCCCACCGGTCGCGTTATACTGCCAGTTTCCGCTATGCCCGAAGTTCTGATCGGCCTTGTTCAGCGTGATGGAAATATCCTCCCAGCCTAGATACACATCTCTTAGCCACCACCTCAATTCATCGAATCACAGGGATGTTGAGTGAAACTTGAGGACCTACTGTGCGCTGGAGCAGCGGCACACGTGCCAGATGCACACTCGATCGAGACGTAGAATATCGTCCCGTGCTGTCCCTTGCCTGTAAAGCTGCTATCAGTCGGGTCCTGCAAATTCCAAGAACGGCCGCTCCACTCCCAAACCAAGTCTTGGGACGTACTCGTCGAGATGTTAGACACCAGCTTGTCATTGAGATACAGGTTCTGGTCCCATAGATTCGTCTGTGGGTTCAACTTGTCTGCGGGTTGCGTTAGTTGTGACGTACCAACAACAGGAGTAAAAGACAAGTCCTATGTACAATGTGTCTTGACCCGAGACCCTGGAGGGGTCATTATCGGTGCGCCGTTTTGCGGATTCGTGGAGCCTGGTCACGATCGATGCCGTGTCAGCTCCTTCTAGTGGGATTGCTCAAGCAGGTAGGTATATGAACAGTCTATCCGCACCTACGAGTGTATATGCGAAGCTACACCAGTTGCGTCCGAGGTTGGGGCAGTATCCGCTGTGCGCCAGGCGGCTTAGCTTAGCTACACGTACGTCCTTATGACCTTTACATTCCGCATCATACACACCTGCTTGGGGAGTTCTGCGTAACACCTTGGAGAAAGTCCCGTTTGTCCATCATAATGGCGCTCCACAAGGCGACATCTCCTGTGATGGGGTTGGGGACGTTTCCAACGACGAGCGTCGCGGCGGCTTCTTGGATCCAGGTACCGCTTTTGGCAGTGAGAGTGATGACATCGAGGTTGGCGTGGCTTTGGGGGAGGAGCGTTGAGAGGACGGTAATAGCTGCGTAGGAGATGCTCTTCATGGCGGTGATTCTTTGGGTTGAATGTTTGCTTGGATGAGGTGTCTGTCTATGTTGTTAAGGTGTACGATAACCTGTCCTGCGCGAGAGGGATACTCCAAAGAAGATATTTCCACAAACGGCTGGGAACGCGGTTATATGAAATGAGCCTTGTAACTGTCGCGCCGACGTCTAGGTATATTGACGCGCTTAATAGCAGACCCCATTTCCCCGCCCAGGTAGCAGGTTTCTTATTGGGAAATTGTCGTGAGCTAAAGAAGAGGAGTATGCCTGCCTTGTTTAATTGATTATATCCCATGTAAAGTAGAAGCTTGCGTAACGCGGATAAAAGCCTAAACAACCTTGGAAGTATTTACGCAATTCCCAAAGGGAAATTTTTGCACGAACCACGCAAGCAAAAGCCCATGAGAATACTACTTTGAGTGCAGTTCTTGCTTCTGTTAAGTGGTCAGCGGAAGGTTCACATAAGGCGCGGGGCAACGCACGCGTCACACACACCATAACCACGCGGCCATCTGGTTGAATCCGATCTCAGCAAGGCCATAGGGAAGAAAGCCTCCGTTTTGTCACTCCCTCGGTTCCAAAATCTACAACAAAGCGGAATCTCGTGTGTAGTAAACCGAAAGGACATAATTGCTGCCGTAAGGTCCCAGTTTTCCTTTCCCTTTTTGCACTCCACCAACGCCTCTTGTCATATCGAATGCTTTGACAATGGGGGTAGAATGTTCAGGGGTCTGAAAAAGTCCATAGACAAGGCCGGCTTGTTTAGCTACTCCGTGCAGTGGCCTTTGGTATTCCAGAGACCCTGCCGACGGACCAAGGACTGTTCGCCCGGTTTCCTGGTCGCTGGGCTTCAACTAAAGGAAAAGCTACTATGCTCCGATTGTGTAGGGAAATGAGCTTCAGGACCTTGATTCTTGAAGCTGTGTTTATGGCTATGCCTGCTATCAGTCCAGCCCGAAGAATTGGCTTCCATGCACGCACCCCGTCACCCGTCTGTTCTCGGGAAAGAAACAAGAAGCAAGAAACGTATACGTGATATCCTGCTCATCCGTCCATTTGACTCTGAAGAATGAGCTTCCCCACCCCGATGTGTAAGGTCTAGTGAAACGGTGATTCCATGGCTAGCGTCTCTCCACTATGTAACCCATTCTCTTTCCAGCCGAAAGCGGCGGCCATATATGCACATACCATCGTACAGTTATAATGTGTTACACCTATCATTTGCAGTACGTCCCTCTCATACCTCTTCATACCCCCTCATAGCTTCTGTCCCCCTCCTCTCGATATAATACCCCGGATCTGGCCGCCTCGCAGCGCGCATCTGCTCTTTCGTCATCGCGTGCTCCACCTCCTTCACATCCACAAGCTCCTTTATCCTCATTATCTGGCCGGCGACGGATTGGCTGACTGGGTAGTAGACAGTCGTCATGCGCTTGCGGAGGCCGAGGGCTTTGAGGACGCCCTGGGTTTTCGGCGGGAGGCCGATGCCCGAGCGCATCAGAGTGATTCGGAAGTACGACATGGCGAGGGTACGGTTTGATTGCGTTCGCGTATGGAGGGTTTATGAACGGTGGCTAGGATAATCGAGGGCCGCTTGCGCTGGATGCGTTTGGTGGTAGAGGCTGGCGGATCTGTTCAAAAGTCAATTGACCCATCGCATCTTAATTCAAAATGCTTTCGTACGGTTGCCGCGTATACTAACAATGGTGGGTCGTTTGCGCGATGGCGGGAGTTGTCGTGAACTTTTCGAGGTCGAGCGACGAGAAAGATGATCCATCCCATTTGGGACTAGCGCCATTCGCGGAACAAAAGCCGATCCACATGCCCGGAACCCTCACTCCTTCCGACTCCCGTCCATGCCTTGCCTCAGGAATCTAAAGATCAAAGCCTAGTCATCCTTGTTGGTCAGAGTAGCGGTGAGTCGCGGTTGACAGGTGTCCAGAAGAAGCCGCATGCACCCTTCCGTGCCTTTCGCACTCTGCTGCAGCCTCCCTCGATCTTCCGTGGATCAGGATTGTCAACCGTTGACTCGGAAGGCTCCGCACGTTGAGGCCTACATGCGGTGAGTCTCGTCGTCAATCGGCGAATAGGGTACCTTGACGCTTGGTATGGCCACTTCGAGTACGTATCCGTTTGCCTGTGCAACCTGCCACTCAAAGAGGAGCAAGGAAGAGTGCAGGGCGGCGAAAATGACGAGCTATTCAGTCAAACAGCGTATGTGAAATGATTTTCCAGGTCCAATTGGTGCTATCTCGCGGTTAAGAGCGATAACTGCGGGGAGGCTCACTCAGTTTACGATGTCTCAGTCTGTTCGCTCTTGTCATTTCCTCCTTAGCCCCGTATCTCCATGTCTGCTTTGTTTGGCTCTCATTCTCAGCCAAGCATGGAAGTGGTTTCTTTCGTCCTTTCTAGTACTGGAGTAGTGGCATATATGAGCAAGATTGACAGTCACGAGCACCCACGCTCACACGTATAGCCTAAGACGAGCTTCCAGACGCTTCAAGCATGGATCTCCAAGATCTCCTTGTCTTGTACACGCTTCTGCTAGGATCCGAGTGTCCGGACGCTATCTGCGCACCAAACGGCTAACAGTGGAGAATCCCAGTGCCACTCGGACCTCTGACATCCTGTAGAACAAGACACCAATCGTCTTCCGTCCTCTTGGGTTCCCGACCTAAGTATGTATCCGACAGGACGCTTCGGTTACTCTGCTCGGGGCAGACTTCTTGCATGCCGACGCTTCAACGCGTCTGCCTTTCTTTGTCCTTCTCCTCATGTTCGGACGAGCGCGTTTGGCAGCCTTGTGTTCCCGTCGGCTTGTGGAGTCTCGAGTTGTAAACGTAGACTGCCGCCTACGGGAGGAAATATGACAAGAGCAAGTTTTGGAATGGACCTTCGACACCGGTTGAATGGCACACTTCACCGCTTGTTTTTCAGTGGGCTATTTAGGTGGGCAGGATAGCTAGTTTTGATGGAGCTTTTCACCATATCTCTGATTTCGTTCCGAACGAACATTATCCAGAGCTATCTTCATCCGCTCTTGATCTATACATCGCATCTCCGTTCCGCTCTCTTTTGGACTGCATTTCGAACTATCTCTGCACTCGGAGCGTCGACCTATCTCGCCCGTTCAGACACAGAAGGCATCAAGTCTTCCTCTTCCATCACCACCATCTACCGGCTCCCGCGACCATGTCAGGTAAGCAGCTCTCATCCCTCCTCATCCCACCCATCTCACCCTCCACAGCAATCTACTCCACCCTCCCCTCAACGCACCCTCTTAGCCCAAGCACCCCGCAACCCCCACCAACCGCCATCCCACCCCTCGTCTACCGCGTGCACCGCTCCTCCGCGCAGACCCGCTACCACTTCAGCACGGGCTTCTCCGCAAAGAATCAAACCACAATCGTAAACTACACCTCCGCCCTCTCTCGTTTCGGCCTCGCGCACCTGAACCACCAAACCAACATCTCCAGCCCCTTCATCAGCGTCTACGACAACCTCGCGCACGCAGAAGCCGTCGCCAAGCACTTCGCAAGCAAGTATGGCGAGGACACGCTGGTCGTGACGGTCGATACGAAACATTTTGCGCGGGGCCCTGTGTTTCGCGCCGCGGATCTGCTGGAGAGAGAGGCGGAGAAGGGGGCTGCCGAGGGCGTGGAAGTCCCGCAGGAGAAGGTGTGGTTGCATTGGGGCGAGTACCTGGTCATGTATCGGATTCCGGCGCAGGCGATTCGGGATCAGACGCCGGTCGCCAGAGGGGAAGAGCAGAAGTGGAGGGCGGTGGGGGTTATTGGGGGCGCGTGAGAGACGGTGGGAAGGGGTGGTGAGATGATGGAAGGGGGTGGGCGGTGAGAGTCGGAGTGTGACGCGCTCTGGATGTTTGTGCATTATTCTTGCCTCTCCTTCCTTTTCCCTTTCGCATTGCTTTACATCGTGGCGTCTTCTTTGGCTGGACTTCAGCGGTCTTTCAGTGGCTCTAGCTTATCCTCGAATGCCCCTTTCCGTCTGTGTAGGATAGCATTAGCATCTCCTCTCCTCTCCTTCTTCCGCCTGCATACGCCGGAGTTGGCTTTCCATTTCCCGTCCCGCATATACTGGCGTTCCGCTTCTCTCTTTGTCAACTGGCTAGGTGTTCGGATTGCGCTGTTACCCCCTTCATACGAAGCACAGTATCTTAAAGATGATATTATGGTAGTGAATTCAAGAAACGAATACTCATTCAGCGTCATGCATAGTTAGTTATTGCAGAAGTAGCTGACCATCAGCGCCGGGTCCTAGGCTGAGTATAGCATCGGAGCATGACGCATCGAACAGGCGCCTGGGCCCCTGGCAACATACGTCCCGTGTTCCTGCCAAGAGGTCCCAATCTACCCTATCTTTCACAGATCCACCGTTTACACCCGTACCACATCCCCCGGACTCGGTGGCACATCACCCTTCTCCCACTCCAGTAGCTCGCTCCCCCGGTACAAACTCCATAACTCCATCCTCGACAATAACATCCTAATGCTCGAACAATTCTGCTCCCGCTCCTCCCCATTGACAAGATTCCGCGCGATATCCGGAGCGCTATTAGCGTTAAACCAAAACATGTCCGCTAAATGGACTCTAGAGTCCTCCAAGAACAAATAGTACTCCCAATTCAGCCTTTGGAAGAGTCGGTCTGGATATCGTCATGTACTACGGCCTGGCCGGCATTCGAAAACAAAACGCAGGGACTGTGCGGAGCGCTCTTTGCTTGTGCCCATATATTATTGCTCTATGCTAAGCCTACGAGGTCATCTAGCACTCTTCCATCGCGATTCTCAGTCCACTGCACCGTTCTGCGGCGGAATAATCTCACCGTCGGCCGTAATTTGATGACCCATGCCGACCGTTTGAATCTCCTGCTCCTCTTCGACTTCTTCCTCTTGCACCTCGCTCACTTGCACCTGCACTTCTCGCACCTGCACTTCATGCATCTGCACTTCCCACACCTGCACTTCTCGCATTTGCACCTCTTGCGCCTGCTCCTCTAGTACCACCGCCTCCTCGTCTTGCACCTCCTCCTCCTGCGCCTCCCAAGCTGTCTGTTCGGCGTCAGCCTGGGCTTTCCTCAAAGCCCTCTCGCTGGCACTTGTCCCCAAGAGCTCGCTAGACTGTTGAGACGGCCTCCAGGGATTGTAGCTTCCTTCGTCCGCTGGTTGAGACGGCTGACCCTGATTCTGTTGTGCAACGACCCTCCGAGCATGTGCCCGTCCCTCAATTATGGACTGGTCGCGCAGAAGGATATCCAGGTCCAGGGACTGCCTCCACGGAGCAGCAGCCTCTCCTGCACCTTGCTGTGAGGATCCTCCTGCTGAGGGTCTTAGTATACCTCGGGGAATAGATGTAGCAGAGCTTCTTCGATGCCGCGGCTGAGAGCCTTGTGACAACCATACTGGCTGCTGCGAGCGTTGCCTCTGTGGTGTGGATGCTGAAGGACCTCCGCGCTGTTGCGGTGATGTCGTCTGGCTCGAACGCCGCGGCCGAGGTAAAGAGGAACGCGGTTGCTCCTCGCGTGGAGATTCGCCTGCTCCTTGACCGCTACTGGACGATTGGCTCGACGAGGTGCGCTTCTTTAAAATGCCTTTGGAGATGCTTGGACGTTTGCCAGCCACCTTTGGGGACAGCACGCTGTCCGATCGCTAGCCGGGCCGCATTCTGTACCCCGTGATCATGTTGACGTACATGCCAGGCATTGTGTGTAATACCCGGGGATGCTCGCAAAATAACCAGTTATTGACCTCGTAGGTTTTCACCGCCTTCTCGTACATTTCGCGCTCTCTGATAGGGGATGGGCTTTCTTCTTCTGCTGCAGCGCTCACAAGCTCTACGAACTCTTCGAATTCGCGAGTACGTCGACACGACGCGAGACCGTCCCATACTAAGATGAGCCAGACGGGAAAGAAGGTAAGAGCAATCTGGCGGAGGTTCCTAAGCTTCTTCCTCCAGCCTTCTTCAAAGAGAGAGAACCAGATGGGCGTAAGTACCAAGACTGGGAGGAAGCTGAGCAACATCATAAACATGCATTTTCGACGACGGTCCTGTAGCTCGATAATTGTGATAGCGTGGGCGGTGTCCATGGTACTCCGCAGTATCTTCTTAGCTGCCTCGTCGTCGAAATGATGGAACGAGAGATTGAATAAACGGAATATGCGCTTCGAGTCGTCTGCAAAGGATATTCTTCCAGCGGCACCGCTGCTCATAGCAACGGTCGGAGGATCAGCGGCGTCGATTGGGTAATCGATGACCCGCAAATGTTTCGAGCTCGCTGTATGCTCCATCCACGCCTTGGGGTTAGGGTGGAGATCAGAAATCGTGAACTGAAGGGGCTCTTCGCCTTTGCTTGCCCGATCTCGGTTGATAAGCCGCTCGAACACAGGTGTTGGACCCCCGCTACCAGAGCAGAACTCGAATATTTCGAGCCTGCTGGCAGCCATGGAGGCGACCTCATTGACAATGTCCGTCAACTGCCAGCAAGCAGTGAACGCAGGTGGGTACAGCTGAACCAAGGGTATTTTTCGTGTCCATTGCTTAGTGAGCGTGTTCTGGCACGTATTGATGATCACTTCGGGCATCCTGTTGTAGGTTAGTCACCTACGATTAGAATATGCGCTAGGAAGGTGCACTGAGACTGACCAAGTCATGTCGCACCACTCTCGTGCTCTGTAGGCCCTCTCATCATATAAAGCATCGGGCCTGGGAACCAGTTTGGACAGCAGCATCTGCAGTATCGCCCCAATGGTACCAGACTCGGGAGTAATGTCAGCAAAAGGTGCGATCGTAGCAGGCCCAGATTCCGGTGGAGGCTTATGTGCCTGCTCTTCCGGAGGCGAGGATCGAGTGAATAGGGACATTAAACGACGTGGGTTCCGCAAAGGTAGACTTGGGGGTTGAAGCGGCCCGATATCACGTGCTGGGCCAGGCAGCTGCTGGTCCAAAGGCGACACGATCGACTCCACCCGCGCTTTCCCCTTGCTCTGGGGCTGGTTGAAGTTGAAGTTCTCAGAGAAATTGCCAGTGCCTGGGGCATGGCTTCCCCCTTCGGTAGACTCGACAGAGCGGGCCTGATATCGGTGACGGTCTTCGGGTCCTTCCGATGGACTACTGGGATCTGGGTGAGACGCTGCATGAGAACCATCCTGCGCATTGTCCTCTGAGGCCCCTTCGATAGAGTCATTGCCAGATCTCAACTGACGGCGACGCAATTCGGATCCCCCGTGGTCATCGATGTTCCTCATGTTGTCGACAATGAAAGGTGAAGCCGGTTGGACCTCTGGTGCAGCCGTTTCGACGGCGACAGCGCTTGCTGCGCCTTCTCCTGTGGTAGATGAGACCTCAGGCATGCTCGGCGAGGCTGGTTCGTTATTTGAGTCTAGTTCTGCGAATTCTTCCCCCAAGGCATCATGTAAGCTCAGAGCTGCCGAATGAGTAGTTGAGGTGCTCGTGCTCTCTGGGCCGCTTCCTTTTCTGACCGTTAGCAATCAAGGCTTGTTCGGAAATTTTCTGTGGCTACCAGGACTCATCTCCAGGCTCGAGACGGGGTCAACTGATGTAGCGATAGACTTGTAGAGATGGCTTGTTTGGAGTAACGATAGCTGCGAACGTGTGCGCGTTTTGGCGACGAGAGCCCAAGGACAAGAAAACATTGACTTACCTGTGCCAAAGGCTCCTGCAGGACTTGTTCAGAGCAAGGATAATTCGTGTGCATTCGTGTGGAAGTGACATCTCGAAGTCGACGACGCAGGCGCGTTTGTGAGGTTGACTTGAGACAATAGCGTCTGGAGGTACTAGCGCAATTGACTAATGCGGTTAGATCACCTTTCACGTCGTCATGCGGTATGAGCCTTGCAAATATCTGGGGATGCGAGTACTGTGGGAATAAGTTTGGAATGTAACTTTTATTCCAAAAATTTGGTCGATTGTGATCAAAGTACACGGAACGATGCTATCTTCGATCGGATTTTGAAACCTTCAGGAACCCCTGGTGAGTGGTTCATGTAAGGATACATGCGACCCTGCAGCGTCTTCTCACTCCCGCATCAGATTTGGCTGTACCATTTCATCTAATGTCGAAGGTTCTTCAAGGCGTACGCGGCAATCTCGCGAACGGATACACATAGGTGGTAGACTCGTCCCACACCTGAATGTGCTATGAAAGGGACCCCTTTCATGATAGCATGTTCAATGGGAACCTTCGAAAGCTAGAACGTAGCTAGTTCACGAAGCTTCGGCTTCTAGCGTAGAACGTTGCGCTGAAGGGTGCCTTTCCACTTCTACCCCTATGCTCTTCTCCAGTTCTCATTCGCAGGACGAGGTATGCAGCCATTTCGGATCGTCCGAGACAGATCTGCAGCCACAGCCATAGCCACACTCAGCCACAACCCAAAATCTCGGATATCGCAAGTTCAGCCGAACAGCCAACCAATCCTTCAAGATGCTCACCATCCACTACCTATCTTGCATCTGCACGTAAACTCTCCCCTGAATATTGGACAACACTCCAGCAGACTCCTCAACACCGTCATCTCAACATCAAACCGTCGCATCCAGCGCATCCGCCTCCCAAACGCCTCGCAGCAAGCCATCTCTATTTTTAACCCCACACAGAAAACTCTTCCTTTCCTTGGTTCGAGTGGGACCTCGCGTTTGAACGCTGCCCCTACTCGTTTGATCCTCGGGCTCGCACTCGCACTGGCTGCAAGTGCCATCACAGTGGCGTTTTCTTGCCGTTCGAGAACCGAAACAAACTCAGCGGGGCTTTCTGTCTGGCGCTCGAAACTGCGAAACTGCAAAACGTCAATGCGAAACGAAGGGCACGTCAATGCAAAACAAATGCTCGTTTGACACATGTTTTGACAGGTCGATGGATCGTGTTAGGCATCATTTGACAGAGGGCGCTTTATGCCTGAGGTGGCAAGCGTCAAAACTGTCAGCAAGTAGGGGCATAGCATTATCGATAACCCACTACTGCAGGCATCATCATCGTCAACACTCGGCGTCTTGCGTCTGATGATGGAATCTGCCAAGCAAAAAGGCTTCCATCCAAGCGCAAGTATCATTCTCCCAAACCAGGAAATCCTCCATGTGAGTTAGTGAGCGCCCCCGCCCAGCTTCCACCCTCAACATCACGCAACTCAGCTCCCGGCTCGTTCCCAGCTCGCTACACAAGCCCGCCACCTGAACCACTCCACCGCAGCCATCTCCCCTCCTAAGCCTATACCCGTCTTAATCCCTCCAAAAAGCACCTTCCCGAGCCCCAGTGACATCATCACACGTCCAGCGCCTCGGACATAATCATCTGGTGAGCCAATAGCCAAATTATCTGATACGAAGTTGCAACCCCGTAACTCGGACCGAGTCCGCTCGTCAAAGCCTACTCTACCCGTATAGCGCTTCGTATAGCGCTTTAATATCAGCAGCCGGGGCTTGCGCAAAGGCCGATTGATCGGCTGTCGAACTGAAGATCAGCGGTTTGTCGATCGCACTTTGGGCCAAACAGGATTTTGATTTTGCCGCATTCCATGCGTCTTCAATCTGGGAACATGGTTTTTGCGGGCAAGGGACAACCAGGGTCTGAGGGGGATTGGCGGTGATGTTCGTTCTCGGAGAATTGAATCTTGGAATTCTGCATTTTTGCTTGAGTGCGGCCGAAAAGGGCTACTCGATGCGGTTACGGTTGCGGTTCTCCCCCTCCGCTCCGCTCCCGCTTGGGAAATGCGATATGTTACCCGGCTCAGGATATGCGAGTATATGGTGGTGGGTATACCCTTCTCAGGGGTATAATATATTTACATGATTAAGTAGTGGTTAAATAGTATATGATGCGATGCGATATGCGATGCGATATGCGATGCGATATGCGATGAGCCTCCGTGGCGTATGTCATGCGCGTGCTATGGTATCATGAAAAGACAACACCAGAAAATGCTGAGGGAAAACGCCAAAGCCAATGTCCGTGCCTGTACCGTGATGCTTGTAATGCTGCCTCCGAACGCCTTGAACGATGATAGTGCTTGGTGATCAGTTACTGTCCTCGCTAGTAATCGCGTCGCTTGCCGAAGACGATGTTGACTTGTCGGAGGGTAGTGACCCCAGCGTCCACCTCCAGTCTCTCCTTCGTTTCCGGCGCCCCGCGACAGGCGTTTCGGGACACGAATCGCTCTCCGACTCCGAAGAGTCGCGCTTGTCTCCTGCGCGCGGGCCCTTTGGCCGAGGCGAGCCCTCAAGCGATGAGAAGGCGGAGGAGCTAGACGGTTCGGATGGTGACTGGACGGAAGGCGAAGAAGGCTCGCCAGAGGATGTGAAAGCGACAGACAACGAGGCTGCTGATGATTCTGATTCTGAAGATGCGGCGGTAGAAAGCGAGGATATTGTCGACTGGGAGGACTCAATATCGGAATGCGCCAGCGTGTACCTGACGTTCTTGATCTCCTCTTCTAGCGGAGTTCGGAAGGAGACCTTCTTCTCCGCCGGGAACAGCGGCCTTGCTGCCGCCATTCTCCGCGGTTCGAGCGCTCGCGCGGGGCTGTTGGAGAGGATTGAAGTGAGGTTGTGGGGCTGCTTGTACGGGATTACGATGGTGGCGGAGTCGGTCGAAGCGGATGTGAGAGACGAGGATGGTGTTGCTGCCGAGCTCGGGGTTGAGGACTCGCTCGAGGTCTTGCAGGTGCTGTCTATAGAAAGCCGCGGCTTTGACGGGCGAGCGAGGACTGGCGCGGCGGAGGCAGGCGGCTCGTAGGCGTTGGAGAAGGTGTTGCGGATGGTGGGCGAGACGGCGCTCAGGGTCTCGAGGCGCAGGCTGGAGCCTTTGTAGCGGTGCGTGGTGCTCTGCGTGTCGAGCCGCAGGCGGGGCCGCTGGGGGAGGGTGGTCTGCCGCTGGGGTATTATGGGCAGCGAGGTGGTCATGGTGTGCGGCAGGTGATCTCCGTATGAGGGCGGCATGGAGTGTGATATAGTCGACAGCATCATGCGAACGGATCGAGATTCGGGAGGTCTTCGTGACCGGCGTCCTGGGAGCAGCGGGCGCAGATAAGCCTTAAGAGGGGAGCCGTCAGCGCTCTCGGGGGGGCACTCAGGTGCACGGCGTCGGTTCGTATTCTGGGGGATTTGGCTGCTGATGGGCCGGGGTAGGGTGGGAGCAAATGCGAGCGCTCACGAGCGGGTGATTGACGATATATACCAAGCGGCGGCAGCCAGCACGGCGGGCCTCTTGGGACGCATGGCTTCGGAGGCTATTTTTCTCGCGCACGGAGGTGGTCTTGACGGACTGCTGGGATGGCGTAGGCGCTTGAGACTCCCGTTTCAGCGACGCAGACGGGGACGCCAGCCAAGGGGCGCCCTGCAGCGATCTAAAAGCGGCACAGCTATTTTGGGCGTCGCCACCGCTGCACCCTCACACGCCAGCGCGAGCCGCGCAGCCTGGCCCCTGCGCGCGCTCGCTGCCCTTCGAGAAGACGTCCCGCGGCTGGGCCTCGTCCATGTCGTCCAGTGTCGTCCAGTATTGCCAATAGCGCCATCGCAGGACCCGCCGCGGCCGGCCTTGGCATCGAGACTGCTTCACGCGCGTTTCGAGCCTGCGTTCCATCGCAGCCGTTGCGTGCGCGTCTGCGACTGCACCCCAAACCCGCGAACCGCCCATCCTCCACCGACGTCTCCGCACCAGGGCGCTGGGCGTGATGGACGGGCCTCGAAGGAAGAGGCTCAAGCGACAGGCCGACTCCATCATCATCCACTTTGTATGTCAGCACGAGCCCAGGCAACCCGAAGCGGCCCAGCAAGCAAGCACTGCCCTACCTCGCAGCTGATCCCCGAGCCTCACGTCGTCGTAATGCAGTACAGTAGTCTGGTCTGGTCTGGTTTGGTCTGGTCCTTTCCCCAGCGCCGAATGTGCTAACGTGTTCTCTGTGTCTTCCCTAGGACTACGTAGGCATCTCAGTCACTCCGCTTGGAACACAGTTCGGCTTTGCTCACCCAGGACAAGGACTGCTTCTACGCCAGCGTTTTCGAGGCTGAAACTCCGTCGCTGCGATCACGCCCGCTGGCTGTGCAACAGAAACAGATCGTAGTCACATGCAACTACGAGGCACGCCGCAGAGTTCGTCTTCCCGTCTGTTGTCATCTGTCTCGCGGCGGGCGGGCGAACAAACAGTCGGCTGGCGCAGGCTGCTTCGAATCAGAATTCGACGCTTTTCCCACATTTACCTGCTTAGGCAGCAGAGACGATTGCTTGTTCGCTCGCCCGCGGTCGTCCTGATCGGTATGCTCGCGGCGCTGTCAGCCTTTGCTGACTTGCGCAGGGCTTGCACAAGCTGCAACTCATCAAGGAAGCGAAGAGAATCTGCCCGGATGTAGTCATCGTGCTGGGTGAGGATCTCACTCGGTTCAGAAACGCCTCCAAAGAGCTCTTCGCCCTTCTCAGGTCTTACTCTTGGAACGCTCGGTGTGAGCGGTTGGGCTTTGACGAGGTTGGTTTCCCGTCCCTTCGTAAGCTTTCCTTGTGTCTTCACTACGCCGCTGCTATTATTTTCCTGCCTGAGACGCTCCTTTTTTACTTCCCGTCCTCACTTTCGGCTCCAGCATCTCACACGCGGACGGTGAACAACCACTAAGATGCGTCCGATAGGTCTGGATGGACGTGACTGATGTGATCGACTATAATTATGCCATTCTGAACCCGAACGACCTTACCAACTCGTTCTTCTGTCTCTCCAAAAATGACCCTGAGGCGGGCTTTCCGATTGATGCCTCCACAGTGACTGGTTCGACGTATCCAGCAACATCGACTGATTCTACGGGTAAGCTTTCTGTATGCCTTCCTCGGCGCATAGGACGGGATAGCACGGACATGAATCTGCGTCCTCTTGTTATCGATTGCTCTCGCTTCTATTGCGGCTATGCCATCAACCATTTGGTCGATACTCACCGCCAAGACTGCCAGCTAGAGAGCAACCCGTTCGACCCGCTCGAGAGGCACTCTCTGGACGGAGGCATGCTTAGAGCATGTTCCAGCCCGCGCGCCGCCTTCTCATCATTTTCTGTCTTTCGATCGAAGACGCCGTTAAATCCTGCCGTCTTACTAAAGCGAGGCGCTAACGTGCAGTAGGCGCCCTGTCGGATTCGCTGCGGCTACGCCTGCATCTAGCATCACACTTGGCGGCGCATCTGCGAGGAAAGCTTGAATCGGAGAAAGGCTACACCTGTACGGTCGGCATTTCCACCAACAAGTTGCTCTCCAAGCTCGTCGGTAACCTGCATAAGCCCAACGGCCAGACAACCTTACTGCCGTCGTACACCTCTGAGGACGGGGACGATGCTGTTACCTCCTTTATAGACGGTCATGAGGTTGGAAAGATCCCGGGTATCGGCTTCAAGCTTGCACAGAAAATCCGTGCTCATGTGCTGCAGAGGCCCGTCGACTTCGACGCTGGTCTCGTGTATGGTGGGACTAAAGAGAATGTGTTGGTAGGAGACGTGAGAAAGTACCCCGGCATGGGTGCAGAAGCGCTTGAACAGATCCTTGGAGGTCCAGGTACCCCGCATGGCATCGGCGCTAAGATATGGGGGTTGTTGAACGGGTGTGACGACACGGAAGTCGGGCAGGCGCGCGAAGTTCCCAAGCAAATCAGCATCGAGGATAGTTATACCCGCCTTGATTCTCTAGATGAAGTGATTAAGGAGCTGCGAATGCTGGCCAAGAGCTTGCTCAGGAGGATGCACGCAGACTTGCTCGAAGCCGATGAAGACGTTCGGACGCCTGAGGACGATGTCGACAGCGCGGCAATCGCTCCGAAACGTTGGCAAGCCTTTCCGAAGACTATCCGCCTCTCGACCCGTCCGAGGCCCCCACAGAATGCGGACGGCAGACGTAACCGCTCCTTCGCGCGCATCTCTCGTTCAGCACCAATGCCAAACTTCGTGTTCAATTTCAAAGAGAGCGTTGACGCTTTGTCAGAGCGCCTGGTAACAGAGACTTTGGTTCCATTGTTCCGCAAACTACATCCTGAGAAGAGCGGCTGGAACCTGAGCCTGGTCAATGTTGCAGCTACAAACATGGTGGATGCGGCTAGCGAGAAGGCCGGCGTGGGTAGAGATATCGGGAAGATGTTTAAGCGCCAGGATGACGTGCTGAAGCAGTGGAGGGTCGAGGAACCGAGTGACACCGTGTACGCGGCCAAGGACGAGCACAATCAGGTAGCGATGGGAGAAAGCGAGCATGAAGAGCTGATGCTTCCGTCCGAAGTATCGAAGCTCCAAAAGGGCAGAGGAGGCTCCGAAGACGTGCCGACGCCGTCGCAAGAAGACAACTTCGCCACGCACGACCGCTGGGAATCTGAAGACGAAGACATGCTAGATGACGAGTCGTACCGATGCGAAGAGTGTGGAGCAGTGATGCCCCTCTTTGCGATGGGCGCTCATGCCCGCTGGCATCAGAATTAGTCCCGGTTATGTGGAAATTATGATACCCAAATAGATCTTCAATACGATCCAAAGTCCAGATCTCAAGCCGTGAAACAGTCTCAAGATACGAGCGTTCGCCTCTCGATAGCTCGGGATGACTAGTGGTGGCTTGATGGTTATCGACAGCTGTCTTCTGTAGCTTCCGGGTGGCTTTCGTGAGCTAAAATTGGGATCTGCTCACCCGCCAGAGTCTCCTCCTCGAAGCGCAAGTTCCGCCGCAGAGAATGCAATGTGATCTCAAGCAATATCGAGCCCAATCTCAGACCATGAAGTTTCGCAAGATCCTCCGGAAGTAGTTGTGATACCTTCCCCATTAAGCCATGACAGCATTCCAGAAAAGGCATCGACGCCGTTGCATGTGTGCACGAGCCCCGCCTCGGCAAGTTTACCGCAAGCGTGGGCATGTGAAGGCGATGTGAGCTTGACGTAGCACTGTCAACCTGCGATCACACCAACCTTATTTCACGCGCTCCTACGACTCCTACGACTCCTGCGATGCAATTCTTTGCTCTCCAATTGGTGTTTACGTGAGTCAAGCTTGGGAGAGCAAGATGCCGGGCTCGTCAAGGCTACCCGTCAGTCTCCGCGAGACGTTCAACGCGCGGAAGCGCTCAGTGAGGGGGCAGCAGCTTGCGGCGCTGAATATCGATCTGTATGCTTATCTATATTCCGTGAGTGGATGAGACATGTACTAATTGAGGTGCGCACGCAGTCTTAGGAATATCATATTCATCCTCTTCGTCCTCCGTTGGACGCGCAAACTCTTCTACCAGCTCAAAGGCCGCGGCATCATCGGCTCCGTTGTCGACGTCTACACATACGTCCGGCACACCCTCTATGGCGTCTTCTTGCGTCTACCTGGCGTCCGCACAAAAGTTCAGACGCAGGTCGCGGAATCGATACTTAAACTCGAGCGCAAGCTCGTTCCTTCCGGTCCGGGCGTCGTGAGGATTACCAGTCTTCCAAGCGAGGGATGGAGCGAAGAGGAGGTGCGAACAAAGCTGCAAGAGCTGGCAGATATGGATCATACCCGCTGGGAAGATGGGAGGGTTAGCGGGGCGGTGTATCACGGTGGAGATGAGTTGATAAAGCTGCAGACGGAGGCATTTGGGAAGTTTACGGTTGCGAATCCGATTCATCCTGATGTGTTTCCCGGTGTGAGGAAGATGGAGGCAGAGGTTGTCGCTATGGTATGAGGAATTGGCAATCCTGAGATGTGCGAGAATTGGAGAGCTAACAAGCAATAGGTCCTTTCGCTGTTCAACGCTCCCGAAGGCGCCGTAGGCGTCACAACGAGCGGCGGCACCGAATCCATCCTCATGGCCTGCCTCTCCGCGCGCAACAAAGCCTACCAAGAACGCGGCGTCACCGAGCCCGAAATGATCCTCCCCGAGACCGCACATACGGCTTTCCGCAAAGCAGGCGAATACTTCAAGATTAAGATCCACCTCGTAGCCTGCAAGGCGCCGTCCTACAAAGTTCACTTGCCCTCTGTTTCGCGTCTCATCAATCCCAATACCATCCTCCTAGTCGGTTCCGCGCCAAACTTTCCCCATGGCATCATCGATGATATCTCTGGTCTCTCGAAATTGGCGCATAAGAAGAAGTTGCCACTTCATGTAGACTGCTGTCTTGGCTCGTTCATTATCCCGCTTCTACCCAAAGCAGGTTTTGACTCCGAGCCCTTCGACTTCAAACTCAAAGGTGTGACTAGTATATCCTGCGACACACACAAATACGGATTCGCGCCGAAGGGGAACAGCACCGTGCTATACCGCTCCGATGACTACCGCAAATACCAATATTTTATCAGTCCCGATTGGTCCGGCGGCGTATACGCTTCTCCCTCGATCGCGGGATCAAGACCTGGCGCGCTGATTGCAGGATGCTGGGCTAGTTTGGTCAAGCAGGGCGAGAGTGGATATGTGGATGCATGTCATAAGATTGTGGGCGCGATGAAGAAGATCGAGGGCACCATTCGCGAGCGGCCTGAACTCTCCACAGACCTCAAAGTCATCGGCCGACCCCTCGTCTCCGTCGTTGCATTCCTCTCGAACACGTTGGATATTTACGACATCGCAGATGGTATGTCTGAAAAGGGATGGCATCTCAACGCCCTCCAATCACCCCCAGCGATCCATATAGCTGTCACTTTACCCATCGTCGCCGCTGTTGATAAGCTGATCGACGATCTGGTCGAAGTCACTGAGGAGGTTAAGGAGAAGGAGAGAAGGCGGATAGCAGAGGGGAAGGGAGCGAAGGGAGCGGTCAAGGGCGATGCGGCGGCGCTGTACGGTGTTGCTGGGAGCCTGCCAAATAAGAGTGTGGTTGTGGATTTGGCGAAAGGGTTCTTGGATACCTTGTATAAGGCCTAGGGTTTCCGTCGGGTCCATTGTTATATCTTACTAGAATACTAATGGGTTGATAGCGTTCCAGAGCGTGTATACAACCTTAAACCTTAGAATGATTGATCGTACGTGATTGGGCTGATGTGAACTAGGATTTCATAGGCTCGGTCCGTTGAATGTTGTACACCATGGTTCCATAATACAGATATTTCTACATGTCTACGATGGGTTGGTTGAAGGTATTCGTGCAGCTGTCTCCTCTAGTGGGAGCTTCTTCCTCGGTCTCTTCAGGTCTGCTTCTGTTACTCCGTTCAGTCCAACCGTCGTTATACCCATTTTCGGCGGGTCGCCCTTCTTTACAAACTCATACAAACCTGCAATATGTTAGCCATGACGCCTCTCCGATCCCAACAACCCATTACTCACCAGGCAGTTTATTCCCCGCCAACCTAAACGCATCCCGCACAACCTGCTCATGCAAATCCCCCTTAATCTCGAAAATCACCTTGCTCACCGCCACCCTGCTAGCCCAATGATCGAAACTCCCCTTTCCTTTCCCCATTCTGCTCTCGTTCCCGCTCGTGTACACGCCGATGTTTGCGGAGATGCGCTCGTAGAGCCGGAACTTCATGCCTCGCAGCCGCTTCTTTATTGTCTCTTCGGCGATGCGGAGCTGAGTGGAGGAGATGCGCCGGTCGTGGTCGCGCATCCGCAGCCCGTAGTCGCCCCATACCACCGTGGTGCCGCGTGTGCTGCCGCCGGTGGGGACGCGGCAGCGGCCCTTTCGCGATTTGCGCGATTCGCCGGCTTTGGGAGCGAGCCAGTTGGAGGAGCGAGGCGTGGAGGAGAAGAGGCGGACGGGGGGTGGGAGGAGTGGGGGGATCGGTGGTGATGCGAGTACTGGATGCTGTTAGCAGAGCTCCTGAGAGGGTGCCAGAGGGGGATATACATCGCGGTCGGGACGAAGAAAGAGTCAGCTGACTCAATTGAGCCGTGAGGCCCTGTGATATCCTGGGCGGCGGCATGATGTCGTTCAGCAGCCGTCACATTCGCTCTGAAGCGTCACGAAGCAGAGTTGAAGTTCTGCTGCCAAGATGTGGCTGGTGCACGTGTGGCTGACCAATCTAGGCAAGCGCGTCCCCCGTGTTAAAGTGATTTCGCGACCGTCATCGACGCGTTCCCGTCGCCTGTCGCCTGTCGTCTTCGCCCATCATTTACCCCTCGACATCAACACCGTGTACAACAGCAACCAGCACCGCTGCGTTGACTGCATTCGCGACCAGATTGTTGGCTGTACAATAGCGGTTAATTGTACGTTTGGGATGCCGGCGGATATCCGCAATTTCTTTGGCGGTGGAGGAGCGCGGGCGAGCCAGGGCAGTCAGGGCAGCCAGAAGAAAGATGAGGTACGTAGAGAGAGATTTGGCGCTCTGAGGACGCTTTTATACATAGCTCGGATTTTCGCCGCACTCGTTTACTTCTCCCCACTCTCTGCAGCTTCCCAATTCCATCACTCAGCATGCCGCGAACCGGAACAAAATCCATTTTCAAGGGCATCACTCTACCCCAACCCGGGACTAACCGTGGACAACAGAAGTCTGCTGCGAAGAAGGCCGCGCCCAAGAAGCCTGCCCGAGCCAGTCGAGTAGTGGAGGATTCGGACGACGATGATGAGGTGGAGGAAGTAAAGTGAGAGAGCCATCCCCGGCGAACTGGCGTAAAGCTAATAGCGGACAGACCCAAGAAGACCACACCCAAGAAACCTCCACCCAAGAAAGTGAAGAAGGAGCCGTCGCCTGAGCTCGAAGAAACAACCACATCCGCCTTCTTCGCTAGCAAGAACAAGCCGAAGCGATCCGAGCCCGTCAAGAAGAAGCCCGTCGACTCGACGCCGAAAGCTACGCCCAAGGCAACACCGGTGAAGGCAAATGGGAAGATCTCGAAAACTGCTACGCCGGCGACCAATGGTAGAGGATCTACCCGGGCGAAGAAACCTGTTAAGTCATATGCAGAGAAGGATGACGAGGATGAGTTCCCGGACGACGATCTCGACGCGGCTGACGATATCTTCGGAGACAACTTCAAGAGGAACGGCAGGAAGGACGGTTACGTTGAAGTCGCCGCCAGTGACGACGATGATATGCCAATAGCCTTACCCCATCGTGGGACACCTAAGAAACCAGCCAAGAAGCAGAAGACGATCAAGCAAGACGATGACTTTGATCCTGAGAATGAGGATGTCGATATGAAAGACATTGATGCGGACGACGATTTCATTGTGCCGGACGACGAAGAGAGCGCAACCAAAAGCCAGCCAAAGAAGACTTCGGCCGCTGGACGGAAACGGAAGACACCCGAGTCTGACGACGACGAGGAAGAAGTCGAGGAGAAGCCCAAGAAGGGTCGTTTCAAGAAGGCAACTCCAGCGAAATCGCCGGCGAAGACGCCGGCGAAGAAGAAGGCCAAGAAGGAGGACGATGCTGAAAGCAAGGACATACAAGCAATCTACGATAGCATTCCCTTGGTCAAAGCGCCCACTCCTCCTCCAAAGGATGACTCGACAAAATTCGACTGGAGAATGAAAGCTGCTGGTGGTGGCAATGCAGATGCAGCACCTATTGGTGGATCTGGCGATATGCCCTCTGGTAGCGAGACCTGCCTTGCTGGTTTGACGTTCGTTTTCACTGGTGTCCTGCAGCGATGGGGTCGAAACGAAGCTCAGGAACTCGTCAAGCGTCACGGCGGAAAGGTTACAGGAGCCCCAAGCAAGAAAACAGATTACGTTGTGCTGGGTCAGGATGCCGGCCCGAGCAAGCTGCGAAAGATTCAAGACATGCACATCAAAACCATCGATGAAGATGGAGTTACAGCACTCATTGAAAAATTGACCGCAGCTGGCAACAAGGGCGACTCGAAGGCTCAGGCCGCGTACAAAGAGAAGCAGCGTAAAGAGGAAGAGAAGATCAGAGAGCAGGCGGCGCAAATGGAGAAGGAAGACCAGGCCAGGCTGAAGGCTCTTAAGGCTGCGAAGACTGCTGGAGGTAGCAAGACTACCTCTGCCGGTACTTCTGCTGCTAACAAGAGTGCAGATCCCACTGTTGACTCTCGGCTCTGGACGACGAAGTATGCTCCCACTTCTCTCAACCAGATTTGCGGAAACAAGGCAACAGTGGAGAAGCTGCAGCGGTGGTTGCAGAGGTTCCCGAAGAGTCTCAAGACAGGCTTCAAGCTTGCTGGTCCCGATGGAAGCGGTGTCTTCCGTGCTGTCATGCTCCATGGTCCTCCTGGTATCGGCAAGACTACCGCAGCGCATCTCGTCGCTAAGCTTGAGGGCTATGACATCGTTGAAAGCAACGCCAGTGACACTCGAAGCAAGAAGCTTGTCGAAGAAGGCCTACGAGGCGTCCTCAGCACGACATCGCTACATGGCTACTTTGCTGGCGACGGCAAAAAGGTCGAGGCGTCGAAGAGGAAGCTAGTTCTGATTATGGACGAGGTGGACGGCATGTCTGCCGGCGACCGAGGCGGTGTTGGAGCTCTTGCCGCAGTCTGCAAGAAGACAGAGATCCCCATGATCTTGATCTGTAACGACAGGCGGCTACCGAAGATGAAGCCGTTTGATTATGTTACCTTCGATTTGCCTTTCCGAAGGCCGACCGTGGACCAAATTCGCTCTCGTATCATGACCATCGCTTTCCGAGAAGGATTGAAGCTCCCTGGGCCAGTTGTCAACGCTCTAATTGAGGGCAGCCACGCGGATATTCGTCAAGTAGTTAACATGATCTCCACAGCCAAGCTAGACCAGGAAGCCATGGATTTCGACAAGGGCAAGCAGATGTCTAAGAACTGGCAAAAGCACGTCATTCTGAAACCTTGGGATATCACGTCGAAGATCCTTGGTGGCGGCATGTTCGCAGCTAGCAGCAAAGCGACGCTAAACGAGAAGATTGAGCTTTACTTCAACGACCACGAGTTCAGCCCTCTCATGCTTCAGGAGAACTACCTTGGCACGATGCCAATCGGCGCCCTGCAATATGGCGGCAAGGAGAAGAATATGAAGATGCTGGAGCTGGCGTCTGAGGCTGCCGATAGCATCAGCGACGGCGACCTTGTCGACCGAATGATTCACGGCTCTCAGCAACACTGGAGCTTGATGCCGACGCATGCAGTCTTCAGCTTCGTTCGGCCGGCAAGCTTTGTCGCTGGTAGCATGGCTGGCCACCAGACGCGCTTCACGAGTTGGCTCGGCAAGAACAGCAATCAAGGCAAACTCACACGCATGGTGAAGGAGATTCAGGCACATATGCGATTACGCTCCTCTGGCGATAGGCATGAGGTTCGACAACAATACATCCCTGTTCTCTGGACCGAACTGGTCAAGCGGCTGGAGGAGCAAGGAAAGGAGGCTGTTCCGGAGATCATAGAGCTTATGGACAGCTACTTCTTGACAAAGGATGATTTCGATGCGATCATGGAGCTGGGCGTGGGTCCGATGGCGCAGGAAAAGATCAACATTGCTTCGGCGTCGAAGTCGACATTTACCAGGCTGTAAGTGCTTCCCTTTCACTAATTGGGTCCAATCACCTAACATCATTCAGATACAATCAACAGTCCCACCCGCTTCCCTTCATGAAAGCGTCCAGCGTTGTGCAACCAAAAAAAGCCGTCAAGGAGAAGCCCGATCTCGAAGAAGCGCTCGAAGAGTCTGACGAGGAGGAGGTCGTGAACGAGATCAAGGAGGACGATGAGGAGACAGATCTCTCTAAGGATAAGTACGTTAAGCAGCCAAAGAAAAAAGCCGCGAAGAAGAATGGTCAGCCAGCAAAGCCGAAGGGCAAGAAGAGACCCGCGGAGGATGACGACGAGGATGAGAGCGAAGAGGAGGTGAAGCCCAAGGGAAAGGGCAAGGGTAAGGCTCCTGTGGGTAAGGGGAAGAAGAAGTGAACCGGGTAACAGTGCATTGACGGCGTATGTTTTGTGTGTATACATTTGGCGGGGATTTCATGGTGGCTTTCCGAGCATCTCTTGGAGTTCTAGCGTGGAAGACTCATTGGAATATGAGACTATCCTGGGGAGAAAGTGCGTTTGTAGCTGGATAGCGTATCTATTTGCAATCGACATGCATTGAAGCTGTAGGCGGAGCGCCAGATAGGTGTAGCGTCGGGAATAAGCTCCATTCGGGGAGGACCGCATCCCGCAGGCCAAGACGTTGGGGGATCTGCATGGTGATCCCAGTTTCTCCACGTCTCTGAACCATGACGCGGGGATAGACGTTGGATTACGGATTACCCCGCAGACTAGGGTCAATTGCATCCGATGAGAAACGTTTAGTTCGGCAGTTCTCCATCGGCGGGCGCGCCGATCGCAGGTTTCGCCGAGATATCTTTTCTTTTGAAGCTTGCGATTCCTTTCCTGCTACTCTCTCACTTACCCAGCTCCTGCTTTTGTATCCGGAAAGATGGAGAAACCGGAAGCTATCCAACAATTTGAGCATCAGAGCGAGGAAGAGAGGAAGTACGACGGGGAGAGTGCTGAAATCGATGTTAACGATGAGAAACGCAACAAGAAGTTTAATCGACGCCTCGACTTGCGTATCCTGCCACTATGCTGCTGGGTCTATCTGCTGAACTTCCTCGATCGAGGTACCTCTTCCATCCCATCCCACTCCACCCCTCAGAAAAACCTCTCTAACCACCCACAGGCAACATCGGCAACTCCAAGGTCCTAAATGCGGAGACGGGCGATGATCTCCTCCAAAACACGCACATGACGGCCGACGGCTACGCCATCACAGTGACGCTCTTCTCCATCGCGTACACGCTGTTCGAAGTCCCTTCCAACTTCGTCATGAAGCACTACGTCCGGCCTAGCATATGGCTAGGCTTCCTACTATTTGCGTGGGGCGCGCTGACGATTGGGTTTGCGGGCGTGAAAAACTATGCGAGTGTCGTCGTGCTGCGGTTTTTCATTGGCGTTGCAGAGGCCGGGTTTTTCCCAGGCATTGTGTATCTCATTACGATATGGTATCGACACGATGAGAGGGCGGTGCGGATCGCGCTGGTGATTGCATTTTGTAATCTTGCGGGTGCGTTTGGAGGCGCCATTGCGTATGGAGTTGGGCATATCAATGGGGCTGCTGGCTTGGAGGGGTTTAGGTGGTTGTTTATTATCGAGGTAAGTTCCCAGATGGCATGCAGTCCTGCCTTTCTTCGCTCACGGATAATCAGGGCATCATCACCGTCCTCTCCGCCTTCCTCCTCTGGTTCTTCCTCCCGGACTATCCCGCCCGCGCCCGCTGGCTCTCCGCCTCCGAGAAGCAGTTCGCCATCGACCGTCTCGCCGAACGAGGAGGCGGCTACGAGCAGACGCACGGCTCGCGCCGCGAGATCCTCGCCACGTGTTTCCATCCGCGCATGCTGTGCCACTACGTCGCTTACATCGCGGACGTCGTACCGCAAGGCTCCTTTACCTTCTTCACTCCCACGATCGTCACCGGGCTAGGATACACCTCGATCCACGCCCAGCTCCTCACCGTCCCTCCCTGGGTTGTTGGTTTCTGTGTCGCCATCACCCTGTCGTACTCGGCAGACCACTTCAACGCCCGCGGCTTGCATATCAGCCTCGCCTCGCTTGTCGGCGGCATCGGATGGCTGACGGCAGGTCTGCTCCCGCACGACGCCTACGTAAAGCGCTACGGGTGTCTCTGTCTCGCGGCCGCGGGCGCATTTCCTGCGGCGCCGTCGATGACGAACTGGGTTACTTGCAATACGCCGAGCTTCCTTACTATTCCTTTGGCTATTGCCCTGCATAACTCGTCAGCGGGCCTGGGTCAGATTATAGCACAGTGGATTTGGCGTGCTGATGAGGCTGGCAAGGGGTATCCGACGGGGAACTTTGTCTGCGCGGGGTGTAGCTTCTTCGTTGCTATTATTGCTGCTGGGCTAAGGGTATGGTATGGGAGGATGAATAAGAAGGGAGAGAGAGATGCTGCGGGCAGGGAGAGGGTGTGGGCTTATTGAAGGGCTGGGAAGAAAAGGACGACCGCTGATGCGCCTTCATGATAAGGCTTCAGTGTCATAAGTAGAGTCAAGGAGGGGAGTTTGAAAGTCGACTCAGAGCTTGGAACAGGGACAATATTGATCCCACAGTCAATGATCATCATCTCTCCCATCTCGTCCTTAGCGCCGAAAGTTTTTCCAGTCCCAGCTAGGATCCGCGATCCGCGCAGCGAAGTTGGTGAATATTCCCCCGCCATCACTGCTTGCTCGCGACGGAGGCGGTCTCGCTTCTGTTATGTATAAATAAGCAATCCGCATTCGTCTTAATCAAGACAAGATACTCAGAAAGAAAGTCGGAAGGCTTACCTGTATTTGGTGACACTACCGATTCAGTGGTGCCCCTGTCCACTTCAGTTAGTCAGCCTATCTCTTGTTTGAAGCAGAGGGATTTATTACTCACCTCCGCTCGAGCCGGCTGGTCTTGGTGTTGCAGAGCCGGACCCCGACCCAGTCCGTCTTCTGAGCTCCTCGACCAAGCCATCGGAGAAGTAGCCCGTGTCGTCTTGCTCACCTCGGTCGGACGGCGTGTCACTGCGGTTCGACCACCAGTCTGTCACCATGGTCGATGCAGTGTTGTTTTGATCTTGTGCGTGATCGGCATCCCTGTTCACAACGATGGACTCGTCGTCTGAAGGCGTGTCAGGGCGATTGGACCACCAATCCGTTACCATGGTGGATGCGGTGTTGTTGCGATCTTGCGCGTGGTCGGCGTCCCTGTTGATAACGTCGGACTCGTCACTTTCAGATGCGTGGGGTGGGCCTCGCGAACTTAACGCATCCCTGTGGGCAGCACCTGGTACGTTAGAAAGCAGGGTATATATAGGAAACGAGTTACTTGCCCTGAGTAGTCTGGTCGCCAAAATCGCTTTGGGCTTGAGCACGTTCTTCGTCTTCTACTTCTCGGCTGTGCCGTGTTTCCCTGTAAGCTTGATGGTTTGGGCTCGCATGCCTCACAGAAGCCTGGTCTGATACGGCGAAGTCCCTTACTCTTGGGTCGTCCTCGAAGTGTGCATGCGCGTGCGGGTCGTGATGAGATACGGATGGGCTTCTTGCTCGAGCTTCGCTTCTGGCGAGTTGCTCTCCACGAGACCTCGCTTTCGCCTCTGCTTTAGCTTTTCTTTCTTCATTCGCTCCACCTCCTCTGCTTTCTCGACTTTGTGGAGTGGGCTGGTACTCTTCGCTCTGAGCATTTCTGCGTCGAGAACTGCCATTATCGGAGCGTGGTGCAGTAGGAGGTGGTCTTTGAGGTGGACTTCTTCCTCTGCGTCGCGAACCGTAATTGCCAGAGTGTGGTGGGCTGCTAGCTTCGCTTCTTTCCCTACGCTGAGAGCCGCCGTGTTCTGAACCATGTGACCTATGAGCTTCATCTCTTTCTCCGTGCCCCTCCCTATTTCTATCTCTCCCTTCAATCTCCTTTTCCTCATCCTTCTCCTCAGCCCTCCTCTTCCGCCTCCCCTCTCTCCTCTCATCTAATGTGCCCCTTGCCCTCCTCTCCGCCCTTCTTGCCTTGAGCACCTTCTCTTCTTCAAGGTATTTCGTCATATTCTTGACGTGGGTCCCGAAGCCAAATGTCAGCCCCCACTTGAACTTGTACTTCGGAGGCGGTCCCAGCTTAGCGTCTCGCCAGCCCCTACTACCCAGGACAAGAGGCCTCCCATCGGCACCGTACCTTTGCCTGCGACGTGATCTTTTCCGTGCCGGAGGTTCGGAGCTGGAACGTTGGTGGCTACCATGGTGGGAGCGAGGTGATCTATATTGAGAATCTGGAGGCGCAGTTCCTGCAGGTCCGGCACCGCCGGCCATCATGTAGTGCGGGTCTTGGTTATTGCGGTTCGTAGCGCCGCTGACCAGGCTGCCGGTTGCGTGGCTCTCTTGGTCATCATCGCGCGAGCTTCTGCCATGCCGTCCACGCGAAGTGCTGCGATGTCGCCCTCGATGCCCTTCATGCGCCCGGCCATGCTCACTCTCGCGCGACCTGCTTCGATGCCTTCCGCGATGGTCTTGCTGGGGCTTCTTGTATAAGCCCTTGAAGGCAGCAGAGGTCATCTTTTCCTTTGCTTTAGAGTGTTCTCCGGCTTTCCTCGCTTCCTCTTCCTTGTGCAGTCGGTAAACCTTGACTCCTTCGACTACGCCTTCTAATATAAGACGTCCTGTGCTAAGATTGCTTAGTTCGGGATGTCGCGAATGCTGTCCCGTTAAAAGACCCTGAATACGACTCTGTACCGCTTTGCGAGTCTCTTCTGACGCTGGCGATGGCATAGTGTCCCAAAGAAATCATTATGAAGCCGGAAAGGGCTCTGTGGATGTGACTGAAAATGGTTGATGAAAGCGTGAATACAAAGGGGGATACGTTTGAGTGACAACGAACAAGCTCCCTCGTGAAGAGCACGACTGTGATGCCACGAAGAATGGAATAAAAGTGCCTTCGTGTACGCAACAGACGGGGATGACAGCAATGAAACAACACATGGTACCACGTTTGACGTGCATGAAGGCGTGATTATTGCGATATTCGAACGGCGGCGGGGCAAACGGGTCGATGAAGAAAGTGCCATGCTAGCGAATGGTAACGAACACGATTTGGGATGTTCGAGCCTGATCGTCCAGAAGGCGTTGTTAATAGGTGGTATACCTCGACGACTCGCCTCGGGTACTAGACTAGCACAGAGCAATCCTCTCTCGCTGCAGCTCTCCCTTCTCCATGCGCGCAATAGCCTCCCCCTTCATTAGGCCTTCCACGAAGCAAGCTCCAATATACTCATAATACTCTCCTTTCGGCCTCAAGACAACCGGCATATCACACTGCAGCAGGACGGCAATCCTATCGCCCAGCTTAGCAGAGTTAGGCACCATCCCGACTAACCCATGTCGTGTTACGCAAAGTCGCTCTTCACGAAGAAAGACGGCAGCGGGTTTCTGCAACTTCAAGTATGCTGCTGGATTCGGACAAGATGCCTCTGTCGAGGTGAAGTAATGCCTCAGCGGGACGCCATGGATCATGAAGTCGGCGTTAATGTAGAATGCCATGGTGAAAATAACGCCGAGAATGGTGGATGCTGCGAAAATAGGCCAGTATCTTCCTTCGTCAACTTCGTAGAAATCCTGCTTGGTGCAACCGGAGATTATGCCGCTAGGTTCATTCAGAACGACTTCCTCTTTTGGAATCCAGGGGACGTCTAGGAGGGAGGGTCCTTGAGAGAAGTCGTAGTCGCTGTCATGGCAGAGAACACGAGCTAAGGCCAGTTTGGAGGAGTCGTCAACAGGGAGCAAGTATGGGCCTGTATCAGCCGATACTGGACCCGGTTCAGGGTCCCTTTCCGTCCCGTCTCCACGAAATGAAGGGGCCGCGAGAGACTCAACCGTATCCACAAAGACACCTTCACAGAACATGATGAGGCTGTCATCGGAGAACATAGGGGCCCCGTGGAGATGAGCATTCGCTCGGTGAGGCTTATGCCGTACTCCGAGAGACATGTCGATAGAACCAGTGGAGAGATCGAAGGCCCAGGTTGGGAAATCGGTTCTTCGTATTGGGGAGACACGAATCCGAGCGAGATCATACAGGTCGCCTGTCTCCTGAAAGCACGCCTTGGAGAACGCCACGCAGGCATCCCGAATGCTGAAATCCGGCGCGTAACTTGGTCGTATGCTCCTAGCAATCTCTTCCGGCATTAGGGCGAGAAGTCCGTATACCTTATCGCGCGGGTCCGTCGATTCCGAGGATTGCGCTAGATGGACAATGTCGAAGATCGGCAGCTGACCCCTTTCAAAAGCATTATCCCATTCTCGGAGCCAGTTCACCCTCGCAAGCGGTCTGCACAAATAATCCAGAAGTTCAGAGTCGGGCAAATTGCTCGCGAGAGGAAAGGGATAGCTAGTGCTAACGCCGCCCTCTCTGAAGAGATAGTAGAGCTTACACAAATCCTCAGGGGTGAAGTACCAGTCACCGTACCAGAATAGCAAGGATGATGCGAGCCACATTTCCTGAACAACCCATAACCTTGTCCAGTACTGAGCATACGCTGAGCTAGAGGCAAGTGATCGGAGTGCATGTGCCGCCTCAGCATCTGGAACCAGCGAGGCTTTGATCTGTCGTACTCCTAATCCTCTGACGCTGTTAAGCCAGTCCTTTGCTTTCGTGAACTCGGACGGTGTCGTCAGCTGCGGTAGCCCGAGCCATGCTCTTACTGCAAGTGCTTCAGAGTAGATGAGACCCATTTTGGAAACCTCAGTCTCCCGCTCCATAAGATCGTTTTGATTGATGCAAATAGCGTCGATCCAGATCTTCAGCTCCAATTGGCGAACTTCGAGAGATTCCCGCAGTTTGTGTAACGCAACAAATAGGTTCCGAGTCACCGCAAACTTGCAGTCGTTGATGATGATGTGCTCCTTGTTACTAGGATCGCCCCATACATAGCTTAGCGCTATATAATCTCCCCAGGTAAAACGTGCGACAAGGGGATTGATCTCTTCCAAGGGGACATCGTAACTGTCTTTTACCTGAGAAAAGGTGTCGTAAGAACGAATTTTTCTGCTGTCTGGGGCTGTTGTTCTGATGTCTTCTAGCTGGGCATGGAGTTTTAGATTCGTAAGATGCCATGCTGCGAGCTTGCCCTGTGGCAGCAGACCGAGCTCTTCTTTATGTTTCGCGACATGATGGCTATACAACGGGGTGCAGTCATCAAGATCGACGTTCTCTAGCCTGCACCGTATCGGATCTTGCCTTGCAGGATCGTCACTCTCCATTGCTGGTTCAATCGATAAAACCCGGATTTGTTTACTCTTTGCTTTTAACGGTGTGTAAGCAAAAGCCACGTTATGAGTGGCCGAATCGCTTGCACTCCCTTGTTCGTTGAAGTTGGCTTGAATTGTCTCTGTTCCTCCGCCTGACGTGGATTTTGGTGGCTCCCGTCGAATCGAAGCCGGAGATGTAGGTTGCTGGACGGCTTGCCCAAGCCCTTCCGACACAGGTTCCGACAGATTACTTGGTGTTGGTTCTGCGTTCGATGACCCAACAGAGTGACCGGCCTCAAGGTTCTCAAGCTTGTCTTCCTGGTTCCTTTCGCTGGATCTCATCTTGGCCCATGCAGCTGGGTCATGCTCCTTCGCAAATTCTCGAATGTGCGCTAGTGCAGCTTTAGAAACGGTTGGAGCACTTCGTTGGAACGCTTTCTCAAAATGTGCCTTGCTCAATACGCGTCTGCCGTCCTTCCTCAGCCCGGAAGCTTCGCTGATCAGCGCAGCTTGGAGACACATCGTCCGTATATCCGATCCCGAGAATCCAGGAGTGATCCGTGCCAAATTGCCCCAGTCAATGTTCTGATCAACGCGCTCCTCACGTAGATTCATGCGGAAAATCCTCTGTCGAGCTACGGCCGGTGGCAGCCCAATATGTAGTCGACAAGGCGTTCGACGTAGAACAGCGTGGTCTAGCTGACGGGGGTAGTTGGTCGCAATCAAAACGAAAGGCGGACTCTTGACCTTGACGAGGCCATCCATCTCAGTAAGGAGTTGATTCGTCCGACTGCGCTCCCATGTGTGATCGCCCGGGGCTCTTGCGCGGAATAGAGCATCAGCCTCGTCGATGAAAATTATGCTGGGTGCCAACAGCCTTCCAAGGTTGAATAGGCCCTTGATTGCCTTCTCTGTTTCCCCGACGTGCATATCCTCAATATCCGCAACGGAAGCGGAGATCCTACAATCGACATAATTAGCGGAGGGCTTAAAGATGGCATCCACAGACAGCTTACGTACATCACGGCCTGGCACTCTTTTGCTAAGACGCGTGCCAGATGGGTCTTTCCGGTCCCTGGCGGTCCGTATATGAGAGCGCCGCCAACACGTCCTCTTCTAAGGATACCATACGCTGCTTGTCCTTTATTGCCTGGCTGATCGATCATCTGCACGATGGCGTCCTTAACTTCTAACTCGAGCTCGATGTCTGACCAGCCTTCTTCAACCGTGTCTTGGAGCCGTCAGCAAGAAGTTATTCCAGTGTGAAGATACAACCCCTTTCCTTTGAACGCAATAGGCACTGAAATGCGGGCAAGGGCCGAGAAAGAACTATGAGCTCTAAGGAGGAAAGTTCAAGGGCTGAAGGGACTGGTGAGATCATTCGCTTACCGGGGTTTACTATGAGATCCAGAAACTTCTTTTCCCACGTAAGATCGCCTTCATTATACTCGATTTTGCGGATTGCGGCCTGAACGTTGGAGGGAAAGTTGGCCCATTTTCCAAGCGACATTTTTTCGCCCCAGTCGAGAAGGACTTCGTCTCGTCGCTCTGCGCCCAGTATAACTGCTCGAATATGTTCTGGATCAAGACTGCCGTTGATTTGTTCGGCGAGGCACTCGACCTCTTCTTCGCCGAGATGCCGTCGGGCTAGACGTGTGGAAGGTGTATAGCCTTCAAGGAAATCCCATGTAGTATACGGCTCCACCATGGGTGTCCATATATCCTTTAGATCTTGCCTGATTCTCCTCTGCAGCGCACGAACGTTACTCTGCAGAAAGATGTCGGATCCTTTCGGACCGACCTCTAGGAGATGCATTTGTGCTCGACATCTAACGGGGACAACACGAATTGCTCTCTTCACAGGCTTCGTTCCCGTCAATCTTAGAATATTGTCATCTTCTTGACAGCTAGAGGTCGTGGTGGACGAGATGAGGAGGACATTGCTGAGGCGCCCCTCTTCGTTCGCGGCTGCGTCGCATAATGCCTTCAAGGTGCTATAAGGAAGCTCGTGGACTTCAGGAATGTGGACGATAAGCGGTGCAGACACAAGCTCAGACTTTGAACTGTTCCTGCTAGCGGCTTTTAGCTGTGCTGAGCGAAGTACTGTAGCTAAAGGGGATTCAATCTACGCGGGTTATCAGTAATCAATAGAATGAAAACGCGATACTCCACTTACCTTGTGATTGCTCTTCGGAAATTGAACAGCCTTCGGGGCAAAGCCCGAGTTATCTCCCTCTTGTTGACCACAATACATACTCATGTACTCAACTGCTCCTTCAGGCATAAATATGCCTTCCGCAATTGCTATGTGCTGACCAAGATCCTTCAAGTCTTCTAGGCTCAACGTGATCAAGTCCGCCTCTATTTCCCTCGCGAAGTATTCGACGATGCCCTGGAGAAACGATGGACCTCCTCGTCCTGTGCACTGGTTTGGAATCCGAAGGAGCGCGGCATTCTTCTTGAATTGCACTGGATTGAACGATTTCCCTAGTTGTCCACCGCCTAAACAGTCGCGCTCTGGTAGAGGAGATGACAAGACGACATACAGAGCCTCATACACCACGGACTCGATTTCAAAGGCACCAGCGATGGCATTGGACTCCTTGGCCGCCAGACTCGGGTCGATACCTCCGGCAGGGGCAGCTTCTAGGACGATAATCGGAATGGTACGGTCTTTTAATTCTTCCGACGTCTTGACGCAGTTGTTGAGAAACCAGGACGGAATTTCGACTTGTTTCTCCTTATTCTCAGTGAAGGAGGGTGCCTCAATCAGAACGCCATTTTCTAGATCGTCGTTGAGCTTGATGGCTTCGGGAATATTCGTGGTATCTGCGGGTTTTGTAGGCTGCGTACTTGTACGTGTTTTTCGGGACGTGAAAAGCCGGGGGAGTTTCATTGCGGACGCGACTCCATCTATGAGGTCGTTGCACGTCTTGACGGTTACTGTAGTCAAAGACGAAGGAAGGACAGCAGAGGGAAACTGATGGATTCCGCACGAAGACAGCGGAGGCTGGGGGCGTCTAGGCAGCTACGCGAGGCTGAAACGCCCAGTATTGGGAGGCGTTGATTAGGGGGTCGCTTTTGAGCGGCCGCAATTCATTCGTCCATAAATCGATGCAGTCTTCCCGGAGGCTTCGTAAATGTCCACAGGTCCTGAATGAGAACATGGCGTGCAGGCGCCTCGATGGTTTAACCTCACTCCTGGCCTTGGATTCCATGGCTCCCAGAGAATGGCGCTTCGCTATTCCGATGCTTAATCAGCTCAAAGTGCCAACCGTATAAGCTGGAGGTGTTTGATCATGAAAGAGACGCATTTGATGGCTCAGGATGGAGCAGTTAGACCTCGTGAGCTTTCGTGTTTCGAAGCTGTGGGAGACGCTAAACTATTTTTGGCATTGGCAGAAAATGGACTCCTTCAGATTCCAGTTCCTCGAAAGAGTATCAACGGCAAATGAATATCTCCAGACGACACGAATCACCAATGGCCGCCATTGATCTGATGATGAACGATGGACGTGGCTGGAGGCCGTGACGGCTGTGCTATTTGGGCTGAGGTCCGTAGCGCACGGAGTTCGTTTGGCACCCGCACAAGCACGCCAAGGTGAAAGTCCGATGCTTAGTCCACCTCTTCGCATATGGGGCGATACCCTTCCGCATGAATGCTGGCGCGAGCATACGGAGATTTCTTTGAGCGAGGGACGGTAGTGCTGTCCGCTGTGCCGCACGATGCAACGCACGTTTCCTGGATCGGCTGGGCTGTGGGTGTACCAATGGCCCTGGATGACGGACAAAATGGACTTGAAACTGCACTCGAGTGCTTTCCAAGAAAAATTGATGGAGGATGATGAGCGCTTCGGACTTGAAGCATGGAGATGTTCGTGGCCCTGGCGAAGACATCCTGGAAAGTCTTCCTGATATATTCAGACCCTTCGGCCTGCAAAGTGTCGTCCTTTTCTTCAATCTTCATTCTTTCTGCTTCGTCTTCGTCTTCGTCTTCGTCTTCGTCTTCGTCTTCTTTCTTCCTTTTCATATCTCACATTCATTCTTTTCAAACACTCGCTCTTTACTCCTACTATGCCATTCTTTTCCAAGCCAGTAGGCGCGCTATGCGGCCTACTTTTCCTTCTTCAGCTCATCACCTTCGCCGCAGCTATCAAGATTGATTCGCACAGCTGCACCGGAGCATACAAGTCGCAAGTCGACAATGCATTAGAGGAGGTCGAAGCTATGGTCACATATGCTGAAAAGCGTGCTGCTCCTAAGTCGCAGTACAAGCGCCAGGGGACCTTGCTTCAGGACCTCCTCCATGCGTCCAACGAGGATGATGTATTCGTGCTGAGGAAGGTTCAAGGTAGGTCATATGCGCTGTGTTAGATTCTGCGTAGTCACTAATCGATTCAAACAGCCACGTTCAATGAAGTACGAAGCACACTTCGCAGAAACGATATCGTCATCCACTGCAACGACAAGCACTTGACCAAGTCCTCAAAGACAGTCTACTTCGATAACAGCAATGGAAGGCAGGCCAGGGTGCAAGTGCTAGACTCGGCGAAGCGCAGCAGCGCGCTCGGTGCATGTGGAGGCATCCAGCGAGCTTTCGCCTATCCCTTCTTCGACGCGAAGACGCACAAACCGGGCGGCGAGGCTATTGTGCTCTGTTCTGACTCATCAGTTGGTGCTCTCAAGGCCGCAGATAGCAGTAAGGACGTTGAATTCTGGCGGAATAAAGATCTTCGCAGCGTTGCTCAAGGGATCGACATGTTCGGGAGATACTTGTCCTATATGATCTTGCATGAGCTGATGCACGCGACCGATCAAAAGTCCTGTGAGTACTATCGAATCCTAAGATGTTTCTAGGGTGATGCTAATGGGTGTTAGTCCCCGTCAACCCAGGAGGCCAAGCCGAGAAGTATGGCTATGAGGAAATCACAGGTCACAAAGTCGGCACCACTGGCCACGGTGGCCCTTCATCGCTCGTCCGTCTGCAAAACGCCGATTCGTATGCTCTCCTTGCTTGCGGTAAGTGATCCTTACAAACCTTCTCAGGTACTCCCTCGTTCTGACAATCACAGGGTGGTACATGAACGCCTACAACATCGATAATGGTAAATTCGTTCTTACCGCTAAGAAGGACCGTCCGCCAGTCAGCCTCCGTCGACGCTTCCCTGAACTAGACGCCCGCGAACCGAAGAGCAAGCCGAAGCCGAAAACAAGCAAGGTGGAAGATGATCCCCCGGCTGCGACTAGCAAAGCAGCAGCACCATCGACTCAAGCTCCTCCAGCTTCAAGCCAGGCCCCGCCGCCATCGAGTAAGGCCAGCTCCGTCTTGCCCATCACTACTCATTCCTCCGCTCCCATCACGTCAGCAACACCTTCAGGCTCGCGAACAAGCTCCCTCTCCACTCGATCCTCATCCACTTCCTCCTGGCTGCCACCACTCGTGACCGCCGCCGGAGACGTCGCGGCCAAGTTTCCCGTGCTTCTTCCCCTGGCCATCCCAATCGTACTCCTTCCCGACTTTGACTTCGGCAACGGAACAAGCTCAAATGGTACGCTTCCCATCAGCGGTACGGGGACCGGCGTGCCAGTTCCTACCGGCGGACCTTTCTCTGCGATTCCTACGAATTGGAATTCGACGATGACGATTACGAGTCTGGCGGGGACTGGGACTGGGTTGGCGATACAGCCTTCTGGATTCCTTACGGTTACGACGTCGTGCACGGAGTCGTGAGCGCTCTGATGGGTGTGCCAGGGGTGGTGTTCGCGTATTATCCATCCTATTCATCTTCATGTTCGAGCTTTTGAATAGCTTCTAGGGTATTAGCTGTTAGTCACAGCTTGCATATAGCGGGGTTCTGAATTTGAAATGGTGCGCTTAGACTTGAATCATTTCCCACCCCGCGCTCCGTGAGATCAACGCCATGGTGAAGCGACTCTCGTGCGGATAAAGAGACGTAAAAGACTCCCAGAACGCCCAATGCAAAAGGAAAAGGGGGTATGCTCATTTCATGCCAATGCTAAATATGCCATCTTCAATCCGCCACAACAACCGGCTCTAATAGAACCTGCGGCCTCTCGCAGATCCTGCCCCGCTCGTCAGTCGCCCGTACCAGCCCCGGCGCAACGACAGTGCCTCTCCTGCCCACGCCCTCCCATACAAATTCGTATAAGAACGGTTCTCCGTATAACCATATGCTTAGATCCAACGCACTACTTATAATCTGCACCAGCTCTTCGTCTTTGTCCTGTTCGTTGAATGTGGGGCTCGCCCAGGGGAAGAATGTGAGGGCGAAGTGTTCGGCGGCTTCGCGGATGTCGGATTGGCGCGTTTGAAGGGTGGAGGGTGTGGGAGCGTGGAGGTGTACTGCGAGACGCCTGTAGAGGACGTAGGCTGCGAGGCGATCTGGATCTTACGTTAGGAAATGGTGGCGAAGGGAGCTGGCTGGAGTGCACTGACCCGGTGTATCAAACTGCTCGTTCTCTCTTATACCTGTAAGTTCCGCAGGGAACAAGGTTGATTGATCTTCTCCCTCCGCCGATACGATGTTGAGAATGTAGCCTGCGAGCGTGTGCTTAATGACGGCAGTAGGCATCGAAGAATTCTGTAGCATCTCCGCTATGCTCGCTCCCTCGTTTCCGAACCTCGCTAGATCTTTCTCCATAGTAGGTGTGATGCTCGCGTGTACATCGCGGTAAAAGTTGTCGACGTGCTGCTGGACCTGGTTGAACAATGCCGCGACCCTGTTCTTCACGGTGCTCTCGTCGGCCGCTGGAGGTAACACACCAGCTAGAAAGTCGGACGAATTGGCCAGTGTTGCGAGATCGAGATCTCGTCTTGGTGGGGGTACGGCTGCCGCTGCGATAGGTGGTGGCGGTGCTGCGCTCTGCGATACCGAGACATACGGTGTATGCCCCTTTGGTACTTTCGAGTAAGCAACCAGATCAGGCGTAGAACCGTACGGTGAGTGGTGTCCGGTGGGTCGCTTCCTGCGTTTGAACAGGATGAATGCGGCGAAGAATGCGATGGCAGCACCGATAATCGCGGTCGCAATAGCGATGCCTGCCACAGCGCCTTTGGATATTCCTTTCGAGCCACCACTGGAGGTTGGAGCCGCTAGAGGCGATGCAGTCTCGACAGGTCCATCCGCAGCATTGGTTTGGCCTGTAACCGTGGCTAACACGGAAGATGGCCCCCCAAGACTCGGGGTTGGAACCGACGTTTGAGGTACCTTTTCGGTATCTCCTTCTCCGTCGACCAGCGTCGTTGCTGTCGCTTCGGGGCCATGGCCTAACTTTGGTCCGCTAGAAGTGGACGTGAACTCTTCATCGATCGAAATCGTATACGTTTCGCATATATCCGTCTGCTCGAGCAGATTGAAACTACAGTCAGAAGTTGTCACCTCAGGCATCGTGGAAGTAACATGCGCCCGAAATCGAGAGGAACCTCAAAAAGAGAGGGGAAAGAGAAGAGAAAAGCGACGAGAGGCCACCATGTTGACTAGCTGAAAGTCCGTCAGACGGATAGTGGTGCGGTGCGGCTGAGTCGAGCCCACAGCCTCACGGATCATCCTCCTCGCATGGGATTGCCCTAGCTCTCCGCCCCCAACCGGTTAGTGACATGCACAGCATTAAAAAGGCGTCCGGCCCCCAGTCCACGGTTGGTGGGAATTATCGCTCCTTGCGAGTTTGGGTTAGAGAAACGAGGTGGAGTTACCAGAACTCGGCAGGTCGTATTGAGGAGGCTAGGCTGTTTTGGGATTAGCGCAATTGGCTTAATCAAGGTGTCAGCTTCCTTCGGGCGGACATGTGTTCAGTCGGCATACGGACATTGGGTTTGATATCACGAGCATACGGAGAAAACGTGCTAAATTTGCCCTTTTCGAGTGCCAGTATCGCCCATTCTTTCGAATCTCGAGAAACGTCAACCTCTCCTTGCTCGGCCATACCACGCACCTCCGCCCGAAGGCTGAAGCCCAGCGATTACAATATCCTGACCATCAGGCTACGGTTACGCTGTTAATGATGCATGCGCTTCATCTATCGAGCAGAAGCATTGTGGCTGAGCACACCCGCGAAAATTGTTCTCGAACTCATGGCTTTGGATACGTCGCATTTCGACTCGTGTTCACACCACTCTGCAGCTCCAATGAGGCTATCGGACCGCATGGCAAAAGAATACTATTTCCGGATGTTTCAGGATGCGGGGTCTACGAAGGAGCATGATATGCTGCTGCCAATGGCGTTTAATCGGGACGAAACCGATACGCGTTGATTCGTTTATTGGCTTACTCCATGGCATGGTCTGGAAGGCCTATGGAGAGGATGGGAAGTTGTACGAAGAGAACCATTTCAATAATCTGGTATCACTCGAGTAATGGCGAAAGTCATGCTCAGTAAGATCAAGCTTATACGTTCTCAGTACAACACCCCAGCATAGAAAGATCCAGCTTTACATCACGAGCACACGAATGGCCTTTATTGCTGTCTACGTCATACCATAATTACGAAGCTTCAATAATCTTTCACCGTTTCAGAGCCCGATGCACAGCTCCGCTACGAGGCTGAAACGTAGTGATAAGCTATCAATACTACGCTTCGTTCAAAGAGCAGACAAGGATTCGGGCCGAGCGCGAAACCGAGAAATACTGCGGAGCCAGTGGCTTTCGATACGGGACGCATTCAGTGTCGCTTATCAACACGATCCCAATTACAATAGGTGACCCGGCCCTCTTTTCAATACGCCCCAAACCGTTGCTAGGTTCGAGTTAGCGGTCATTCCCACACCCTAGACCAGTGCGCTATCCTCCTTCGCGTCGCGACGAATCTTTGTCATAATACCCAGTCCATTCCTCAGGATTGCATGTGGGTTATCATAGGCGAACACTTATCTTCACCAACCGCTCAACGCCTTTTCGTCAAAGCAGAAGATGCTATCCAGATAAACTTCAGCACCTGCAAGTACCATCACCGTAAGTCGAAGCTCACTGTACCCGAACTCGTCATGCATTGCCTTAATGACTCTTTTCGAGCGTCCGAAGTCCAGGCCCAAGACTGCTGTGATCCTCATGCTAACAGCGATAGTGGTTCCGAGGCAGGGTCCGATAAAGATTCTAAACGTAGGTTTTCTCAGACAACTGTCCGCCTGCTGGGCTGCGGGTTCCCTGATTCTTTGATGGACGTATGTGCAGCCCTTGCCCGCGCCCTCGTCGTGGTGAACGGCAGCATCAGGAGCATGTATAGCTATATTCAAGGTCGCTGCAAACCTTGCCAATGACTTAAAGAGCAGAAGAGAAAGCCCTGCTGGACAACCGCTATACGTTTGACGACCGCGTCGCGTATCTTCCTTCACCCAGAATACCGCTGGGCTCCAGCCCCGGCAGCTCACTGACATAATTCCACGCCCCCTCCAAACCCCGCACTCCATATCCTGTAGGCTCCGAATGCACAGTCACAACCTCGGGCAGAGTAGATTCTGTATGCCGTGGAGGACCTTCCTTCCCCTCCTGTGCGTTGCTCAGCGAGGCCCTCGGATACCGTGGTCGGATCCAATATAGCATAATTGCTATGGCACCCAAGACTGACAGCCCAGCTAATACTCCTCCGACTATAGCTCTGAATACATGTCTATTAAATGGTCCACTGGGATCAAGACCCTCACGATTTGGGGAAGGGCAGCGGTTTCTTACTCGGCGTTAGCGTTAGGAATCGGCGTATCGTCAAAGTACCTGTCCAAGAGGGGACGATTATTTCGAACGGGTGGAACCCCTCGCATTCGAACTATTGCCATAGTCGGACAACCTTTGCGGCATCTTTTGGAAAGACGACGCCGTCCCGCTACTTGCGGATGTCGACGAGGAGTGCAAATATTGGAGGAAGTTGCCGTGGATGAGGCTCGCAGTGGAAGAAACTATCTTGATTGGTTGAGCAAAGCTTGTCTAGATGCGCCTCCGCCACGGTAAAGTGAGTCTACCTTGAGTAATTAGGTTTGTTATCGTACTCATACTGTCAGATCTGGTCCACCTCTGCCATCAGCACACACGGTCGTCGAGAACCCCTCAACAGTCCGCGGCGGCCGTCCGTGCTCACTCAGTTAGTGGGTGAGCGACTTGAACAAACCACATTTCCACTGGAGCATTTTGCTCATTCGGGATCACGTCATAGCCTAGAGGTAAAGAGACTGGAAGTCAACAGAACGCCAGCATTTGCGGCTGAAGCAGTGCCACACCCAAGACGCCACATCGCCAACTCCTTCCTATTTAGCACTGCCTCGTGCATGCGTCCAAATGGTCAGTCCACGATCATTGTTTCCAACGCCTGCTTTTCTCCTGACTTTTGGGGGTCTCGCTTCTCTGACCTCTCGTTCCCAGCCTGTGAAAGGGAACGTTCTCCGCCAGCCCTCCTGCGGTTGACCTCACGGCCTCTGATTGGAATTTGCAATGGTAAGTAGGGTGATATAATAGCAAAATCTATTCATCCTACTGATCACGCCGCAATTTGGCGTGGAAAAAGCCACCATGGCGTAGCCAATCTGGCGCTGTCGAGATTGACGTCTCTTTCAGGACCACCGTCCTATAAAGCATCTTGGTCTGAAGTCATAATCTACTTGGATTGTACTCCGTCGCGATTACTTCCGTGGTGTGAAAGTCAGTCTGCATACCATTCCGCCTTAGCATCTCCATTCCGTCGAAGAACGGCCACCCCTCAACCGCACCATGTCCTTCCTGGCAAACGCAAGCACCCTCCCGCCGCCACTACCCGAATCCGAGTGGATCGGGAAAAGCGAGCTGAACTACACGGCGCTCCACCAGAAGCTCGCCGAACCGCTCGGGTGTCTCAAAATCCCCATGGGCGTGCTCGGCTTTTACGTCTACCTCGCACTACACGTCGTCAGCATCAACAGCATCTACCAAGCAGTCCGCGCTCACAAAAAGCTGGAGAAGACCAGCCATCCCGAAGGATCTCAAGTAGGCTTCATCGGCAGTTGCTTGACCTTCGCGTTCTCGCTCCTGATCCTGATCGATTCATGCAGCACGGCGCATGCCTGCTCGCTGAAGTACGGAAACCTTGGTATCTCGAACCTCATGGGCATCATCTGGTCGTCGCTCACCCAAGTGGCCTCGCTGTTCGGCTTGCTGGGCTCCGTGCCCTGCTTCTCAACCGATGTGCGCATCGGGCTGTGGACCTTCGCAATCCTCGCATACGGCTGCTCGTGGTTCGTGAATCTCGCTCCAGGCTTCATCATGAGCGCCGGCATCTTCCAAGAGGGCGGCGTCGTCCGAGCACATAACGTTAACTTCTTCCGATGGCTTGACGCCGTCAAGCTGAACGCTACATTGGTCAGTGAGATCCCTGCGATGCTTCTGGCTGCAGCAGTGGTAGTATGGGGCGTCTTGTACTACGCGCATACAGCAAACGGGGCCACGAAAACAGCAAAGCGCATCGCGAAGTACACTCTTGCATGCGCTGTTTATGTTTTTATTTTGTTCTGGACGGGTGCGGCGTACGTCTCTCTGGGCCAGATATTCGGTTCCCCGTGGGGCACCTGGTGGGTTGTGCAGAAGATGGGCAAGTTGTACGCGGCGTGGATTGCTGTTTTTTCTTTCTTCCTTACGATGCTGAGTTTGGGAGGTCTGGGTGGGTAGGAGCGGTGAGGTCGATGTTTCGTTGGACCGTTTGGGTTTTACTTCTAGGTTTGTTTCTTGGGGTAGAGTTGGTTGGTTCATGAAACAGGGTGCTGGAATCTCGGACCGGAAACGGACGATCGTTTCATTTATTCGCGGATAGTATTGCGGGGAACCCTATATATACACCGGCATGGTACCTGCACCACCGTTCGCAGGGGAAGCTGTCAAACTTTTCCTGGTGCATGTCTCCATCCCTCTCTCTCTACGAAGGTTCTCGGCCCAAGCGGCTCTACCTTCGTCCCCTCAATCTCCTCGGATACAGCTGTCCACAGTCCAGGTTTGATGAGGTCGAGACTAACGAAGGGGTCATGACCTCATCCATCCATACGAGCCCATGCACAGGGGCACAATACCATTAATATAAACCAAGCCTCCGGCTAAGCAAACCTAAGCCTCATCAAGCTTTTCCCGCCACGGATCGCTACCACACGCCTCCCCGCGGAATATATCCTTATAGTGCGCTGTTTCGAGTCTGCAACACACGATTCGCGGATATGAAGCAACTGGTGCAGTTCTAGCTCCTTTCCCTGCCCAATTCCGTGCTTGGAAGGGAAAGCCGTGTACTTTAGCATGTCATGCGGCTACGAGGCATTCAATCTTGGGATCTTTTATATAAAGCAGGCCCGGCGAGAGCTGGGAAGGATGTCCATCGGGATACAAATAGCTGGGATTCCTCAGCAGCAAAAGACACCCAGCTCACCGCAGTCTTCCCCCTCACTGCCCTCTTCCTCGTCATCAAGAAGCAGCTCCGCGCGCTCCCATCCCACGATGCTGTCCACCATCCTCGCCGCCCTCGCGGGCTGCTCTCTTGTCGCCTCTGCGCCGACGCAGCCCCGTGCCACCAAAGTCCAGTACGCCGGCGTCAACATCGCCGGCTTTGATTTCGGCTGCACAACCGACGGCCGCTGCTCGCTCACGGGCACAAACAAGCCGTACGACATCGTCTCCGGCGCGAACGCCCTCGGCCAGATGAACCACTTCGTCAAAGACGACACGCTCAACGCCTTCCGCCTGCCCGTCGGCTGGCAGTTCCTGGTTAACAACAACCTCGGCGGGAATCTGGATAGCAATAATGCGGGCCAGTATGATAGGCTGATGCAGGGCTGCTTGAGCTCCGGTGCGAGTCTTTGCATAATCGACATACATAATTACGCGCGTTGGAATGGACAGATTGTGGGACAGGGTGGGCCGACGGATGACCAGTTGGCGAGTGTGTGGAAGCAGCTGGCGACGAAGTATGGGAGTAATAGCAAGGTTGCGTTTGGGGTTATGAACGAGCCGCATGATATTCCGGTAAGTTGCGACTTTCTCGTCCCTGCTCTCTGTTTCTTCTCTTCAGCCATATGGAGTTGGTGGTGAGAGGATATCGAAGGAAAACCATCGACTGACGCGACCGGGAAACAGGATATCAAGAAATGGGCGGACACCGTGCAAGCCGTCGTGACCGCCATCCGCGGCGCCGGCGCCTCCTCCAACATCATCCTACTGCCCGGCCAGGGCTACACCTCCGCCGAGACCTTCGTCTCCTCCGGGTCCGCGGAAGCGCTCAACGCAGTGAAGAACCCGGACGGCAGCACGGCGAACCTGATCATGGACGTGCACAAGTACCTGGACAGCGACAACTCGGGGACGCACACGGAATGCGTGAAGAACAACGTGGACAACGCATTCAAGCCGCTCGCGGACTGGCTGCGGACGAACAAGCGGCAGGCGATGCTGACGGAGACGGGCGGCGGGAACACGCAGAGCTGCCAGCAGTATATGTGCCAGCAGCTGCAGTACTTGAAGTAAGTTTTTTTGCTTCTTTTCCGAATGGACGCTGAAGGGGGCGTGCTGATGTGTGATTAGCCAAAACTCGGATGTGTATCTGGGATATACTGGGTGGGCTGCTGGTGGCTTCGCTACAACGTATGAGCTTAATGAGACGCCGCAGCAGCAAGGGAGCGGTTGGCAGGATACGTCTCTGGTGACGTCTTGCATTGTTGGGGCTTGGAAGGGTGCTTGAGCGAATGATGGAGGATGATGTAGCGTTAGGAAACGGAGAAAATAGGAGCATACCGTTTGAGCATGATCTCCACTCGTCACACTGCTACCCCCAATGCAACCTCCCTTCTCGCAAAGACTCGGTTACCTGCGACAAAATCACGCGAGAAATGTCCTTCTTGATCGGACGGAGTTTGCCTAGAAGATACAAATGCGTGCTCTATGTTAGCGGATGGCTCCGATAGGAGCAGTCTACACTGTGGCTGTTATTGGACCAGCTACCGAAGTGATAGTTACAAAAAGGACATACATACACACCTCAACATGAAAGCCCACCAGAAAAGCGAATCGGCGAAAAACTCAAGGCTCTAAGTATCGCTCCGACGAAAGAAACAAGAAACACGCATTTCAGACATCGAGCTTGATTCCTTCTCCTCTCAGAAGAAGTGACGAGAAGAGAAGAACGATGAGCGAGCTTGACAGTCCGAGAGGAGAAGTGGGCTTCAAAGCGGGGATCCACGGCTCCACTCCAGCAGTGTAAGCGGCAGTCAGGCTACATACCGTACGCTGTCAGAAAGAGAGCAGGGAGCATTTGGAATCATCGGGCTCTAGAAAGGGCAACCAAATACACTAACGGAAAATAAGAGGAAAAGAATAGGTAGAGCCGTGAGCGGATTCAAGACGGCGCTGTAGACTTCCATTCCATTCCGAGATGCTATTTACCCCGATTCCACCACCCTTTCCATCTCACAACAGAACCACAATCATACAGCCTAATGTGGATATCTACTCTTCGGACCCTATAATCCAAGAATTCCCTTCCCATATACCGATTCCGTCTCCACTCTAGGGAAACAGTCTTGAAAAGCAAAAGCGAGCCGGGATAAACCCCCAATGCTCGCAAACCCATCTAAGAGCCAGACCCAGAAACGCCGTGCAAAGCGGTAAGTATGCAAAAGTCGCTCCAAAGCCCCTAAAACGCCGTCCCAAATGATCGTGAGGTAAATTTTTTCGTCAAATCAACACGCACTCGAAATGCAAAAGGAGCGCTTCCCAATACACATTTCCCTTCCCGAAACCGATTATACGCTTGCGAAGCGATATGAACAACATTAAGCGTAGCGCACACTTCCGTTCCGCTGATACATCGGCGGCGGAGATGGTATACTAGGACCGTGATGCGAAGTTTGCGGCGCCCAGCCATTCTGCTGGCTCATTAGCGGACCACCGCTGCCCGTCGGGCTCGGGACGACGGGCCCGCTTCTCCTCCCTCTACTTCTCGATCGGCTTTGCGCGTAAGGATTGTGCGGAGGGGGGCCACCGTACGCAGCCACACTGTTCGCATATATCTTTCGGTGTTTCCTGCGCCTGCAGCTGCGCCAGCAGCAGCCGATGATGGAGAGAATGATAAGGCCGCCGATGGCCGAGGCCAGGCCAATGACGAGGTTTTTGTGGTCGTTGATCCAACTTCTGACTTCGTTGCCCACAGAGGAGCCAGAGCATGCACCCTACGCACAATTAACGGGTGAGATGCGTACACAAAAAAGATTACTCACGTTTTGGCATGTGCCACCGCCCACGCACGGCGTGCCATCCAAGAAATTCTGTTGTAAGCCATAGCAGACGCCGCTTCCAAATTCCGGACTTGCGCAGCTCAGCATGCAGTTGCTGTTGTCGCAAGCGTACGTATCATTGCCCTGGGTGTAGCTGCCCATGATGGTCTTGCACTGCTGATCTCGCGACGTGCATTGACCGCTAGCACACTTCAGGCCGTTGCCGCAATCAGTACCATCTTTCTGCGTCTTATCATCCGGACAATATGGAGAGCTCCCTGTGCACTTCTCCTCAGGATCACAGGAGCCAGAGCTGGGCCGGCACACGGTTTCGGCGGATGCGAATTGGCAGCTTCGGCAGCAGTCTTCGTTCGAGTCGTCGCACACGGCGTTGTTCATGAACTTGCATGTAGTCGGATCACAGCATTGGTTGTCCCCGCAGCCTGCTTCACCGCCGCAGTCGCATTGCTCGTCGCCTTCCACGATGCCGTTGCCGCATGTCTGGCCGGAAATTGTAGTAACACCCTTATTGTTACTAAGGCATGTCGACTTGACACTGTTTCTTCCCAACGCGGAACAGATGTTGCCAATGGAGCATGGAGAGAAGCGCGTGATTCCCTGGGCGGTGGAAGGATTCATGATGAACTGCTCGCCGGCGTCACACTGGTTGGCACTGAGAGGACAGCATTGTTGAGCGTTGACCATGTTCGAGTTTTGGCAGGCGTCGGAGGTGCAATCGTGGACAGCGCCGAAGGTGTGACCGGTTTCATGCCTTTCTTCGTGAGCTAAAGAACGCGCAAAGGGATATGGTAACTTACGCAATGACCTGCCACTCAGTGGACGTCCGCACAACCACATTGGCTCCGGCTACGGTTTCTGCGGATCCATCCGAGGAATTGGACCCTTGCGAGCCCGTCACACAGGCTTGACCAAGCCATGCTAGCCCTACAGCTGATGCTGTGTTGCATGTGCTTAGGAGCGTCCAGTGAGAATAGTTATCCTGCTGTTGGCCCCTCCACTGCGAGAACAGATTGAGTCGGGCTTGGATCTCGACGCTATCGCTGCAAGCCTGGTTCCAGGGCGTGGCTTGCTGGGGTTCGGTAGGACAAGTTGCATTAAGGACTAATAGATTAGCGAGGCCGAGTGAGATATTGAATGTGCTCTCGAATAGTTCGGAAGCGGAGTTCATCTGCTTGATGACGTTGTCACGGGCATTGTCGGTCGATGAGTTGAAGGATTGCGTGTAGGTGCAGTCGGTGGCGACACCGACAAGTGCGACTTTGCGCGTAGTCGGGCAGCCGGCGGTGCTGCCAATGCTCGAGACAAGATTGACACCTGCGCCGTTGCCGCCGCCGGGCGAGTTGTCCAGCTGTCGCTTGCCCATGAGCGCGGAAAATGGCATGGAGAAGAACTTGTCGCTCCGCGCCCGCATGCCCGCATACACAGGGTGGTCTTCCTGACTGTTGAAGCCCAAAGAGTCACTTCCGCACGCCAGACCAGCCGACCTTTTCTTCAGCTCCGAGTGCTCTTGACGGAGGCCCATGTCCGAATCCCGAAAGACGACGATGAAGTCATCGCCGCGTAGGTCGATGTCTGGGTCCTGGTCCATGCGCGTCTGCTTGTAGCTCGATGCCAGCAGCGCATGGTGGTGGTCGTGGTTCACGGTAAAGGTTCCCTCGAATAGTGGTCGTACGCCGTCCCTGCGGACGTCTATCCGGGCCCACCCCACATTGTCCCAGCGATTCCCCCTCTTCAGCCATGCGGCGCCCTTGTATATCTTGTGTTGTAGCCGGTCCAGGGGCTCCTCCTTTTCGATGCGGCCATCCGACCCGAGATAGGTGACTCTCGCGCCCTCGACAAAGAGGTCGTGGTTCGGCTCGAGGCTGAGCCTTACGCGCTGTCCGGCGAAGTCAAAAGCGAGGTCGAATGTCGACAAGGCAGTCACGCGGTGGTTCTGCGTGAGTATGGACGGGTTCTTCGCGAGCCCGATGCGCTGTAGCGGCTCTCGCGCCGTCGACGTTGCGGCAGCGAGCGTTGCGAGGGCGACGGTGATGGCGGCTGTCACAGCCCGGAGAATTAGCATAACGGTGGCGACCCTGCGACCCTCCGTCGAGGAGGCGTTCGCAAGAGTAGGAGAGGTGAAAGACTATCGCGGATGCGCAGCGAGCGACATAGGTGGGGTGTTTTCTCGAGGGCGTGTGGTGCGGAGGCAGGATGCAGAGCGGAGCGCGGAGACACGAAGCAGTCGTCAGCCGCGATGCACAGCCCGAAAGCGACGTCTTGGCACCGGCTGGCGGAGCGACGGTGGGCTGGGCGAAGCCTGACACTCCACTGAAACTCCTGCTCGCTGCACACCACTTTTAGTCCTGCGCTCCGGCTCCGAGCCTCTCACACGCCTCGCTGCCGCAGTCTTCTGGCAGTCATCCGCGCGCTGCCGGCATTGGCAGCGTATCACAAAGGTCGCACCCAACGGCGTGCGCGTGGAGCAGAAACAACAGAACTCTTCAATTCGATTCAGGATATAATTACTTAAAACGACAGCGCGCACAGATAGGAGCCCCAGTCCGCAGCCTCACGCCGGAGCTGCTGCGCAGAGTAAATGTGTTCCGCCAAGCTGTAGCCATCTCAGTCACAGTCAGAAAGTACATCAGCCGGTACGCCCGCTGGACTTGCTGCGGTCCGCTGCGACTCGCGCCTGCACGTAGCCCAATGCCTCTGTCCACCACTCAAACGCTCCAGGTTCCGCTTGGGCCGTCTACTTGTGCTTGGTGGTATGCACCACATCAATGATCTTATCGACTACCGAAGGATCCGAAAGCTGCCAAATCCGTTAGCTTGCCTGTCCGCACAAAGACGCGTCATCACCGCCAACACCAAGACAAAAATGAGAACATCGGCTTACCGTAGTAACGTCGCCCAGCTGGTCTTCCTCACCTGCCAAGATCTTGCGCAGGATACGACGCATGATCTTTCCGGACCGGGTTTTGGGCAGATCTGGAACCACGAAAATCGCCTTTGGTGCCGCAAACGGACCAATCGACTTGCGCACCTGGAGGATTAAGTCCTTCTTTGTCTGGTCGCTTGCCTCGTTGCCATCCTTTAGCGCGACGAATGCGTTCACGGCCTGGCCAGTCAGTTCGTCGTGCACACCGACGACGGCGGCCTCAGCAACGCTGTCTGTTCAAGAGTTAGCGCAGACCCTTGGGAAATGCTATCGATTGGGTAGACGCACGATGCTCAATGAGGGCGGCTTCAATTTCTGCCGTCGACAACCTGTGTCCAGAAACGTTGACAACGTCATCCACACGACCTCGGATCCAGTAGTAGCCTTCGTGGTCACGGCCAGCACCGTCGCCGGTGAACTACTCATGTCAGCGTGTTTCCATATCCTACATGAAGCATCACTCACGTAGTAGCCCTTGTACACATTCAGGTATGTATCCATGTATCGTTTGTGGGCTCCCCAGACAGTGCGCGCCATGCTGGGCCATGGCTGCTTGAAGGCAAGCACACCCTCGACATCGTTTCCGTGGATCTCCTCGCCAGACACGGGGTCGATAATGGCGGGCTCGATGCCGAAGAAGGGCAGGGAGGCAGATCCGGGCTTCGTCGGGGTGACACCACCAAGGGGGGTGATGACATGGGAGCCGGTCTCAGTTTGCCAGTATGTCTGTATATCTCAGGATACTCTTCGCTCATCGGATGGAACTTGTTTTCACTTACGTCAACGACATGCGCCTCCTCCTTTCCTACAATTTCGAAGTACCACTTCCAGACCTCAGCCGCAATTGGCTCGCCCACGGATCCCAGGATTCGGAGATTCCTCATCTCGTGCTTGACGTGCTGGTCGCCAGCGCGCTTGAGCAGTCGTAGAGCGGTCGGGGCAACGTAGAACTGGCTGACGCCGTACTTATCGACGATATCCCAGTAGCGCGAGAAGTTGGGGTAGGCGGGAGTGCCCTCAAAGACGACGGTAGCAACACCGAGTAGCAATGGCGCGTACACGACATAGGTGTGGCCAGTGATCCAGCCGACATCACCACCACAGAAGAAGATGTCCTTGTCGTGGATGTCGAAGACATACTTTCCGGTCGCTGCAGCACCGATGAGGTAGCCACCCGTCGTGTGCATGACACCCTTGGGCTTGCCGGTGGAGCCCGATGTGTAGAGCAAGAAGAGAGGATCCTCAGAGTTCATAGACTCTGGGGCGATGTAGTTGGGGTACTTCTCCACCTCCTCGTGCCACCACCAGTCACGACCCTTGGTCCACGGGACGTCGGCGCCCGTGCGCTTGAAGACGAGGCAGTGGGAGACGTTCGGGCACTGCTTCAGGGCCTCGTCGACGATCTTCTTGGTGCCAATGACCTTGCCGCCACGCTTGCCTTCATCTGTGGTGATGACGACCTTGGACTCGGCGTCGATGATGCGGTCACGGAGCGAATCTGACGAGAAACCGGCAAAGACGACGGAGTGGACTGCGCCAATACGCGCGCACGCCAAGAGCGAGATGATGGCCTCTGGAATCATGGGCAGGTAGACAGCAACCGTGTCCCCCTTCTTGACGCCCATCTCCTTGAGCGTGTAGGCGACTTTGGACACCTGGCGGAGCAGCTCGCCGTAGGTGATGGTGCGGCCATCTCCGGCGTCGTCGGCCTCGTAGATAATGGCGGGCTTCTCCGGGTTCTTGAACGCATGGCGATCGACGCAGTTGTAGCTAGCATTCAGTCTGCCCTCCAAGAACCAGGAAACGTCGCCATTGGCGAAGCTGCCGGCGCTGACGGTCTGGAAGTCGCGCTCCCACGTGAGCAGTTCCCGCGCGGTGCGGCCCCAGAACTTCTGCGGCTCCTCGATGGACTCCTTGTACAGCTGCTGGTAGTGCTCGAGGCCGCCGAGATGGGGGCCCGTGTGCGGGTGCTTCCTGTGAGGTCATGCATCAGCCGGCATTCATCTCTTTCTGGGCTTTGTGTGGTGATCGCGATGCGCTCTGGGCATGGCGGGGTCACCCCGCTCTCCGCGGCGAAGCTTGGGGAAAGCCACCGCCCGCACAATGTCTTGGACGATGATGCAATGCAAAATAGACTCACTCATGGAATGCCTTGGGGACGTGGAAGGTGTCGACCTGGTGGGCCTCTGCGACCACCGGGTTCGCGGGCTTGACCGCGCCTTCAGACATGGTGCGGGCGCGGGTATGCGTAGCCTGTGGAGGGGGAGGAGGATTCGGGCGGCGGGGCGCTCAACGCAGCTGCTGGAGAGCTTCAGGAATGGGGATGGGGCTCGCGGGACGCTGACGGGGTCGAGAAAGGCTCCTAGAGCAGATATATCTCAATTCCGGGTAAAGGGCTCGGGCGCGGCGCGGTGCGTGGTGCGTGATTGCTGCAGGGACGCAAATTGACAGGCTACGGTCTCGGAGAACAGCTGCCTGGCGGGGGTGGAGCTGCGGCAGGCTATCGAGGCACGAACTAGTCTCACGGAATGAGGAAGCAACGAGAAGGGAGAGGGTCAATGGACGCAGAGCGGGCGACGGGCGGCTCTTATGGAAGGTGAGGTGATGGCTGCCACGCGCCGCCACCAGCCTGTGACGGGCTCTCCCAGCGCCGGATACCCCTCCTGGCCTTGTCGTCCAGGCGTGGGCGCGGGGACGAACGGCTGTGCTGCGATGGCCTTTGTCTGGGTCCACAGGCGGGCCACTTACGATGCCCTTGGCGGCTCCTGTGATGGCAGACGACTCCGTTTGTCCGGCCACCCAGCGGCCGCGGCCGTCAATAAAGGGAACCGTCGAGCGCTGATCCGCACGCGAGCGCCCCATTATTCGCCGTCTTCATCAGAAAGAGCGCGTCTTGTGCGCGTTGGCATTCTCTGCGCGCCTGCGCCATGATGTGATGGGCGGCGCGGGGCACGGCAGCAGTCGCCTAGATGTGGAAACTGAGGCACCGCAGCGCAGAGCTTTGTGAATTGCCAGAGCTGCGTCCGGACAGGGTTTGCAGAGCAGCCAGCCGCTAGAGCTGTTCGGTTCCCGTGCTTCTCTGCTTAGCGCCGCGTCGAGTGCCTGCAGCCCTGCTAGAGCGCGGATGTTCGCTGAGCGAGACAGATGCGCACAGCGAATTCCTGCCGCTGCAGAATCCCACGCATTCCAGATATCCGTGGCCATCGACCCACTGCCCGTATTTGCACATGCTTCCACCGCGCGACCACGAGGCGCCCTGTCCCCGAAAGGAAAGGACCGTACCGACGCTCCCCCCAGCCCTACCAGCATCTGGCCTGACACGGATTCGGACCTGGGGAAGTGAGCTCACCATGGCCCGAGGCGCTGGGTTCTGATAGCCGGACTAGGTCCCTTCCATTCCGACTCTCTCGGCCGGTAGTTCCGAGGCGGCCTTCAGCATCGTGGAGGCCTTCCGTGTGTTGAGACGCAAGCGGGCAATCTGATATTCGTTCGTGCTTCGAGGTTGCAGTAGCCGAGATCCTAAGGTACCGTGCTAAGCTTTTCTCCTAGATAACTCCGAGCGTGGACCAGTAGTCTGGCGTGAGACGGTCGGGTTGTTAGAGTACTGCTCGCTGCGACATTTTTTGTATTCCTTCCGACCTGCCATCCGTCGCGGCCCTACATATATTATCCGCCGGGGGTCGCATACGCTCCCACTCATGCGCACCCAATGACAATGCACAGCATCATGCCGCAGCGTCTTGTCCTTGGCGCCCTCATATCCGTCGTCATAGCGACCAGCAACCGAGTAGTTCTCCAGGCCACATGGTCGTGGTTCGAGCATTGGCTCACGATGCCGGGGATCTGGGCGCCGAGGTGCGGGGCTCCGCATATACGCCAATGCAACACCAGCGCCTAGAAGCTCGTCGAAAAGTCGAAAGATCAGCTGGGATCCCTACACTCTCGATATACTGGTTTGTCAGATTAGGCCACGCACACAGAGATGCACTGGGAACTTTTGTCTGATGCTGAAAGAAGACGCTGTTATACATTAACGTAAGTGGTATCAAGCAAAGAATTCCAAGTGCGTGAGCCAGACCGCGCATCTTTTGCGCCAGAGACCACCTTGCCCGGAGTTAAACTCCTGAGAGCATCCTAAACGCCACGTACCCCTGAAATGATGCCTTCCGACGTCCTGTAAACGCCTGTCCTGGGTCTCCATTATCCTTGAGACGCCTGTTCATCGGTAACCACTGAAGAATCAGCAGTGCTGGCCGTGGACTCCTCCGTTCCTCGGTCACCTTCTCTTCTCCTGTCTTTCTCTGTTTCTTCTTCTTCTTCTTCTATCGCCGGAGTGGCTACGCCACCCGACGTGCCGCTCTCGCTATTCTCTCTAACCCGAAGAGCAACGCTCGCAGCAAGCTTCTCGTCTAATATGCTGACCAGTCGCTCCGAGTACTGATCCAGCAGCTTGACCATCACCGTCTCGTTCAAAGAGTCGTTTGACTTGGCCTTTTCGCCTACCGCCCGCGCTGTCAAAGCGAGCTCGCGCTCTACTTCGCGGACCACGTCTGTGCTGAGGCCGTCGTTGCTGTTGGAGAGCCGCTTCCGATAAGCGCGCAGTGTGCGGCATAAGCTCTCGGTCGAAGCACCAAGACTTCCAAACTCATTCGCTGGAGCTTTGGCACGAAGTCGAACATCAACGGACGAACGCCTTTTTGCAACCTGAGGATTGCGAGGGCTTGGGGGGGACGGTGAACGATTGCGATTGGATCTGCGCAAAGTACCTCCCGTGCGGTCCCGTGGTATGCTGGGTATGGGTGAAGGGTCGAGCTTCGGGGTCTGGGCTAATGAGAACTTGGACAGTCTCTTCCGCAGCTTTGGCGATCGACTTCCCGTGGGTGTCGCCTGATCTTCCTCCGGCGAGCGCTGGAATCGAGCCAGCTCGGACTGAGAAAAAACACGTCGCAATGGGGGCCTGCTTGCTAACAGATCCTGATTCATCGGCGTGCTCGGTCCTAGTAAATCCATAGACTTCGACATGTCTTGCCGGTTCGGAGATTGAAGCATGAGGCCCCATACGAAAATCGTCCCATCTACCGCCACAGTGACCAAAGACTTCTCGGTGCAATCATCATCCGCTGAGCTATCTGTCTTCACGAGGGCAATGCTTGTTACTCCTTCGGTGTGACCCCAATCGCGGGCTACGAGGATTCCACTTTCCTCGTACAGTCGGATCGATTTGTCGGTGCTGGATACACCTCCAATCAAAGGCGAGCCCCAAGTACGCGGTATATGGACCAATGAAGATAAAACGACGGCATCGCCGCCCTCAGTGTCGGAAGCGCGGAAGCTGCTGAGGCATTGACCGTTTCGCACGTCATATTTGTGCACCTGCCTATCGATTGTCGAGACTAGAAGGACGTCGTCTTGGTCCACATCCCAGGCCATGGAGACGGGTGTCGTCTTGAGAACGATTGTTCGCAAGATCAAGAAAGCACTCATCGTTTCACCCTCCCCTTCGCGGGATACAAGCTCGCGGACTACCAGAGTGCGATCCGAGCTGAACGATACGAGGCGAGTCCCATTTCTTGAGAAAAGGATCCCGGTCACCGCGCCCACGTGCTCGTCCAGGGTCTGCATTAAATCCCACGTGTTGTCTTTCCTCTTGAAAATTTGGACCATGCGATCCCTCGCGCTGGTGGTGATGTATGCCTGCTCTTTCGATTCGAAAATGTCTATACCCGTAATCTCATTTGCGTGAGCTTTGAAATCCAATGCGCTTGCTTTTGATTGGCGATCCATGATTCTGGAAGCGTTGTTAGTCAATTCACGAGCAGTGGGTAGGAAGACTCACCTAAGGACGCCATACTTGTCCCCAGTTACGAGGAAGCTCGCATCTGAAGAAGCTTTCACAGTCCTCAACTCATTCGTATCGACGTCAGATCCGTCTAACTGTTCTAGAGGCACCTGCAGAGATTCCTTGCATATGCCTTCTCTGCTCCAGAACAAGACTGAGCCGCTGGACGACCAAGTGCAAAAGGAGGCATCAGCAGAATTTGGCCGCGCGAGGGCAGCCACTCCGAGCACTGAATCACCGTGTGCCGGCAACCTTTCGACCACGTCGCCAATGAGAGACTCGTCGTCTGAAGCTCGTAGATGCGATAGGCGAATGGAATGATGTGAGTCTACCGTGACGATGTAGTTGAGCAGCGAAGCAACTGCCTCAATCTTACACGAGTCCGCCGTCAAGGTGATCGTGGGAGATTCTACTCGGGGTGGTGGTGATGGCGGGGGAGTGAGTGATCCGATCGTCTCTTTTATGTTCAACGTTTTCAGACCGCCCTGGCTGCTAGCTAGGTGGAGGCGTCCTTTTGAGTCAATCGCCATCGAGGTCACTGCGACGCCGGCCTCGGCAACTTTGGAAAACCGCTGCGTTCCGTCGCTATCGTCAATCAGGCAGACGTCGCCTTTGTCGGAGGCTACGATGGCTTTGGAGGGAGCCACAGCCACCACGCTCGTGAAATTGGCTTCGAGCAGACTTTCGAGGAGACAATTCCTGCCTGGCAAAGTCTTGTGTGTGCTACTTGAGAGGAAAGAAACGTCGCTCTGTCGGGCTTTCGAGAGCCTAGGTGTTGAGTTTGGATCTTCTATTCTCCAGACTTTGACATGTCTGGTTCCCACGCTGCACAAGCTCAGTCTTCGCTGCCACGATATGAAACAAAAAGGCAGAGAACAGCGTCCCAGATTCAGTAGAGAAGACAATGACTTACGTGATAAGGTTGTTTGCCATCCAAGCTATCCGGTTGATGTTGCTTGTGCATTTGTTGCTGGAGTGCAGCGTGGCAGCTCCTGTCCGGGAGTTGATGTTCCAAACGTATAGAAAGCCATCGTTAGAGGAACCTAGGCTAGCCAGATACTGAGAGTCAGGGCTAAAAGCAAGGCACTTGACGCCAAAGGTATGGTCGGTTAGTGAAGTCAGAGGCGTGTCCGAGGGTGCATCGGGAGCGGTGGAGAAAATGAGCACTCGCGGTTTGTATCCGGTCTGGTTTTGTTAGCACGGAATCCCTCTGCTGGGCAAGCAACTGCTCACCTCTCCAACGGCCAAGAATTTCCCGTCGGGGCTGAAGGATACGCAAGTCGCAGCCTTGATCCTCTCTCGCGCTGTCCAAGTCTTATTCCCGGGAGAGTCGCTCCAATCGTTAGCCGGGGACGCAAGCGGCGATGCGCCTATGCCGGCGTCGCGCAACGAAGCAGCCGTGCGATTCCTGCTCTCGTTCTGGGTAGGTGTAGAGGGGCCACCGTACACAGATGCGGAAGGGTTGATCGGGTTCGTCGTAGGGCGGGCGCGGTAGAAGCGCTGCGAGACATGGTGTTGGTCGTCGACGGTCGCGAGGACTGCCGCGGCCCCGGCGGTGAAGGCGAAGGAGCAACCAGACGAGAGGCTGTCGAAGGCATTGGCAGAGCTCGCCGTGGTTCCAATGACCTGGCGGAGAGCGAGGCTTGCTTCGGCGCGGTGCGGCTTGATCGGCGAGCGCAGCGGCGTGCTCTTGAGGAACGGCGACGGGGAGGGCGTGAGCTTGATGCTGCCGCCCCAGGCAGGGCTCATCATCCGGGAGTTAGATGGAGTGAGCGACATCGCTTGTAGAAGGGATGTCTGAGTATTCGGTGTCCAGCGACGACGAACATTTCAACGGAATCGCATGGCGGAAGGCGCTTGCCGGAGGTTTGCGGTTGGTGAGGAGATGGGGAATGGGGAATGGGAAGCGCAGCAGCCCGTTGTTCCGGTAGCGTATGTGGAGTATGTATACAGCTGCTATGATGCAATTGGGTGATAAGATATGCGCATCTCAGAGGTGAGAGAGACGCATGACGGGATACGCGGCTCCACAGCGCGTCTGGTGAATGAGTTCATGCGGAGTGAGTGAACGGGCTGGATCCGAGCGTTGTTTTTAGGGCAGTCAACACACAGACGCTCTTTCCGAAATGGGCGATCTTCCGCACGGACCCAGGGGCGGCCATCCATTCACGGCTCGCTCGCTTAACCTTATCACATTGCCGCACTCTTATCACACCTCCCTCATCTCCCCCATCACTCATGCAATCTTGCGCGGCTCGCGGCTATCGCAAGGTCCATCTTCCCGCCTGGATACGCTCATACACAGATGCGAAGGCCACTGTATCGATACCCCAAACCCCGCAGACGCTTGCTGGCCCGGGGTTTGTAAACAGAGTCATGCAGGCGTCCACGACCCTGGCCCTGGTAGCGATCAGGGGTCTTTATTCCTCAGCGGTCGGCCTGAAACTACAGGTCAAACAAGTTGTAGTAGCAGCCTCGTCGAACTCATGGAGCTTTGAAATACTCCCACGCAATCGTATCCAGATTCGCTAGCCTACGAAGGGCATCCCAGTTCAATCTGAATTCCACGCCACCGAACCCCTCATCCAGTCCAACACGATCGGTACCTACCACGGTTCCCTCGGTTCCGCCTAACCCATCACCACCGCGATGATGTAGGCTTGGGTACCTAGGCACCGCGTCTGTTTCGCTAAGGTCCAGTATGTCGGAGTCCGTCATCGGATCCACCTATGCCCATTCCTCCTCCAGTCTAAACAACGGACTCCTCCAAGACAGACCAAGGAAACCGTGAGCATGACGCCGGTATACACTATGGGCTTCATAAAGTCCCTTCCCGTCAGCTCGCTATCCTTGACCCGGCTCACGAGCGCCCCCGCAATCGGAACACCGCATGCGTATCCAGCTCCTCGAATGGAGGCCAGCGCCCCATTGTATGGGTAGTACAGTTCGTCACCAAAGAGCTGCTTTTGGACCGAGTTCATTACTGTGTTAAAGGTGCCGTTTACCTAACGCGCCAGTGTCATCAGCGAATATTCAGTTCTTTAATAGAGAGTTGACTTACGATGCCATATAGGACATTGAATGCAATCCAGTACCCTCGGTTGCTCGTTTGTGCCGCGATAAGCCATAGGGTCCATGTGCTCAGAGCATACACAAACGTCGCGACCATGACCATGTTCTGATGCCCTAATCTATCCGCTAGGCCGCCGACGCAAAGCCTCGATATAATTCCGACTCCGTTCGTGAGCGCCAGCCAGTATGAAGTTGCCTTGATGCTATAGCCTAGGGCCTCGCCGAAGTCAGGTCCGAAGGTCGCGGGAATGGCCGCGGTCAGTGGGTGAAGGAGGTTGACGATGAACAGAAGTGCGAAGGCTGGGTCCTTGAAGGCCCTCCAGCTCACAACTTTCGCGCTTCTCTTTTCAAGTTTTCGGGGCGGCAGAGCAAGACCGCTAATGAGACCGCCAACTACAGCACTCATTACCGCAAATACGCCAAGTGTGCCTCGGGTTCCTAACGCGTCGAGGAGTTCGGGCGTAGCGAAGGAGAGGACGGCACCGCCAACGGCAGCAGCTTCACATTGTCAGCTTACACCCGAAACGCGAGGCGGGAAGCCTACCAGCCAGCGTGATACCCTGCGCCAAGCCACTATGTCGACCAAAGTACTCTGCCAGGATCGGGGGCAGCGTGGACAGTATCAGACCACCTCCAAGACCGGCCAGGAGCCCTTGGGTACCAACGAGATGCAAAAGCTGTTTCCGGATGAGTAAGTATGCCAAAGAAGACAATTGTGGTGGAACAACTTACCCGCGTGCTTGCAGCAGCCGTTCCAAAACCAAGCACCATTAACCCCGTCCCCACCGCGCATAGTGTTCTGATGTGCTTCCCAATATCCGGCAGATACGGGAAGTAGAATATGCAAAACGCGGCGACGATTCCTCCATTCCCAAGAGACCCGATCGCCGCGATTGTAGGCCGCTCGGTCAAGTCGCTAGGTTGGATTAACCCATCTTCAACGGCTGAATCGCTTCCGTAATGTCTCTGCCAGATACCGAAGCTCTGGGTAAGACCTACGCAAGTCAGCATGCGGCTGCGAAGAGAGATACCCTGGCTTACCTATAATCCAGAAAGACATTAAAGACGTTGCCACGAGTACCTTCACCTGCTTCCGTTTGGTGATCTTCTCTCCTAGGTTCTCGTCCACCTTGACGGACGGGGTCCCGCTCGGTGTATTGCGACTTTTTTCGTCTCTAAACTCTGATAAAGAACTATGCGACGTCGACGTGGTTTCTCTCGAGTTTTTTCTCGAGCCGTACGCGGAATCTGGACGATCGTCGTGCACGAGCCTGGGAGAACCTGTCATCGTAAACCCTCTGTGGCTCTAGGGCAATGAGGCATACTTACGCGCTGTCTCCACATCGAATCGCTCCATCTCCGTAGTCCACAAGTGTGCGTGGTGGACGAATCGAGGGTCCCTGGCCAAACGCGCTTCTGGAATCCCGTTGGAAGAAGGGTTTTGGGGAAATGTTAGTGGCATTGCCGAGTACATTGGCCTCCTTGCAACTGAGCCGTTATTCGAGGTGTAGGAAAGGGAAGAGCGACATTTTAACGATAGCAGTGGCAAGCTCCTAGTACAAAGTTTGGAGAAGCATGGTACCGCGTGCACATTTTTCATGCCTCGAGGTTGTAGAACCGTCTTATGACGCATCAGAAAACCAGAATATGAGAAGAATTCACGAATCTTCTTCGACAATTTTCTCAGTATGGTTCAGACTCGTCGTTGGTGCGTCACACTATTGCAGTGTTGGGAAAAAGTGGTGCCAAGAGTGTGATTCCGTGGATATGATGAGGCTGTGTGCCGGTTGAAAGGTAAGAACCACAATAATCCCCCTGCAGCCTTGCAAATTAGGGTGATACTGGCATAATGGTTCCATAGGTACGCGCTTTCATCGGATCTCAAACGAGATCTCCCTTCATCATAGAATCATAGCCTTGGGTTGAGACAGAAGGTTGTAATGTGAGCAGTGAAGGCCACCAATGCCTCTACTAGATCAAGTACTTGCGTTATACTTCCTCCAAAGTTCTTTTCTAGAGCGTCTTTCATTGCTGAATACATGTAGTCGGAATCGTCACGAGTTGCTTCAGATGCCACACCCATGCTTTGCAGAACATTGATTGCTAGAAGCGAAGCTAAATACATTTCCATGCCTGCGAATCATCGCCCAAAGAAGCACAGTAATGCTGCGGTCGCACTGCTGCCCGTGGGCGGTTCAAGAGGTTATGTGATCGAAAAAGGCAACTTTAAGCGACGTCATGATGCTTGGCGTGGCGGAGTGAACGAAAAGTTGCCCGGTGCGCCTACCGTTGCAAACCACAACATCGGCCATTGTTTACCTCCTCGACAGCCTACAGCCACCTTTTGTAGGCTCCTTCCTTTCTGCCCGCGCGAGGGCCAATCTTCCGTATGTACGGCGCAATACGACCGACATTGCGGGCATCTACACGGAGGCCCCCAGCACGATTCATCCGCGGTCGTCGATACCCGTCCTCCCACCGAACACGCTCGTTTCACTCCACGCCCTACCTCGCAGTTACTCCGACACCTCCGGCCGGCCCAGATAATACGCCCGTCAGCAACAATGGCGTGGACAAGAAGAACCGCGAGAAGGCGGCGGCCGAGCAAACAGACACCGGGATAGCTGCCGAAGACCCGGAGATTCTTGCGCAGAAGCTGCAGCGCTCCAGAGAAATGACGCGGAGATACTCGTCAGCATTGCGACGCTCGCAAAGACGGAATCGCGCCCAGGACTTGCCGCCCGTGGTCGTTCCGAACTGGTTTCTGAGGAAGAGGGTCTTTACGCGGGAGGAAATGCGTGAGCACCCACTCAATCGCCTTGGACACAATAATTTCACACTGTCGTTGCAGCGCCTGAATTCAGAGGAGGCTGGTAAATTTTCGGTCCCGTTGAACAATCTATCGAGCGGTGTGAAGATCCTGTCTCGGTTGGTTTTCGCAACTTGGAATAGTACCTTGAGTGCGGATCAAAGGAGGCAGTTCGCGAGGCAGTTGGCGTCGAGCATAGGGGCTGGAGATAATGAGCGCGTGGTGCAGGCTCTGGAAAAGGGGGAGGATCCGGACACTGCTCAGGATGAACTGCGTCAAGCTCTGATGTCTCACCTCGAACCGTTGAAGCGGCAGCTGACTGAGGTGAAGGAACTTATCAAGGACTCGGGCAATGCAGGCCTTTTGGAGATCAACCAGACTTTGGTACGCCAGGAAAAGGATCTAGAGCGGGTGTCACGCGAATACGAGGCTCTCATGCGACAGAGGAACATGGACAAGGCTCAAATTCCGCCTTTGGCGCTGGCTGAGATTCGGGCTACCATTGCTGCATCTTTGTCCGCTCTGCCAGCGGCCGCTACTGATACCTTTCCTTCCACGAAGACGAATTTGATACTACATTCGCCCTCCAACGAGCATGACAGACTGATAGGGAGAACAGTCATGTCAATAGCATCTGAGCTAGGGGCCGATGTTGTCGTGCTTGAAGCTCAAGATCTCGCGGAAATTGCTGGAGACTACCTAGGCGACGGAGCAGACCCATCACCTCATTCGATACGATCCCTGGGCTACGAAACGTATCGGCTTAGTGCGGAGCTCGGAAATGACATGGAAGAGCTATGGAAGGAGGACCCGTTTTCTGAGGACCAGGAGGAAGCGGCCACACCCCAAGCGCCAACGGAGCCTTTCCGTAGGGCGTTTAAGGGTATGCCAATATCGATAATCGCCATCGATCCCATTTCGAAATCAATTACGCAAAGTATTCATGCCTTGCGGGTGCCTGCCTCTGACGCCAGTGCCGCGTCGACAAATGAACAGCAGGGTCGACTGCAGACGCAAGGCGAAGCCCAATTGGAGGACCTGAAACTCTCGAATTTACTTGAGGCTCTGATTGACTCCAGCGAAGTCAAGCGTAGTCGCGGTGGCCCCACTGTGGAACACGTCACCCGACTATCCACCGTTCCAAAGGACAATGCTCCGACTCCCATAACGCCCAAATTATTCGACAGATTCTTCGACTACTCGATGACTCCTAGAGGGGACAAAGTCGATCTCGCCCCTGCCTTACCAATCAAGGCTATACCCAGATTCGGCCTCGCCGTGGACGTCGGTACATCCCCAAGATCGGAAAGAATCCTTCCGAAATCCAAGATCATCTATGTTCAAGACATTAAAGAGCTCAACGCGACTCAATATGGCAACCGAATAATTCAAAAGCTCGAAGATATCGTCCGAAAGCAGAGGAGAGCGGGTGAAAGCATTATGATAGTCGGTAGCAGTTGCTCTCTGGACCTCACACCTGACCTCTCTGCAAATGGGGTGCATGGCCTCCAGTCAGAGGGCGAGGCTGGCTTGTTCAGGACTATTGTCGTCCCGACAGAATCGGCGGATGAGTCCAAGAACGAGGGGCCGTTTCCTGATAGTAAAGCCTACCATCAATCTCGGTCGCTCGAGAGACTATCGTCCTTAGTAGAAAAGAAGAAGTTCCGGAAGATCAACTTACGACACATACAAAGCATGCTGCGATGCCTCGACCCTCTTGCGTCACGCGCCATTTCCGACGACGAGAAAGGCCCGGAAGAGTTACGCGCAGCTGCATCAGTATTACCAGAGTCTTATTTCTGGAAAGTCCTGACCTACGACGAGGTCCACCGGATAGCATTAACCGCCCTTGGTCTACAACGTATGGATCACAACTGCAAAGAGCTGAACTGGGCCCATGTGGCTCTCGCTATGGGCCTGTTGAAAGCCAGTGACGAAGCGAAGGTCGCTTACATTAAGCGTAAGGCCGAGCAAACAGCCCGCGGTGATAGTCGGCATCCAGACTCGTTCGATCGATGGACGAAGGGTGTAGAAGAAAGGATGCGGAACGCCGCCGTTGGAACTGAAGATCCGGGCGCGGCAACATACGCCCAGCGCGAGCGCCAATTACAAAATGTCTCAATGGGCGCTACAAAGCATGAGAAGCGACTATTGCCGGGCATTGCAAATCCAGACCAGATCAAGACCACCTTCGACCAGGTCCACGTTTCTCCTGAGACCGTAGACTCGATTCGGACACTCACGTCCATGTCGCTCCTTCGCCCAGATGCTTTCAACTATGGCGTGCTTGCTACGGAAAAGATATCGGGCGCTCTTCTTTATGGTCCTCCTGGAACCGGTAAGACCTTGCTTGCGAAAGCCGTCGCAAAGGAAAGCGGATGCACAGTGCTTGAAGTTTCTGGAAGCCAGATCATGGACAAGTACGTTGGTGAAGGCGAAAAGAACGTTGCCGCCATCTTCTCTCTTGCCCGGAAACTTACCCCTTGTATCGTCTTCCTAGATGAGGCGGATGCCATCTTTGGCTCGCGTGACACGGCTCGTGAGCGGACTTCACATCGAGATATTCTAAACCAATTTCTCAAGGAATGGGATGGACTGAACGACTTATCGGTGTTTGTCATGGTCGCAACAAATCGTCCGTTTGATCTAGACGATGCGGTTATTCGACGACTGCCGAGGCGCTTACTAGTTGATTTGCCTACCCAGGCCGACCGAAAGGAGATCATGAAGATCCACCTCCGAGGCGAGCAACTTGATGAATCAGTGGACTTGGAAGACCTCGCCAAGCGCACGCCCTTCTACTCCGGAAGCGATCTTAAGAACTTAGCAGTCTCGGCAGCACTAGCATGCGTGAGAGAAGAAAACGAGCAAGCCGCCGTCGCAGCAGCTCAAGCTGCGGCCGGTGAAGCAACACAATCCGCCTTCTCCACCCCACCGCAGCTCGTCCGCGGCCAGCGATACACGTTCCCAGAAAAGCGTGTTCTGTATGCGAGACACTTCGACAAAGCCCTGATTGAGATCAGCGCGAGCATCTCCGAAGATATGTCGAGCTTGAATGCGATCAAGAAATTTGACGAGAAGTATGGCGACAAAATGGGCAAGAAGAAGAGGAGTGTGTATGGGTTCGGAATTGATGCTGGCACGAATGAGAATGCGGCGAGGGTGCGAACATGAGATTTTTTTGCCTTCCTGTCGATATTTCGAAGAGGATTGTTGTTGTGTATATGTTGTACCTATAGAGTAAGTAAATGTTTTTGGGCTCCATGGCTCGCGTGACTAACGCCCAACATGTCTCCTTACCCCCAACTTGACATGCGCCTGTGGTTCGTTGAGACGGTAGCGCACCTTCGGTATCGCGTGACGAGTTACCCTTTTCTACATATTGTTTTTGCTTCCACTGGGTCTGCCGTCCCAACCCAACCACTTTTTTTCGCGCACCCGCTAATACCGTCTTTTTCTGGCCCTGTTCCTGCCGTGCCCTACGTCGCACTGAACTTTTCATCTCCACACTCATCAGGACCGCACACTCGCGCACAAAAGCAGCAGCAGTCGAACCCGCACTGCACCAAACTGGCACCTCTCCGTCCCTCGAAGCCGCCCACGCTGCTCAATCTCTACTTCGAACGGCCGCCTTAACGCACGCACAAGGAGAGCTAGCTGATAGGCTCCAACTCCCTCTCAAGGTCCGACCTATCGAAGGAATTCATTCAAACCCATCTTCCTACTACTTGCGCAGCGCTCGCTCGCCGCATACAAACGAACGGCAGACAGACATTAAATCCACCACCACGCTTACTACCGATCGATCCGAATCTGAATCTTAACTACCAAGAGGGCTCGGCCACAATGTCGCTGTTCGCCCGCATCGCGTTTAGTCGCAGTCTCTCCTCGTCGTCGGTGGAGTCTGTCTCCGCGGTATCATCGTCATCATCATCTGCATCAGCAACATCAGCATCATCCTCCGCGAAGTTCGTAATCAAGCCACCATTCCGACCCGAAGGCGAGGAGTCCAGTCCTGCTCTTGTCCACGGACAGAACCAAGACCAAGGGAAACGCCATATAGCCAGGACTCGAGTGCCTGCGGCTCACCACCAGCGGTTGGGGAAGTTGGGCAGCAGCGATGGTGCGATGGCGCGGGGGAGTAGTGGGGATGTAGGCGATTTGGAGCTGGGAACTACTTTGGGGGGCTCCTGGAAGGGCGGTTATGAGGGAGGAGAGCGGGTTCGAGGGGGGGGAAGGGGGAGGGAGACGAGGAGGGAGACGAAGAGGAGTGAATGAACAGCGAGGAGAGGCAGGGAGGGAAGTAAGGATTAAGGAAGGATTCGTGGAGTTAGTCTAGCCTAGTCTAGTCTAAGATGCGGTTCTGCCTACCTGCTTGAGCCGCGGCGCGCATAACCGCTCTTTAGGAGAAAGGCGCCTTGGGCTTCTTGTTATTTTTCCATCAGCGAGGCTAGAAGATTACCCATAGCAACGGTGCAAAATTGATAGTCCTTCCACCTCCTCGTCCATGCATCCGTTATCAACTTCTTCCCGCCCACCCCACTGCTAGCTCCTACCCTACCCTTCCCACTTTTCCCACCAGCAAAGCAACCCCTCTCCCCTCCAACCAGCCACAAATATCCCGCTACCGGTATCCCGCACCTCACCGCACAATCACCATGCGTCGACTCCACTCCAGCGCTTCGTAGACCTAGTATATATCCACCAATCCAATGTAGAACCTCAATCGCTGCTTTTTCTCCTCGGTCTGGCCGGTAATAGGCAGGTCCAGTGCCGTCAATATAGGATCTAGCGTAGGATCTGTCATATTCCACAGCTGAGCGGGCGTGGTAGGAAAACCTGGGATGTCGGCGTTTGTCGTGAACGAACGGAGCGCGGTAAGAGGAGCGTCAGATCTTCTGATAGCAGAGTTTTCAATGCGGGCAATAGAATTGTACGCCCTGCATTATAACTAGTTAGCAGATAAGCAGGACATCTAAATAGTATTTACTTACGTTGTCTGATAGCTTGTAGCGATAAGCCCGCGGAGTTGCTGCATCTCGTTCTGCATCGCTTGGTGGTTTTGCTGCATCTGCTCCTGATTCTGCTGCATCTGCTGCTGCATCTGTTGCATCTGTTCCATGATTGCAGCGGCCTGAGCAATCGGAGGAAGATTGGAAAATTTTGCCAACTCGGTGCCAGCTTGCTGGAGTCCCGCGGTGACTTGGTCGGGCCCTGTTACTGGGAGCTTGACATCTGGTTGCGAGCTAAGCTCCTCTGGTTGTGGGCCAAGCTCCTCTGCAGATTTAGGCTGAGGGGAATTGACGCTTGCCATGGCTTCGAGTGATGTGAAGAAATAAGGAGAAGTTGGGAAGAGGCAGAAAGAAGTTGGGAAGAGGTAGAAAGAAGTGGGAAAGAAGTAGAAAAGAAGTAGGAAGAGGTAGGAAGAGGTAGGAACAAGTTAGAAAGAAATAGGAAAAAGTTGAGAAGAAGTGGAAAATGTTGAGAAAAAGTAGAAGAGGTTAAGAAGAAGTAGGAAGAAGTAGGAAGAAGACTTAAAGACGTGAGTGTGGTGCGGGAAGACGAGTGAATTAAAAGTGGGGCTGGGCAGGCCGCTAGCACGTGCAAACTAAGGGTTTCGCCGCTAGCCCTGATTAATACTTTGGCTATCTCAATGTGACCTTTGGGTCGGCTTGATTGTTTGAAACCTTTCTGTCTTCCAGTCGCAGCAGCGTTTTGAGGCTTAGGTCTCAGGAAGCAGGGCGCCTTAGGTCTTTGGTCCCTGGCGCACCCTCATCTTACTACGACCTCCACGCGCATGTATACTTTCAAGTTAAGAACAACCTAAGAGTAAAAGACTTTACCGTACTAGGCTAATCTTCTACTAGAAATATAAGCTAAAACTATTAGACTAATAGAAAAATAAAGTATAGCTAAGAAGTAGGAGACTAAGAACGTACGTAAGCCTAAGAGGATTTCGGCGACTAGAATACTCGGGGCAAGTAATCCATTCCGCGAAACATAAAGAAGGGCTCGGTCTGCTGCCACAGGGCAAGCTCGCAGCCAAGCCGCCCGCGAAAGCCGCCCAAAGCCGACTCTCTGAGGCCCACACCCCTTCCTCCCCCACAACCATCCCACCGCTCCTCAGCCCAACCCGCCCGGGACGCTACTATCCGATCCGCCCAAACATTCTGCACAAGCTGAGCAAACGCTCGAGCCTCTCGCGGTGTGGAATTCTCCGGATAGAACGACGTGCGTAACAGCTACCCTGGAGGCCTTCGCGGGTGCGTACAATGGGACAGCTACTCTTACTTACTTGTACGGCGAGCCCTTAGATCCGGAGAATTCCCTTCCGCAAGAGCGAGCAACGGAGGGGAGGTTGTGATTTTGTATGCGAGGAAAGAAAGGGGAAGAACGGATGGAGAAGAGACAGGAAACGATTGGAATTCTAGGGATGTATGTGGTGCTCATGCTGAGGGATATATAGATTAAGGCAGAAGTGGGTCAGAAAGTGGGTCAGAAGCCTTCGTAAAGGGAAAAGGGATGGGTACTCAGATTGTGCGGGCGAGAGCGTTCGCCGGAATGACAACACGAGCGCCCATAACCCTTTCGAAGGCGGATAACACCTACGTATCGCAGCGACGTTTTCCAGGCGAACCACTTCTCAAGAGTAGACCCCGCCAAATGCCAAGAAACATCACTCGGGGGCCTTGGATCGCATATTCTTCGTCATTAGTACTCATACATCATGAAAAGGTGCTCCGAATATCCGCCGGCCTATCAAAACCAATGCCCTTGTCGAAGCCGTACGCCCGTGCCCAACGCCGAGAGTAACCTACGCGTGTGCTTGGCCGCCTCCTTGTACGCGACCGTAAACGCTATCGGGCCTACTACGATCCCACCCGTACCCATCAATCCTTCCTTCGCCAAGGCTTAATCGCTCCTCAGCATACTCTCCACCAGATCCCCAAGCGGACCCCAGAAGTCCTTGCTCCCGCTCGCCAGCCCATGCTCATCGATGAACAGCACATAGTGCTTGAAGCTCGTATTCAGATGCGGCTCGAGGCCCAGCTCGATGATGACGGGGTAGTGATGGCAGTAGATGTGGGCATAGACGCGATACAGGCGCTTGAACATGTTGCGGAGGAGAGCGGGGAACGTCTTGGGGAAGGGGACGCCGATGCGGCTCGGGAACATCTGCTCGTTGTCGATGTTGGATTGCACCCAGGCCATGAGGTGCTCGATGTACTCGGGCGCGGGCATCTTGGTGGGCTTCTTGTAGTTTTCGCTGTCTTGCCAGAGGTATTCGAACCTGCGGGAGTTAGCGTCGAAATGTAGTGTGCGTGGAGGGAACTGTACTCGTCTGTTGCCTTCATCTCCGGGCAGCTCTGCGGCGAGCAGAACTCGGTTATGGAACCGTAAAGAAGATTGATCTGGTTGTAGAAGTCGACCACTGGAACCTTTGTTAGAATGTGAGCGTAGTTTTCAACCATCTTGCCTACCGTTGACGGCCAACCACTCGTCCTTGTCCTCGCCCTCGGGCAACTTCACTGCCTTCCTCAAGCTCCCACTTCCCAGCGTCGCTTCCGCATACTGCTTGAGTTGCCAGCTGCTCGTTCCTCGATTCGACTTCTGGGGCTTGAATGGTGCTCGCGTGCGCGGGTTACTAAAGAAAGAAGAAAGTAAGCTGGTGCCCGCAAAGTATCTATCATTGCGTGGTGTGTTTATCTGTCCCTTCGGCGTAGGACAAGAGACGGTACCCGTGCCCGTCGGGCCATCGTACCCTCGCCCAGAGCATATTTCGGCGTCCTTCTTCAGTGCAGAGCGTGTTGGTGAGCGTTTCCCTCCTGGTACGAGTTTGTACGAGTAATTGGGGAACTCGCAGGACGGGCTCTGCTCGTCGGACTGCGAGTGGGGGTTCGGGTGAAGGGCAGGAAGAGCAAAGCCAATGCCCGACACCCCTCCCGCAGCCGAATTGGTTACCAGCTCCGGCAATGTAGCAGCCGAACCCGCCTGCGGCGTCCGCAGCGCTTCCCCGATCCTCTGGAGTGGGCTCTTATACGCCGATCGCGGTCTAGCAGGTGCCAGAACCTCGAACCGACCCTCAGAGGTCTCCGTCCATGCAGGCTTGCCTGCCGCATGCTCTGTCCGGTCGAGGATGTCCATTGCGAGGCTCATGCAGCTCTGGCTCTGGGCGAAGCTGAAGACGGGCTGGAGGGGCTTGGGCTTCGCGGGAAACGGGGGGTGAACGAGGGAAGCGGGAGGGACGAACATTGTTGTTATGAAGCCTGACATCCTTCACGGCGTTCTGGTCTCGAATATATCGGTAGAGCGTGTTGCACGCTGTCTAGAGCGCATTCCGATTGTTAGCCAGGTGATCCGGGGGATGTGAGGAATGTACCAACCGTTAGCCTATGCGGATCTTGTGTGTGGATGGTTTCGAGGGAATGAGCGACAGAATTGGAAACAAGGAGAGAGAGACGAAATAAAGGCGCAAGCAGAGGGGGGTCGGTGACGTTGGGTGTGAGTTCAGTGTTTGGCCCGCCCCGCCATAAACAACCTACGCCACAGTCTGACTAAGCCATTAGCCACACTTAGCTTTCGCTGCTAGTGCTATCACAGGAATCCGGAATCGAACAAGCCACTGTAGGTTGAACAAGAGTCCAAGAAACTTAAAGGTCGCGATTCTCTAGGTCTACTCTAGGTCTATCGATGCAGGTTCTTGACTTCCACCCAATGCATCTACGCTTTTGGTTTGCGACTGGCCACCATCACCTCCTGGGGCTCACATGCTACCCCACCACAAACGCATCTGTATCTACCTAAGATACCCCGGTTCTTGGTTGAAGTAATCCCTATTGCCATTCCGCTCACCATTGGGCCTGTCGAAAGCACCGTCAAGTGACGTCTCAAACTCTCCGCAGTCGAGATCATCAGAGCCGCCACTCTTGACCCTCGCCAGCTGATCGCTGACATAGTGAGCAACATGCTGATCAATCTCCGCTTTCCGCTTGAGCTCCTCTTCATCAAGGAAGCCAATGGAGTTGCTCCGGTTGAGCGGAGTGGCATCTTCGTCGCCATTGGTCGACGTCTCCCAATCACTACGGAAACCAATCGATCTGCTCGTGGAGGAGCGCCGGAAATGATGCGGCTTTTTGGGCTTCCCAGTGGAATTCCAGATGTCATCAAAGTAATGGGCGGCAGCAGTGGTTGGGGTGCGTGGTGTCTGCGGAAGGCGGCAGGTCATGCTGGGAAGTGTTAGTGGTGTAGCAGCGAGCCCATTGACGTAGCTTACCCAGTGTCGTGGATCATCTTTGCGATCAAACCAGTCCAACCGCACTGGTGCGTTGCACCCAACCCGCGGCCTGTATCTCCGTCGAAGAACTCATGGAACCACATGTAATCCCTCCAGTTCGGGTCAAAATCCAGCATCTGATTTCCGTCGTTGATGGCTCTTCTACCGTCATCACCACGTGCGAACAGATGCTGCAGCCGATGTTGTAGCTCTTCGGCGACGTGGCCAAGGTGCATATAGTCGCCTGATCCCGTCGGGCATTCGACCTGCAGATTGTTGCCGTAGTATAGGAAGAATCTCTGTAAAGACTCAATGAGAAGGAAGTTGACAGCCAGCCAGATTGGTCCTCTCCAGTTGCTGTTGCCGCCGAAGAGTCCACTGTCAGAGTCACCCGGAAGGTAGCTAACTTGGTATCGCTGGCCGTTCACGTCCATTGAATACGGATGGTCTTTATGGTATTTTGACAGGGATCGGATGCCATGCTCCGCTAGGAACTCGTCCTCGTCTAGCATCCTCTGGAGAATCCTCTTTAGTCGATCTTCATTCACAAGGGACAGAAGGAGACGGTCGTCTTTGCCACGTTTTTTCATCGACGCAATGTTGCGGGACGCGGTCTCTTTTCGGTTGTTGATGAACCAGTCCAACCTCTTCTTGAAGCTAGGCAATTTGTTGATGACCTCCGGTTCAAGGGTCATGGTGGCGTACAGCGGGATAAGGCCAACTAGAGATCGAACAGGCATCTGGTGGCTCCATGGACCACCCCATGAGATGGCGTCATAGTAGAAGCCATCTTCCTCGTTCCAGAGAGGCTTGGCTTCCCCGTGTGACCGGTACTGCATGGCGTCGCTGATCATAATGAAATGTTCGAAGAATTTAGAGGCCATATCTTCGTAGATGCGCCGGCGTTTGGCCATTTCAAGGCAAATGTTGAGCATGTTCAGGCAGTAGAAGCCCATCCAGCCCGTGCTGTCGGCTTGCTCTAGGACACCGCCAGTGGGCAATGCTTCGGACCGATTGAAGATGCCAATGTTGTCGAGACCGAGGAAACCGCCCTCAAAGATGTTCTTGCCTTCGGCATCCTTACGATTGACCCACCAGGTGAAGTTCAGCAACAGCTTCTGGAAGACGCGCTCAAGGAAGTCATAGTCCGCGCGGCCGTACATCTTGCGTTCCATCTTGAAGACCCTGAAGAGAGACCATGCATGGACAGGTGGATTTACGTCACCGAAATTCCACTCGTACGCAGGCAGCTGGCCATTGGGGTGCATGTACCACTCGCGGGTGAAGAGGTCGAGCTGCTTCTTGGCAAAGTCCGGATCGATCATGGCTAGAGGGATGCAGTGGAACGCGCTGTCCCATGCGGCAAAGAATGGATATTCCCACGAGTCGGGCATGGACAGAATGTCGTCCAGGTACATGTGCTTCCACTCTCTATTCCGGACGTTCTTGCGGCTTTCTGGTGGCGGAGGCATTCCAGGGTCGCCATTTGCCCACTGGTCCCAAACGAAGTGATAGTACTGCTTGCACCAAAGCATTCCGGAGAGCGCCTGGCGCTGGATGTTGCGGAGATCATCAGCCATGGGGAGAGGGCTGATGCGATAGTAGAACTCGTCAGCCTCGGCGCGACGCTGTTCCATGATGTCGTCGAACAGCTCTTCGTCGAGATAGCCCTCGTATCTCTTGGACATCCTAAAGCGCACTACGGCGCACTCACCAGGCGGGACGCCCTCATCCTCGTCGAAAGCGTACCAAGCAGCGCACTTGGTACCGAATCCCTGCGCGTTGACGGCATTCGGCTGCTCGTCGACGATCCGGCGATGGATGCCATCCTTGACATACGGGGTCTTGTTCTGTCCACCCCACAAGCTCTTGTAGTTGGTCTCGTTCTCGGTGAAAAGAAGCTCAGGCTGGACGTCCTCGCCGCTCGAACCAGTGCCCGGCGAGGGCGAGAGCTGCATATAGCGCTCTCCAAGCTTCCAGTGATTCGAATGCGCCGTAGTCGGGGCGATCTTGCGGATCGACGGCTTCTTCTTAAGATCTTCATGACCCCATGCCCAGGTGTTGCGGAACCACATGTGCGGTACAATGTGCAGCGGTGCGGGCTCCGGTCCCCGGTTGTAAGCAGTGACCCGGAACAACAGCTCCTCCGGGTCGTCAGCCTCTTTTGCAGTCTCAATGAAGATGTCCCAGTATCTGTCGTCATCGAACACGCCCGTGTCGGGGAGGTTGTATTCCTTCTCGAGGCGGCTCCGTTTCGCGTTCTCTTTGATGAGGTCTTCGTAGGGAAACTTGCGCTGCGGGTACTTGTAGAGGAATTTCATGTAGGAATGCTACGAGCATCATTAGCAACAGCAACGCCGAACGGGGTGGAGAAAACTCACGGTGGGTGTGTTGTCCAGGTGGAAGTGGCATTCCTTAATCGACTCGCCGTGGTTGCCCTGAGGATTCGACAAGCCGAACAAGCGCTCTTTCAAGAAGTCGCTGCACCAATGTCAGCGATCGATCATGGCGTTCCGGCGCGCGCATACTCTTCCTCGTTCCAGAAAGAAAAGGCGATGTTCTGCAGGCCGTGCGAGTCGGAGACGCCGGCAATGCCGTCCTCGCCCCAGCGAAAGGCTCGTGAACGCGCCATATCATGCGTGAAGTCTGGTATATGTCAGCTAGACCACTGCATCACATCTAACAGCACCTACGGCTCCATGCGTCGCCATCGTGACTGCAGCGGTTCGTCAGTAAGCTCAGCGAACAGCGGCGATTGGACTCACGAGTAGTCTTCGCGGACTGCGCGCAGATTAGCCTAGTCCTCAACCATGTACAGCAACAGAAACCGACCAGTCGCCCACTGCCTCTCGGCAACGTAGGGGCCCCATCGCTTCCAGTAAGCCTTGCGCTCCCGGTCCTGCTTGAGGCGCTTTTCCTCCTCGCAGAGGTATTCCTGATTCTCAATGAGAACCATGGCGGATATGTGGGATGAGAGGATGTTCGGGGTGCGCTGCCAGCAAAATTGGGGTTGTCGTGGGCGAGCAAGGGAATGGCGGTGTCGAGGGCGATGCGCAGGTGAAAGTCAAACAATAGGTATTCACACGACCAAGAAGCGAATGGATGAGCAAATAAGCTATGTGGGTGGGTGTGCAGGAGTCGGAGACGAGGGTATCGCGGGTGTGTAGGGGAGAAAAGTGGGAGAGGCAAAACACGGCAAGGTTTTGAAGCGGCAGAGCAGAGAGCGCGCTTGCTTCTCACGATGCATGCAGGCACTTGCGATGGATGTCATAGATGGGCCGTGCTCCCGGATGCCTGCTTATCGGCCCTCAACGCCTCGATTCTGATTTAGCGCCACCGCCGCCGGTTTCACGTCTCGCGACAGCTTGGCGGTCTGGGGAACATCGACACCGGACCGCGACACTCTCGCATCTTGTGGTACCTACACACGTCTCTGCGTCCGGCCGCGCCGAGAGGCTCTGCGGCCACTACCAAACTGTTGAACGGCGATCCTGCCGGCGAATTTTTAGACAGCCGCGATGGCCTGGGATCCTCAACAGGGGACCGAGGCCGCGGCCATTGCCGATCCTGGCCAGGCGCGTGCCAAGGAAGGTTCCCCTTCGCGGCAAGGACGACCTGCATGTACGCACCACCAGGACGACGGATACGCATGCCAAAAGCAATGCGAGGATAGATTGCGCTCAGAGAGGGCACAGCAAGCCCCGCAAGAGAGTTGATTATGAGAGGAGCCGTTTGCTCGCCTGATTCTGGGGAAACAAGCCGATCAAGGCCCGATGAGTGCTTTGCTCCCCTTCTCACCTCCCGCGTATATAGAAGGGGGGGGACGTACTACCGCGACTTCATAAACCTATTCTGAGGCTCACACTGGAAGAATCCAAAGAAGTTACACGATATTCGCGACACTGCATTGACCGTGTCGACTCACTCGAACGAACTACTCTACGCTGGGCAGTGTGCCAGGGCGACCTAGGCGCGACGGACCAGCTGTTGCACAGCGGTGCCAATTCATCTACTGTGGCTGCACGGGGAATTTTTTCAACCTTGGCATCACACACTCACAGACGCTCATGCCAAACACACTGGGGTATAAGACCTGATTGGCTAAATCAGATCTCACTGACCGTTTGCGGGCCTGTGACTACCTACACCGCAATGCCAAGATTGTAAAACTTCGCCCTGCAACCACAGTAGCTGCAGCATTTGGCCACTCACAAAGCTGCGGAGGCTCTGGTGTCCGCAGGAGCCGACGTAGGAGCAGTAGACACTATACCCAAGCCTCCAATCAATGTGACTGTATTGAGGTATCACACATCAAGAGTCTCATTCTCGCAAAGGCCGGAGCCAACATCGAGCAGACAAACGGGTTGGGCGAAACCCCTCTCCTCGCTGCATGTCGCGCTGACTCGCACAATGCAGTGGGAATGCTGCTTTGTCCGGAAGTAAATCTAGAAAAGAAAAGTGCCAATAAGGTTACTCAGCCCATCGTAGAAGTATCAAGTTAAACAGGCATAGGACTGTCCGAATGTTGCTCGAACGAGGCGCGCGAACTGATACTGTTCGCCATGGTAAGAAGCCTGTCCTTCGATCTTGTCGCGCAAGCCAGTGAGAACAAAATGATCCAACTTCTAATGGATGGTGGGGTCCACGGTTTGGACGTTGAGGCGCGCGATGGGGATGGGGTGAGTGCTCTTCAGGATCGGCAGGTCCGACATGATATTGGAGACTTGATGGCAGATTTCACTAGATTCTGCGATCAAGCGAGGAAACGGACCAGTCGCACCGAAGAGCCAGAGGATGAGTTTTCTTGACGCACTCGAGAGTCTGGAATACGGTCCTCATAAGGATGGCCAGCCACATCAGTGAAGCCCCATTATCGAGTGCCATAGGACCTGGCCTAGGGTTGGGCTGGCATTCTCGCAGTGAATGGGAGTATAAAGAGCCGAACTGAGTGCTGCGTTGCTCGCAGAGCATGGACCTCTCTCTACGGTGTAGCTCCACACGTACAACCTAACTCAAAAGAGCCAACCTAGTCACTGCCTTTACTCTGCTACAAACGGCACCCGCTCAAACCTTTATCTTGCCACCTGGACACCACCTCCCTCCCTTCTCACCGTCCATCTCTCAACTCACCCATATCCGTCTCTCAACTCACCTACATCCACGAAGCTACCCAGGCCAACGATACAATGCGTTTCACCACCCTTTTCGCCGTCTTCGCCGTCCTCGTCAGCTCACTCGCGGCCGCTCTCCCCGCAGAGCTGCAGCAAGCCGCGCCCGCTCAAGAGAAGTGCGGCTGGGGCTTCTACAGGCGCCTCCCTGACCGAGAGGTTGGGGCTGGCGAGCTAGAGGGCAGGAACACAGCCGCACTCGTAGATCTCTGGCAGAACGATCGCTGCTTCGACCTCGAGGACACCGTGTGGAAAATCAACATCGATAATCCTCGATGTGGTCTCTGCGTCTTCTTCGCGTAGGCATCTCCCCCACGTTAACTGGCCCCAACTCAAGGCAGTGACTGACGCTGAGCAACAGGGACAACAACTGCATGGAGGCAATCACTTGGTTCGGCGGTCCGACGCACGAGATCAGGATTCCGGACTCCAAGAGCTTCTGGTGCATGTAGTGTGCGGAGCAGCGCAATTACAGGTACGAGTATCTCCTTTTCACGTCCATTGAGTAACCGCCGCAGCATACTGACCGCCCCTTCCAGGCGTCGACCGGAACGACCACGGATTCTCCCAAGCTTGCTCTCCGCACAACATGAGGTCTAAGGAGTCTTATCCTATCTGGGTGCTATATACAATCTCTTTGTCAGGACTAGCACGGTTACTAGTAGTCTTCCTCTTTGGGTGAGGGCCGTCGTGGGCATGGAACTGGGCATGTAATGCCTATGCAGACATAGGGTTATTTGTGCGAAACCACAGGCCCTGCGGAATATGAAAAATTTCAAACCATAGCCACAGCTAATCAATGATACGGAAATCTGTGCCGCTTGTTGGGGCCTCCCGGTGCGACCAGTTTGACTCAAAGGCCCACAGTCGACAACCGTGTTCCGTGACCACAAGACTGGCTTTTTCCGATCCTGCCGAGCAGCTCTACAACGCAACTCACAGTCATGCCCAGGCATTTCTTCACATGCGCTGCTTCTATGCCGATTCGTTGAGCCAACCGTATTCCGGGAACGCGTCTAAGTCGGGGCTCCAGTCGCTGCAGGACCTAGCATGCTTTGGCTGCTTTGCTGTTACAGACATACAGCAGGGTCTAAAGGGAGCTATCACGATGGTCGGCCGACGGTGTGCTAGGGCGACGGATCTCAAGCGGTAGGCCTTGGAGCTCACGACAATGCTCAGCATTTTGACCGAAGTACGGGTGTGCGCGAGTCTCATATTTACATTCGCGGAAGGTCTATCGGACAATGACTGGAGGATGCTCAGGCCGGCTGTGGCGAAGGATTCAGACCGTTAGGCGTCTTTCTGGCGGCTAACTAGTGTTAGTGTCTCTGGGGGCTGCAATTCGAAATAGGAAGGCGCGAGAGGACTTTGGGGGCGGAGACTACGCCATTAGGCCAGGCGGGTAAAAAGTATAAGTAGCTGGAAATTAAGATGGGAAGCTTTTCGGCAATACGGATTCTCCCTCATTGTGACCGAGGCTGTAGACAATTCTTCTTTAAAAGAAGCAGGAAGAGTACTAAGGATACTTCCGCTAAGAAACAGAAAGGCGCATTGCACGGTCGGGCCCAATGCGGGCATCCAGCTGCGCCAAGATATCAATTGAGCGACGGTTTGCGGCGTAGCTACAGCATATCGCGCGAGAGATATCTTGAGTCCGTATAAAGCGTACTCCGTCTCCAGCTCGCCCAAATCTCTTTCCACTAGTACTTATCCTCTACATTGTTGCCCTAGACACTCCATTCGCCATGGCTACCTCCGAAATAACGCAGACGTTGATAAAATTCGCCGACGCTCCCCCAGCAGACTTAAGCAGTGAAGAGCGGCTTGCCTTCATGGCGGCATGTGAGAAGGCAAAGCTGGCTGTTGAGAATCCCTTGGAAGCTACCCTTCGTTTTATGCTCGGCGTCAGTAATGCCTCTCCATGCAGCTAGCACTCGATGAACTCCATCCAGCGCCAAGGTATACTAAACAGAGATAGGGCCTTGAGAGCGTAGCGCTCAGACTTGGTGTGGACATGAAATTGCTCGATCTTGGTGTGGAGTCCCAAGGTCCGATCACCGCTGATCAGCTGGCTTCCGGGTCTGGCGCAGACGTTGTGCTTGTGGGTAGGTCTGACAGTTTCCTCTTGAGTGGATTGTCGTTGAGCAAAGGCTGATACTTCTAGTCCGCATCATGAGGATGCTGGTAGCAATGGCCCTCTTCAAAGAGGTTGGTCACCATACATATCTCGCGAACCCGCTGGCGGGCGCATGGGTCACCGGTTCTCCCCTCAGGGAGGGAGTCCTTCACTTGTGGGTTCCCAGCTAGTCCGTACAAGTACAAGAACTGCCCGGAAGAGGCTAACTAACTTTTCTCCTTAGATCCGCTCAGCTTCCCCCGATTGTTTTCCTTCCGGAATACCTAGAGGAAAAGGGATATCACAATCCCACTGATGCGGAAGATGGCCCGTTCCAATTCGCGCGCCAATCCCATTTACATTTCTTCGAGTGGCTGAGCAAGAAGCCCAGAATCCAGAACGCGTTCAATACCACGATGAGTATCTCGCGATCGCAACGTGGGCAAGAGTGGTTTGAAATCTATCCCGTCGAGGAGAAGCTCCGTCTATCCAACCCTGATGCCTCGGCGATCCTGCTCGTCGATATCGGCGGCAACGTTGGCCACGACCTCATCAACTTCCAGAAGAAGTTCCCGGACTTACCGGGAAGACTCGTTTTCGAAGACCTCCCCGGGGTCGTGGCCGCCGCTGGGGATCTTCCGAAGGGGATCGAAGGCGTCGGCCATGACTTCTTCCAACCACTGCCCCCAGCCCTCCGCAACGCCAAGGCATACTATCTCCGCCAGATCCTTCACGACTGGCCGGATAAGCAAGCGCGCCAGATACTGGAGAACGTCCGAGAGGCCATGGCGAACGGTTCGATCCTTCTGATCAATGAGACGATAATGCCGGATGACAATGTGGCGCTCTACCAGGCCGAGCTCGATATGCTCATGATGGGCGTACTTGCTTCGCTTGATCGGACTGCGGGTCAGTTGGAGGAGCTCCTTGATTCGGCTGGGTTCAGGCTCGTTGGGTCTTGGAAGCCGAAGGATTTTGTTCCTGGATCGGGAACGCTTTTTGAGGCCGTGCTGAAGGGGTGAGGGGCTCGAAGAGCGTTGCTTTGTTTCGTTCCAGCTGGGCGCGAGGTGCTTCCACGTTGTTATTGACCAATCTCTTAGCCGTGTTTTCTCGTGTAGCTGTGTTCTGAATGATGTTGAGGTTGAGGTGGCTTGGGATCTATGTGGGAGCGGGGTCCTTTTGGACTAGCCCGAAACGAGTCGGCCTGGGCGGGGAAGCAGTGACAATACACGTTCCTTCTTCCGACCGCAGATTCCCACCACATCATGCGAAACTCTCCTCGGGCTCATACCGTATGTCCTAGCCAAAAGTGACGTGAGGGCTCTTTGCGGTGACGCGGGAGCAGGCGGTCCAATGATCGTTGAGGATTCTTGGTAAGTGCATGCCAGCTGTACTCACCCAAGACTTCGTTGATCGATTCTAAAAATGATGCAGATCGTCATGCACATGGTCCCCCTATGAGGATAGTATCGGTGTCCGGAGCGTTCAGACATATGGGCGGAGAGTCGCTTCCGGACCACGACTTCGCGATACGGACAGATACTTGTTTGAGTTGTATAAGAGGGACTACAGGACCTGTGAGGAGAGTATTATTCACGCAATCGGAACTGCCGCTCACAACGGAAAATACTCGCGTCTCAAGGTCATTCTTGGTGTCCTCGTGCAATATTCTCTCACCAGGGCGATCGTAACACCCTTCGAGATCGCCGTTCTCGAGGACAAGTTACAGCTACTGAAGCAGAAGCTCGCGTTGACGGTATTTCCGGACGAGATTATCGATAACGAGAAGCCTTGGGCGCGTAGATTGCCACTAACCGTCATTAAACGACTGGCTCAACAGTACACCACCGAGTTTGAGTGGCAGAGAGCAGAGGTAGAGCTGAATAAAGTTCGCCCAGTACATTGCCAAGATCGAGGTGGACGACTTTGGGTTCCGTGACGTTCGCTTTATTCACTATCGGAGCGCTGTGGCCACTGGAATCCCCCTCCTATTCATTCATGGATGGCCTGGTGGGTTCTGCGAGGCCACCAAGGTGTTGCCGCAGCTGGTGGAGGATGAGGACTCGTATCCTGCGTTTCACGCAGTGGCCCTAAGCTTGGTGGATTTTGGATTTTCGTCTGCCAGCAAGGTGAGCATGAGTCGCTCCCACCATAAACCAGTGGCGGAGACGAGAGAAGGACGTACAGAAAGGGATTAATGCAGATCAATGTGGGGACGGAGGCAACAAGCTCATGCTCGCCTGAAGTTACGAGGAATACGGTGAGTGAAGGACTAACACCTGCACACGCAATTACACTACTCACTCATCCTGCAGTTGTTCGGGGCGGGGATCTTGGATGCCCGACGGCTCGCTTCACTGCCTTGAATATGGCCCTTCTCACCGCAAAGCGTACCGCATCAACGTCAGAGCCGCCGAGCCTACAGAAGCCGCTCAACCTGAGCTCTATGCGCAGGTACGTATGTGACGGGTACACTTAATAAAACGTGCCTGTACCAGCCCCGGGAAGCCACTCTTGGAGCCTCCTACTGATCAAATACAGAGCACGGGATACCGGAATGGTATCCCCTTGTTCATTCCAAGGCACTGACTGATATACGACGTCACGTTCACAGATGAAATTCTCTCCCCCCAGCTTCGCCGAGCGTTATGATCTAGATCGCACGGCGGCGTTCTTCGCCACTGACAACGGGTACTTCACCTTAGCCTCCACCAAGCCGCATACTATCGGCTCCAGTCTCGCCGTCGCTGGCCATCTGGCCTGGATCTACGAGAAACCGCACGACTGGACGGACCCTCGCTACGTCTGGACGGATGATGAGATTTGCACCTAGATCAGTGTGTACTGGTTTCCAACGCCCGATCCGACCGCCTCAAACCGCGCATTCTACGCTATGGAGCATAAGCAGGCTGAGAAGGCTTTCGCGGCATCGCAGGCCTACACGAAAGGCGTTCCGCTCGGCATGGCGCATTTTGCGAATGATATGGCCCTCTTACCAAGGCTCTGGAACAAGTTGATGGGGCCCGTGGTGTACGAGAGCGCGTACGAAATTAGTGGGCGTGTCGCTGCGCGGGAGCGCCCAGATGCTGTCGTGAGCGATTTGAGGGTTATATTCGGTCGAGGGAGTAATATGTGTGGGTGTGTGAGCCAGAAGAACGGCAACGAGGAATAATATGAATATGTTGGCAGGATACCCATGGGCGCACGGCATTCCTCCATGCACAAAGGGCAAAGACGGGGGAGCGATACGGGGTTCTGTACGACAGTTGATCGGGCGCCGATCAGGGAAACTCATCTCACGATAACTGACCGGCGCTTGAGATACCTCCACCGAGAGCTGGAGACCTCAGGAGTCGACGGAGCGACAGATCTAGTTTGGGGACAAGAGACTTTGTGGATGCCCCGATGCAGTCGGAGATTGTGATGTTTCCAAGTGAGTACTCCCAAAGTTCCTTCCGCGAATCTTTCTGCTTCTAGTGATTGTTCTTCGCTTCACGGGAAGAATCCATGGATTGTTCTGGATGATGAGATGGGTAATCAGTGTGCCTGACAGCGATGAACCCGACCTGAAAGTGCTGGTGGAAGGGTTGGGTTCGGCTCTTACACTCCCCAATCATGATTGTGGTGAGTAGATTCCAGCACATGGGGAAGGTTTCGGCACATGAACTCGCAAGGGTGCAGATATTATCGTGTTGTACCCAAGCTTATCCTTCATTTAACCCCGCACAGTTTTCATCAAACGCCATCCGTGGAGTTGCTGTGCAGGGATGCGAAGTTCGGCTATGGCTCCAATGGGGTGCTGGATTGCTTCGCCGGCAAAGGATCGATGCCGGTTGTCGATATTGACAATCAATCAAGCCTTCTTCGGAACTCGGCATTTCGACTTGTTTTGGCTCCATTGTAGGAGGCGGCGGCAAGATGGGTGGCTACCGTAACCTACGCTTCGAACTCCTTTTAAACGACCCGAAACCCCTGGCAAGTCCACAGTCCTCCCCACTCAACCTCCACCCCGTCCTTCCATTCCCAGCATCCCACAATGCTCTGGACCACTCTTCTCGCCTTCGCGGCGGTCGCTGAGGCGATGCCCAAGTGGATGGAGAAGCGTCAAGGCGGAATGACCATGCTGCGATTTGGATGCGCTCAGGTCGTCATTGACCGGCTCGACCCCTTGGTTAACCCGGGCGTGATCCCATCTCCTCATGTTCACCAGATTGTGGGAGGGAACGGTTTCAATGCGACGATGACAACGAGCGATGTCTCCAAGACTGCGACTTGCACGACCTGCGCCTTCTCCAAGGGTATGTGTCCCTGGCCCGACTCCCACTTCAAGAGACTCGGCTGACTCTGAACAATGTAGATTTCTCCAATTACTGGACGGCAAACTTGTACTTCAAGGCCCGGAATGGTACCTACAAGCGCGTCAAGCAGTTGGGTGCTGCGTAAGTAACCCGAGGTCCTCTTTCCCCAACTCCTCGCAGTTGCTGAACTCCTTTAGGCGACAGTTCAACGACGACTTCAGTACTGCTATCGATGGCGGTGTCCTCGTGTACTATGTCTCGGCTCAGCCAGGCAAGGTCACGGCGTTCAAGCCGGTGAGTTACCTCCTATTCGAAATGACAACTTCCTATGACGCTGACGGCGGGGTGTAGGGTTTCCGCATGCTCGTCGGCGACCCGACTAGCCGCAAGGTCGACGCCAATATGAAGAGGCAGAATTGCTATCGCTGCTACACGGGACCGAACTTTGGCGGTGATACTTCCGCCCCGTGCATGGACGCCAAGTAGGTCACTCCTCGTCACGTCTAGACTCCGCATCCGTTAACGACAAGTACAGTATCGACACCCAGAGCTTGCCTCCCCAGCCATGCAAAGGTGGCATCCGCTCTAACATCCTCTTCCCGACGTAAGTTGCCCATAGTCATAATCCATGCTTCCTTGCTCGACAGCAGCGCTAACCTTGACTACAGCTGCTGGGATGGCAAGAACCTCGACAGCCCAGATCACAAGGCCCATGTCGCCTACCCGACCTCAGGCCCCGCGAACTTCCTCAGTCTGGGCGGCAACTGCCCGTCGACTCATCCGGTCAGAATCCCGCAGCTCATGTACGAGGTTGTCTGGGACACCACACCGTTCAACGACAAGAGCCAGTGGCCCGCGGACGGATCCCAGCCCTTCTACTTCAGCTACGGCGATAACACCGGCTATGGCCAGCATGCCGATTACGTCTTCGGGTGGCAGGACGATGAGCTCCAGAAGGGCATGGATGCCACGAACTGCATGGGTGCGAAGTGCAAGGACATGAAGAACCAGGCCATCGCCCCCGCGAAGCAGTGTCAGGTTAAGACGGCTGTGAAGGAGGACCATGATGGATGTGAGTCGGAGCCCCGTTCCTGATAACGTGAAATGCATATGCTGACAACCTCGATAGGGCTCTCTGAGCTTCCAGGAATGGAGATGCCAATGCACTAGGGTGGCCGCGCCTGCCAAGCAAGCTTAGCGTGGTTGGTGACGAAAGGGAAGAAGCTTTAGCGTTCCCCTCTCCAGCTTCGCTACCGTGTGCAATACCCTTCTAGACTGCGTCTATTTTATTCATTTCCGAGTTGCATTTTGTATTATCTGTTGACGTGTTCGGCATGAAGAGTGCGGGTAATTTGCGGTGTGCGTCTGAGCGTCTGATTCCCCGACTTTGTTCACCAATTCTAGTCGATCGTTAGATAGATAAATTTAACCTAGTCGCTCGTTGCCTGATTGGCTTTCGGATATTTATTGAATTATCCAGTTCCCCAGGGCGTGAAAGGCTGATCCTCTGAAGGAAGACCGATGCAGAAATAGAGTACGACAATGCTCCTACTGCTCGCTCGGCCCCATGGCGAATCTATCTTAACCAGTAAATGATCTCCCCGTGCCATTCGGTTGCAATCCTTGACTGTTTATTACGTAGCAAGCTGTGCATATTTCCGATCTCTCCCTTATCCGCCAAAGACTCAATGCCAATCTCTTGGTGTTGAGCCTTCAAGCTCAGTGGTTGGCCGATCATGCGCATGCTTAGAGCCATCCAGCTCAGGGGGAGGGCCCGTCCCCATCTCAGCGTATACTTGTGGATTTCCTACTTTCGCCTCCTCCATCCAGGCCCCTTCGACAACTTTGCGCACCCCATCTTCCTCGGCCTTTCTTTTCCGCTTTACGCGCCTCAGTAGCAGCAATGCAATACCACACAGCAGCGTAAGCCCCGCTAACCCGCCCACCACGCCACCAGCGATTGCCCCGACATTGCTGGACGACTTACCTGGAGCTGGCGGTTGCGCTTCGCCACTCGGAGAAGGGCTGGTTGCAGCCGACTGTATCGCTGTAGACAATGCCGCCGCCGACGAGACGCTAGCCGCCGAATTAGGATACAGGTAGAATGCTCTACTCGGAAGCCTCGGTCTTTCGGTTGTATAAATAGGCGGATTCGTGTGCTCGATGAGTCTGAAATGATATTGCTTCGACGCGGCGATAACACTGTCGTCTAGATCCACTTTCCAGTCGAAGTTCCCAGGGTTGTCCATGGATATGTTTGCTACGCCGGTCGTCAACAGCAGAAGGTAAACGGCATTGTAGTTCAATTGTTATTACCCTGGAGCACTTTCCAGAAGGGGTTGTCATAGTCCTCATCGTGGAACCATGTTATGAACAGGTCGACGAGATCTGGCTGCGATCCAACACCCCAATTCCAACCCTTTTCCCAGGCGATGTGCATCGTGTCTCCAACGAGCCAGCTTTGCACGAGGTCCGCATTGTCTGAGCTCGGCTCGGTGAATGCTGAGGATACAACCGGTATTAGGCTCAGCGTTGCGCAGAGCGCGGCAGGAACAAGGCGCATATCGATCGCCGGGCGTCGTTGCAAAGATGCACGAAGCGTGAGGGAAATTTCGAAAACGAAATCAGCGCAGGAAAGTCAGTTAGTTGGGCGTCCAGGTCGACTTTGTACGTCGCAATCTTACCGTAACTCCGAGGGGCGTAAGCCCGAGGGAGCCCGTCAGCCGCTTTGGGGCGGTTTCATCAACCTCAACCAGTTCGTGCGGCGCATTGTGTAGTATTTGGACGACGGCTCGTTGTTGGACCAATGACGTGGATTGAAATAGACTTTGCCAGGGTGAATGGGGCCTTAGCGTGGAGGCTGAAATTGCGGCACCGCCTCAGACGTCGTTCCTTCTCGCGCGAGAAAGACATCATTGGTCATCACATTCAAGGCGTGCGCCGTCTTTATTTGTTCCGCATTTGTAAGTTCAAGGAACTTGATGCTTGAACTGCAAGACGGAGTTCTGCCACTCAAAGAAAGGCCGAAGGCCGTCCATGGAGGCGGATTCGGAAAAGTGACCATATATCCCTCGAGATCTAGAATGTGCTGGCAACAAATGATCCACCACAGGCTATTGCAGTCGGTGTTCCACTCTCAGTTCAAGAATAAGAAGACAGAAGAAGTAGCCAGGAACAGCGTATCTAGGAAGCGTTTAGCGTACGGCGCACATCACTAGCGAGTTCCTGTTCACCACCCCTTAGCAACGAACTCGACCCATAGACTCTGCAAAACAGTGGACTGCGAACGCGCCTTAAACTACATCAGACGACGGCTACGATAAGATAATTAGGGTTCTCTATATTTACAACATCCTGCTCTTGCGCCTTCGCGATCAACGCACTGCGAGACTGCATGAGCGCGTACGTAGCAACATCCCGCGGAGTTTTGTGATATTATGGTGTATCCAAAGTTAAGATTTACTTAACATATGCCGGTGCATTTTGCGCCCTTTCCGTTAATTCTACTCCTGAGTCACAAAAGCCCATCGCCGTAGTGCTGTCAAAGTAGCCAATCAAAGTTGAGGACAACAACCCACCAAAGCTTTCTCCGTCTTCTCCGCCTGCTCCAGTCACCAACATGTACCCCGACTGTGGAGCAAATGATGTGAGCAGAGGTGCGATTGATCAATTCCACGTACCGTTCGGCGGTGCTCGGTCGTTACTCAGCACAAGGCCCTACCATCGCACGTGTCACTGATGTCGAGGAGGACTCAAAGAGGCATATAAAGCTGCGGAAGTGAACACGGGAGAAGTTGCAAACACCGCGTTCTACCTCAGCAGCTTCCTTCAAAGAATCTACTTGTTCATTCCAGCAACATGCCGCACATCCCGATTTCGCCAGCGATCCTCTACTGGGGCACACCCGTCGTGCTCGTCACCACGACGAATCCCGCCCCCGAACCAAACCCCTCCTCCACTTCGCCAACGCAAAGGGCAGCACCAGCCAACATCGGCCCCATATCCTCCGCCTGGTGGCTTGGCCATTGCTGCATGCTCGGCCTCGATGCCTCGTCGGCCACCACGCAGAACCTGCTGTGCTCGCGCCAATGCGTTCTAAACCTGCCGTCCGACGACATGGCGCCCGTCGTCAACGCCCTGGCCCGCACCACCGGCACACCGAGCCTGCCTCCCCATAAGCTCGCCATGGGGTACCGCTACGAGGGCGACAAGTTCCGCGCGGCGGGTCTAACGCCCTTGCCTTCGTCGCTCGTCGCTCCGCCGCGGATCGCACAGTGCCCCGTCGCCATGGAGTGCGAGGTAGCGAAGGTGCATACGTTTATGGAGCATGACGCGGAGCGCGCTGGATTCGTGGTGGCGGTGGAGTGCAAGGTAGTGAAGATTTGGATCGACGAACGGCTGAAGATGGAGGGGTATAGGAATAGGGTTGATCCTGACTTGTGGCGGCCGCTGATAATGAGTTTCCAGGAGCTGTATGGGCTGAGTGGGAGAAGGAAGGATAGGGAGAGTGTGTTGGGCGCTGTGGAGGAAGAGAATTATAGGATATTGGCTGCTGGCAGTAGCGGCGAGGCTGAAGGGGATACGATCAGGTCTGGGTTTCTGCCGGAGGAGGGTCAGTAAAAGAGTGATATGACGTGCGCTGGTAGGAGATGCTTGAGATGAGGGGCTACCTTATTATATCTCATACTTGCAACTTCCCCGAGCATAGCGAACCATGGCCTATACAAATATACCGCGGTTGAGATCATATTAAGATGCCTTCCCGTTCTTCCGAACATGCTCATGATGGTGGGCTCTGCGCAGTATGCCCTTTCGACGGTTTTTTGATGCCATTACACAGCCGATATCTGTGCACGTACGGGGTCATACTATATCTCAACCTGGTTCACACAACCACACACAGGCCGTTTCGCTTACACGCGGACGTATTCGCCTTCCGAAATCTCCTGAGCCAAGGGCGTGTACCTCCATCGGCTAAAGTACGCCGGGGTAGATCCATTACCCCCGTTGCTCGTCGCATATGCACCTACTAGTGTACCTATTGAAAACTGTCAGTGACAGTTCGTTGCTACAGAACTTTTCAAGAGCTCCATTGAGCAAGAGTTCATCGACTCACCGGTAAATGGCCCACTTCCTCCAGATACAATAAGAGCACTTGCGGAACCCATGTTGATCGACTCCTGAGGGTTCGAGGTAGACGCGGCTGAGAGAGTGTACATGGAGCCTTCAGTTGCCTTGACGGAAAGGCGAATGGTCTGGTTTTGCCATGAGTCCGGGATAGGCACCACCTTCATATCCGGCACAGTGACATTCGGCTTTCCGGATGCTTCAATGCGGAAACGTAGCGTCGGAGTAAGCGTGCCGTTAGTTGCTAGGTTAATAATTCCAAGGTCGATGTGTTGAAGCTGCGTTAAGAAAACGGAAACACCGGCCTCCTCATCTACAGCGGAAGGCTTGAAGGAAACATCGACACTGTATTCGAAGATCGAAGCTGTCTGCTTGCGCGCAATGAAGCCTAGACCGTCTTGTGCTGGCTGAAAGTTGTCGCCTGCGGTGAGGTTAAATCGCGACGGAGAGATACATAACGTATTCGGGTGGCCCGGTGAGGACACAGCAAAGAGAGATGTCTTCGGCGGTCGCCAGAAGAGCAGCTGGCGCGGAATGCTCGAATTGGGAGGGAAGTCAATCATATCCGGGACATCAACGAACGGTCCGCCGCCTTTGATATCCTTGTTTTGAGGTGGAAGAGGTCCACTCATTCGCCCACGAACTACATCCGCGACGGGCCACCCGCCTTCTTCCCACGTGACGGGGACAAGCACCGTCTCCCTGCCCATGGGATAGACCTCCCAGTCCGGACCGGATCGCGTGGACAGGGCAACGGCCCACCAGTTTCCATCGCCATCTTGGAAAAGATCCGCATGGCCGACCGTCTGGAAGTACCTATCCGTATTCTTGGCTGTAAGAACTGGATTCTTGGTATATCCTTCGTATGGTCCGTGAATATCTCTTGATCGAGCAATGGTGGCGCTGTGGTTCGTCTCGGTGCCTCCCTCTCCGATCAAGAGATAATAGTACCCATCCTTTTTATACAAATGGGGACCTTCCGGGTTCCGATCTCCAGTCCCATTCCAGACCCTGAACGGTTCTGTTGCTGCACCCGTTGTGACGTCGATCTCACTGATGTAGATTCCAGCAGCGATGGCCATGTACGTTTTGCCATCGTCGTCCCAGAAAATGTCCGGGTCGATGTCGTTGGCCGGGTTCTCGACGCGCACGGGATCGCTCCAAGCATTGTTGTCGAACGGATCAGTAGTAGTGAAAAGGAGAAGCTTCGGTTCCCATACCGCAAAGGAGATGTACGACGTGATGAGATAAAAGGTGCCGTTGCGATAGCGGATCGTAGACGCCCAGATGCCCTCGCTCTGCTGACCATTGTTCAACAACTCAGGTACTTGATCCACCCTATTCAGAGCGTAGCTGGCCAACTTCCAGTTCGTGAGATCCTTGCTGGCAAATACTGGAGCGCCCGGAAAGGCCAGGAAGGACGAGGTTGTGCAGAAGAAGGTGTTGTCCCATTCTTGGACGAAAGCACAGCTTGGATCTGAATTCCATCCTGGAAGAACGGGGTTTGTGTATGTGCGGTTCATGCTGCTGCAATGAACCCACGACGTCAGCGCGACGCCCAGTGTCGAAATTACACGGAGGAACATAGTGTAGGATCGAATAGAAGTAGGATATACGACGTAGCGCCCGATGTTTTAAAGCTCGCAAATAGTAGAGTATTTATCAGTCCGACAGATTGTCCGACGTTTATTGCAACTTGCGCGTGATTGGTGCTACGCACTGTGAGTTTTTCCGCCACCACGTATAGACGAGAAATGCTTCGGCGTGTTTTAGTACCTAGCCCGCGCCATTACTCAGCGGCTCATCGACTCGCGCGAAGGCCCAAGAGACATCTGTTGCGAAGAGGGTTCAGGTCTTTCCTACGCTCGCTAGTATCCGCTGCAGGTCAGCTCAAAATTTCTTCTAGAGCTCTCAAGCCCAAGTTGAGGCCTTTTCGGCAACTTTGACACCCTCTTCCCGCCTGAAGAGCGCCTCCGCTGTTCGCTAGCCTAGCGTGTTTGTCCCCAAGTCCGTTATTCCTCTCGGAAATCTCTAGCGTGATCGGCATGTAGCTCTACCGGTACACCCCGCGTTGTTGAGAGAATTTTTGCAAAAACCCTACATCATCGCGGTGTTGAAGGGTTAGGCGTAACCGAAAGAGCCGTGGTGTATGTATCTTCGAGCTCCAGTAAGGTGCGATTGCGTATCTAGATGATGGATTCGAGCTCCGGTTCCATGTGGTCGACCTGAGCGGAGGGAGGATTCGATAGCGTGTGGGCTTCGGAAGACGGTACGTTCTCGGTATGCTTTCGAGGTAATTCAGCACCTAGGTATGTGAGGTGTTCGTAGTAGCCAAAGTAGGCATGTTTCCTATCCGCAAGTTGCCTGGCGGGCGTCTGGACTGCTCTCGGATTCGGAACATTCGGCCTTACTTCGGGATTCCGGAAAGGAGCCGCCCTGATTGGATGTCAGAAGTGACGTCACATAGCGATGGATGGAACATCACGACACCGCACGATTCAAACTCTGAGAGAACTGTATACATTCCACACTCGCTGCTGAGAATAATACGTAAGACGAAGATACAAGCGAGCGTCCATTCATCTCGCTAAGCAAACTAGAAAGCTCACCCCATGCCATGCCCTCTCCCCTAACCCCCATAACTCGAAGAACGACGAGGAAGTAGCTCCTGGACTCCGACAACTCTCATCAGGCATCCGGGATGCAATACCTCTGTCCGATCTGCAGATTCGGGCAACCCCACAGCACCGACCGATTCAGGTCGTAAAACTTGTTGAGCTTCGCTCCATCGCAGGGGTCGCCGATGAGTTCGCAGCACGTTTGCTCGGATCTTACGGGCTCAGATAGGTGCCCTCCTGGGCATGACGGTTGAGGAGGAATCGCAAGACAGTATTTGCAGCCAATCTTGAGATTCGTGCATCCCGGCCTCTCAACCCCGAGGTTGAGATCAAAAAAGTGGTTAATTTTGTTCCAATCGCCTGGCGCGTTGATGAGCTTCTCGCAGGTATCTCCGGATACCACGGCCCTTGACTCGGTGCATCCTGGCGTCAGCGAAGGGCATGGACCGAGGAGTCCACACATCCGGACGCAGTACGAGCATCCAGCGCGCAGGTTAGGGCAATTGTTGTGATTGATGGAGGGATTTTGTCCGTAAAACTGCTCGAGCGGAATTCCAGCCTGTTCGGCAACGCTCGCACAAGTGTCTCCGGGTACGACGAGATGCCAGATACAACAAGCGGGCGCCCCTGTCGGGCAGTCATCCCATCGCCTAATAACCGCTGCAGCCTAGGGATCTGAGTTAATGAGACGGCCTAAGCGGAAGGAGAAGCTTACAGCGAGGCCAAGCACACCCGCAAAGACGATTGTCCTCATCCCAGGAAAGATATCAAGGTATTGAGTCGTCGGACGGTCGAATAAGTTACCAGTGGAGCTATAAGCCTGTGGTGTTTAAAGTGGTTTAGTACCGTGCGTCAGTGCCACACGACTATTATCTCTGATTTATATCTTTGGAGTAGGGCCCGAGCATCATCGTAGCACGCCACCAGCCCTACGTGCATGACCATTTCATGTGTCACCACGTACTAACTGCAACCTCACGTATACCAACCACGACAATACGAACAGGAGGTGAGCGCTCTGCTCACGGGGCGGTTGTATGGCAAAGTACACCGACTTTCCCTCCACCCGAGGCATCTTGAGACGTAGCGCGACCTCCTGAGCGCCGAAAGCTGAACTGAGCTGTGACCACAGCCGGCTAGCTGCAAGGCTTAGGGAACTGGTGGGGATAGCGGGTCATATGACCCGGCAAGAGATATGTTAACAGGCCTAAATCGCAATGCCAAGACCCACAGGAGGTTCTCTCACGATGACACGGGGTCACTCCACCGAGCCCCGGTGCAAATTGAACTCGCCTTCACAGTTTACTTCCGTTTCGTCTGACAAAGGAGCAGTTGTACATTATATCTGAACAGATCGAAATCCTGCCCGAACAGTTTTCCCTCACCATATACGGTAACATGGTCCCTCTTCAAAACGACGGTCCCAAGATTTCCAAAACGACCCCAACATCAGTAGCCCTGGTATTCTGCTCAAGCTGAAGGTATGCAATACTTCTCCCCGATTTGGAGATTAGCGCAACCGCGCCAAACGGTCGGGTTCAGGGTATAGAATTGTTCCAGTCTATCCCAGTCGCCGTAGCCACCAATCAAATCCCAACAGGACTGCCCTGAGTAGACGGGATTGGACCATGTCCCCCCGGCTGCCTCGCAATCGTCGGCAGGGGTATCGGGGAGGCAGTATTGGCAGCCAACCATGAGGTTGGTACAGCCCTCGTTGATCGTAGGGTTGAGGGCGCGGAACTCGGCAAACAAGGCCCAGTCACCTGGAGCGGGCTGGTTGAGCAGGTCCCAGCAGATATCTCCCGACTGCACAACTTCCGATAGAGTACATCCCGGAGCTGTCTGTGGACAACCACCAGTATTACCTGTATCGCCGGCAACGCAGTACTCGCACCAAGCCAACATGTTCGTGCACACGTCATTGATGGACGGGTTTAGGTCGTAGAACTTGTCAAGTTGGATGCCAGCAGCGTCGGCAACTCCTTGGCAGGTCTGTCCGGCAGTGACATAGTACCTCGCCGTGCATGAGGGAATGACTGGAGGGCACCAGCGCTTTACGGCAGCAGCGGACTGAGGGCGTTAGCAGGATGCTCAAATTGCGGCGAGGGAACCATACAGTGAGGCTGAGGAGAGTAGCAACGAGGAGTGACTTCATCTTCTCTGGAGGCTTTTCAGTGTTTGGCAGTGGGGAAAAGTCGGTTTCTGATCTTGCATGATTCTCCCTCTATGTTGTCTAATATATAGGCTTCTTGCGTCACCTCAGTCGTCCACACCGCAGCGTCCGACATGGCTGCATTCCACCAGTCAAGAAGCACAGACCCTTAGCCACAGGATCAGCGGCATGTGGTCTATTACGAGCAGAAGGCAAGCAGCCTCATCATCGCGGGAGGGAGCAGGCGGCCAATCCCGCGTTTCAGCTGTGCGGAGAGCGGTCCCGAGAGAAAGTGTGGCTTTCGAAGGGCTGCGCTAGACCTTGTGATATCAAGAGCTGACCTTGCTCAGGGCGGATATCCGGCGGTACCGTGTTCTAGAATGTAAAATACGTCAAAGAACAAAGACTGGAAAGAGAGCGCAAGGACGGGGAAGTCCCCCAGCCCGGGCTGCGGACATATTTCAAGAGCCCCATCCGCCAAATAGGTCTTAACAACAGTCCGACACGAACTCGACACCCACACTTAGAAGAACAACCATCAACCGTTCAGCCAAAGAGGACTAGCAGAACGTCCGTCGCCCCAGCGCATCCGATACCCTGAGGGCCCCGAAACTACGATGTACTAGGTATTGCAAGGTCACGAGGAGACGAGTCACCCCACACGCCTCCCCGACACCGGTATCCATCAATGCCTGCAGCATTCTGCGACATAGTTCGTGGCCTATTTGGGGTGGTGAGACATCACCTCCTCCAAGGCGAGTGGCGAAGTTCACCGCTACAGCAACGGTAAGGCTCTAGCCCTGCTATCTGGACCGAGTCAGCCCACTGGCCTTACCGGTAATTTGCCGCTTCCACCCGCCTGCCGAACCGTGGGCCTGTGCTAGGCCACTTGAGAAAGCTAGACTAAGTGGCGAAATCGACGGCTCGAACACCCGGTCGATCGCCACGGTTTTCCAAACGTAATGCGTCATGAAACCTCTTTCGCTTTCACTGACTGATGTTCACTCACAAATCGCGGAGTCGAGAGATATTACCATTACCGTCCCCTAGATTCCTATTCTAACGCCCAGTAGCCGCAAACACCAAAAACGCCCTCCAAACGCCGAACTATGCAAATCTTCTACGACCCTTCCACGATCACGCTTTCTATGTGCCTCCCTCAACCTCTCCCAATCAAATCCTCAAGCAATACCAATACCCCGCCAGCATATTCAAACACGTCGGCCCCACATCCGGATTCCAGCTCATAAAGTCATTAAGATTGACCCCCTTCTCCACCGCAATCTTATAGCAGTAGTCGCCCGCCACCGCCTGATAGTACTCCTTGCAACCCTGACGAACATTCGGCTGATGCGGGTCCGGCACCGTCGGATTCGGCACGTGCACGCAGTACTTGCAGTTCGGCTGCAGGTTGTCGCAGCTCGGGTTGTGCACCGCGGGGTTCCAGGCGTAGAAGTTGTTCAGGCTGAGCCCCGGGTACCGCGCCACGATGCTGGTGCAGATGTCGCCCGAGACGACCGTGTAGAAGGTGTCGCACTGCGCGGCGTAGTCCGTGGGGCATGTGGGCGCTGCGGCTTTGCTGACGCAGTAGTTGCAGCCTGAGTACATGTTGGAGCAGCCCGCGTTGATGGACGGGTTTAGCGCTTGGAAGGCGGCGGTTGAGAGTCCGTTGGCGGCGGCGACGGAGTCGCAGGTCCCGCTTGTGACGAGGTAGGCTTTTGTGCATTCGGGGATTAGGGCGGGGCAGCTCCAGTCGCGTTTGAGGACCAGGGCGGAGGTGAGCCCGAAGAGGGTAGCGAGAGGGACGAAGCGCATGGTGGAATATGTTGTTCGCTTGGTTTTGGGTTAGAGTGGTGGTGTGGTGCTTTTAGAATTCAGTGGTCTTGGAGAATTTCTGTGTTAGGGTAGCCTGCTGAGGGCTTATATGCCTCGTGGAGATTCTATTAGTGTACGTTATGTCGTCACGAGAGGGTTGAGGGCTACACGTGGTGTCTACGCAGGTCCAAGAGTGAGGATAGCGTTGCATCTGTACGAAGAGGAGGTGCAGAAGGTGAGGGGTTGTAAGCCGGGTCCCGACTAAGGCTGCATGTTGAGCGAGTCCAGATGCTTAGAGCTGAAAGTTACCCCTGTTCAGCATTTGCCGGCATCCGAAGAGGACGACTTCGACGTTTATGTCGCGGTTCGCATAGAACTCAGTCTCTTTTGATCCGGCGAGACGCCTTTAGAGTTAGAACATAAAAGTCCGCTCCCCCGCCTCTCGCGCGCTGAAAGGCTCCTTCTCCAGTCTACCTAAGGACTATCCATAAGCCACGAAAGACGAACACTTCCACTGGGTTCGTCAAAGCTAGCGTCAACGTTCCCGAGATCATAGATTAACTCACGCACAAGGTAGTAAAAAGCTCACTCCACCACGATTATCGAACATCATCTGCTCCGTTCCGCTGCTCTACCCCGGCTTCCCGCTCCTACCACAGAGTTCCTCTTACGTAAGACCCTGGATCGTAAGACATCACGTTTTGGTGAGAACGGTGGGCGAGGCTGGGTGAGTGCGCACTTGTTGTCCTAGGTGCGCATATTGCAGCACGTTATCCTCTGCTATTAGGAGTGGCATGACGTCTCGCACGAGGACTTCAACTCACGACTTTGGAATGTCGACGGTGCTTTCTAGGAAGCGTCGGGGTGCCACTCATACTTGCTCGAATAGAAGCAGACTGCATTAGGTGAATGATAGAGCGCTGCTAATGGAAATTCGCTGGTCCTTGCGAATCGCCCTGCGATTCATCGAGAGAAGCCCCCTGGAGCCCTCTCGCTCTCCATCCAGTCCAGTTACTTCAGCCGCTTCCTAAGGATGACTCTTCCCTAACGCAGAAAAAGCTATGAGTACCGAACTGTGCCGCCATAGACGGCTACTCATGTAGAAGGAATCTCCCGCCCTCTCCTCGGCGTTTGGTCTTTCATCAACAGTAAAAGAAAAGACGCGGATGCCGTGGGCCCCTTGGCCCGCCCGGATGAGCGACCCTAGCCACTTTCATCAATCAAGAATACCCAGCAAATCATTACAAGCGGAATACTCTCCGTCCGAGACCGCCCATCTACACGCTAGCACGAGCCCGAATCCTGAACGGCACTCTGCCCCTAGGCTCCAACACTCCAAACCCAAATCTCCGCTCGCTCATCTCCAGATCCTTCCTGCTGGCAAGGATTTCAATATCAAACACGGTGACGAGGATAGCGAGTGTGAGGATGGTCTCGTATTTGACGAAGCGACGCCCAGGGCATGCATGCACGCCGCCGCCGAAGGGCACCCATGAGCCATCAGTGCCGGACATGGAGAACTCGGGCTCCGCGCTCTCGCTTTTGGGAAGGAAGAATCGCTCAGGGTAGAACTCGGTTGCGGGACGCGAACCGCGCTGTGGAGCGGACCACACGGCGGCGTTCATGTGCGCGGTCGTGGAGCTAGTGACGACGGGGCTGCCTTTGGGGATGGACCATTCGTTTAATTGGAGGTCCTGTGAGGGTTGGCGTAGGATTACGCCGTGGGTGCGCAGTCTGAGCGTCTCGGCGTAGACGGCTTGAGCGTAGGGCTGGCGCTGCAGGCGCTCCATGTCGAACTTTGGTAGGCCGCGCTCTGGACTTTCGATCTGGCACGATCCGGCCTCTTTTCGGATGCGCTGTAGGAGTTCTGGTCTGAGGAAAACGTCTGCGAAGAGCCAGAATGCGGAGGTGACGGTGTTGTGGTTGCTCCTATCGGATTTGGTGAGTAACTGCAAGATGGAGCAGGCTGACTAGGTGCACTCACCCCCATAGAAACCCCAGATCTTGGGATGCGATGGTATCCTGATTCTGCCCATCTATGGTTGAGAACAAAACCTGCCTCTCTCGGACGAACTTCGAGCCCCAGTAGGCATCGTCTTCACCAGAATCGACAGTTGTCGCCGTGGGATCGGAGTGCTCCTTAGCCCAAGCATGCCACTCCTTGACCGCGGCGAGGCATTTATTCAGTGCTACATGCGGCTTCGGTATGAGGAACTTAGGTAGCCTACTCGTGAGACTCCAGACGTTGTCATCGATGGTCCAGAAGTTGGCCAAGAAGTCCGGGTCGCGCTCAAGCAGAGCGGGCCCAACGACGGAATCGATGAGGGCAGGCGCAAGGAGCGTGTGCTTGAAGACATGCATAAAGTCCTCTCCGTGGACCCAATCCCCAGAGATCCCCGACCGGAAAGCGTTAAAGTGGCTAGCTATACTCTTTTCGAATCGCTTGCAGAGAGGCGCGAAGCCGGAGCCAATGAGAAACTGATGGTGTGAAATAAAAGTCCGATACTCTAGACGGTTCCTCGCCTCGACGTTAGTCCCTGGGTACGGGTTGGCGTATGGGCCGGAGTCATCCCGCTTATAGGCCTTCAATGCCTGCCGAGACAAGCCGAAGCAGGAATATAAGATCTCGGAATGCATGAAGAAACCGGAGAGGGTCTTGTTTCTGAAGAGCGCAGCTACGTTGGCGGGGCCTTGGTTAAAGTAGACGTCCTTGAAGAGAACCCTGAGTCGGATCGGATGTGGGTAATCCGAGAAATACCTAGTAGAATGTGAGTGCTGTTGCTCTGAAGCGTCTGCTTGAAGAGCCAATACCTCGCGCTTAGGAGGAATGCCAATGGAGTCCGAAGGAAAGTGACAAGAATGCCTCCGAACGTCACCACCGTGCGTGGTATGCGAGGCGCTTTCGGAGCTTTGTCGTGGCCTTGCGCCTTGAACGCCGATAGGAACAACAAGATCCGGACTGCGTAGTACGAGAGGGCTGTAGCTAGTGCCATAGGGAGGAGAAACACCCCCATGTCCAACTGATGCCGCATGGAGCCATCGTGAAGCTTAGCCGGGCGGAAGCTGTCCACGTTGACGTAATGGGAAGACATGTTGGCCATGTTGGTGTATAGAGAAGAGAGGTTGTAGGATTTCCCGTTCGTGCTTCGCTGCGGAGTGATTATCGTTGTTTAGCGGTAATGAGGCTATATCAATATCCTCAATGCTGCCTAGGTACAACATGGACCCCGGAGTCTCTTGCTGGATTCGGCGGTTGACGGTGACACAAAGGGGGCTGAGACTGGGGCTTGTCGAACGTAGCGAGATACTGGCGTCGTACCTGCGGAGCCAGGGCTCTAGTTGTTGATCTCCAGATTAGTGGGAAGGAAGGAGCCACGCTAACGCAAGGACCACCTATTTTCCGCCGATAGTCGACCCTGTCGTTTCTCTTTCTCCCCGACGCACGCTTAAATATCATCACGCTCTCATCTCGCGGTCTCAGCCTTAGCTCACCATGTCGAATTCTCCAGTCAGCGCTGATGCCGCCGCCCGCTCGGTGCTGGTTACAGGTGGCTGCGGCTTCCTGGGCTCGCACGTCGTTGACGCCTTCCTCGCCGAAGGCCGTTTCCGGGTAGTCGCTGTCAGTCGGAATCCGAACAGAAATCGCCATCCCGAAGCGGAATATATATCGTGCGATGTGACCAAGCACGACGAGATAGCGGCCGTCATCCAGCGCGTCAAGCCCACTGTCATCGTACACACCGTCACCCCCGGCCCGTTCGCCCCCGCTCGCTCTCATCACGAAGATTATGCCGCTACAAAGAACCTGGTTGCGGTCGCGGCCAAGGCAGCCTCGGTGAGAGCCTTCATCTATTCCGGGTCCGCCGAAGCCGTCTCGAACTTCTCTGGCGCCCGCAGCGAGCCGCTCCCGGAGACCAAGGCGATATTGCACACCCCCGACTCCACGGCTTCAGCCTATGGGCGAGCTAAGAGCGCGTCGGAGACCCTGGTCCTCGAGGCAAACGGCCAAGACCTGCTGACCGTCGTGCTGCGTCTGCCAGGCATGTTTGGTCCCCGAGATGTGAACATCTCACATAACCTGCTGAAGGCGACGGGCACTTTCGCGACGCGGATCCAATTAGGGAACAACAAGGTCGTCCATGACTGGCTATACGTTGAAAACGCAGCACATGCCCACGTTCTCGCAGCAAAGGCACTTCTGGACCCGGAGCAAGCCGCGAGGCAACGAGTGGACGGCGAGGCATTCTTCCTCAGCGACGGCGTGCCAATGAAGTTCTGGGACTTCGCCCGCAAGCTATGGGCCGCTGCAGGGGACGAGAGGTGCATTCGCGGGGACAGGGTCTTCGTCATCCCATGGAGCGTCGTACTGGCAATGGCCATCCTGAGCGAAGCCATCTGCTACGTCTTCACCTGGGGCCGGAAAACGCCTGGGCTGACTCGACTGCATGTGCACTATATGAAAGAAGGAGCGTGGTTTGATATTGAGAAGGCGCGGCAGAGGCTGGGTTACGTGCCGCTGGTGGAGACAGACGAGGGTATTCGCCGAACCGCTGCATGGTTCCAAGAGAGATCGCGCGGCGCACGGAAGACGACGTGAGCAAAATAGCAGCGGGAAACGGGCGTTAGCCGTATGGGGGTGGGATGTGGATGACTAAGACAGTTATGGTTAGCGGATCGCTTGGTTGAAGCCCGACCCGCCTTAGTGGCTGGGCTAAGATAAGATCCTAGTGCTGTTCATTTACACATGCATAAGATGAACGGGCAAGCTGGTTGCGTTGTTGTACAGTAACGTCGTTGTGATGGATGAGGCCTGGACGTCACCATTTTCCCGTTTCGAACGTTCCACAGCAGTGCTGTGCCCCCCGTGAAACGTTGGAAACAGCCCCAGCGCTCTTTCACACGACCAACCATCCAACATGGCATCGTCCCCAGATTCTCCAGCTCTAGCACTCGAAACCCCAGCACAAACCTCATACGCCAAAATGGAGGAGGACGCAGAACCGCGCAAAGACTGGCGTTTCTGGGTCGTCTTCCTCTCGTGCTGCTTCCTCGCGCTGCTCGTCTCCCTGGACGGCACCGTGGTCGTCATCGCGCTCCCGCGCATCGCAAACGACCTCCACATCGGCGACGACTATGTCTGGGTCGCGAATGCCTTCTGGCTGGCCGGCACCGTCTTCCAGCCGCTGTGCGCGCAGCTGTCGGATATCTTCGGCCGCAAGACGCCAGTCTTGACCTCGATTGCCATCTTTTTCGTCGGCGGCGCTGTGACGGGAGCCGCACAGTCTGGTGCTGCGCTCATTGCGGGGCGCACTGTGCAAGGTCTTGGTGCGGGCGGCATCATGCTGCTTATGGAGGTTGTAGTGTGCGACATCGTTTCTCTGCGCGAGCGCGGGAAGTACCTCTCCATCGTGCTATCTGGCGCTGCCATTGGAGCTATCGTGGGTCCACCCATCGGCGGAGCTATTGCGAACCATAACTGGCGGTGGATCTTCTTGATGAACCTCCCCATCTCCGCCGCCGTGTTCCTGGTAATGGCCTTCTTCATGCGGCTGCGGTTCACCAAAGCAGACAGCTGGCGCACTGCAGCGTCCCGCATCGACTGGATCGGCAGCGCCCTCTTCGTCTGCTCCATCACCTCACTGCTGCTGGGCCTCGTGTTCGGCGGCGTGCTCTTCCCCTGGCACTCCTGGCACATCATCCTGCCTATCACCCTCGGCGTGCTGGGCTGGGCCGCGTTCCACATGTACGAGAGATCAAAGTTCTGCCCCAACCCCGCCGTCCCCAGCCGGCTGTTCGCAAACAGGACGTCCGCGGCAGGCTACGCCATCATCTTCGTCCAGTCGATGATGTTCACCTGGACTGCCTTCGAATGGCCGACCTACTTCCAAGGCGTGTTGCAAACGTCGCCGCTCAGAGCAGGAATCAACTACATCGCCTTCGAAGCTTTTCTAATCCCCGCAGCTGGTGTCTCCGGACAAATCCTCACCAAGACGGGGCACTACCGGCCTCTGCAGTTCGCCGGCTTTGCGCTCCTCACGCTCAGCGCGGGGCTCAACATCCTCCTCGACGCCGGGACCAGCACGGTGAAATGGGTGTGCTTGATCGCTGTGAACGCGCTAGGCTTAGGCTTGTTGCTTCCCACTATGCTGCCGGCGATCCTCGCCTCGCTGCCTGAGTCGGACATCGCACTCGGGACGGGCATATACTCCTTCTTCCGCAGCTTCGGCTACATATGGGGCGTCACGATTCCCGCTGTTATTTTCAATGCGTCGTTCGACCGGTATTCGGGGCAGATCAGCGATGTAGGTTTACGACAGGCCCTCGGGCAGGGGAAAGCGTATCAGTATGTGAGCGGCGCGTTCCTGCGGAGTCTGTCTCCCGTGTTGCGGGCGCAGGTCGTGGGTGTTTATGTGCAGAGCTTGCGGGTGGCGTGGGAGGTTGCCGCGGCGTTTGGATTCGTCGGGATATTGCTTGTGTGTGTGGAGAAGCATGTCACTTTGAGGACGAAGGTGGAGTCGGAGTATGGGCTGGAGTCTCGGCCGAGGAGGGAGCAGAGTCAGGCTTGATTAGATCGACTTGCTATATCATACATTTTATCGATCGCAATCCTGCACGAGCTGTGCCCCCCTGATTCCATAGCAATGCCTATAACTTGCGCTAATCCCGGAGACTCACCCTGCATGGATACCCCTCCGACGGATGCGCCCCCGCCCTCTCCGTCTGATACGCTCTATCGCCTCTATACGCAGTCACCCCCCTCCCCCCACCTTTCCTCCCCTTCAGCACATCATACTCCTCATAAGCAGGCCGAATCTCAAAGCTCCTCGCCGTCATAATCAACACAACCTTGATCTCATTCAGCGACAGCGTCTGCCCAATGCAATTCCTTGGCCCAATCTCAAACGGCCGGTACGCCCCCGGCGCCGGATACAGCGCGTGCTCCGGCCCCACGAGCCACCGTTCGGGAAGAAAAGCATTTGGCTGCAGCCACGCGGACGGGACGCGGTGGATCGTATGGTGCGAGATCAGCAGCGTGAGGCCGGCGACGGGGAGCGTGGTCCCGCGTCGAGTCCGCACGGAAGAGCCAGGCGTCCCGATGCGCATGGTGGCTGCGGGCGGGTAGAGGCGCAGGGTCTCTTTTATCACGGCGTGCGTGTAGCGGCACTTGCTGAGGAGTGATGCGTCTTGCTTCAGCTGGGCCGCGGCGCGCGAGGGGTCGGTGCCGAAGACGGCGTCGTGCTCCTCGCGCAGCTGGGCTAGGATAGAAGGGTTCTTGGAGAGTAGATGGTAGGCGAACACGATGGTGCTCGAGGTGGTGTCGTTGCCGGCGAAGAGGAATAGACGGATCTGGTGGATCGCTGTCTCTAGGAAGGCGGCGTCTAATCGCTGCGAGGGCGCTCCGCTCTGCGCGGAAATGTCCGCTTCGATCGCTAGATCCATGACGGATTTGGCGCGGCCTTTTGCTGGGGAGGGGGATGGGCGCTCCTGCTGGAGTATTTGGAAGCGCTTTTGCAGCTCTTTTCGCACCCAGGAGTCGACGACGTGCCCGTTGTACCACTGGACGAAGGGCCGGAGGGGATTTAGTAGGATTAGCGGGTCCCAGAAGGAATGCCATTTTACTATGTTTCCCATGGCGCGGACGAACACGTGGTGGTCGTAGTCCTCGCCGATATCTGCATCCCTGTTTCATCGTGTTAGATCAGAGTCGTCTCGAAGCAGCCCATAGTGTTCGGAGACTTACAAGGTTACTTTCATAATAACCTCAAACGTCAAGCGCGTAGTAAGCTCATCGAGGCACAGTACACCTTTCCCCGCACACTCCTTAAGCGTCTCGCAGAACCTCGCCACGGCATCCACAACCGGCGGGAGCTGCTCAGTCATCACGCCAGTACTAAACCCCGGATTAAACAGCGCTCTCCATTTGCGCCAGTCCTCGCCATTCATAGAGAGCAGCGTCAGCCCGCCCGTAATCGGCCGAATCATCTCCTCATTCGTCTTGACCTTGGGCAGGTTGAGCTTCTGGCAGACGTGCACGGCAGCCTCGGGGTTGAAGACGACGAGCATGGCCTCGCTCAGGGGCCAGATGTCGAGCAGGAACATCTCGTCAGCGGCGAAGCCTGCGGCTATTTCTGGGAAGACGAGGTTGATGTTGGCGAGGGGAGGGAGGCGGCGTGCACAGCTGTAGAGCAGGAAGATGTGGCCGGAGAGCCAGCTCCATGCCGGCATTGGCTACACAGGATTATCAGCATTCGCTGTGAGGAATATCAGCGTAGCTCACCATGCCCTCCTTGCGCAGCCTGTTGATCCATGAGCGGTGCCTGTACAGTCTCCAGCAGAACCACACCAGCGCGGTGCAAACGAGGACGAGCAGCATCGACGGGAGATTGCTCGCAGCCATGACGGCATGAGCAACCGCTCGCTCGAAGCTCGATATCACAGACGTTGGATGTAGCCGGGCTAAGCTTTCACCATCGCGTGGTTAATTCCAAGGTTCCTCCGGGTTGAGGCGCAGTTCGTATCGCTTGCCTAATTTGGCGCTTTCCGGATTTGGCCTCGCGTTCGGTGGTCCCTTCCTTTGGACCACGGCGCGTCGGGGCGCAGCCTCATCGCACAGGAATTAACCAAGATGCAGCGAGCTAGAGAGATCGTTAGATCGCACGTCAGAATTTAGCTGCTTGTAATGATGCATCCGCTTCATATGGATGTCGGGAGATACGTCCCATCCTGGAGATCGGGCTTAGAAAGCGCGTTACACAGCATTCCAGCTCCGCTACACGTTGAGCAGGACCATAGCCTATAGGACCACAGGATGATATACTCTGGGCCAGGCTAATTCCGCGCATATCCCCAACAGAGCGGCTGGCGGCCAAGATTGCTAGAATCCTCCGCCTGCGTGGTGCTATATCGTCGGTCCCCGAGGTGCGTACACCCCGGCCCTTTCATGCGCAAGCCTAGCAAGGGCTGCGACCCAGTTTACAACCACACCCATAACCGCTTGTTGGGCAGAGGTACAGTCCCACTTGAAACGGCCCCGGTAGACGCAATGCATTCTCCGAAAGCCTGCCCCACGTGTCCGATCCTTGAACTCTTGAACTCTTAAACTCGTAACCGGGACGCCTCCCATCGCACCTTCCCGACCAGTGCGGCTTTCTGCTGAATACTGCCTGTCCATCATGGCGACCGATGTCTCAGCCTATATCGATCTCCTGCCAGAGCAGCTCCCTCCAGATCCCGCTCGCGAGTGGAAGATCAACCATCCGGGCAAAATCGACAAGCATACTTCGCAGGTAAAGAGCTTCCTGTGACTGCGGGATCGGAAAGCAGATGTTAACCAACGACAGGTTCTGATCGGCGTATTCACTGCTTTTGCCACCATAGCAGTGGCTCTCCGCATCATCGTCCACCTCCGAAAGCGCGGCAGACTCTTCGTCGACGACTACCTCGTCTTCTTCGCCACAGCATGTCTCCTCGTCGAAACCGGCGTCCTCTACCACAACCTGCACATGATGTACGTTGAGGCAACGCTCGCCCACGACCCGAACAATATCGCGCTCTTCACCCGCGGAGACCTCCAGGAGTTGATCAATGACTACCTGAAATGGAATAATATATATATCGCCTTCGCTTGGACGACAAATTATGTCATCAAGCTCTCGTTCCTGGCGTTCTTCCGCGTGCTGGTGAGAGATGTTTCGAGGGGGTTGAACTGGTACTGGTGGTTTGTGCTGTGCTTTACCGTCGCATCCTGGCTCTTCAACTTCACCGAGAACATGATACTGTGCGGGGCCAGCAAGAGCTGTAGGTATCCTGTCCAGCTCGTTGATACCGTGTCTAACACATGAGCCGCAGTAAAGTGTTTCCCATATCCGCGATACAACCTCGAAATGGGCGGTGCCAGCACTGCTGCCGACATCATCACCGACATAATGATCGTTTCGATTCCCATCTTGCTCCTGCATAAGACGCAGCTGCGCCTCAGCCACAAGATTCGCATCCTCACGTTTCTCTGCCTGAGCATCGTCATGGTCGCCCTTGCCCTTGCACGCCTCATTCATGGCCTGACTCGCGACTACTCTGGCGTGCTTACTTTCTCGATGATCTGGACTCATCTGTGGCTGCACCTCGAGAGCAGCGTTGCGGTGCTCATGGGCGGCGTTACAGCCTTCCGAACTGTATTCGCCAGGCAAGTCAGAGACGATGATAAGGCCAAAGGGAGGAGGTCAAACTCCACCCTCTATGAGTATGTCCTGCGCTTCTTCGGCAAGAGCAGGCCAGCGGACAGCGAGATTAGCTCGAGCGTTGGGGAGAAAAAGGAAGGCTTTTTGCAAGGCCCGCGGACCGGAGCGTCGCTGAAGGGACTGCGCACGTTTATAAGAAGGCATGACAGGGAGCCGGGCCATACGACGGTGGAAGATACGATGGCGAGTTGCACGTACGATCCGCTTGAAAGCTATCACAACTTCAAACGCCACGAAGACGGGAACCAGAAGACGCCCAGTAGCACAACATTCCAGGGTAGTGGCAGTATTGAGGTGAGCACCCGCTGCGTCTATGGTTCTTGGAGTAGCTGCTAACGGGTAAGCAGGATTACGAAATGCCGGGACGACCGCTGCCGGTACTACAGACACATAACATGGTCTGAGTTGGGCGGAAATGAAATACAAATCTTACCAAGCTCTTCTTGATGGCGCGGTGGTCGGATTTCCTCGCACCATAGCAATGTAGCTACGAAATAAATCGACAGTTGTCGTGAACCGACCCCTAAGGATATTACATGTCAATCTTCATCGTCCTCGCCGTCGTCCTCATGCGCCGTAGCCCACGGGCTTCTCCTTCTTAGAGCCCTGCCATACCTCGCCAAGACGAACGGAATGGGCACCATGACCACCGACATGGCTGTCAGGATGAGGCCCGCCTTCTTTGTGCCCTGGCTCACAAACAATATGCGTCCCAACAGCGGGAATCCCGCCCCAGCCACATTCCTCACGAACCCGATGCCCGCGAGCGCAGATGCTGAGTATGTCTTGTATGCGTCTTCCGTGTACGTCAGGGTCATCAATATGAGAGTATAGAAGGACCATCCCCAGCATGCTGATGCGAGAACCGACGCAATCGGGTGGATCTCCGGATGTGCGGTGAATGCAAAGACCAAAAGGGATACCGGGAGTACTACGGCGGCGAGCTTAGCGAGGTAAACGCGTGCTTCGGGCACGTCCTGGTGCCCGGCTTGTGCGATTCGTCGTTGATAGTAGCGCTCTTGGTAGATGTTGGTCAGCAGCCCGGTAGTAATCCCAATTACAATGCCCAGAAATGAGAGCCCGACACCGATTGTGTCGTAGCCATATCCGTCGGGTCCGAAAATGATGTGGAAAGCGCCATTGAAGAGGAAGGAGAGGCCGTAAAGGTATCCATTGTAGAGGGCACTGAACTGAACGATGGCTTCGGTGGCTAAAAAACGGAAGGGGCGTGTAAGCGCTGTTCCGAATAGTTGCTTGGGACCGCGCTGCTTCAGCTGATCTTGCACGTCGAGGCTTTCGTCACCAGTCGACTTCCGAGCTGCCTTGGCTCGGCGGTGGAGTATGACGCTGTGCCTGGTCTCTCCAAGCGAATAGAGAGCGACTGTCAAAATGACCCAGAATGACAAGCAGATGAAGAACATGATGCGGAATACGCCGTGCCACGTTCTTCCGTGCGCAATGAAGGAGAAGAGCACGAAACCGGTCGGTGACCCTCCAGTCGCCGCCCACAGGAACCAGCTCATCGCGGGGCCAGTATCGTGGTGATGGAACAGATCCGCAATGGTGCCCCCGAAATTCGAGATTGTTACTGAAGAGAAGTAGCCGGAAAAGAGTCGTAGGACCAGGAAAGCCCCCAAGTTCTCCACAAAAGTCGTCCCCAGAAGCAGGAGGAGGAAAATGCCGTAAGAGAAGACGTAAACAGGCCGTCGACCAAAGTACTCCGAGAGCGGAGCCAAGCTCATGGGTCCGAATGCCAGACCCAGGACATACATGCTCAACCCCAATGTCGCGATTTGATGGGACACCTTCATGTCTTTGGCGAAATCTGCTGCGGCGGGTGAAAATCCCGACGCGCCCCAGCTAACGCTGAGATCGATGGGCATGATGGCCGCAATCATGAGCCATTTCCGCACCCGTGGCCAGTTCCTAGGATCTTCTACATCGCCGGGCGCGAATGCGACGACGCGATGGTGGTGTTCCTGTGACGCAAGAAGCGGGTCGTTTTCGCTCGCTCCTAACGGAACGGAGGACATTGTTTGAGGGGCACAAGGTGAATATGTCGCTCGACGTGGATAACATGCCCGCTTGGCACTAGGTGGTTGAGGGAAGTTCTGTTGGGGGGTTGGTAGAAGACGAGGCGACATGACGCGATTGGAAGTAGCACGCGTCATGGTGGGGCAGGGCACGTGCTTGTCGATTCATCGCCCCACCTGCACCTTTCCGTCAGCCATTGCGGAACTACAGAACTCGATTCTCAGGAGTGGGTTGGCCTCGTGCCAGGTGACCTTTGGAAAACATCAAGAATGAGCTGGGAATGTTTCAATTACTGGCAGGGGTCGATTGATATCCTAGAAGCTCTTTCCATATTGCTTCACTCCCATCTCTCTCTCGACTTTTGCTCCAGTCAAAGACCAACGCGCACTGGGACATTCGCCAGGACATTCATTAGTCCTCGGGCAATGACATCACGTTGCCACAAGATCTTGCAGATAGGAGTCTGAAGGATACGGATGCCTGTATATTTCCGAAGTCTGTACCAGCGCTTGAAGTTTTCTAATTCGCAGAGAACTGGATATATCGACCTGGAGCTCGTGTTCAGGCCGGTACACCGAGCTCCCCCAGAATGTTCCGGCATCCCAGCCTCAGCCATTCGTCCACAGTCCTCTGTTCAGACACCCAGATCGATCCCATCATTCCTCCCGCATTCGCGCTTGCCTGGCCCACCCATGCCGCTCTCCTTGGGATCACAATCATCCAACCTTTCCAAAGGATGACGTTGTGTGGACAAGGACTATCAGCCTCAGGCAGATTCAAGCATCCTCTCGCCTGGTCAAGAAGGGCCCGGTATATATCCAGCAAATTTGAAGCGGATGTGGTGTGGAACCCTTCGGGGAAATGATGTGTGAAATGCCGAAAGGGCACCTTCAAACGCTTCTCCTCGTCACCGGTGAACGACTCGAATGCCCGCGGTGGACCCAGCAGGCCCTGCAAGTGCTTATGCACGCGGCTACATCCCGCCGCTTCGCCGCAATTGTAGATAATGTACGTGTCATCCATTGATGTCAACACCTTCAACGCAGCCTCGAAATCGCTACGGTCCATTGGCTCGTGCTGCCTTAGGTACGAGTTCAGCGTTAGTATCAAGAGCTGAGGCCTGTCCACGCAGAACAAATTCAGAGCCAGGTCATGAGTGTCGTTCAGCCTTGCGATCTTCAGCCGCTCATCGATGCAGTACATGTCGCTGCCCGGCCCCCATTTTCGGCTGGTATCGAATGTCGGCCCCAGCGCCGCTCCCACGATGTTTGGCTTCTTCGCTTGGGAGGGGCAAACTCGGAATTCCACCTGCAAAGTCGCGGTCAGTACATTTAGCCCCCTAGCAGTGAATGCGTGGAGGCATACGAGATATCCTTCGCAGTCTTCTTCAATAACCCGATGTGGTCCATAAATGACGATGCCCTCAGAGACGAGCTGATCGAAAGTTGCAAGTATCTGCTCCTTTCGTGGCAATTCCATTGCCCTGGTGGGGAGAGCCGGTCTCTTGACCGAACAGTTGTCGCTGTTCTACGAGGGTGTAGGGTTTGTTGAAAGAGCCAGCCGAAACGCGCCAACGTGGCGCTTGGCACGGAAGAAGCCTAACTTTCCGCCCCCACACGCCTCGGTTGCATTGCGTGGGGTGGAAAACTTTAAAACGCAGTTAAAACTGAGGAGCTGGCCCTATTTCCTGATATTGGTGTCTCATAGTTTCCCTTGATAGAGCCCTGAACCCACGTTCTTATATCTAACGTACTGTTTCAAAGTCACCGTGGCCGTTGTGGAAGCGATAGCCTTGGATGGAAGATGAAAAGCCTGCAAGGCCTGAAGGGTGCACCACCCGCCTCAAAGATGCAAGGAGTCGACGATAAGGAGAACGACGCGCACGGTCCAGAATACTCCAAGCTGGAGGCCACGCTCGTTACTGCGGATGTGGCGCCTCGGCCAATCTCAAGGGACGGACAACATGTCGCCAGACACGCTGAATTGACTGATCTCAGCGTCAACGAACTAGACCACAACTACGCCAGTAACATGGATCCTGCGGAGTATCCGTTCGCTCGAATCGATTCCGCCCAAGACTTATTCTCCGCCGTGCTCTATCATGAGCATCTCGACAAACCGCAAAATTTCAGCGATCAAACGAACATTGACTGCTTCTCCGTGCAGGAATCGGGGGCTGAATGGTTGCATTTGCATGAGGACAGCTTGAAGGCTCTGGTCGAGGGCATGAGTGAACGATGGAACAACGTCTCTGCACTAACCACGAATGGCGGTGAACCGCAGGACTCTATGGGTCGAAAAGCCTTGGTCTTCTTCATCCCTCTGATTGCGACTACTTCCGATGCATCGTTCAGGAACGCACTTCCCATGACCAGGTCCAGCGTCATCGACCTCTTCTCTTCATTGTCATTGAACCCAGCATTCCTGCAGAACATGCTTGGCCGTCCGGATTACTGGGCGCCGCAAGCCCGATGGGACCAAGAATCCGATCATTTCCTGGGCTGCGACTTCTTTTGCCAGCATCCGCGATGGAACCTGCAAGTACAAGGCGCTCCTCTATCCGTCTATCTAAGATATGACGCTCAACGCGACCTTACTACATACATCATATCGCATAAGCCGAACGACACCGTAGTAAACTCCCTTCGTGCGCTCCTCCACCATACGACCAGACATCATGCGCAAACCCATATGGCAAATATACTCCTCGACAGCCCCCTAGACGTGCACGTCATGATCTCCCAGCTAAACTTCGAAGCCTCCAAATGGCATGTGAACCGCTTCCGGCGCTTCCAATGGACCGTCGTCAACAAAGTCGACGACCACCTCGCAGGCCTCGAAACAAGCGACCGCGATAAACTCAAACGCCTCACCAAGGAGCTGCAGATCGTTTCGCAAAATGCGGACTCCCACATGGCCAATGCACAAGTCTTCTTATTCACTGCCCGCGGAATCCAAAACATGGCTACACGCTTACAAGTCTCCAAGCACGCCCGCATACGCCAGCGCACGCTCGACATGCTCGAGTTCCTCATCGAGAGCATGGAAAAGCAGCAAATGTGGTTCTCAAACTACAAGAGTCGGAAGGACAGCACGATGCGCCTCGTATTCAATCTCGTCACCCAGCAGGATGCGCTCAATAATATCGAGCTAGCAGCGGATATGAAGAGGGATAGTACGAGTATGAACGCTATTGCGGGGCTCACAATGGTTTTCCTGCCTGGCACATTCACAGCTGTAGGTTATCCCTCGTTACTTTGATGCATCTATGGCCTACTAACGAGGGAATGTCGCACCCCAGTCAGTCCTTAGCGCCAATATCTTCGAGTCTTCACCCGGCGTGTCGTCGTTCCTAGTTACAGGGCTCTGGTGGCTGTGGCTTGCGACCACGCTTCCCATCACCATCGTCACCATCCTGTGTTGGTGGTGGTACAAGAAGACGAAGGAAAAGAACGTGCCGCGAGTTGTGAGGAGCAAAGATGATGCTACGAGCACAGAGAGTGGAGGCTCCACGCAAATGTGAAAGACCAGCCCTGCCGCGCTCCCGGTGGTTCGAGCGTAAAGACGACCAGCTTCCATAAGTTTTGCCATATGATCCCGCATATCGCATAGATCCGCTCCGCTATGGTTGCACCGCTCGAGCGATCACTCCGATATCGTGGATTCAGATCAGAGGAAAGGTCCCGTCTCGTGTCCGCAAGGGGAAATGATCCTGGCGCTTTCCGGTGCCCCGTAGTGCCAGTGAGCCGCTACCCAAGATGTGTATTGGAGGCTTGACTGCCATCGTCATCAGACTAATGGTATCCCTTGCTCCTAGTAAGCAAATTTAGATTGGACGCTCCTGGCCTTGGATTCTTCGACGACGCATCTTTATCTTCAGCTTCCGACAATATTCGATGGAGCAACATGAACAGATTCTGCTGCACCTAGGGCGCTAGCTAATTGCATTGGCTGGAGCCCGATCTGTCCGGTTGTAGAGTGCTTCAGCGCAGGCGAATTATTGATGCTTGCGGGACCAACTGCCTCCACATCGGGAGCGGCTACATCCGGGCATGGGGGTGTTCCAGAATCTTCTCAGTTGGAGTCTGGAATAAACGCTACCTATATGCTGGGCGATACTGATTCAGGATTTCATTGCTCGGGTTTTACAGCATGGTCCAAGTCACTGTAGCTGGCGCCGTATTAGCCATGCATGTAGCCATGTCCGCACATCCAACACTATGCCTCCGACCTTCTACCCAACTCAAAAAGATTCCTAGCCTCGGAAGCGCCATAATAAAGACGATCACACTGACGATCACGTGACCTCGGGCTTCATCAGCCTCGCGACGTATTCCAACAATAGGCAATGTTTCGAACGCTTCAAAACACTTAGCGCCTTTTCCATCGGATCGTGTTTCAAATGAGCCTACACGCACGAATCGATCTTATTCATGCGCCTCCTGGCGCGTATGTTTCGTTGCAGCGAGAGCCAACCGTTCGCGTAGCACAGCCGCAGATGTTGGCGCTTAGTTTGTTGGCCACCACAACGGCTACCGCCAACCATGGAGCTGGGCTATTCTTATGATGGGAGTCCGTGGGGTAGATGGTGTCTTATCATCTACGCTTCTTTCTTCTTACTCTTCCTAATACTTGTTTGAGGCGCAACGTTCTGTGAACGTTCTGCGTAGTGAAGGACTTTCTTTTCGCGCTTCCGTTCCTTTGAGTCGACTCGAAGTCGGACTCACCACTATCTTTCTTTTTAACTAGCCTCCGAGAGGCACAGTTAGTTGCTTGAAAACCAACACGAGGCTAATTCAACCGTCTATTCCGTACGAATACCAATCGATAGCGTAATTCGATCTTCTACGGCTCGGCCTCTTACACCAACACCGAGGCATTCGGTTCCTTACCATTTACGTTGAGCGAAAGACATCCGTAATCCGATCCACTCTCTCGGGCCTCAACCGCCTACGACCTATTCTGAATATAAATATCCTCATCAAACCTCAAGACCGAACCCTCCCTCGCACAATGGCAGCACCATCCTGCGCCTTCACCTCCGGCATTCCCAATCCACCAACAACCTCGCCCTCCTGCGCAGTCCCCATTGGCGGCTCGAACTCCACCCTGCTCGACACATGCTGCAACGGCCACATCAACCCCATTAACACATACTCCGCGCCGGGTGCCGACGACGATTGCTACCAGTACTGCACAACCGATGCTGTCAACGATGTGCAAGGGTGCCTCACTCAGAAGTTCGAGGCGTACGATAAGAATAGCCCGGCGTTTCAGTGCTTCAATGTCGCGCCCGTCAAGGCGGCGGAGAGCAAGGGTGGGAGAATTAAGGGAGCAGGATGGATATTGAGGGTAGCCGTGGGGTTAGGTGTTGTGGGAGCGGTTGTTGGGATGGTATAGGATATACGGGGAGCTCTGGGACCGGGGTTTCGGGGCTAAAATGGGCGAGTAGAAACATTCGTAATGCCGCGTATTAGTAGCTGCATTTCCAGGCGTTCACGATTGGGCTGGGACATATCATGCATTGGAAGGGCGCCGGCGTTCTAGGGCCGCATTAGAGGCACTGATGCATGATGAATGAAATATTAGACTTTCACTCCCACCTATGCATGCGGTCTTCGAATCAAGCCTGTTCACGAGTCGTGTTGGCTATGGCGTGAACGCCATATCCGATTTATCCATCGACCTTACACAGCTTCCCATTCTGAGTCGTAACACCCAATTCCGGATCCCTAACCTCCCACTCATCGCTTCCAACGGCGGTCACGGCGTAGAATAGACCGCGCGGGTCATACTTCTTCTTGATGCTCAAAAGCTTCGAATACTGGGTGCCATAGAAGTCCTCCTTCCAGTTCGGTTCATCCACCGCAGCCTCGTTGAGGTAGGAGCCACCGAATTCGTTAGCGGGCGCGACATCCCTCCACGGCTGGAGAATGACTTCTTGCAGATTCCGATTCGCCGCCCCGATCTCAGCGGCTGAAGCGTTTTCGGGGAACTTGAGCGAGGAAGAAATAAGAAAGACCTGGGTGTGACGCCAGGCGGACGACACCGCATTGTCGACGTTCTGCGGGTTCTGCGGGCTCTGAAAGTAGCAGACGAAGTGCCGCGCATTCTCGATATGTGTGCGAAGTTGGGTCCAAGTGGTTTCGAGTTTATCGCGATCGGTCCAGTGGGATTTCGGAATGAGTCGGTTTCCGGGGAGCGATGTCGCCAGCCCGAGCGGAAACCCGTTCTTGCCCCAGGCATCCCAATACGCGGGGAAGAAAGACTCGTAGTATGTGGTGTTAAGCGGCGATTGATACGGAACGCCTAGCTCCTCGACTTTGTCGAAGAAAGGCTTGGATAGATTGGCGAATGACTCTTTAGTGTGGCCAGGAGCAAACCAGGAGGTCATTCTGAGTGTGATTTGCCCGTTGGTATTGAGGATGTGGAAGAAGGAATATGTTCCGGCATCTGTATATGCGGGAAAGGACTCCCAGAAAAAGCGCAGCACCTGGAAGAAGTTCTCTCGGGAGACGAGCTGGGAGGCATCGGTGCTATTGCCTAGCATGAATGTGGAATGCGTCACTTGGATCTTCGGGTGAGCCTTGATGATGGCTGAGGTGACGATGCCGTAGGTTCCACCTCCTCCGCCGCGCAGAGCCCAAAAAATATCGGGATTGGATGTCTCAGACGCGGTGACGAAAAGCCCATCTGCGGTGACGACTTGGTAGGCGAGTACTGAGTCTGCAGCCATGCCGTAGTACCCGCTCAGAGGGTTGTGCCCTCCGCCCTGCAGGTACCCGCCTACATAACCGACGCTCTGTTGCACACCATGTTAGCTTCATAGACCGACTTTAGCATCTATGGTTTTGTCTTACTTCGCATATGCCTCCTTGAACTGTAACACCCTGGGCATCTGCAGCCCTGTAGATCTCCTGCACCGTTACACCGGCGGCAACCTTGAACGCGGCGCCTGAATACCCCTCGGCATCATAACTGGGGAGATACTGAATATCCTTGAGGTTGTGGGTCCAGATCGCGAGCGACCCTGCACCGGATGATTTTCCAAGGTAGCAGTGCCCGGTATTCTTGATAACGAGACGAATGTTGAGGTTCCGCGCAAAGTTTATGGCCAACTGAATTTGCTCCACGCTGGAAACATTGACGGCGTACTCCGGGTATCCGCCAAGGGTGCACGTATCGCCGGAGGTTGTGTCATTTCGGGCCATACATGTCTTTCCCTGGTAGATAGGCCACATGATGGAGGTGGGATCATCCTCGCTACAACAAGCTCAGCATCCGACTCAGTAGACACTTGCAAGCGGAAACTTACTGCGTCGAAGGGGTTGTAAAAGCTCTCACGAGCGCATTGCATTTGGCTGTATCCCTTCTCCCCCATTTGGAGTTGTAGCAAACCGATGCAATCGGGACAGTGGGAACCAAGCTATCGTTGAGCAGCGACTTGAACGTGTCCCATACTTCTTCCTTGGGCCACAGGTCGTCTCCTGGATAAGTCTTGCACTCTGGCGTTGCTCGCTCCGAAAGCGTCAGATTACTTTCGAAAGCGAATAGATCGGCGATGGGTCCGGTTTGCTCATCATTTCGAATGCGCTCAATGAAGGCGTCGGTCAATTGGACAGTCTCGAAATCGAAAAGAAGACTGCCCTCAACGATGGAATGTACGGCGGCAGGTCCAACTGGAATGGATGGTTGCGCAATTCCAGCAGCAAGCAAGTATGGGAGTGCGACGAGAATGGATAGAAAGGAGTGCGTAAGAGCCATTGCAAGTACCAATCGTGGAAGATACAAGGTTTTGGAGTTGAGGCGGAATGACTGCAATGGGCGTATGCATGAGCATTCCCCACTTGAAGGACTCCTACTCGTTGACCGGACCGCAGGTTGATATGCCACTAAAATAACCTGACTTGTAGCGCCCTCGGGGTTTCTCTTTCTCACTTTTCTGGAAGGAGACGTTTACCGGCGACATTGCTGTGCGGAAAGCGACCCATTTAAGCACGATGTGCGGCGGTAAGCCGAAGGTCAACATTGAAGGCGGGGAAGAAGGTACAGCAGAAGGCCAATTTGATACGCCACTGAACGTGGGCGAACGCCCCGTTCGATATTGCCGCCAAGGCTTTATGGATAAAGCCAGGCCGCCAAGCTGGGCCTTCCGTTCACTGGTGGCTAGGGCGTACCCGAGGGGGTGGATCAGGCCGTGGTGTCCACTTCCGTGGGTACGCCCTGTAGTTTGATGTTCTTTACACAGGGACTTAGTGGCGGAATACTCGTCCGAAGCGCTGATTCCCCCATCTGTATTGTGAGATCAGAAAGCAAGCAGGGTTCGACGCTACTTCACGTCTCATCCCTGAATGAGACACATCCTCCTACAATGTGGAATGGGTACTCGCATAAAGCGATGCCCTGGAAACAATCCTTGGGTCTGCTGATAAGCCGATCCTCGAACGTACTCACGATGTCGACTTACGCTTCGGTGGGCCCAGAAAGCCCTCGATTTGTGAGCCACAATCACCAGCGTCCTTTAGCTCCACAGCCTGGTCGCATAGTGGCCCAATCTTCAGTGCCGTGGCTCGGAGTTTGCGAATATTTGTCCCCCATGGAACATGAAGCACTTCAAGACGGTATGCAGACCGTTTAGCTGAATAGCAAACAAAAACCTCTTTCGGGGATTTACGCCGGCGCCGATGAACATGTGGGTACTCGCATTGCGTCCGAAGGCTTGCCCAAAACCGAAAACCTCCAGCTACGCTGGCGGTACACCCAGCAGCTTGATACTCAACTTCAAGCTATCAAAGCATCGGAGGCTCCCTCGCCAGTATGCTCTAGGAACGAGGGCCACGAGACACCATCACCTCCTCCCTATCTGCCTGATCATGACCGGCATGAGCTCTTTTTCCCATGTGACCCGCCAGCGATGCGGCCCCATGCTCCCCCGCCAGACCTTGAGAATCAGCGCGCACCCCTTAAGCGTTCGTTCACGTGGCCAAAGCTGATGAAGCGCGGCAGTGATCTTGCGGGAGGATTCCTGGGCGCAGCGCTCACGCCTCCTTGCTTTACGGGCTCGCCTGACGAACTTGATTTCACCTCGGACGTAGAGGCGCAACCGCAGATTGTAGTGTTGCCTCATGACTTAGAAATGCGACCGAAGCGAGGTTCCGCAGCGATGTCGTTGCATGACGTTGAAGCACAGGGGCGCCCGAAGAAGGTGAGCCCGTTCCAGAAGGTCAGGACGCTTCTCCGCTTCACTAGGTAAGAGGATGCCCTCGAAACTTTTAGGCGCAGAGAGTATGGGAAGTAGTAATCATGGCTTTCCTGGCGCGCTGCTGTGATGCTGCAGTCGTGTAGGAAACTTTAGCAAGTATTCCGCAATGGAAATTGGACATCATACCTGATAAATAGAACGCTCCCCTTGTCGTAAGCACGGCGCCCACAAAGCCATATGATAAAGCTCATTCAGTACTCGTTGATCTAGTCCGTCAGTCGTGTGATAACTGGCTTCGCACAATGTCACAGTTGCCAACATTGTCCACTGAGGCTGCATTGTGCGCAGACCTTCCCCTGCGACGCCAAAGCCTTTCAACACGTGTTTCTTTATAATCCTTCTCGTCCCTCAGTCAAAGAAGTCTTCTTCATGGAAACCGGCCGCGCAACCCCTCCTACAATGACCGCAACGACCACTCGTGCCGCCACGATGACGGCTGCTCGCCAGGAGCGAGTAGGTACGCTAACTCTTAGAGCTCAAGAAACAACAGAAAAGCGTTCGCGAAATCGTCCGAGGTCGTTGGATGTGAATAAAGCGAACGCCTTTGTCGAAGTGGAGGCTACTGAGTCAAGTGTGCGTCCGCCACATACGGGCTTTCGGCGCAGCCGGCCACAACCCCGTCCCCTTGACGAAGACCACACTTCTTCTCTGTATCCAGCTATTCCTACGTCGCCTCCTCGTTCACCGACTGTATCGCGCGTTCCAAACGCGCAATGGAACCGCTCGCCCGCGTCTGCGCAGTCCCTTCCAGTTCTCCGCCCGCGCCCGCTGTCCGATGGGCCCATGGGGCACAGCTATTCTCCAGTTTCCGCTCGTCCCACTGGATTTGAGTACTTCCTCCCGTACGAGGACTATCCGCGAAATCGTAGGTCCATGTTATCCCTCGCTTCAACGCTCTGCGAGGCGGACGAAGCGGCAAACACGAGAATTACGGAGCGTGTGTTTACATATACGCCTAATGAGACGTATGTGATTAATGTTGAGAAAAAGGCCAAGGTCAAGTGGTACAAAAAAGGTGCGAAGCACGTGAAGCGGTTCTTCAAGGATGCATAAAATGGTGTCGTATATGGATGGTGATGGGGCTGGTTCTAGATGTAGAGCCGGGTACTTATCCTATGTGAGCAACTTTAGCGATATGGTGCATAAATAGATCCCGAACTTATACAGACGTATACATCCACCGGAATATAAGTAATTATATATAAGGGAGCTCATACATTGCAGTGTAGTTCCGAAACTGAGACAAACTCACCCAACCTTTGATCTACAAAATCTTGTCTATGAACCTTCAACGCCCAAAAGTTGCCGCGCAGTAACTCAAATCGATAGAACGGTTGGCCTTACCCTGTCGGCGATTAGTCAGAGGTTCGGTGACCCCGGTGTACTCACATTGGTCAGCAGTGATGCTTAAGATTCCGCCAGATATCAGAACATGATATAGCACGACTCGATCCTATCGGTCACTAGGGCATGACCAGCGAACATCAACGATCTATATTCTTCTTCCTTTGCTTTTCTAGCCCATAGAGCTACCCAAGCTGCTCTCCTCCAAGACTCTTGATGTACTTTGTCGCATCCCTAGAACTTCGTGCACGGGGAGTGGAACCTGCGCAAACTAGTCCAGTCGAACAGCGTCGAGTGATGGGAGTGGGTTGAGGCTTGGCTGCAATGATGTTCGTTTTCGCAAGAGGACGCCTTCCCTTCCGAGGACTCGTCTCAGCTGCTATTTCTCCGCCTACTGCACGAGGTCCACGGAAAGGAACGGGTCTTGGTCTCTTCACCGAAGCCTCCCGCTAAGGCAAAGCGGAAGCCCTACCCGTATGCGATGCCTTCAGCCGCCGCCGGCGACCTGTGACGCCCGTTTAAAGGAGTTCGAGCCACTCGCGCCATGTGGTGCCTGTCCCAAGAAAAAGGATTGTGCCACCGATAATTGGCTCGTTGACTATCGTTAGGTTTTTGTGGAGTGTGCGGGGAGGAGACATTAAATGCTGGTGTCTTATCGATAGCAGGGTTACACGTGGTAGCGCGTTGCCGATGCCGCACGGTGAACCGCCTCTCAACCACCGTCATTATTGAGGCACCAGCCTCCGTCCACGAGTATTGCACGATCTCTCGCTCATCGCTGTTCCCATTCTGTAGCTTCGCTTTGCCTTGTACCGCCATGGCCCTCATTTCGGACGTTGTGAAGTGTCCGGAGTTCCAATTTCCTGCGCCCCTGAGCACCTTTGGCATGCTCATGATGACTCCAGCGGATCCATTTATACTCTGTGGAGACATGAGGACTTTTCACGAAGGAGAGTCTTCGAGTACTCTTTTTGTAGCCGCTTCTCTCCCGTCTAACATGCTGGATCCACCCACAGGCCGGTTGCTGTCACAACTGGAGAGAAGTCGCGATGACCTCTAACTAATTGATGCTTCATCTAGGTCATACACCCCATCTACCCTCGCCAGACGTACCACCTAAGCCAACGGAATCGACCGCTGCATACATGTCGCGCGTGCCTCTGTGCATACGCCTTCGAACGCGTTCCGAGGTTGAGGTGGCGCCCACAATCGATCGGTTAGATAACTTTGCATGGGTGTCTGCGCATGGAGGCAGATTCCCAAATCAAGCGAGGCGCTGTAGGTTGAGATGGTCATGTCTGCTGGCCGCTGGCGTCGGAGCCTCTACAAGATTGGAGAGCAAGAGCGCGTACACCAGGGACTACCATTGAGCCTACCTACATCGAGGCTACATGTGATATCCATACACCCCGCGACCAAACGTGTACCTCTTGTGGGCCCAACGGCAGGTGTAAGTCAAGCCGATGCAAGCCGATGCGCCTGCCTTCAATAGAACGGTCGTTACTTAGTGTCCGGAGCCGCACAGAACCCGTCTGCGGACATTACGACTCACAACTTCATAGCCTAGGTGAGATAGGTAGGTAGAAGTACTCACCGGCTTAGGCACTATATCATTCTAGAACTTCCGTGTGTAGCCTAATTTCGTAGCGGCCCGCTGCATCGTATCTATAGGATGAGGTTGTAAGCTGACGCCAAGGGACCGGTCAATATCTCCTGGTACTGTTCTCGCGCGAGACACTCAAGCCGCATCAACGCTGTGCTCCAACTCTCCGATTTAACGTTCACCTCGTGCTTTGTCTCAGATGCATGCAGCTTGACGAAAACGATGGCTTTATTGCAGAAAGTTGTCGGGACCATTTTTCTGGTAAGAATCCGACCGCTCTAACCCACCACATCAACCATAACCGAAACAATACAGTATGTCTTAACGAAAGCGATATATCTTATCTACCTCCACCCATTGTCGAAATATTCCGGCCCGAAGTCATGGATCCTCTCAAGAATCCCGTATCTGGTGTACATGAACAGCGGCAAGCTTCCCTTTCGCATCAAAGAGCTCCACGATACGTATGGCTCCGTCGTCCGTGTTTCGGGTGACGAGCTCAGCATTAATGATCCGCAAGCCTGGAGAGACATCTATAATCGGAGGGATATGCTGCGTCCATCGCAATGGGGAGGTCGGCCACCGGGTGTGGAGGCGCATAGCTTAATCTCTGCACCTGCAGCGGATCACGCGCGGTTTCGGAAAGCTTTGAATCCCGCGTTTTCTGAGAAAGCGACCAGGGAATATGAGCCTGTTGTCCGGGCTTACATCGAGAAACTGCTCTCCCGGCTAGACGTGGCGGCGACGAAAGGCCCCGTAGATATCGTCGAATGGGCGAATTTTACGACATTCGACATTATCAGCGAGATCACCTGGTCGAAATCCTACGGTTGTCTCGACAAAGCCACCGGCCATGCATTCATGGGTGTCCTGCTGCATTTCCAAGCATTCCTTGTAGCTGCATCCATCAAGTACTTTCCCTGGCTCGATCGCTTACTGGCCGTCATCACACCAAAGAGCGCCTTCCGGCTGCTGGAGGATATATTCCAGGATACGCACGAACGGCTACACGCGCGCTCGATGATCAAGGAGCCGTCGCATGCGGACCTAGTTGGTCATCTGAAGTTGCATCAAGAGCAGGCCGCTGATGCCGACAAATTTCGCGAAGCCGAGATCGAGCAGAACATCCTCACCGTCATTGTTGGTGGGTCCGAGACTCTAACCACCGCCATTAGCGGCGCCTTCCATCACCTTCTGGCAAGTCCGCGCGTTCTTTCAAAGCTCGTGCACGAGATACGCTCGTCCTTTGCAAAGGAAGCCCACATCGACACTAATGCGCTCTCAAAGCTACCCTACCTCAACGCTGTAATCGACGAGACACTACGGCTTTGCCCTCCCTTCCCGGATATGCTCCGCCGACAAGTCCCGGCTTCGGGGGCGATTATTGCAGGCCACGCAATCCCTTCTCACACCACGGTATCCGTATCCTGCTATAGCATGTTCAAGTCTGCGTCATACTTCAGCGACCCCGACAGCTTTCTTCCAGAGCGTTGGATTGATGGGCGGGACGGTGCGGAAGCGAGAGAGGCGTTTCATCCGTTTGCGCTGGGTCCGCACAATTGCCTTGGGCAGCCTCTTGCGAGGATGGAAATGCGCTTAATGATTACATTAATCCTGTGGAGGTATGATGTGGGGATTTCGAAGGGTGACAGTTTGCGGAAGTGGGATGAACAAAAGATCTACTGGACGTGGGAGAAGCAGCCGTTGCTGGTGGGGCTTTCGAATGTCGATGCGTAAGAAGCGCGACGTCGCTTCGGGATGAAAATACAGGAGACTCTGTGAGCTGGGAGGGGTTTATTAATGTGGGTTCGAGTGCAGATGACGAGGTTTTGAGAGCCCTTTCCCTAAGATTTTCCTAATTAACACGTCAACCCTCCAACTACGCTACAACGTTCATTTCTAGCCCGATTCCTGTCTAACAAGGCCAGATGGTTCGTTATCCCTCGGTCGCGCAACTCCAGCCTGCATACTGTCTAATACACCTCAATCTATCTAATTATTGGATCAATTATGGTTTTCGAAGGCCTTTGTGCCGCTCCGCCTGCCTTTCTCAGCGTTGTTGGTTCGGCGTGCGGTCACCCGATTCTTGCCCCCATAGCATCGGCTCCTTCATATCAAGTCATTCCGCTCTTGTCACTATTACAAGCTCCCTGCAACGTCCGTATACGACTCTGTATTGCATATACCCTTTGACGACTGCCGTCGTCAACATTTAATCAAGACGAGAAAACGCTGGAACCGACCCAATCTCAACCCTCTCGCCATGATTCTCTTCCTAGTTCTCCCGCTCGCCTTCTTCGCTGTATCCGTCCCATCTAAATGTGTGAATGGAGACGAATTAGGGGAAAAGGTCAAGAATGTGGTTTGTCGCTGTCCCTGTATATTTTGACGACGAGTTGACTACCATCCACGATAAGCAATCCAAAGTTAACATCAAAGTATGTTAGCGAGTTGGACGATAGTTAAACGGCTACTCTTATTTCAGGACTTTGAGACTTGAAGTTTTCCAGCAGCACCGAGTACGCCAAGCGTAAGTTCGCTTCAGTTAAACATCCGTTCACAAGCCGAAATATGATAAAGGGATGCGTAGATCAAAGTCACATTCTGCCTAGACGAGGATAAGCATTTGCGCTTCGGGATTCTCGACATAGTAAGCAGGGAGTTGACAGCGGTCAATATGTCGGAGTAGTAGAGGGCGAGAGTATGACTTCCGATGAACGGGCGAGCATGGAGTGAGTACGTGAAAAGAAGACTTAGCACGACTTATACATATGTAGAAGTGGCCTTAGCGGAACAATGATGTTCGATAATGGGCTCGCGATATCATAAGTGAATATTTCTGCTGGTAAGTAATAACCACTTAAAGAAGCATAATATGGCAGGTGTATAAATAGAATGTGTTAGGATTCACATAGCTTAATGATAGCCGTATGTTTATACTGTCAGCTTGATAATAATTAGATGCCGCTTATGGAGCGGCTCGATTAGCTCTCACGCGGTTTTTTATGCTGCAACACTCTCTTCACGGAGTTAAGTATACCTAGGTACGACAAAGCTCTTCCCTAGTGTATTCACGAGGCTTCTACACTGAACGGTGTGATGAACAAGATCCGGATATCTCATTACGCTATTCCATGTCTGAATCATGGTACACTCCATCCGTCCACATATTCAGCGCCTTAAACGAGTCTTTTGTGTATTGATGTTCAACACCAAGGATCCGTTTCCGTCCCCGAAAGGCATTCTCCATAAGCGAAATGGCTTCCACATCATGCCCTAATTTCTTCAATATCCACGCGAGATTGTTCATGCTGGTCAAGGTATCTGGGTGCTCCTTCCCCAGCACCTTTTCT